GGATCGACACCTTGGTCGGAGTCGCCCCTGGCTGCTGTGGCTTCAGCGTCCCTGACCCGAGCTTGGTTCCTAGTCACTACGAAGATCTTAGCGCTGGGCAACAGGGGCTTGGCAGCATCCTCCAGCGGAGTTGGCTCAGCCACTACTTCTACATCAGCTTGAGTGTCACGCTGCTCAGTCTCAGGTTCAGCTGGCTCAGGTTCATTCACCTTGATCAGCTTCTCCGGGATCCGATTCAGTTGTTTGAGCTGAACCAGCTCAACCGGATCTTCAATGGCGACAGGACCTTGAGTCACCAGAGTCTTCGACGTGAGGTAGTCCGCAGCTGGGTTATATTCTCGCTTCACATGTACCAAGCGCAATCGTTGGAACTCTGGACGAAGCGTCTCAAACTCAACCAGCAGCACTTCCAGCCCTGGGCTCAGACACTGGATCAAGCCCTGAGCTTGCTGGATGACAATCCGAGAGTCACCGACCTCCACAAGGTCTAAGATGCCACGAGCCTTCGCCATGCGAACTCCCTCGAGTAGTCCATGGTACTCGGCTTCGTTCACCGTAATGCCTTCGAAGTGGAATCCTCGAGCTTCGACCACGTCCCAGGACGGGAGCTTCCACAGAATGCAGCCGGAAGCACCAGAGCGATCCGAAAGTTTGGCAGCTCCATCAAAGCTGAGCAGCCATCCCTCGTAGTCCGCCTCCAGCATCTCCAAGCTGATCGGTGGGGTTCGGACAACTCGTCCCTTGTCTGGGATGAGGTTCTCTGCGATCTTATCCAACTGATCACGGAAGGGGGGGGTGATCCCAGCTCCCATGATCGCGACCAAACCATCCTCATCGCGTTCGACCTTGTGAACTTCCAAAGGCCAGGGCGACAGACGTGCAACCCACTGCTCACAGCGTCCCTCTAGCGATCGAGACTTGAACAACCGCTTCACAACAGAATACCGGGTGTAGACCTTCAGCAGCTTGCAACCGCTCAGCATCGAGTAGAAAACTCTCAGAACCCGGAGCAACGCTACGACCTCCTTCTCAGCCGGGTGGTATCTGAGCTCCTGATCATGCAGTGTATCGCACCGGGAAAATAACTCCATCGTACTCTTGGCCCAGCACTGCACAGACCGCCCAGGGATTAGCGTGTAGAATAATCACGAACGGTTTCTCCCTGTCCGGGTGTCTGAGCAGTGGGGTAGAGACAATCTTCTGCTTCAGGATTTCAAACGCCTCCTTAGCTCGGCCGAGATCACGTCCAGCTTGGATCTGCTCATCCGTCAACTCGTAGAGCACAGACGCTACAACCGGGAGGTCTTCAATAAACTTGTTGTAGTAGTTGAGACTTCCCAGGAATGACTGTACTCCTTTCAGCGTCGTCGGGAATGGCAGGTCCTTGACTCCCTTGACGATCTTCGGCTTAGCTCGGATTCCCTCAGCTCCAATCACATGCGAGAAGTAGGAGATAGACTTCTTGCCAAACTCACTCTTGGCCAAGCTTACCGAAATTCCCCAGTACCTCAGTCGATAAAGCAACCGATCCAAGACTTCGCACATCTGGTCCCAGGTCTCCGCTCCATACGCGATGCCGTCGATGTAAGAGCTTCGTCCCAGAACAGGACCCAGCTGAGGCGGGGCCGGAATGTTTCGCCGGAACACGGTAGTTCTCCTCAGACAGAGGCGGGATTTCTTCCTCCCTAGCGGAGTCGTCCACCTCGATTCCTAGGAACTCCAGCACATCCGGATCAACTCGGGCCTCCTCGCAGGGCGGAAGTCGCACGAAACCCCATAGACAATTATCGAGCATCTGCTGGTAGATCAGCGGGGCGTTCTTGAGACCAAACGGCATGCGCTTCCACTGGAAGTGTCCCAGCGGACAGATGAATGCTGAGATCAGCTTGGCCCGGAGTGTCATCGGCACTGCCCAGAATCCGCTGGCCATGTTCAAGCTCAGAAACTACATCACGTCCTCAAACCCGAGCAACAGATCGTCAATCAAGGGTAGAGGGTAGTGTGAGAGCTTGATCAGTTGGTTGACCAGTCGATAGTCGATGCACAGCCTGATGTCCACACCGTTCTTCTTCATCACAATCACAATTGGCGTCCATTCCGAGAAGACAATCAACTCCTTCTCCGATGTTGCCAACCCAGACATCCATCATGTACACCACGCGCACTCCCAGCGTCAGCTTGATGTTAGCTTGGGCGGTAATGTAGGTCGGAGCATCTCCCATCCCAGTTACTCAGAGCCTGAAACCACGGCGCAGCTTGAGCTTTAATCTGCGTGCAAGATCTAAGCCCACAATGCTTGTCGTAGCTCCAGTATCCAGTAGTATCTGCGTTCGGTGATGAAAGATTGCTCCCTCCACCATCGCCATCTTCCGCTTCTCGCCAGGAAGCGTGTGTTCACTCCACCAACCATACTTCTCGCCCGGAGTCAGAGCAAACTCGAGATGGTTCTCCATCTCATCCTCCGGGTCCAGCTTGTTGAGGTCAGTATCGAAAGTGTAAACACCGGCTTCATGATAAGAAGTTGTACATTCGGGGTTATCTCTGCGCCAACATGGAAGGGCTGGGCCCACATATGCAAAGGCACAGAGCGCTTGGGATCTAGGCTCGTCACGCACTGGTCTCCCAACCAGCGAGCCTAGTGTTTTACCGACTTCTCTCAGAGTTCCGGACTATCCAACAGAGCTTGGATTACCTCAGGAGCGAGGCCCTCGACCGAGCCTCCGGTACGGATTGCCTCGCGTACCGCCTTGAGCGCCGACCACATTTCGCACAAACCCCGGCGATGGTATTCGCCACACTTGGAACACGGCTGACGCCTGCAGAATTGGGTCGGGTGACCCTCATCGTGGCATCGCCCACAGATAAGTCGGCTCCAGCACTTGTCAGTCGGGTGGTTACGACTGCCACATTCGTCACATTTCTGCTCTGGGTGCTGGTCTCCTCCACGGTCATAGCGCTGAGGGTTCAGCTTCCAGGCCAATCTCTCAGCGACTCGGAAAATTTCTTCATCGGTCAGGGAGGTAGAGCGACTGGGCTCAGCTTGAGCTGAGCTTGCAGCAGCAGGAGCTGGCGCGGGGACAGGCGGAGACACAGTTCGCTCAGCCGAGCGGTCCACATCCTGGCCTCGTACTTCAGGTCGTAGTCATCCTGGAAGTGTGCATGTTGTCCCAGACTTGGGTCAACTTCGACACCTTCCGCCTTGAATGCTCGTCCCTCAGCTCGACGCTGTGGAGGTAAAACGTCCAAACTGAAGTCCTTGCGCTGGGCGCCGCTTCTGCTCATAGCCCTCGTCTTGGCAGAGAGCCTCGATCCTCTTCAGGGTTTTCTCCAATTCATCCAAAGTATCGAAATGCTGTCCCTGAAGAGTAGTCCTCAGCCTTGAGTCAGTCAAAGCCTTGATAAAACGTCGGATGTGAGCCTCGTGATCGACGGTCGGTCTCAGATACGGGATACCAGCCTTCTTAGCAGCATGGTTCAGACGGTAGAAGAACATCCGAGGTGTATCGGAGTCCTTCATCTCCATCGAGTAATACCGCTCAGCCTTGGAGCTCAGCGTACGGCACCATTCCTTCTTGAAAACGTGATACAGCTTCTTCCAGTCTGAGCGAACGTCATCCGGCAGCTGAGTGCACCAATCCTTGAGGGAACCAGTGAGTCTCATGCGTAGCTGGACCACCTGGGTCTTCTCGTCACAGGGAGCCATCGTAGCGTAGTACATGAACCTCTTCCACCAGTTGACTCGGTCCTCCAGCGGTCCCTTCTCGTCGAACTTCTCCACAGCATCATGGGGAATCATCGCTTGAACGACCACGCGGGTTCCAGAACTGGTATCAGTCCCCTTAGGCTGCGCCACAGCACCAAACTGTCCTTCGAGCTCATCTTGCGACGAATCACTTGAGCTTGAGTCGTCCGAGCCAGAGTCGTCCCCATCCGAGTCTCCGGGCCTGCCAGGCTTGGTTGCTCGAGCCTTGCCCTTCGCGCCAGACATCGCGCTTGATGCGCGAGGCTTAGACTTGATCTCAGCACGCTTGGCCGAACCTTGGGTCTTGCCAGCACTGCGGCTCATACCAGTCACCTCAGACTTGACTTGGTTGACTTGGACCAACTGGTGCATCACGCTCGTGAGCTGGGCTAACTGCGCCAGGACCGGATCGGTCGGCGATCGGGCCGTCACGACAGGTGCTGGGGCCGGGGGTTCCGCTGGCATTGGCACACGTCCAGCAGTCGAAGCGACGGGCCAGGGTATAGACCGGGCTGCTCCTGGGCTGCAAGGAGCTGGCGAGTCTCCTCCTCCTGCTCCTGCATGACCCGCTGGTGCTCTACTTCTGCCTGCGCATGCTTCTCTCTCAGCCTCAGCAGTTCCAGCTCGTGCTCAGTCTTGATCTCGGCAGCTCGTTCTTCCTGCGCCTTCCGCTGTTCTGCTTGCATAGCCCTAACCTCAGCCTCTTGGAGCGCCTTCTGGACTTGGAGCAGTTGCTGAGCTCGAACCTCGTCCGCCTTGCGCTTCTCAGCTTCTCCAAGGCTTCAAGCTACTTCTGCTGCTCCGTCTTGGCCTGTTGTTGGGATTCGGACATCCGAACGTTGGTCGCCTGAAGTTTCCGGTACTCCTCCTGCAGTCGGGCTTGCTCCGCCTGGTTGTCGGCCAGAGCGGCACTCAATCGAGCTTCAAGAGCTCGGCGTTGGTTCTACTCGGCATCGAGGCGTGCCCAGGCCGTAGCTTCACTCTGCTGAAGGGCTCGCCGGTAGTCTCGCTCGACGGAGGGCAAGTCATCCGAAGTCGTCGTCCCAGCGGAGCCGATAACCGACGGATGTGTGAACCGGAATCGGGTTGTCATAGGCTGAAACTGACCACTCTCCGACGAAGCTGCCGAAGTCCGCGACGAAACCGCGATGTCAGCCTTCCGCAATGAGATGAGCTGGTCCAAGTTGTCTTGGAGACGGATATCGCCACTCTCTGGTACTTGTACTTCATACCCGGGTTCTGCCCGTGTCGGTTGCGCGTGGCCGGCCCGAGTAATACGTCTGCGTTTTTGTGCTGATACATTTGATCTTCTTGGCGGTGTCGGCTCGTCACTCGAATCCTCCTGTGACTCGCTAAGACCATCGCTCAGTTCCGCCCCAGTGCCTGCGCCTTCACTATTCGCTTGGGGGCGGGCTGGCACGGCTTGAACTTGGTCGAAAATTGATTCGCCGAATAACACTCCGTCTGGGGGCGTGCGGCCACCATCCTTGTAGTACACATAGTCGAGAATATGGTGAATAGGTAACATACTCACCTCGAAACTAGTAATGTCGAGCAGTGGCAGCAGTTGCGTCTCGTCCAAATGTTTCGCGCCGACTTCTTCAAGAATCGGGGTGGATTCGCGCACTGCGACCTGCCCGACACCGTTGAACTTGTTGTACACTTGCTCGTGTTTTTGCCGAAGCTCTTGTGGCATAATGAGACTGACACTTTTGCCCATACATGGCCGCAACGCGTAAATCTCGACTGCCACATCCAGCACTGCTATTGGCTCATGTGCGATGACTACCACTGTCCCGTTAAAGTTCACATCCAGTGATCCTCGCTGGTCTTCGTCCCATCTGTAGCCGACAACGACGCCATAGTCCCAGACCCTTGCTCCACGTGCTGGCACTCGAGACGTGCAGATCACCCCTCCACCAAAGGTGCCCGCTCCGTCGAGCGCCTCAGTGGCCGTCACGGTTCTCGAGGCAATCTCTTCATAGTGCAGCTCCTTAGCCTCGCCTTGAGCTTCCGTCCACCGCCCACTGCGAACGAGCTTGACCTTGACCTTCCCGTCTCGCTTTGCTGAAGCGACAACCTTGCCATAGCAAAACCCCACGACCGTGAAGACGCCCGGTTTTAGATAGACATACTGGGCAGGCATGGCGAAAGGTCGCCTTGAACGTCCGAGAAGGGGGGGTTATTCGAGGTTATTGCTGGAGCGAGGAGAATTCGCAAGTGAGCTATCATCGACTCTACCTCCTGCTAGATCTAACTATAACTACATTTGCGACATCGGGAAACTCTGGCTTCGTCCTCAACTTCTCCGTGATAAGAAGCAGCTCTTGCATCCGCAGCCTTCAAGCAATATGGGCTCGACCTCAGCGAAACATGTTCAAATTGCAAGTTAGTTTTGTATGCGAGCCCGACTTGGAGCCATTTCTGTTAATAAGGCTTCAGAAATCAATTGATGAGCATTACAGTAGCAAGATAACGTTGTTGGCAAGAATGAATAGTTGCTAAATAAACCGTTTGCTGACAGTCGACTAAGTCGAGTTCTTGAACTACGTCAAGAAGATACTGAGGACGACCAGTGTCTCATTTTGGCCTGGAAACTTAACAAAGTGGCCATTAAATGTTCTGGGTCGGAGCAAAAACTTGGAATCCACTCACAAACTATTCCCCGTATGCGGAGCTGCTGCCGTGCGCGGCTCCGGGCGTAGCCAGCCGACATAACCGCTAATTTCATTTCATTCCACTCGCCAACTATTGAGCTAGGCTAGCTAGATATACAGAGAGAGATAGAGAGAGTTAAAGCTACTGCAGAACCCTGCTGCTATGGATTTTGATGCCACTATCGTATTGAGTGGGGAAAGTATCCAGAGAGTGCCTGGTGCGCAGCATGTGCGGCGCACCGAAGTCGCTTGCAATGCGGATTAGACAAGTCTGGACGAGCTATTCCAGCACCCGCGAAACCTTAGTAGTCAATCGTCAGAGTTTCGCGAAATGAGCGGCATTTGCTCATCCAACAGGTAGATAGATCGCTCATTCTTTTTATTTTTTAAATTAAAATTTACGCAACTCATCGCTTCGTCTACATTCGAACCAGAGCTCGTTATGGGCCAGACTGCCACCTATAATAACATGCAGGTATCCAAATCTGCAGTGAAGACAATATTAACACCCTCCGTTGCATGTTTGGCGAGCATGTCTAATGTGAGACGATGTACTAAGCTTTCAACATTTGAGGCGTACAGCTTACGTAGCTCGAGCTAGCAGACATGATAGCACGAGATATTGACAAGCGTTGCACAGCTATAAAGTATGCTTCAGCGGATGCATAGCGTAGTTTATTTGTGAAATCCTTAGCAACCTTTCACAAAAGTAGTAATAACTCGTATTTTTTAGTCTTATCTTAGACTTGTCCTTGATTTTAGTGCTAAATTTAGCAAACAACCCCTGAGCTACAGAGTAATACTTGTAGCCATTCCTAGCTTTAAATGTACTTCTTTAGATTAACAAGTACTCTATTTCGGTTAGAAAGGTACCCGGTTTCGGTAAGTTCCAAAAAATTTCTGCCGGCCAAGCGCAGCTCTTCGACCTGTGAACAACGTTACGCAAAGCCAGCAACGTTAGCAATCCACAGCAACGTTATCGTACCTTCCGTAACGTTGCTCGATTTGGGGTTGCCTTCGTCACGGGCGCCGTGTCCTGCTTCTTGGGGGCTCGTCCTGCTTCTTGGGCGGCGCGGCCTTCGTGAAAGGCGGCGCGGGCTGCATCACGGGCTGCGCGTCCTTCGGACGGGCGCGTCCTTCTCCAGCAGCTGCAAGTCGTTCGGCGCTGGCGGGGGTTGCATCTCGAGCAGCCCGGCATCCGCAGGCGGCGAGGCCTTCGGCACGGGCGGGGCTGCGCGTCCGGCCGTGCGTTGGGCTTCGATTTCGGAACTGGATAGTATTTTAACTATCATCCAGATCAGTGCAACATTATTAAAATGCAACGTTACTAAGAGCAACAATAGGCAAGCAACATAACCGCTCACCTTGTCCACGCGCACGTTGGCCACGTGTCGCTCGCCTGGCTCGTGGGGTCTACTTCGCTTTGTTGGGTAGCGCTTGAGAGCGAGGGTTCCCTGTAGGTAGCGGAACATGCGCGTTAGTGGCAATCAATACAAAGCAGCTGCGTCTTTAACGTACGTGTTGCTTGCGTCCGTTTTTTTTTCGCGGGGAAGATTCGTCCGGGCTGTCCTCCGCCTCCGGCTGGACGTCGACGAAGCCTTCGTCTCTGGAGTGGTTGCGCCCCATGTCGCGGTACCCAGGACTTTCCTTGGACGTCTGGCTGCGCAGCGCGCGTCCTATACAGCCACACAACGCACAGAGTTAGCCTACGCACGCACCATCATGTTACAGCACGCATACAGGTACCTAGAGCCATCACAAAGTCGTCGCAGCCGCGTGGCAGCTTTCTCGTTTCTTTTGCAAATGGGAGGCTGAGAACCCTCCCCTTCTTCATGAGTACAGATCCGGTTCGTTTAGGTGCGATTTAAAATGAGGATGTACTTCCCACGAAATGAGGTTTTTTCCTCTGAGGAAAGTTGGGTGAAAAATGAGGTATTCTTGCCTTGTGTAATTTACGAATCAGTTTTTACTGACGCAACGTTACCCTTGGTATTGCAACGTTAACAGGTTGTGGTTAGGTTAACTTAGCCTTGCAGGACCCACTTCGAAAACTTGTTGCTAAGAGACCTATGTATATATTATTAAACTCCTCCCAAAATCAATGCTTACCCTTGTTTTGATCCAAATCCATTAGTCTTAAGTGGTATTTGTAGTGTTCAAGAACTCTGCGGTATGACTCTCTGTAGGTGAGTGATCTAAAATGAGAGGTGGGGTACTAAAAGAGGGTGGGGCACAATTAGAGGTTTCACAGTAGGTGCTTTACACCTTGGCCGGGCCACAGTGGCGTCAGTCCACTTCAACCTGGTGAAGTAGTTCAAGATATTGCAATGAAATATTTGTGTTACTTTTAAATTATTGTGTTACTTTTCGATAGTGTTGAGGAAACAACGTTCCCTACTTCAAAGTGGGCTTTGCGCAGTTCAAGGCGGGTTGTAGCTGGGCTCATTCCCCAACTTCCCACAAGCCCCCCACCCGACATCCCACCAAGCCCTCCCCGCGCCAATGCCACTCCGCTATTCCCCGCGCTCGTGTCCTCGCCGACCACCGCGCTGGCGACAACTGGATGCTCGTCGCCGACCACAACGGGATCCCGCCGACGACTGCCCGCCGCATCATTGAGAGCGGTCGTGCCGAGCTGCTGCGTCGTGGTGGCGCACGCGAGTCCTGCACAAAGTGCACGCCGGAGATCGAAGCCGCCCTCTAGGCGTACTTAGACGACAACTGCACCTACACGCTCGCCACCATGAAGGATATGGTGATGTTCGACTTCGGCGTCGACCTGAGCACCTCCACCGTCAGCAACAAGCTGAACGGGAAGTTGTACACGCTGAAGCAGGTAAGAAGTTTGTACAGTACTGATTACGCTATATTTTACTAACAATAATATGTGCATTTGTATGTAGGTTCGTATCGAGCCTCAAACTTGCAACAAGTAAACAAGGCAAAACGCATGCGATTCGCTAAGGACCTTCGCAAGCACATGTCCAACGGCGATTTCATCGTGTACTATGATGAAACGAATTACAACGTGCACTGCAAGCGCTCCCAAGGATGCGCGAACAAGGGCGAGAGAGTAACGGTGGTACTGCCACCGTCGAAGGGAGCCAACCTCCAAACCCAATGCGCCGTCTCAACCGAGATGGGGCTGCTACACCACCACCTGGAGCGCGGCAGTATCAGGATGAGCGAGAATGCGGCTTTTGTCGACGATATCTACGCCAAGGTCAAGGCTTCTCCTACCTACATTGAGCACTTCCAAGGTAAGAAAGTGGTTGTGTCGCTGGACAATGCTACAGTCCACAGCCAAACGGAGGATCGCGTCACGGAGCATGATGACTTGGTCTTCCTTCGCCTCGCTCCGTACCCCCCAATGTGTAACCCGATCGAAGGTGAGCTACGGACAAACCTTACCATGTGTTATATGCTACACTCACTAACAACAACGCGTTTGTGGGCTGCTTAAGCGTCTTGAAGGCGATGATCAAGGCCGATCTCGCTCTGGATCGAGAGGAGCTCGTTGATGCGCGCCAAAGAGGACAGCTCGCGGCTGCGCGGATGGCAATCCTGGAGCGCGCCGCTCGCCGCACCATCGGCTGCATGGACATCCGTCTTGAATGGCGTTGCATTGCCAGCACGCTGTTGCGGCCCCAGAGCGCCTTGAAGACATGAAGTACGGCGCGTGAAGACGTGAAGTTTGGCTCGTGAGGCACGACGGTCAGCTTGCTATCAGAATTTGCCACTTTGCATTCCTTTCTTAATGTGATTTTTTTCAATTTGACAATTTTACTTTAGATTTTTTTAAATCATATTGAAGTTGACTGACGCCACTGTGGTCGGGCAAAGGTGTAGATCTTTCAAAACAACCGGAGGCAAATCATCAAATCTTGTCGATTAAGTTCACTGCAAGCGACCATTATTTTAAATTCTGCGCTCGCTCCTTTTCAAGCAAGAAAACAGTAGCGTCCACTTTGAATAGTTTGTGCTTAAGAATGTGCAAAACGTAGTGTCAATGCGTCTTCAGCAATTTTAGCAAAGTTGGTTTTGACTTACCCCCAAAATCTGGTCTTCGAAGACCCCTCGCATCGATGTTTATGGATGGGTCAGTTTGTCATTTGATTGGCTCTCCCGTATAAAACCCCCTTATCAGAATTTAGAAATCTGAGCCAAGCAGGAATGCAACTAGTACGACCGAGGTGATCGCAAGGGTTGTTATCACCCCACAAAACGGGTCAATCCCGAAAGGTCGTTTGTGGAGCACATACAGGGCTCCCCCATATTTTCGCGCCAAATAAGCCGCGAAGGCACAGCCCCCGTTCCCTCCCATTCACAAGTCATTCCGGAATCGACCTTCTCCAGCTCAAGTCGCCCAAGCCCAAACTCCCTTCACCTTCAAGATGCCGAGCCGCCCCACGCGCTGCCCGACGCTCACCATCATGAGCACCGCGGCCGCGGGCGACGCCAGCACGGACGCGCCGTGCATCACGCTTCCGAGTCCGTCGTCCGTGGCGTTGCTGCAGACGACGTACATATCGGTGCTGGGCAAGACAGCGGACAACGAGGCCACGGTCCGCTGGTGCATGGCGGTGGGGTTATTGCCAACCTGACAGCTGTGTACAAAGTGCCACCAAGACATGCGTCTTGACGTCGGGCGCAAGCGGTGGCGCTGTGGCGGCACCAAGTGTCGCACCGAGCGCAGTCTGATCAAAGGCACGTTCTTCAGCAAGTGCAAGCTGCCACTGCGCAAGGCTGTACGTTTGGTGTCACGAGAACACCACGCAACGCAAACACACCAGGCGAGGAGTTCGCATGGGAGAGGGACTGTCGCGAGATCAAGATAATCAACGGCAATTACACACCAGCAGCATGAGAGCACTAATGATGCTGGACTGTATCTCGCGAAACCCTAGATCACCCTTAACCGCAAAGATGAACTGCAGCAGCAGCGGTTCAAGATCAATTGGTGGTAGCCGACAGCCCAAAGCAAATAGCAAGGAATAGTTGTAGTAAAAAGCTATAATATTCAGTTTCGATTTTCCAGCGTACTCAACACAGCATCTCGGCTCCCAATGCCCGCCGTACTTCCTCTCTAGTGCTACCATATCACTTACCACAATTTAAATATTGTGACATAGCTGAAATTGCGAATCCTACGCTACGGTGGAGGGGGTCGAGATGCTGAACTACTGTCATTTTTCTGGTCGGCGAGGCGCTAACGGAACTCAATTAAACCGGTCGGGACAACATATAAACCGCGCGACTTACTCGACAACGAGCACGTGCAACAAGCAGAGCGGACCGCCACACGGAGAGCCAAGACCCAAGGCGCAGTGACCAAGACCGCGGAGCCCAGACGCATGACGCAGAGTCTAGAGCCGAAGGCTCCGGACGCAAGACGCAGAGGCTAAGATTAATCAGGTCGGCCGCCAGTCGACGAGCCCGGACGCACGACGCGGAGGGCATGAACAACAAAGCGCGAGACTAAGACCAAACCACGGCGATCTTAACGCACCATGTAACGGGGTTACACGCACAAGTGGCTACAGTCACTTGTTACTCTAACAGATGCGATGTCTGTTAGAGGTTGGAACACTTCCTCGACCTTGGTGTAAGGTACACCAATGGTTACATACATTTACGACCACCACGACGGGTGGTCCATACACATTTAGAATTCCTATTGGTTGAAAGCAGCATCTTTTAGCCAATGAGTGACTTGCATGTTAGCAGAATCCTGCCAACCAGCCGTTGGTAGATTCCTAGTTTAGAATATTACATTTAGAGAAAGTCAGAAACATAAAACAGAAATAGCAGTTCTCATCTTTTACCAAAACCCGCTACTTGGAGTCTATATCTTGTTTAAAGTATACTCGTGGATCTCGAGTATACTTAACTCAAGTAAAAGAAACCTACGCTTCCTCATACACGTGCGCATACATGTAAGCCGTAGTAGTGAGCCAAGGTAGGCCCAATACACCTGGTAGCACTTTGTAGTCCGTCCAACGACCGACTACCTGAACGTTTGTACGGAGCTGTACGAACGAGGAGCCGAGAACCTTTTCATGAGCGCGGAAGTGCCCATGGAAAGCTCCACTTCGCCTGCAACTCATGTTGCACGCGCTGACTGCCACCATCTGTCGGACCCAGAGTGGGAGGCACTCCAAAGACTGTCATCAGTCATTGGAGAAGCGGTTGTAGCTGCAATGCTGGGCACACTATTGCCGACGGAGCAACACGGTGTTGCTCTGGGATTCATCATGAAGGAGCAGCGTGATGCTGCTTCCTCTATCACGGTGGCGTCGGGGACGACACCGCGCGAGCAATCGTTGAAGCTAAACGTGAGCAACTATGGCGGAAGAGAGGGCGAGCCTCTCCTCCGGTGGCTTGTCGAACTCGACACTGCCATTGGGGCTCGACGTATCGTCGACCCGTTGTCCAAGGTTGCATTCGCCATGTCATGTCTTGGCGGACGAGCGAGAAGTTGGGCGTATGGACGCCGACTCTCTGATCCTACGTGCTTCAGCACGTACGAGGGTTTCAAGGAGGAGCTTAGACAAGCATTTGATCCCCCGCAAAACGAGTTCCGGTCGAGGTCAGAGTTCCTCGACCTACAGCAGGGTAAGCATGATGTCCATGCTTTCGCGCAGAGAGCACGGTATTTGGTCTCGAACATTGTGACCAACCCGATCGACGAGGCGACCAAAGTCGTCACGCTCATGAAAGGACTTAGAGATGGGCCTGTAAAGACCTATCTCTTCCGTGAGTATCCAAGTACTCTCGAAGCTGCAATTACTCTTGCAATGCAGGAGGAGTTTAGCCTGCGACAGGCTAAGCTGCATGTGAATGCGCCGAGGCTGCGACCGCCTCCGGTTGTGATAGCAGGAGGTCCGGAACCAATGGACCTCTCGAATGCATCGGCTGTTGATTATCAACAGCAACAAGGAAGTAATGTACGATGCTTCCGTTGCGAAAGGATCGGTCACTATGCCCGAGAGTACACGGCACCCGTGCACCAGCAGGGTGGCTATCGCGGCGGTGCCAGGCACCGTCGCAACCAAACAAAAAACGCTGGACGCCAGTAGGTGCGGGGCGCCCTACTGGTACTGCAGTTCCGCGTGTCGACCTTGGACACGCGACACTGAGGACTGCAGCCCCCAGTGAGGTTCATTCTCACTGCAAGAACCAAGATGACAAGCATGACCTTGTCATCCTGAATGTGAACTCGATGAGAGCAAGCGGCTCTCTCCGTGCTTTGGTAGATTCTGGCGCGTCGAAGAACTTTGTTCGACTGCGAAGCCTTTCAAGGCTTGACTTCGAGGATTTAAAGATACCTCGAAGTATGTTGGAAGTACGACTGGCAACGGGTGCCATCGTAAAGACCGAGAAGCCCATGGTACGCGTGCGCTTCACGTATGAAGATCAAGAGTTTGTCGAGACCTTTATCGTCCTGGATCTGGACGATAAGTTTGACATGTATTGGGCATGCCGTGGCTTGCACGGCATGATTCGGTCATCGATTGGGAGAAGCGCACTCTCGTGCGCTTCGGTCGCGACAGCGGAACAGTGAGCGATGGCTCTGTTGCCGCTACGCACGCACCGACAGGTGCGCGCGACTCCCCACTCGAGACAGCGCCTAATGCCGCTGTCCCGGAACGCCCTGGGCGCGCGCGAGCACGCGCGCAAGAGCAGCAAGCGTCGGCGTCGCCGCCGACGGCTGAAGGAGAAAATGTGTTGATCTCGGAGATCGACACCCGCTTTTCAGCGAATCAGGAAGAGTCTCCGACCTCAAGGGGCACGGATGACGCAGACGAGTCACACGCCTCAGCCGTGGAGGCTGACGCGAATCTGAGTGGATCAGGTCTGGCCAATAATAAGAGCCAAGGTGACGTAACGCCGTCGACTTCGGGAGTCGATGGCTTGGGTGACTATAATTCGTCGACTCCGGGAGTCGACGCACCCTTTGTAACGAAGGGCTCCGCCAATAACAGGCGTCGAGGTGAAGATGGCGTGTCGGCTCTGGGAGCCGACGCTGCAGGCGGTGCGGACGGTTGCAAACGTTCCGCACCGGAAAAACCTTCATGCTGTCGTGCAGCCGGTCTGCACGACGAAGCGCCGGGCGACCAAGCCGGGCTTGAAGTCGCTCTCCCACGGGATGAACCCGCCGGCGGTACTGAAGAAGAACACCCGTCCACGGCTGGGCCTGGACGAGGTCAAGAGTCATGTGGAGCCGGGCTCCGCAGGACAAGAAGACGGCGCATGCGAAGGTCGCTGTGCAAGTCTCGGCCCGGGGCCGAGGCGCTACAAGCAATGTCTGCCGGGCAGACGGAGGCTGAGAAGCCGGACGTCGAGACGTTGAACGTCTTGACACGTACCTGTGCCGGGTTCCGGTACAGGGAGATGACTCTCGCTAATCCTCCGACGAAAGCGTCGGAGTTGACTTCACTTCCAGTCATGAGCTGGAAGCGCTTCGCGCGTGACTTGCACGATATACGCATCGAGCAAATATGCATTCTCTCGGACGCCGAGAGAACGAAGAGCGAGAATGAAGAACTGAGGCAGTTCTTCATGGAGACAACCACTGAGAGCGAGGAAACTCTCAGTGCGAAGACTAAGAAGGAGCGCTTTGAGGAGCAGAGCTGGGACTTGCTGAAGACGAGTCCCTTCTACAAGATTCTACGAGAGCACGCGGACGTGCTTCCGGAAGAGATCCCTGCGGAGCTTCATCAGGACAAGGGCATCCAGCACGAGATTGATCTCGTGCCGGGGACGAAGTACTGTGTCACGCGGCAGTGGCCACTGCCACGAGAGCAGGTCAAGGCGATCGACGACTTCTTTGAGAGTCGTCGCAAAGCTGGACAGGTGCGGGAATCGAAATCCCCGCACAGTGCTCCGATGTTCTGTGTCAAGAAGCCACAGGGCGGCTGGCGCATCGTTCATGCGTACAACAAGCTGAACGATGCGACGATACCGGCGCAGACACCGATACCGCGAAAAGATGTCATCATCGATTCGATGGCCAGGAGCACTATCTACAGTGCTCTTGATCTGTGCGATGGGTTCTATCAGATCCTCATGCGTGAGAACGATATCCCTCTTACGGCTGTGAGCACGCCAGGCGGCATGCTCTGGGAGTGGCTAGTGATGCCGCAGGTCTGAAGAACGCCCTGCGACCTTCAACAGGTGCGTGACGCACTTGTTGCGCTCGGTGCGCGGCTTCGCACCGAGCTACTTCGACGATGTGTTCGTCCACAGCCGGGCTGCGGACGGAATGAACGATGTTGAGATGCACAAGGTACATCTCCGGAAGATGCTTGCGCTCATGCGCAAGCACAAGCTCTATGCGAACCTGAAAAAGTGCATCTTCGGGGCGAGCGAGATACCCGTGCTCGGGTGTCTCGTTGGGAAGAACGGTGTCCGCCCTGACCCTGAGAATGAGTGGCCGACGCCGTCGAACGTCAAGGAACTGCGGCAGTTCCTTGGCTTGGCCACGTACTTGTGCAAGTATGTGAAGGACTACGCGGGCATGATACGGCCGCTGTCACAGCTCCTGAAGAAGGACGCCGAGTGGATTTGGACTGCTGAGTGTCAGCAGGCCTTCGATGCAGTCAAGCGGGGCTTGACTGAGGCGCCGATCTTGGCGGTGGCCGACCAAGATCGCCCATTCCACGTTGTGTGTGACGCATCCGACTTCGCAATCGGATGTGCGATGATGCAGCACGATCACGAGGGTCGTGATCGTGTGGTCTACTACCAACAGCGTCAGCTGAAGCCAGCTGAGCGCAACTACCTGGTGTATGACAAGGAACTCCTTGCCATGAAGTACGCACTCGCGAAGTTCCGAGTGTGTCTACTCGGAAGCAAACCGTTCGTGATCTATACGGATCACGCGTCGCTGCGGACGGCAGTGAAGTCGCCGCACATCTCGCAACGGATGGCGAGATGGCTCTCATTCTTCGCAGAGTATAACTTCCGGGTTGAGTACAAACCCGGAAGACGCAATGTAGTGGTCGACGCAAGAGCGCGTCGACTTGACTACGCCACGACTGATGCCGACGTCAATGCCATTGACGCCATGCGATCGAGCACCCCGACGTCGTCACTGTTGGACGACGTGAAGGTCGCGTACGCGCACGACGCGGACGCGAAGCTCTTGCTGGCCTATGGCTCAGCGCCTTCTGACCAAGGTCGTCAGAAGCTGCCGAAGCATCTTCGTGCTCGTGCACACCGTTACCAGGTGCACGACGGGTTATTACTCTACAGTGCAGTCGACGACAACGCGGACCGCGTTGTCGTGCCCAATGATCATGACCTGCGACTCAGGATCATGTATGAGTATCACGATGCACCGACTGCGGGGCATCCGGGCCGTGAGAAGACATACCTTCTTCTCACGCGAGACTTCTACTGGGCCCACCAGTATAAATGGGTGCGCAAGTACGTCCGTGCTTGCGAGGTTTGTCAACGTGTGAAGCCTGCGCCTTTCGCGCAGGCTCCCTTGCAGTCACTACCGACTCCGTCGGTGTTCGCAGTGCATGTCTTTGGACTTCGTGTTCGGTCTTCCCCCGGACAGCCAGGGGAACACGGGCATTGTGGTATTTGTTGACCGCTTCAGCAAGATGGTACATCATGCTGCGGTACCCGCTGAAGTGACTGCGAAGCAGACGGCGCGTCTGTTCGTTGACATGGTGTTCAAACACCATGGCATGCCGATCGACATTGTGTCGGATCGAGACCCGCGCTTCACGGCACACCTTTGGCAAGAAGTGTTTACACTTCTTGGGAGTCAACTTTCGATGTCGACTGCGGACCATCCGCAGACGGACGGGCAGACCGAGCGCGTGAACCGCGTGCTCGTAGACGTGCTTAAGAGCTACGCTCACTCGATCCAACACTGGAGCGAGTGTCTGCCGATGGCAGAGTTCGCCATCAACAACTCGGTGCATGCCTCGACCGGGCATACACCGTTCTACGTGAATGCCATCAGTCACCCACGCCTCTACTCGGGATGGTGGCTCCTTCCTTAAGTGGGGGAGGATCTACGACTGCAACGCAGCAGCCGCGGAATGCCGCTGACGCTTGCACAGTGTCAGGCGCGACCACGCGCAAGAAGAAGAAGAAGAACGCAGAGGCCGGGCCTACTGCTGGAAACGAGCTGAACGAGTTCAGCTCGGACGCAATCAACTTCGTGCAGCGCAGACAAGCCGTCATTCGGTTTGTCCAAGACACTATTGCAGCTTCTGCTGATCGACAGAAGCTGAACGCAGACAACGTTGGCAGGGGCAACACAAATGAATTCAAGAAGGGTTCATTAGTCTTGTTAGCTACTCAAAACTTGCCTAAACATGCCGTTTCCGACTTCGGGGCAAGCAAGCTTGCTCTGCGCTTGATCGGGCCGTTCACTGTGCTGGCACGGCACGGCAACGCCTACACACTGGACATACCGTTTAGTATGCGCCTCCATCCGACGTTCTACGTCGGACGGCTGAAGCCATACGTGCAGCACGAGCTACCTAGCTCGGCTGAACCGAAGCAGAAGACTCGGCGGAAGCCGTCATCCTCATCAGCGCGAAGTCGCGCTGGAGCAGCGGGTCGGGCTAATGGTCCAGCTCGGCAGGAACGATCGAGGCGGTCTGGGAGGCCGCCGCAACCTGAGGAATCTTCAGAGCGCCGAACCCAGCGCTATGGAACTACTCCACGACCGGAACTCGGTCGTGGGGAGACGCAAGATCAGGGTCAACACCAAGTTGACCACACACGGGGCGTGTTTCCACCACCGCCGCCGCCAATTCGTGACGCACACGGCTCAACTCGATGGATAGTTGAGCGAATTGTTCGTCACAGTATCCCGATAATGAACAGGCAACCGGTTCGTTTTCGTATCCGTTGGAGAGGATTCCCTCCCAACCAAGATACATGGGAGCCACGGAACGTCTTGCTCCAAGACGTTCCAGACCTGGTGAGGGCATACGAAGCCCACCATACGCTACATACTGGAACGTAATGCGAGCGCTGCGGTTAACAGCAGCGCCCGAAGACACTTCGAGGGCAGATATAGGTGCCTGCCCCCGCGGCAGCGACGCGCTTCGTACGTTGCCGCGCATGCTACTCAGCAGCAGAGAGGTTCTCCGCTGCTGCGCCAGCGGTCTTCAACTTCGACGCGCTCGTTACGGAATGAGCACGCTCTCTTCAAGCGTCACGCATTGACCAAACGAGTCTTTATCTTGTTTAAAGTATACTCGTGGATCTCGAGTATACTTAACTCAAGTAAAAGAAACCTACGCTTCCTCATACACGTGCGCATACGTGTAAGCCGTAGTAGTGAGCCAAGGTAGACCCACTACACACCAAGAACCCAGAAGAGGTCAAGGACAACAAGAGAGCGCGGAGGCCAAGACCAAAACCACGGAAAGCCCAGACGCCAAGAACAACAGAACGCAGAACCAGTGGCAAGACGCAACGAAAGAAGTGCAGCCCACCAAAACTCCTCAGGCGGAAAGTCCGCTTGGAGGCGGGAATGTCACGAGAACACCATGCAACGCAAACACACCAGGCGAGGAGTTCGCTTGGGGGAGGGACTGTCGCGAGATCAAGGTAATCAACGGCAATTACACACCAGCAGCAAGAGAGCACTAATGATGCTGGACTGTATCTCGCGAAACCCTAGATCCACAATTTAAATATTGTGACACTTGCTGTGCTTTTGGAGCTCGAGGACGCCCGTCACGAACGCGGCTGACATAGCAAAAGTCAGCGACAAACCCGCGAGCAAATGGTACTCCAAGTGTCGCGAGATCTGCACGATGGAGATGACGCCTTGTCCCATGCAAGTGGGAGGAGAAGGGCACGTCGTGGAAATCGACGAGACTTCACTGAAAAAGAAGTCGAAGTACAACCGGGGCAAGCACTACCCCGACGTGTGGTTGTTCGGTGGGGTCGATAAGACCACCAACAAGCGGTTCGGGATCCTGACCTACAGCAACCGAACGAAACCTGTGCTGACGACGATCATCAAGCAGTACATCAAGCCGGGGTACGTGCAGTGGGTGGCTCGACATGCAATCATCTACTAATTGTTTGTGCACATGTATGCCATAGAACCACGATCATGTCCGACCAGTACGCGTCGTACGTCTCGGTGAACCAGAAGCACACGCTTGCCAACTACAAGCCGCTGCGTGAGATGCACTACAAACACGAGTGGGTCAACCACTCGAAGAACTACGTACCGGCGCCCACACGAACCGAATTGAGGGCACGTGGGAGATCCGGATCAAGCAGCACATCAAGCGCATGCGCCGCATGTCGGTGAACATGATTCCGGAGTACCTCGATGAGTACCTGTGGCGCTCGTGGTTCCTGCCGGAGAAGGCGACGCCGACCGACTCGCGGCGAGGTCTCATCAAGGCCATCAGGAAGTACGCGTGAGAGAAGTTCGCTTGATGTGATTTGCTTGAAGTGACAGACGCTTCGAAATACTCGTAATACATTTGTACCGTTCCATTTCAATCCTAGATTTGTTCATTCTAATTTTCAATTCAAAGCGCTAAATTGATAGAATCTGAAGCTTACAAATAAGGGGGTTTTATACGGGAGAGCCGCGGCGCCATTTGATTCAAATCAAACTGATCAATGGCCGTTTTCATCCGTTTGAAATGGCCTACAACTTAAGTAAGGGTTTTCTAACCATTATAAATTGGCGTAAGTTAAAGTTGATGGGGCCTCCTGAATATGATATGGATGAATATCGTTAAAGTGCCGACCAATGCCAGGTCGTGTTGGCAGGTGTAGGCGGCTGTCGGCACCGTCACGCTATGGAGACACTTAGGATGCTGGTGGGTACCGAATTTGTTTTGTAGAGGGATACACCAACCTATGGGATACAGGATAGTATTAGCCAATCACAATTGTGTCTTCAGATGGACAGGGCTTGACTTGTTGAGGGATACACCAGTTTCAAGCCAGTAATTTTTGCACTCTCGGCCGCTCAGCGCGCGATCATTTCTGCAACGGCGCGGGCGCCACCAAGTCACCCTCGCCTGTCTGGAGGTCACGGCAGGTGGAAAACGACGCGGGCCCTACCATTTTACACTGCTGCAATGAAGAAGGCTATGGTCGAGCACCTGAGACTACACTGCAATGTTTGTTTCGCTGAAGATACGTTCTTTCCGGGTCTACCTACAGAAAAGTATCAAGGGGGAAGAGTGGTGGTGGGGGTGCTTCTGTCGGCGGCAGGAACAAACGCAAAGCTTGCTCTACTGAACTTCGATCTCAAGTTGGGGTGGTGGCGGCGAACAAGCTAATAAGTTGGGCTGTGTCGGCAGCCGCATTGGTGAGATTCGGCCTTGAGAGACTTGAGGTAGAGTGCTCAGTTTAGTAATTTGATAAATACATCTGGGCGTCTGGTGCCGATTCGTTTTTTGAGCAAAATCGGGCGTCTGGTATTTTAGCTCCGGTAGGGTGTATCCCTCTACAAAACAAATTCGGTAACTGCCGGCTTGTTCATTGTTATCGGTCTGAAGGGGACCGCCCCAAGGACGCCGCGGCACTGTTAGTTGTGGCACAGATGGTGCTAAATCTCTTGTTCAGCAAGTTCTAGTCCTCTGTAAGTCGGTCTTCGTGTGTCTAGTCCAACAAAGGGATGGTGTCGGATTGCTTGGACGTACAAGTACTCGAATGAGTGTTCGGTTGTCCGAAAAAAACGTCAATTAATAGCATGCGCGCTATCTGGGGAAGTCTTCGTCAGGCACAGGAATTCCGCCGCCGCAAAAACACGAATCTAGCAATACAAAAGCGTATTTAACTAAAAAGCGTATCTGAACATTATATCAGTTTGAAACGATTTTCTGATTGCTTGACGCCGCTCCCCAACACCGATCCATTTGTAAGAAGTAACTTGGCAGGCCGGGTATATTGCTTTTGTCAATTGATATGTGGCTATTTATGTGGTTTCTTACCCTTGGTGCGGAAAATTCTTAAATAAATTACTCGGGTCACCACCGATATTTACTTGAGATAAAGCCGCAACCCAGAAAACTTGCCCAATAGGCCAAACGACCACCAAAAGCAATTGTGAACGAACCGGTCTTCTTTCTCTAAGTGATGAGACAGTTAGTTCATTCAGGAACATGATACTCGACCCCTCAGGTTACTTCCTACGAATGGGGAGCGGCTCGAGCACTTTGCCGCATTTTTTCGCCAAGAGCATCTACAGCACAGCTGTTGTGCTGGCATCTAAACACCCATGCGCATTAGATGCAGGCAATATATTCGTTTCATCCACCTTTTTCAAAATATGGAAGAGGTTTCTCGCACATTCCTCCATTCAGAGACAGCCATCGGCTCCAGGAGTCACTCTTCACAAGACAGCGTACCGCATATCAGGCACACCGGCAATGTTGCCAACAATGTTGCATGATGTCAATGCTATCAAACATGCCTTTGAAATTCAGGTCTGGGCAAAATTATGAATCGGACTGGATAAGCCTGCCTTTTCTACGTGCCTTCCAAACCAACAATTTGTCCGAAACCTGAATCGAGCTTGAATGGGGTGTGCAAGTCGAACACGGCCTTAGCCGTAATTCGCAGTTCGAAGAACTGTCGATTGGGCAAGGTTTTTGGATGACATCGAACGACATTCACGCTAAATTCGTCACTTCACCCCCGTGCGGATGACATCAAACAACATTCACACAACATTATACAGCACTCAATAGAATCTGAATTACACATACAGCTTTTGATAGATGCCTATTCGCCTCGGAGCTTTTCCTTCTAGATTGATGCCAGAGGAGTGGAGCTCCAGCACAAACATTTATTGTTTGAAAGAATGCAATTCTTGCTATTGCACAGATAACGTTATGTACATGTACGTTGTTCGTCGTAGTAATGGCGTCTGTGACAATTAGAAGCCTCGATGCTGACCTTGAGCACAACTGGTGTCATTACCACATCACATCACTGCATCGTATTAAACTGCATGCGGCTCCACAGCACTCAACATAGTACTCACTCATTTCATTAGTGTTAAAGCTATGGATTCAATCTATTCAGTCCTGGGTCATAACTTATACCCTCCTCTTTCAGACATAGATTTTCTTCTGCATGCATAGAGATTTATTGAAAATCTTTTGGTCACCTGAGTTTGCCGTGACTTAAATTGTCGGCAGGCTGATATTGTGTGAATTCCCACACTCATTGGAATGTGTCTGGATGGATTAGATAAAACATTCCACTACAACTTCGCATAAACTACTTAACGTTTTTAAGTTTATGCGATCCAAGATGGGCAGTATAGCTTGATTTTTTTTCATTCAACATATTTTTATCCAAAGCCAAATCTATCCGCCGGCAATGCGGTGACGTCCTATACGGTGGCGAACGAATTCATTCAGCGGAAACTCAAAAGAGCTGCACCTGGTGTTATGTATTCTCCGGAGAAAAGGCTAAAAGCTACAGCAAAAAGAATGACGACCGTGTATGAAATCGGGAGAAGTATAGTTCAAATCAACCGAGATATGAATGGCTCGTGTGGGGCTATTAAAAATCTACACTCGCTTAGGCATTTTATCTACGACGACTTTGGATGATTAAGCTTGCCTTAACTACATTGCGACCCGCAGAGATCCACCGAGCCCATTTACTACTGTAGAATAATCTGATATTAGTTCAGATCATCATAATGCTACATGAATGCGGCACGTTCAGTATAATACTTGATAAATGGCAATAACACACTTGGACGAATCGAAGCTGGGAGTTTTTGTTGTTGTTAGATATTCAGGCGATCCGGACAAAGTCTGTGTGCGGCTGCGCCATGTTTTATCAAACAGAGTTTGAATACTCCTACTTTTCTGTACGCCCCGGATTCCTGTAAGAGAGGAAGCCCGGGCGGACATCGTCAACGCGAAGGACAAACACCCGGTGTATCCAACTCCTACACGCGATCGAGATCTGCTAGACCGCAGTCTTAACTTATCAAACTTGAAGCAAATTGCTGGCTTCATGACATCTGCGAATCTGCCACCCTACGAAGGGCTAACGCCAGCTCCAACTCGACGAGTTTGGACAGCGGAGGCAGCTCGTCGAACGGAAGTGTTAGTTTTTACTAGCCGAGATGTTTTTAGCTAGAACACTTCCTTTTACGAAAGTTTGTCGTACGAACAATAATAACGGCAACTCCGGTTGAAATGTACTCATAATTGCTGTCGACTTCCGAGGGAGAGTATGGGGTAGAGCTTGATTAATTGGCTAGAAGGTTACGCGAAACGCTAGTTGACTGTCATTTAGCAAAAGCCAGTGTCACCCTGATGGCCCCAATGCTGGTGAAGGTTTTTGCAGTGTTTTTGCTGATGTTCCTCTGCGTCCAGGGCATGACGTTGACTCTGCTCGGCAAGCCCAGCGATACTCCACGTACGATCAACATCGACGCGGTGACGCAGAAGTGCTACAATATCTACAACTGCTTCAAAGGGCCCAACATATCGGCGACGTGGCAGGGGGTCAAGCGCAACACCAACGTCGTCTTCTACAACAATCCGAGCTGCCAGACGCGCCATGCAGTGGGATCCGGGACTCCTGACGGCGTGCTCTACTTCTCCGATGCCAAGTTCGACAAAACAGTGAAGGCCTTCATGATCTGGGAAACCGGAACTTATGCCACGAACGGGGTCTTGGACGCGTGCTATCTCGACGAGAGCGCAACGGTCAACTCGACAGCCGAATCATTCGCTGTATGATGCAGCAAAAGCCACTCTCACCGACAACAGTTCATCTTCAACTATCGGACACTGAATTCCGTTTCATGTTCCCCATTCATAAAAAAACTACTTTTTTTAAAGAATAACACCAGTACCTGGAACACCTCATCTCGTATACGAAGTATCCAGTTCTGCTTCATCGAATACAGATAAGAGCGTGTTCAGTGAACGGCCAGTAACCGCTGTCCTGCAGCAACCTATCCAGTATAACATATCACAGGAGTACTGTTTTAAGGCAATTATGGTTTGTTTACTGTCGTTTATGGTATCTTCATGGGCCACCATAACGATTCCATGCATATTTTCGGATTGTTCATGTGTTTATACACGGGTTACCCTGCAAATTCGGTTGGGCAGTTAGCCTGGAAGCGCTAAATATTTGAATGCACGTATTTTTTCTGTTTTTTTCGCCGCCATGCAATCTAAGAAATATCGGATTCTGCCTGGGCATCAGCGCACGTTTTAACGGCAGGAAGGAATAAAATTACGTTGATTAGCTAGTTGTTGATAACCGTTCTACTAACTACAAAAGAACTAAAGTTAAAACTAAATCCGTGGAGTCCTAATCCAACGAGCAGGAGAAGGTAGAATCACTACGTTGGGTTTGTCAAACCCAAAAGTTGAAGTACCAATTCGTTGGAGAGAACCGGCAATGCCTTTGAAAAGAAGCAATCAAACTTGGTACACTTGGTTGTACAGTAGTAGATGCAGATGCTGCAGCTGCGAAGCAGGCGCAGGAGATGCCCGAGTACATCGTTTCCCTGTAAGGGCATCCGTACAAGCTAGCTTCGGACTGCGAGACCCTCCGGGTCCACCACCCGGGTCCCCATAATTTTTTAATCGAGGATTTCTAGGAGGGGTATTTGATCGGCGTTACGTAAGGCTTTGCTAGTGTTCCACCCTCTAATAGTGCCCCCCCCCCCTTGCGTGGGTGGGGTACTAACTTAGAGGCACAATTAGAGGTTTTACAGTATATTACTGGGATAGGAAGCAGCGTTAGTGCTGCTATCGCAGACCAAATAGGATTATATCCGTCGTACGTCAAGTCAAACGATGACCCCTCTTGACATCTGACTGGTATATTTTATTGAAACCGGTATGGCCCCAGTGATGCACTGGGCCCTCCAAAAGGTTTATATGCGTGGGCAAGTCGAACCGGTAAAATATTTATTACACCGGTATAAATCCGGTGCCGCACTGGGGCCTTCAAAAGGTGGGCAGGTCCATCTGGTGTGCAACCGACGACACTGGTATGATTCACAGTCAGTACGTATATTCGAGCAGTGAACGAATTGAAGTAAAGAGAACGATTGAGGCGGACTGTAGTAGCACTAGAAATAAGCATTTGCATTTTCAAGTATAAAACTTCTACAAGCTGCAAACAGATCTTAGCCAAGGTTCGCATTCGTTGTAAAGCGTTGCCAGTTGATATCTGGCATCTACAGTCTTAAGGACAATTTTCGGGCAGATGCTGCGGCTGCGAAGCAGGCGCAGGAGATGAGCTCATAAGAAAAGACATCAATAAAACTAAAGAGGGGGTTTATACCAAAATCCTCCTATCCCAGCCTTCGCGGAGCCCTAGTAAACGGCTCCGTACTGTGTCGAAAACGAGGTGCACAATTGTACATATCATACTACTGTAAAAACTGTAATTATGTCCCCTCCCTCTACTTTTATCTGAAAAAATGAATTTGATTCTGAGTTTTTCCTCATAAATTCCAAATGTTTCATATCAGAATCGTAAGGTTTGTATGTCGACTTACCAATGTCAGTGATTACTGTCAAATTCATTCTGTAAATAGAGTTTTTAACGCTAGTTGCTTTTGGTGCCCCACTCCCCGTAATAGTGCCCCCCTTGTAATAATGCCCCAGGTTGGCAGGGGGCTACCCCACGGGGCATAATTACAGTTTTTAAGTATCTTTGTTGCGGTTTAGTCGGTTATCTACACCCGATACTGAGCGCTGTTGCAGCTTCGCCTAGGCCCCAGACAATCCAGTACCCGCCGTAGTAGCCCAACTGTACATTTCATACTACAGTATGCACACACACACACACCAGCAGCAGCATGCTGGTGTATCTTGAGCATCAAGATTATTGCTTGTCATCTCAGCATGCGTTATTTATAGGATCGTATTTTAGGCTTTGCCAGCATAGTAATTCCTCGACAGATCCACAACTTACGCATTTGACTGAGTTCTCACCCGAACGTATCCACCTGGCAAAGCTTAAAGTATATCGCAGCCTTTGATGGGGGACAAACCCATCGCAAAACACGCATATTTGACAACACAGTGTTATAAATCACACCGTGTGATTGTAAAAGCACAAAACCTTGAATAACTGATGTTTTTGTGTACATGAAGCACACATTTTCCTAACTGGAATGTTTATTCCTTTCAGAATTGAAAATACCCCATTAGAGAGGTTTCGCAAGTTAAACTTGTGGAAGTTAGAGCCGTTCGAAAGATTTGACAGAGAGCGGCCATAGATTTATTCGGCCAAGTTCTAGAACGAGCTTTCGCAACTTAGACTTGTACGTCTGTAGCATTTTCAAAGATGAGCTCTACTTACGTACAAGACCTTCTCGTGATCGGCATGCTCTCAGAGGAAGAAGCGGTTTGTCTCCTCTCTGCTCGAATGTCGTCCACAAGCAACGTCCCCCGGTCCATTTCCTACGGCGAACGCTTTAACATCAACGCGCTCAACGACTACGAAACACGGTTCTACTTTCGCTTCTGGAGGCGAGACCTATTTCGACTCTTTGAAGCGCTCCGCCTAGACAGCAGCTATAAACTCCCAAATCGAGCTGTCTTCTCCGGTTTCGAGGGCCTCTGCATTCTCTTGCGCCGCATGGCATACCCGGGACGTTATGGAGACTTAAGCCGCTTTTTCGGGCGGTCCGCCCCTATTGTCTGCATGATATTTAACTTCATGCTGGGGTTGGTGTACGACAAGTACAAATGCCTACTCACCATTGAATGTGGGCTACTTACATCGTCGCGATTGGAGGAGTACGCTGCTGCTGTGGCACAACGTGGAGCACCGGAGCCGAGATGCATTGGTTTTATCGATGGCACTGTGCGTGCTATTGCACGCCCAACGCGCAACCAAAAACAAGTTTACAACGGACACAAGAGGAAACACGCGCTAAAATATCAAGGAGTAATGACACCGGACGGACTATTCATCGACATTTACGGTCCTACGGTTGGACGTCGTCACGACTCTTGGCTTTTAAGGCAGAGTGGACTGCTGGAGCGCCTTCCGCGTGTCTTACATCACGACGGGAAACTTCCGTATTGCATCTATGGGGATCCTGCCTACCCACTCAAACCAACGCTGCACGTCGGTTTCAAGGGCTCCAATCTGAGTGATACGCAAAAGGCATTCAATGCGGCTATGAGTAAAGTTCGCGTGGCAGTGGAGTGGGGGTTCGGAGGGATCATTCGCTTATGGCCGTTCCTTGATCTGAGACTGAGTCAAAGACTATATCTATCACCTGTGGGGAAACACTACTTGGTCGGTGTACTCCTGACAAACTTCCGCAACTGTTCCAACCCCAACCAGATCAGCAAAATCTTTTCCATTAAGCCGCCAAGCCTCGAGGAGTATCTTAGTCTAGCTACTACGAACTAGTCTTGCTGACGACAGCCTTTAACATTTCAATAAACGCAAGTCGCTCGTCTCGCTCAAGTTCCATTCGCAGCTCTTGCAGTTCCAGGCGTCGCTCCTCCAACGCAAGCCGCTTCTCCTCGTTGGCGACCTTCCTCCCTTCCACTGCTTGAGCGACTTGGTCGCGGCGTTCGAGATAAGCAACCAGTTGCTGCTGCTGCGATCAACCTCTTCCTCCTCCTCGGCTCATCCCTTGTAAGGCTGCGTCGCGCATAGCGCTAGCTTGCTCGTCCTCCTGCTGCTGGTGGTCCTTCGGCTGCTTCTTGTCGTTCTTCAGCAGCGCCTCTATCTCGCGCATCTCCAGCAGCTCCGCCAGACATTCGTCCTTCGGCGTGTACTCTTCACACGGCCCGCTTCGTTTCTCACTCGCCTTCTGCTTTGCCTCATACGCATCTACGAGCTGGTTGCAGCGCTCGCGGCAACGGCGACCGTCGACGTCCACTTCCAAAGCTGCAGCTACATCAGCCCAAGCCTGGGTCTTCTTCCCGTAGTCTTCCCCATACGGATTTCTCGCTTGAGCTTCCTGGATCAGTTGGAAGTCAAGCTCATCCGTAAAGCGGACCATCGTTTTACGACGCTTCGTCGGTGGGGCCTCCTCCACAGGGTTGTTGTGCGTTTGGCTTGGCTTCTCCACAGTAAAGATTGCTGGGAGATTGTAAAATGCTTACCCGTATCTCCTCAAGTACCAACGTGTACAGGGCGTTCCAGACGTTCTAGACGAGTCGAGAACAACTTGTAGACACACGTCTCTATAGAGGGGTAGGGAATGTATTGTCGCTAACTCCCACAAGTTGCTTTGCGAAACCTCTCTATTCCATGACGTACAACGGGGAAGCTTTAGCAATCCGCTCACATCTCAATTCCCGTCGAACCCCGAAGACCAACTTTCATCCTGTCATGCGTGCGTACTACGTTCTCCTCGCCGCTGCGGTTGCTCTCCTCGCTAGCTCCGACGCTGTTTCGGCCACAACAGTGCCCAAGGCCAACAGTATCCGAACCTCCAGCTCTAACAATCGACTCTGAGAATCCGAGGCGACGAAGATGGCGACGCCCTCACTGAAGATTCCGAGGACGAGGAGAGGGGCACGGGTGAAGTGTCCGAGAAGGCAGCAAGTACCGTCACCAAGTTGACGAAGGGTACTTCTGGCTTGAACAAAGCCGACGACGATCTGGCGGCTCTGGCTGCCCAGAATGCGGAGACCTTTAAGAAGGTGATGGGGTATGCGCCTCGGTCGAACCCGAAGCTCAAGTGGGACGTGATCGATGCCGACAACCTCGCGCTGTTCCAGAACATCAAGAACTGGGGTGGACGCCTGGCAAAATGGCCTCCAAATTGTCCATTTCGACGAAAGAGTCGTTAATGACAGCCAAGCAGCTGGCGCGCGACCCGGACTACCTGCTTTGGCTCCAATACGCTGCTTGGTGGGACGATGTCGCCGAAATGGCTCGCAAGGCTGCTTGAGTCCACAGACTCACTTAAGTCTTAAGTATGTGGGTACATGTAGCCATCTCACTCAATCTGATGTGGACCACTTTTGCTAGTCAAACATTGCGATCTTCCATCAAAGGTCATTTGTGTCATTCTGCTTGTGTCAATGCCTCCTCTGAGGGCATATCTCGCCCTCTTCCTCTTGTTATGCAGCTCTTACCACCCAACCGAAGCCGGCACAGTGCTGCAGGTGACTCCTGAGAACGAGGCCGCGCTCACGTTGGCCGCGCAGCTCTACCACGAGGCGCAGGACGCGTCCGAGCTCCAGGACAAGGAGAGGCTCTTCCGAGAGAGCATCGACGCGTATCCAGAGCTCGCGCCGGCGTACAACAACTTGGCCATGCTGGTGCTTGAGCGCCAGGGCAGAGACGAGACGATGCAGCTCCTGCAACGAGGACTGCAAGCTGCCGAGGCCACGAACGACCTCGAGACCGTGGCCAACATCCGCAATAACCTCGGGTTCGTGACCCGTGAGGGCGGCAAATGGAGCGTCGCGCACTCGTTAGAAGCTCTTCGCCACTTTGAGGCTGCTCTGGGGATCAACCCGGACTTTGTGGGGGCGCTGTACAACAAAGCGTCGGTGTATTTGGCTCTGCGTCGGGATATGGAGTCCAAGGAGCTGCTGCTGAGGGTTCTGGAGCTTGAACACGACAACCGGCAGGCGCATCTGGATCTCGGAAGGATTTACTTTGAGCATGGGGACCTGGAGAAGGCGCTGCAGCATGAGGAGCGAGTGATTGAGCTGTCGACCACCACCAAGCAGAAGCTCGAGGGGATGCACAACAAGGGCGTCTTCTTGAAGGAGTGCGGCTTCCTCGCTCGGGCGTTGACAGTGTACGACGAAATGCTGGCGATCACATCGGTGGAGTCTTATGTATTGGTGGATATGATGAACGCTAAGCGGTTGTTCTGTGACTGGAAGGGCATGGAGAAGTTAGAGAACCAGGTCGTGACTGCCGCCCGGAAACAATTCGACTTGGAAATGCCGGAAGAACCGGTAGAGTTGCTGCCGTACGACTCGACGCTGCTTAAACTGTCCGATAATTTCCGCAAGAGGTTGGCCACCAGAGCGTCAGAGAAGTACGAGCAGCCCAGTACACTTGAGCTGTTGCCGTCGCCATGGATGGAGAACGAACCGACTTGGGATCGCCCTTTGATGCCGGAACGCTTGAAGATTGGCTACCTCAGCTTCGATTTCCGCGATCACCCCATGGGGCACCTCACTCTGGGGTTCATTGAGCAGCACGCGGCGCTGGCTCAGGGTGTCGACACCATTTGTTACTCGTACGGCCCCAATTCAGAGGCCTCCGCGCCTTGGCGACGTCAGTTTGAAGAGAAGTGCGGCGTCTTCAGGGATCTCCTCGGAATGTCGGACCTTGAGGCCGCTCAGACCATAGGACGGGACGGGATCGACGTGCTGGTAGACCTCATGGCGCACACAAAGGGGGCGAGACTGGGGATCCCATCGCTCCGTCCGAGCAGGATCGCCGTCAACTATTTGGGATTCCCCGGGACTATGGGCTCGACCTTCACTGACTTCGTTATGGTCGACAAGATGGTGGTTCCTCCCGAAGTCGCTGCGAAGACCATGACGGAACAAGTCGTTTACCTGCCGCACACGTACCAAGCTAACCGGTATGAGGTTTCCATCGCGTCGTGTGGCGCTGATACCGAATGTCAGCGAGCGAACCGGTCCCAGCACGGCTTACCCTCTGACGCTGTGGTCTTCTGCAACTTTAACACCATCAACAAGATGGAGAGCGAGTCGTTCTCGGTCTGGATGAGTATCCTCAAGCAGGTGCCCAAGAGCGTTCTGTGGCTGCTGGCTCCATCCGGTGTAGACGCTTCTCGGGTCAAAGAGCTGCTTCATGATCAAGCCATGGCGCATGGGGTCCTCCCGTCCCGAGTCATCTTCGCTCCAAGAGTAGACAAGTTCTCGCATCTCGCTCGAGTCACAGTGGCCGACCTCTTCTTGGACTCGTTCATCTACAACGCGCACTCCACAGCTGCAGACGCGCTTTGGGCGAACGTCCCCATCGTCACCATCTGGGGGGACACGTTCCCGTCGCGCGTGGCTGCTTCACTCATCCAGAACGCAATCCCATTCCCGGAGCTCATTTCGCACAGCGTGAAAGACTACGAGCGTACTGCGGTTTACCTGGCCAAGACCCCGAAAGTTTTGCGCCATATCCGCAGCTTACTTGCATCCCACACGTTGACATCGCCGCTGTTTAACACCAAGCAGACGACGGAAGGCATTGAAGCTGCATATGAAGCCATGCACGACGTTGCCAACCGTTTGCATCCCTTAGGACGGGGCCCCAGATTCCAGTTGGTCGTCCATCCAGAGCACACTGCGGAGGCGTTCGGCAACGCAGAAAGCTTCCACGCTCGGGCCGACGAGGCATTGAAGCAGGGAATTTCACTCCAGGAGTCGGGGGATTATGCAGGCGCTCGACACGCGTACACACGCGTACTTGGAGCGAGTCCAGGAAACCCGGACGCAGTCCACTTGTTGGGCACAGTCTTCTACCAGACTGGGGAGCTTGAGCGCGCGGTGGAATACATCACGCGAGCGGTGGCTGCGAACCCGCACGTGTCGTGGTATCACTCCAACTTGGGCGTGGCCTACGCAGCAATGGAGAAGCTTGGTCTGGCTCTGACGGAGTTTCAACTGGCGCTGCAACTTGATCCCACCAACCGCGTGGCGATCTCGAAGCTCGGCGGGCTGTACACAACACAGGGAGCGCTTGATGAGGTCGTCGATCTCTACGCCGCGTACGGCGACGCTGCGTATTTTGCCGCTCGGCATTCAAGTGCAAGCCAAGAGGAGATCGAGAAGGCCTACCTGGACTACTCCGACGCGCTTGTCAAGACGGAACGATCCTTGGACGCTATTCAGCTTCTGGAATCAGCAGTCCAGCAACACCCAACGCTCTTCCAGCTCAGCTACAACTTGGGAGTCCTGTACAACGAGGCAGGGAGATACGACGAAGGCAACCAGCGTCAGTTCGCAACGGTGCTGGCTCAAGGTCGCTATCTGTACGAGACGAAGGGGAAGCAGGTCAAGAAGATCCCCCGTCCGGAGCACAAGGTGGTCATCGCCTTCTACTGCCACGAGTACGGGCAGGAGTGGTGGGAGCACTGGGGGCCGTCGTCGCTGGAGACAGGTCTGGGCGGGTCGGAAGAAGCGGTGGTCTTCCTCGCTCGCGAGCTGCAGAAGCTCGGGTACTGGGTCGAGGTCTACGGCGATCCCTCCCCGCAAGATATCTCCACTCTCGACCAGGCAGACGAAGACATCGTCCGATGGTATCCACACTACGCGTACGACGTGGACGATAGAGGAGTCGACATGTTTGTGGCTTGGAGGTACCACATCTCGCTGGCCATGGGCCAAGCCGCTTGGAAGAAGTTCCTGTGGATGCACGACCTCCCCCAAGAGGACGCGAAGCGGTCGTCCGAGCTGCTGAACTCCGTCGACGGGATCTTCTGCCTCAGCGACTTCCACGCCTCCATGTTCCCCGACAGCTTCCAGTCCAAGATCACCGTCAGCACCAACGCCGTCGATCCCTCGTTCTTCGTCCATGGGCCCAACCACGCCGATCGATTCGTCTACGGCAGTTCACCGTCGCGCGGACTGTACGCGGTGCTCCAGGCCTGGCCGCGTATCCGAGAGCTGATCCCCACAGCTGAACTCGCGGTCTTCTACGGCTTCAGACCGGCGTTCATGAAGTGGGGGCAGTCGCAGATGCCCAACTTCACCGAGTGGATGGTCGAGATGAACCGCCTCCTCACCGAGACTCCAGGCGTGCGCTACGTGGGGCTGGTCAACCACGCGCAACTGGCCAAGGAGTACTCGTACGCTGGCTTCTACCTGTACCCGACGACGTTCTCCGAGACGAGCTGCATCTCACTCATGAAGGCTATGGCGAACGGCGCCATCCCCATCACCAGTCGCTTCCCTGCCTCGGCGCTGCCTGAGACCGTCGACGAGTTCGATCTCGGTCCACGAGCCCTACAACAGAAAACAATCGGTACGTTTAGCCACCTGCAAACTGAAGAAACTCGCTCGCTAACTTATCCAACAGTTGACGATCCAGAGTGGCTGGAGCTCTGGATACAAAGCATCGTCGAGGCCGTGCGCGACGAGCAACAAGCGGCCACGGTGCGGCACCGGATGAAGCGGTTCGCGCGCAAGAAGTATCGCTGGGAACACATCGCACTGCAGTGGCATCGAGTGATATCCAGGCCACGGTTTCCGTGACGATCATAACATAAAATACAAGCAGGATCCGAGAAATTCGTCTTGGAATCTTGCGTATATTGGCTGCTAACACCCCTTCCGTACCTTACAGGTTTAGCTTTGTGCGGCACTTCTTGCAGTACCAGTCATCTGCGGGGACAGCATCGAGCTTGGCACATTTCTGTTGTGAAAAGCAGCAAACAAAACAACAAGTTAAGAGGAAGCCATACACTTCAAATTGCAGACGAGCACAGACGTACCAGATGGAACACGCGGTCGCAGCCCTTCGTGCCGTCCTCGGAGCCGCAGATCACGTGCGAGTCCAGCCGGATCTTGTTCTTCTTGCAGGCGCCACACGTCTGCAGGTTGCACTCGTTGCAGAACCACTCTGTGTCGGGGATCTCGGCCAGGCCGATGCAGTTGACATGAAAAGCGCGAGGGCATCCATCACAGCAGAGCAGCTCGCCTCCGAGGCCACACACGCTGCAGTCGACGTCCCACTGGTCTTCAGGGGCCTTCGGTCCTGTGTGCGTCTCTACATGAGCGTGCCGCACTGGAGACGACTTACTTGAAGCTGGGCGGGCGGAAGACGTGGTGGAAACTGCAGAATCGGACTCGGCGCCGCTGTCTTCCGACTCCGAGTCATCGGACTTGGCCTTGCCCAGCTTGGCCTGTTTGCGGGGCCGACGCCGTGACGTTGGCGAGTTCGAGCGTCTTGGCCGCTTCGACGCAGCCTTTCCGTTCTTCTTGGCGCCATTCACTGGGAACACAGGCTTGACCGTCGTATCACACTCGTGGCAGAAGATCTTCCCGCGAGGAATACGGCGCAGGCCGATGCATGAGTAATGGAAGACGTGCGGGCAGCCGTCGCAGCACAACAGCTCGCCGCCTTCGGTGCAAATGTAGCAGTCTTCCTCCCACTCGTCCACCGACTCGCGCGTCGGACCTTCGTCGTCCTCCGCGTCCTCAAACTGCTTCTTCTTCTTGACAGCGCGCTCCTTGCGAGACCGCTTCTCCTTCTCGCTCTTGGCGCGCGTCTTCATCGCATCTTCATCCGACGCATTCAAGAAGCCCAGCACCTCCAGGCGATGCACTAATGACGCTAACGCAGTTGCTATGACAGCGACCGTCTTGCCACGCTTGACATTTTGAATCCAACGCTCGCGGCAATACTTGGACGGCCACAGCATCGAGCCGTCGTCTACAGCCAGAACTTCTTCTTCCTCGTCGTCGTCCTCTTCGTCACTCCTGTCGTCGATCTTGTCGTGCTCTTCACTGGGGTTAGGAGCATCCTTATTCGCGTCAGTACCATCGGCTGAAGCAGCAGCAGCAGGCGCCGCAGCCGCAGACGCTCCCTTTGGCTTGGCCTGTGCCGCCATCACTTCATTCTCTAACGCCAACAATGGGGCAGCGAAACCTTCGATTGTCTCGATGTCTTCCAGAGATTTACGCCACGCAGCGCCGCCATTTTCAGGACGGTCAGGCCACGTGGAGCCGAGCGTGCGCAGGCACTTGGAGATCCAGTCTTGCGACTTCAGCAGGTCGTCGCGGAACGACTCCACGCTCGGCTCTGCATGCTGAACAGACTTGCGCTTGGGATGCTTGTCATTCTTCCACTGCAGGAACTCCGTAGCCTCGTCCGTTGACGAGCCTGATGTCCGTTGCGCGCGCTTCTTACTCTCCTCGTTCAGCAGGTCCGAAATCAGCAAGCCAGGCTTCGAAACAGGCATCTCCTCCGTGATTTCATCCATGTGATCGTTCAGGGCTGAGCGAAGGTGAGCCTCACGAGGCACACGCTCGTCGAGCGCCTCCACGAGCGAGTTCACCTCCGTCTGGGACGAGTAGCAGAACCACGTCGCGTTGCTGTCGTCGTCCTCAGGGATCAGCCCGTCCCTCGGAGACCCGCTCTTCGCCAAGGACTCGTACTTGCGCTTCACCTTATCGGAGGGACCAGGTCTCTCCACGTAAATTCGCTGTAGATCACCTCGAAGAATCCAATATCTAAGCTGGTCCCGGTCTCGCCCGATGGGCTCCGACCGAACGAAGTGCTGACGCAGCAGAGCGTTGAACTTGCGCTTCTTCACCAAACCTTCTTCGTCGCGAGCAGCTTCAGCATCCAGAATCTCCAGAACATGGGTTGCTGACACGATAATACGGTCCGGAAGACCACACTCCTTGCCCTTCTCAATCGCACTTCGAAGCAGGGTAGCGTCCTTGGACGTCAGTCCATCAGTAATGCCCTTCTTCGCTGCGGCTCGCTTCCGTTCGATCTGCTCCTGCATTTTCTGCTTGCGCATCTTTACCTCCGCCCTCTGTCGAAGCCTCTCGCGCTGCTTGTCCAGCTTCTTCCTTCGCGCGATGTACTCGTGGCGAGAAATGAACTCCTGCATCTGCAGCTTCTCCAGCTCCTCTTCGTTCTTGGACAGAGCCTCCTCGCTGTATGCGAGGTCATCCAAGTCCGAGTCACTAGCTGAGCCAGTGTCGCCATCGAAGTCGCTCTTAGTTTCCTCAATGCCATCAACCGAGCTACCTCCCTTCTTGTCGTTCCCCAGCCAAGACTTCATCGACGTCTTGTTCGAGTCCACGATGCTGGCCAGCTCCGCGCGCTGCTTCTCGCGAAGCTTCTTCTCGTCCTCAAGCGTAAGCTTCCGGTCGATGATGACAGTGCGATTGTACTCCTTGGTGCCTTGGATAGTTTCACTCAGGTGCCTGGCAAGCAGCCGACGAACCTTCTCCGTACCAGCGAAGCGGCCAACCAGGAATTTCAGCAACGCCAGCTTGTGCTGCACCTGTAGCGACGGGTAGTCAGTCTCTTGGAGCGCTCGGAACGCGGCTAAGAACGTCGATGTCGAGTGTGCTGTGTAGCGAGGCACAGCCGCAATCAAGCTGCACAAAACAGACGGCCACGTGAGAGAAGAGAGCATCGAGCGAGTTGGCACCCCAACGGTCAGCGGGGCGTGCTGAATCTCGTATCGGTATCGCTCGCTGTCGTCAATCGAGCCTCCCTCGTCATCCGAGACATAGTCCTCGTCCTCTCTGCATTATGTAAAAAAAAAAGATGTTAGCAAATGCGAAGAATAAAACACGATCGAAGTGCTCGCAGCTTCGTACCTGTCCTCCAGGATTTTCTCCAGCAAGCACATGTGGACCTCGGTCAGCATCGGCGAGTACTTGGGGTACGTTAGCGCGCGACTGAACTGATCAACTGTTACGTCCGCGAGCTCTAGAACGTCGCGGAACGCGTAGATGCAGTCCCACACCGCCAGCATCTTGCCCACATACTTGGCCGGGATGTCTGCAAAACTGCACGGCATCGGTCTGCAGACACACAAAACAACAATGTCAGTAACCCAGCAACAATAAAGCACCCAAAAAGGTTGCAACGCACGTCGGTTTGTCGGGGCGCGACGTGTCCTCCATGACTTCGGGCGGGATGTCGTCGATGCCGCGCTTCTTCTTGTTGAGCGCGTCCTCCTTCTTCCTCAGCGCCGCGTCCTCCTTCTCGAGCTTCTCCAGCCGCTCCTTGGCCGTGCGCACGGTCTGCGCGAGGTCTTCCGCGAGCCTGCCGAGCTTCTCCTCCTCCTTGTCTTTGTACTTGATCTTCTTGCGGCTCAGGATGCGGTCCTGCATCTCCAGCACGCGCTTGGCCTTGTGCTCGATGGCCTCCACCGACTTCTTGGCCAGCAGCTCCTCCTTCATCTGCTCGGCCTTGCGGCGCTTCGCGTTGCGCTCCAGTTTCTCCGTCTCGCGCATCACGCGCGCCTTCTCCTTCGACTCCTTCTTCAGGCGACGGCGGTCCAGGCACTCACTGGCAAAACAAACAAATCCCAACAGGTTAACTAACACCTACCTGAAACATGATAATAATACCCCATATTTGCCACGTACGTGCACATTTTGCAGTACCACTCGCTGTCCGGGATCATGTCTACCGACATGCCCAAGCTGCAACAACAACAAAAAATAATCCCTCGGTTAGCACTAGCCTAACCAGAAAGTACCCATTTTCTCTAACCTGCAAAAAATAAAAAAACACTTACCAGCTCATGTGGAACGCTCTGGGGCAGCGATCGCAGCACAGCAACTGGCCTCCATCCTTGCAGATGTTGCAGTACCAGCGGTTGTGGTCGGCCCAGCCGTCGTCCGCCGTCTCGCCGCTCTCGTTGCCGTCCTCCTCGCCCGAGTGCAGGGGCGTGTCGATGGCCACATCTCCCGTGGTGGCAACACTCTCGGCGTCCTCGTCGCTGTTGTTGCAGAGCTCCACGACGCTCAGCATGTGAGGAGCGTCACCGCCGGCGGCGGCGGCAATTGGGTCTCTTGGCTTATAAATGGGCGGATTTTGCCTGCCTTCCACTTTTTTGCGGACCTTTTTGGCGCGCGCTTTGGGTCGGCCCGTGTCTCGGCTGGAGAAGACCGAGGACTCGATGATGCGCGCCTTGCCCGTGTACTTGGCGGGCGGCGGAGGTGACGCTGGCGGGGGAGGCGGAGGAGGAGGTGGGGGAGGCGCGTACGTGCCGTAGTTGCCGGGGTGGGAATGGGCATAGTACGGCGCGGACCCATAGCCCTCCAGGTCGCTGTCTCCGTCGCTCATTTTCGCTGTCGGTTAGGATAGTGTTAACCAGGTTAGAGAAAATGGGTCCGCTTTGGTTAGGCTAGTGTTAAACGTGTCCGAGGTGTTCACATACCTGTACAGGCGTCCAGGCGCCGCCAGAGAGTGAACCGCGGCGCGATACGACGAGGACGAGACGCACACACGCACAGAAGCGAGCAAGAGCTGGCGCAAAAGACGTTCTTAACGCTTCGCTGGCCTCAAGTCGCCGGCAAATATGGCGGGTCGCTCGCTCGATTGGAATTGAGTTTTACGCTCGTATGCCCCCGCCAAAAACGGAGGAACTGATAAGTACGTTCTAAGTACGCCGTGAGACTAAGTACGTATAGGTTGTTCAAAGGTAGTGATATTAGGACTTTGTGTGAGTGTCGTTTCAGTGTGGTACACATACTAATTAGATATGTACTTTGAAGGGAAAGACTGTCATATCTTATGAAAGGGGGTTGCGCTGCGGCCACGTCCACCCCCAGCCGCTAGCCAGCCAATCTTTTCTTCTCTCGCGAGTGGTTACGTGGGTTCCTCCTCGCTTCCGCGTCCGATTGCAACCATGTACCCCGAGGTTCAACGGGATTGGCTGCACTTCTTGGGTTTGCATTTTCGATGCCGGCAAACCGAACTAGGGACATTGGTGAACGAAAACTTCAACTTCATGCTGCTCAATGGCAATGGAATATGCATATCGGTGCCGAGTTGCATTGGGCTCCAGGCAGCGGTGACCGCACATTACCACCGTCAAGAGTTTCGGTAGCAATTAGCGAACAGCAACTATCGGCGGTAGTGGTTGAGATTGCAGTGACCCTGGTTGTGCTTTTATTGTTTGTTGTCGATGGTGTAAACTTCGACAATTCGAGTTCGAGAAATCGCTTTTCCTTAGTAATGCAGGCAACGCTCTGTCGAGGGGGGGGTTCCAGGGTACCTTTGTCTGGTCGGTTCGCCCGTAAGTGCTGAGGCCCGTACTGCTGCACCGGTCCTTGTTGTCGGAACCTTTGGTCCTATAAGTGTCTGGGTGGCATTCCTAGCGTAGTCAATCTAAAACTCGCAGTTGCCCCTGTACTTTACTATGATGTCAGAATCCAAGATGCGTCATTTCGTCTGGGGGTAGACTAATGGTTACCGCACACTTACCCGGTCACCACGGCACCCTGCCTCCCGGATGTACGATGCTAATGAGCCGATACAGTCGCCGTTCCCCTATTGCTGCTGCACAATAGCCATGAAGTTTGTTTAAGGATAGCATCCTACCAGTTTTGGCTTGGGTTTTGGAATGAGGACCCCTGAATATGTGTTCGACGCAATTGTTTGCACTCAGTGCGCGGGCTGAGTAACAGAGCAGCTAGCTTCAGCAAGAGTAAGCGGGTATGCGTCAGTTGCGACCGTACAGTGCTCAGGGCGGTCAATAGGCAACGACTAACATCGCAAAACTCAATTGAGAATCCGTGCGCACCGATACGTTTCTGTAGCCAAGCAGTTCATCCTAAGCCTATCAAGTAACCGTGCCACTAGCACTTGATCGCAGGTCAACGTCACGTAGCTCTATACAGGCGAGTAGCATGTACTGCATGGGCTTCTGATAATGAAGTATCACGCTACTAACGCTAGTGCACGAAAAGCGACATCCGGCGGAACACCTTCATCGGAGGTGTGCGTTTCCTGAGCGGTGATGAAAAAAATCATGAGGTGAATGGCGGAGAGCAGAACGGGAGATGCAACGCCAGCCGTAAGGCTCGGGAGGAGTTTCAGTTCGACGGGCTCCGGTGTACCGGCCCTGACATACAGTTTGCAGGTGTTGCTAAAATTAATATGGCTACATAAGGTCGGTATCTTTAATTTTGTTATCAGATTGATCAATGCCTTCCGAAGGTGTTATTGAAGGCAGCTTAGACTCGATAAGCAAGTTGAAGGCTTCAAGCTAAAGTTATGACGCTACGAGCATTGCTGTTGCAGTCACGCTTTTAGTGGAGCGACTGTCAAGACTTCCGAAAATCCTGACGTTGCTGCAAGATCTCCATTAGCAATTGGGCCAGATTTCGTGGAGTACTGGGCGACGGGTGTGGCGGGTGGGATGGTGAGCTATCGTGGTACCAGTAGACAATTATGACGAGGGTGAGCAAATGAGGACGAATGTTTCCGTTGCTACACCAAGACACTGCCGACGGAGGAGTGTCGTAACTATTTTTCCTTGGCGGTTTGCTGCAAGAAATGCAATTACGCCTACAGTGTGATGCTGCTGGAGCTTCGTGCTAGCCCTTCACATGCGAGACGGATCATGTCTTGTGATGTAATAGACGCTCGGTCTCCCCCATTCAGGGCGATTTCCTATCCATTACTCTGTTCATCCACTGTTTGGCTCTTTCGACCGACGAACACGTATCATCGATCAGCGCAATATCTGAAGAGCTCTTTGCTGCGGTACTCTGAGGCTGAGTACCGGTAAACTGCTTCACTTAGCTGGTCTCACCGAGCAACCATGCACCGAATGGCACACCTGGTTAGCGAGCTTTTAAGTGTGTTTGAGACTTCTGGTGCTATGGAATCTGTACAGCCAATGCTAGATCTGACTGCCACACCGCGACCGACGAGTTCGTACCTTTGTTGCCGTATCATACAGTGGCGAAAGCTGCACCAAGTGGCCCAGTTGCAAAGTGGTTACGGGTCGGCATCCATCTCAAACCGACGTTCACAGAGGAAAATTTGTTCGCCAGGGTTCTAAGACTCGAGTGCTCGTGATTTGGCACGTCACGCAGCCGAAACGAGTGCGAAAGTTCCTTTAATTCAGATTGCCCAGCGAGGAGCTTCATTTGATTCGAACTGCGCGTTGTTCTCGGCATGGGTTGCAGGCAGGGATCCCGAAAAATAAACATGCAATTCAATATATTTATATTTTTTTGGTGTCAATAATTTATTTCCCGAACATCCGAAAGAAACACCAATATTTATTTTTGCTTCGTGTCCAAAAACTTGCTTAAAGTATGCAGATATGTAATACAACTCTCCAATATCAAGTAAAATAATTTATTTTTTATGTTGACACATTTCAAAAATTACGTATTTCAGCTCTACAGCAAAAATCAGTATATATTGTATTTTCGGGATCCCTGGACCTGCAACTTGCGCATTGCAATGGAGACGCATATATCGAAAGTGTTCGAGGTACAGATCAGGAGACCGGTACAAACAGAACTACCTGACAGGGTGATAGTTGGTACTCCCTTGAGCAAACGTCGAAATCCCAAGGGTTCCAAGCGACATCATATCTACCTCTTCGAGGCTTCGTATCAACTACGCATTCATAATACAATCAATAAAGGCGGCAGATCAGACCTTCGTCTCAACAGAACTATCCCATTACAATAGATGGTTGGTGCTGCCCTTGGGGAAAAAAATAAAACCAAGGGGGTGAAGCTCATCATTTCTGCCACATATAACAACAAAATAGGCTGCACGAGCGGTAAACAAATGGAGTGACCGAGCGAAGTCAGGAAGGGAGTTGTTACTCAACAGAACAGCTGCGCATTGACAAGCAGTGTTGGTACTGTGTAGTGGTACGTTGTAGGTTTTCGCTGGGAAAAAGTCGTCACCCTTCAGTATCGGTCACTCCTACAAAATACACAGACTTCCGTAAAATACAGCACGGGTCACTCAGCATACAGGGCGTAAAGGGCCGTGCTTGTACTAGCAGGAGAAGGCCGCAGTGCTCTTCGCTCTCTCAATTGTTGCTGGCTTACCAACCATGACGGTGCCGACATCTGCCTACACCTGCCGACACGATCTATCATTGGTGAAAATGATGAAATTCCATGATTGGTCTAAAGGGCTACATTGACACTTCTCCCATTTCAGTGCGGGAGGGCGGCGACCCTGCGGCGACCCTGAGTGCAGTACCTGCGCCGTGACCTGCGCTACGCCCCCCCCTCCCCAGGCTACGCGTGCGTGGCGTGTGGGCATGCGCAGGCGTGATGGCTCGTCATCGCCAGCAAACTGGCCCTCTCTCCTCGCTCAGTGTGAGGGCACGGCGGTGCGCCCCTCCAGCCAGACGAGAGAGAGGACGACCAGGAAACCCACGGCAGGAAGCGCGATGGACTGAAGGCACAGGGTGAGAACATTAATAGCGTGGAGGAAAGCGAGGGGGCGAGGACACGAAGGACGGCGTGCTGACGAATGCCACAGAGGGTGACAGAGGCCTCAAGAGCGCGAATGGGCGGCAAGAAGACCAAGAGCTCGAAAGGACGGCGGAGGGATCAAGTGTGCGCAGGACGGCGAGGGGACCAAGGGCTTTAAGTTCGCGGAGGACAGCAAGGAGACCAAGGCCACCAAGTGCGCGGAGGACTGCGGAGGCAACAAGTTCGCCGAGAGCAAGAGCTAGGAGGAGGAGATTGATGGAGGGCGCCTGGCGGTGGCGCAGACGATGTCTTACCACCCACGCTGGACATCACGCGGGACAAGAAGAACAAGAAGAAGGTGCCCAAGATGGAGAAGATGCGGAGGCTAGAGCAGCAGACAGCACGCGGTGTGGAGAGCCAAGGGATCCACCTCCTCCTGCAGCAGACGTAGCAGTAGCCGCCCGCCATCACGGCAGCCAACAGCAGCAGCAGCGCAGCGGATGTGCGCGTTGCGCCGGCGGCTTTGAGTTGTCGATAGCTGGGTGTGACGAGAGGCACGCTCGCTGCTGGCGATCTTGGGGAGGAGTAGGACGTGGTTATACGGCTGCTACTGGTGGTGCCTCCGCCGCTACAGGGTGGGGCGACGCTTTCTACTAGTGCGGTGGTGCTTGGTGGTGCAGTGTAATGCACGAATATTACGTCTGTAGTTATTTATTTTAACATTGAATAAATTAAAGTTTGATGCCTACTTTGAACTCTCTACGCTGCACAGTCCGCACCTCAGTCACTGAGGCTCAGTGGCAGCGACAACAGCGGCTTCGGCAATGCCCAAAACAGCTTGTGCCATGAATCAGAGATGGTTCGGGCGTTACCGACGAAACTCGGTTGAATTTGTAGAGCAAGCGAAAGCGCCATACAGAACGCTTCAAATAGGAAAACAGAAGCAATACAATGTCATAGTAAAGTGTCGGCACCGTGCAAAATATGTGTATAATCACCTAATTACTTAATTTCACTATAGGTGGATAACATATCTCGACAGCCCTGCATACATTATACGTCGGCAGGAGTGTCGGCGGTTCATACACCTACCCCTAACGTGGATGATTGGATAAAATACCACCTATCGCCTTTCTCATTCGATAATAATCGGTCATCGCCATTTGATTGGACCACGGCCACCATACAGTGGCTAAGTATAAAATCATATGTGTCGGCACCGTCACGATATTTATCCGTATGTCGAAGTGAAGCCAAAGATCTCAAGCCACACATTGCAATTGACCAATCACGTACCACTACCAGTGTATCTAAAAGATTGAAACACAATACTTCAACTACGAACAGATATGGCTACACACACTTAGCAAGTTGGCTACTCTCGACTCAGTTCAGGGTCGTCGCTAAGGTTGTCAATATCCACCTCGTCGTCTGCAGGCAATGGTCTCTCCTCCTCGTGATGTTCCTCTCCCTCTTGAGCTTCTTTCTCCTCTTCCTGTTCTTCTCCTTGGAATGGCTGCTTGTCCTCTGCTGCTCCAACGTCGTCCAGCAAGTTGCTTGCATCCTGCACCTGGTCTTGAGCAGCTTCCTCTTGGTCACCACCACTTATTTGGTTCTCGTAACTTGCTCGGATCGATAGAAGCTCTGTCTTGAGAAGCGCCTCTTCCGACGGAAGTGGGGGAGGATGAGCCTTTTCCTCGTAAATGTCCTGCTCGCCTCCTCCTTGCTCCACCCCTCTTTCGATTGAAACCTCGGCTTCGTACGCTGTAGATAGCACGTGCGTGTGGCTTTCAGCCCCTTGCTTGGCCGAATTACTAGCTTCTTTCAGTTGCAGCTGCCTCTCCTCCGTCTTGCTGTACTCATCGGCTTCTTCGTCTTCCTCTCCGACTTCAGGCAGTGTCGGCTCAGCCGGTGCGGCGGCTGCTGCAGCAGCAGCGTCCTGTTCCTCCTTTTCCTGGCCGAGATGCGAAAACCCAAGGAAGACACGTTGCCTCATTGCCTCGGACTTCGCCTCGAGGACCAGCCACTTGTCGTCACGGCATCGAATGGACACACAAAGTGCATCGCGTTCGGGTGTCGACTTGGCAGTGACGCTGCGACTTCCGTGGATCCCTTGCAACACCTCCTGGATGTTCTCCACGTGGATGCTACTCTTCGTAGTGAGCCGCTTGAAGGTGCCGGCTGCGTTCCAGAACACCACCGTCATGTCCGGTGTAATGTAAAGCGTTCTCGATACGACGCGTCCGCTCTTTTGACAGATTTTCTTGATACCAAGTCCATCCAGAAGTTCGCGGACGAACTCGAGGTACTCGTACATGCGGATCTCGTCGTCTCCGAGGTTCTCGTAGCTCACGTCCTCCTGCGCCAAGGCCTCGCGCTTTTCAGCTTTCACTTCCATCGCCTTTCGGCGAGACGCAGCGCGAATAAAGTCGTCCTTGGTCACCACCCTACCAGGTACCAAGCCCGAGCCAGCGCGCGATGTACGCAGGCTAACAGCCTCTGCCCTGCCAGTGCTTGCTTCACTGAGTCTGGTGCTGCCTTGTCGCCACAGTCGTGCGCCCGCTGGCGGTGATGGAGGAGGGCCAGCGAAGATGCTGGAGCGACTCGGCTGTCTCGGGAGGTGTCGTCGCGGTTGCTCTTTACCCTCTGACAGCCCTTCTTCCGTTTGATATAGAGGAGGCTCGAGGTCTTCCGTCGACACGGCAATGCTCTCATAGGTCTTGGCACTCGCCGCCGCGAGTTGCTGCGTCATGTCGACGTGGAACCGATATCGAGCGTCGATATCTCGAGCTGGGGGCGGTGCAAACAGCCCAGCCAGGGTGTGCTCCAGCCACGCTGACACTCGCTGCAGCAGGCTCTCCGTCTGCACAGACCCCACTACTCCATCGTCCTCCTCTTCCACTGTCACGTGCTGATCTTTCTCCCCCTTGTCCTTGACTGGGTCGTCGACGACCTTCACCCCGCCCTCTTTTCCCTTCGGCGAGCCGAACCAGAGCACGAACGGCGCCTCGCGCTTCTCGTTCGACGAGAATCTCGCGGGGATCACCGACAGCAGCAGGAAGCCGCCCACCACGAGCAACACGTGCACCCCCAGCAGCAGCATCCACGTCGACGAAGTGTCGAAGTGCGTGCCATACGCAGTACGGTACGTGCGCGCGATCGGCACCTTGGCCCCAGGCTGCACCTCCGTCGCAGCAGAGGACGTCTCTCCTCCATCCCCACCTTCAACTCTACTCACCGCCACGCACAACAGCAGCACCCCCAACGCCAGTCTCCTCCTCATCGTATTAATATCCTCTTCTGGCGTATCAACAACCTTTCAAGCTCCAATTTGACGTGCACCACACCAACTCTACTTCGTACTTAGCGCATCATCGCGTCCTCCAAGGCCAATCCCCCACCAAGCAGGTCAACGCGATAGCATATAGGTGCAGGTAGGTAGGATGTACTACGGGCCGAGCCGCAAGCGCTCGTTCGACGACGGGGACCGCGAGGGCGGCTACAAGCGCTCGCGCGTGGACGACCGCTACGGCGGAGGAGGCGCGCGCCGCTACGACCGCCGCGGCGGCGGAGACCGCGACCGGGACCGCGACCGCGAGCGCTTCAGCGAGAGCGACCGCGCGCGGGCCTGGCGGCTGGCCAAGAAGGCGGTGATCGAGCTGGGCGACGGCGTGGAGCGCGAGCAGCTCACGCGCACGAGCGAGCTGCTGCTGCGCGAGCTGGAGCCCGACGCGCAGGACGTGAAGCTGGGCCACCTGGCCACGCTCGTGCTACGCGGCGCGGCGCGGCTCGCGCACAAGACGGCGCTGTACGCGACGCTCGTGGGGCTCGTGAACGCGCGCAAGCCCGCGTTCGGGCGCGAGGTCGTGGCGGGCGCCACCCGGTCCCTGCAGCGCGACGTGGACTTCTTCAGCCTCGAGCGCCTGGACGACGGCGACACGCCCGACACGGACGTGTTCCGCCGCGACGGAGACGTGCAGGCCGTGGCCACGCGCGTGCGCCTCACGGTGCGCCTGCTGGCCGAGCTGTGCTCCGCGCGCGTGTGCAAGGCCGAGGATGTGCTGGCCATGCTGGACTCGCTGCAGGGCCTGTGCACGCCCGACGACTGGGACGGAGACGACGAGACCCACGCGTCGCTGAGGGCGCGCGAGGACGCCGCGGCCTGGAAGGACTTCTTCGCGTCCGTCGTGCTGGACGCGCTGCTGCACAGCGGCAAGGAGCTGGCCAGAGCCTCGGAGAACATGTTCGACAGCCTGCTCAGCCGCTGCAGAGAGTACGTCTCGCACCGCGAGGAGGAGAGCAACCCGCGCGGGTCGGACGCTGGCGCGTCGTCGTGGCGTACACGCCGCCTGCAGCTGGATCTGCTATGGGGTCCTGAGAGCGACGACGAGCTGCCGGCGCTCTGCGCGTCGAGCGACGCGCTGTCACAGATGTGGGAGGCGCTGAATGCTATCCGTAGTGCAGAGGGAGAAGACAAGGCCGCTGCGTGGAAGCTCCCCGGCATCAACCACCCGCAGGATATCTTCGCGCCGGACTTTGAGCAGTCCGAGACCCATACGCTGGCTGTCTCGCTCTCGATCGACCTGACCAAGGTAAGTTGTTATGGTTGATGCTGCTTGATGGGGGTATCGGTGTGGCTAATTGTCTTGTTATCTATGTAGCTGGATGCGAACAAGATTCCGGCGTACACAACGTGGTTTCGCATCCTGTCGGACGAATCGGGTGCTGCAGGAGCTGCTATTGCGACGTTGCCCCCGGCTTCGTACCTCATCACCCGCAGCCACTTCGTCGACGTGCTGGAGACCTCTCACCCGAAGCCTGCTATCGCGGCCAAGCTGCTGCTGAGTCTGTGCCGCGCGTACAACGCCCGGTTTGCCTCTTCTCAGGCTGAGGGAGCTACTCCCGCGAAGACTGAGTACCTGCTGGTGGAGACGCTGCTGGTGGCCGCGCTGAGCGAGAGCGCGAACGCCAAGCTGGCCTACTACTGCTCGGTGCTGTATCACATGGTGAAGACCGACGCGCAAATCGTGTCCCCAGCTTTGGCTGTCGTGGTGGAGCTGCTGTTCCGTGAGGTGCCTACCATGCGCGCGGCTGCCGTGGATTCGTTCGTGCAGCTCTTGAGCCACTTCCTATCGAATTTCGAGTTCAAGTGGCGTTGGGCGGCGTGGTCGTACGTCCTGGAAGCTAGCGAGGACGACCCGCAGCGCCTCTTTGTCAGCGCTGTCATCGAGCGTTGTGTGCGTCTCTCGTACCTGCAGCACATGCAGAGTGCATTGCCTGCCGAGTTCCACGTTCTTCTGCCTCCGGCGCCCAAGCCTCGCATCCGTTTCCAGGCAGCGAAGGAGGAAGATGCGGCTAGTGCAGCGGCTGAAGAGTCCAGTCCTGCGTCGGAGTTCTACCAGTCCGTGACGACTAAGCTGAAGGGCCACCCACCCGCATCCGCTCTGCGCTCGTGGCTGAACGAAGAGCTTCCCCGTCTCGAGATTTCGCGCGCAGAAGCCATCGAAGTTGTGTGGACTTGCATCCTGGAGGCTGGCGCGGCCACGTTCACGCACATGCGTCTGCTGCTCGAGAAGTACGGCAAGCGCAACGAACTCTTCGGCGCCGAGGACCAGCCGATCGAGGAAGCGGATGCCGACGAGCTGGTGCTGGTCAAGACTGTGGCTAACGTCTGGCTCAAGTCGCCGCAGCACATTGGGCTCATCCTGAACGCCATGCTGCGCCAGGGTCTCTTCCGACCATCCACGATCATTACATGGGTGTTCACCGCTGATGCCGTGCAGCAGTACAGTTGGCCGTACGTGTGGGAGATCCTGAATGACACGCTGAAGTTCGTACAAGATGCCATCCTCGCCAAGACGCGGCAGTTGGAGCAGGCTTCGGCACCAAGAGCTTCAGACGACCGGGACAACGAGGACATGCCGGACGTGGCAGCACTCGAGGACGGCCGCAAGCGTCTCCAGGATGAGCTGCGGCAACTGCTCGTGCTGCTGTTCCGTGGCTTCAACCGGGTAATCGGCGAGCACAAGGCTGAGTGCGATTCCGAGGGCTCCGATCCGCGCGACAACTGGTTCCGCAGTGCACTGGCTCAGATGCAGGCTGTCGGCCATCGGTTCCGTGTGCCGCTTGAAGACGCTCTGGACGAGCTCCAGCTCGAGGTTTTCAGCGTGAGCGCCTCGGCTGATGTGGACGCCACCAAGGTCTTCCAGCTCGTGCGCGACTCGTACCGCAGCGCGTAAGAATCCGCGCGCGAACGCAAGCAAACCTCAACCTTCCTGACTAGAACACAAGAGCCAAGAAAGAAAATGGTGACATCATAGCAGTTCTCTTCCCTCCCCCACAGCAACAAGAGACAAGTACATACAAACATGTTCGGTTCGTCTCGAGTGTATGTGTATTGCTGCGCGTGCGTTGAGGTTAATAGCCGCCATTTTTAATTGCTGTCGGCGGGTGCAGAGCTCTCAGTCTTCTCCTCCGTCTTGTCCGCCGGTGTCTCGGCCTTCTCTACGGGTGCCTCCGTTTTCCGCTTCTTCACCACGGGGATCACATTCACTGCAGGGGCAGCGCTAGCGGACGAGCCCGTCTGTCCGAATCCAATCGTCGTGACGGCCTTCTCCTCGTCCTTGGCCTCCTTGGCCACAGCTCCGGCGATCGTCTCCTTAATGCCGTCCACCTTCTCCTTCAGCTCCAAGTAGATCTCCAAGTACTCGAGCAGCGTCTTCTCGTCCTCCTTGAGCTTGTCCTTCTCCTCCGCCTTCACGCCTGCACACTCCAGGAACTCCTGGCTCAGCGCCTCCGGACGCTCGCCCTTGAACTCCAAGCTCAGCGTCGCGTCCTCACCCGCGGACGGGGCCTTCCTCTTTCCCTTCCCCTTGGGCTCCGCCGCCTCCTCGTCCTCCACAGTGTACGCCGGCACGCGCTCGTCCACGAACTTGAGCAGCTTCTCGCCGCACTTGTTGGCCACGCGGTGGAGGTTCTCGGCCATGACGCGCCCCGCCATCACGTAGTGCGAGAGCTCCTCGTTGGGCACGGCCTCCTTCTCGCCCTCCTTCTCCTTGTCGGCCGAGGAGTCTCTGTAGATGCAGGCGATGGCCAGCTGGCAGTAGAGATCGGCCAGCTGCGTCGTGTCCTCGGCCTTGGTGGCCTTGAGCAGCTTCCGGCGCAGCAGCAGAGCCTTCTCGAAGTCGCTCTTGGCCTGCTCGAACTGGTCGCTCTCCAGCCCCAAGTCCCCCAGTCGCGTGTACACGCGCGCGAGCTGCGTCTCCACCGCCTTGTCGCCCGGGAAGCGCGAGTAGATGACGCGCGCGAGCTCCATGACCTCCCAGGCGGCCTCCAGGTCGTCCGCGGCCTCGCGCGCGTCCTGCTCGCCGTCGTCGCCCCCGCCGTTGGCCGCGCCCTCCACGGCGCCGCCGAACAGACTGGCCGTGGCCTCCGTCAGGCTCAGCAGCGCGTGGCCGTACTCGTAGTACACGGGCGCGACCGCCAGCGAGTCGGCCTTGCCCTCGGCCTCGCACATGGTGCGCAGCAGGTCCTCGAAGGCCACCACCGCCTCCTCCAGCCGCTTGTCCTTGAGCAGCGCCACGCCGCGCAGGTAGCGCGGGTCCGTCAGCGTCTGCTCCAGCTCCTGCTGCGTCGCCGAGGGCTCCGAGGTCGTCGCCATGGTCAAGTCGGCCGTTAATCTACGTGAGCTCTTCGCGCCAATAATAAGGATTGCGCGGGAGTCGAGCCTTTGGCTAAAACTGAGGTGGATGGCGTTAAATAGCAGGTAAGAAACGTTATATAGAGGGTTGTATTGTAACATGGCTACATGACGTTGCAGTTATAGATGTAGCCATTTGGTGGTCGGGTGCGGGGTTAGAAGGCTCGCAGTAGCCTGGTTTTCGAGTCGCTGGAGCTCGAGCTCTTCTTGAAGACGCCGAGCACTGCGAGGATGATGAGGAGCACGAGGATGAAGCAGACGGTGAGCAGGATCGTGAGCTTGACGTTCTTCCACCACATTTGCCGGCGCAGCTTGCGGCCCGTGTTGCGGAAGACCTTGGCCTGCTCGTTCAGGTCGTTGGTCTTCTGCTCCACGACCTCCATCTTCTCCGTGTTGGACAGCACGACCTGGATGTTGTTGTGCATGACGGTCTTGACGCCGTCCACCTGGTGCATCACCTCCGACAGCTTGTCCACCTTGGTGCGGTCGTCGTACTTGGCGGCGATGGACGCGAACAGCTTGGCGCAGTCCTTGTCCAGGCCGTTCTGCAATGAAGACAGCAACAAGCAGCACAACAAGTCAGGCATCGACCTCTACGCACTAGTGCAATACTGTAGCCAGGGATGCACCTCTCGACAGGTCAGCGCCTTGGAGCCGAACTTGGGCACGACCTCTTGCTGCACGGCCGAGATCATCTGAAAGGCCAGGCGGATGGGGTAGTCCTTGGCCGTGATGGCGGCGAACACGAGCTCGTCGTTGTTCATGGTGAAGTGGAACTTGTTGGGGTCGCACTCGAGCGAGTGGCGGCCGTTGGGCGTCACCTGCGTCTTCCACGTCGGCGCGCGGATCACCTTGCCCAGCATCTCCTTGAACGTGTTCATCTCGGCCTCCCCGCCGCGCGCGGGCTTGCCGTCCGACGAGTGCATGTAGCAGGCCACGACCACCTTGTCCGTGGCGCGCGCGATGGCCATGAACTTGATGTTGTCGCGCGTCAGCGACGCCGACGCTGCAGTCGGCGGTGCCATGGCGCTGTTGCTGCTGCTAGTGTTGGCTGGGTCCGCGAGTCGTCGAATACACTAAACCGCGATGGTGCAATGCAATGCAAGTGCAAAGATAAATGCGACGACGCCGGTCAGTTTCGACGGACTGGCGGATGCAGCAGCGCCGACCAGGACGCGCGCCGATTGAGGAATGTGCGGCGGCGATAAAACGGGAATGAGATATTTCGGGCCTTTCTCATGGCAATGGAGCTGGCAGAATCCAGCCCTGATATGAGCGTGAAGGTAGCAGGACAGGGGGCATGGGGCTCTGCTTTAGTGCAGGTTCAGGTCTATTCACTCGACGGTAAGGTGGGGCTGTGCTAGCGCTGCGAGCTGCTGCAGTTGGTTGGCGGAGAATCTGGACGTGAACGGCAGCGACGAAGTTGCAGGGAGCTGCTCCTGGATAAGCGTGATGTCCATGCCAGCGCTCAGAGACGCCATCACCGCCACCTCTTCGGTGGTGATCCTGTCCGACGGAAGCAGGCCCTTCGTCTCCTTCCACGCGCTCATGATGTTTGCCGCGCGGTCCGCGTCCACCAGCTACAGTACCATAGTCAAGCAAGAAAAAGTATGGTTGTGTCAGGCCTCAAGCAGCATGAATGAAAGGTACTGCCAATTGCGTCAACGTACCTCGACGGAGCCGGTGAAGCACTTGAGCAACTGGTTCATGGCCATTGAGTAGGCGAAGCCCAGCTCCTCAGTCTCCTTGTGCTTGCCGAATGCCTTCAGTGTCGCCTCCACGCGAGGGTAGATCTGCGTCTCGCGGACGTACATCCAGACCTGCAGGTTGTCGAACTGGCTGTGCTGGTTGACCAGGATGTGGGCCCACGCGACCTCCTCCGCTGGCGGGAGGTCCAGGTGCTCGTTCTCGGGGCGAATCTTCTCCATGTACTTCTTCTCCACAGCAATACCCAGGTTGAACGCCGTCTTGAGCAGCAGCGCCACGTCCTCACCAGTCACGTCATTGTACGTCTTGAGATGGAACGGGTTGCCGCTCGACAGCATCGCCTCCAGCGGTCGGTCACCGATGAGCAGCATCTCACGCTCCTTCTTAAACTGCGTCACTACCTCAGGCAGCGGGAAGATCGCACTGCCCACGTGCTGCGGCAGCTGCAACGACGCGAACCGTCCGAACTGCTCGGACAGCGGCGTGAAGGTCTTCTCCACCAGCTCCTCCAGCGGCTTGCTCGTCGACTCGAAGCCTGGCAGCGCGAAGCCGTAGCTCTGCACCTTACCGTCGCTGCACAGCGTCTCCAGCGCATCGCACGTCGCCTTGAGCTTTTCGATAAGCTCTCCGTGCTTGCTCGACACCAGCGCCAGCTCGTCCGGGATCTGACACACGACGTGGTCCAATGTCTCGACATCCAGCTCCTGGCTCGTGATCTCCACGCCCCTCGTCACGTACCCCTTGGTGAGTCGGTCGTCCGCCTGCGGGTTGGCTGGGTGCACCACATTGCTGCCAATGAGCGTGGACACCACGATGCACTCGCGCGGGATGTCCAGGTCCTCGACGCCCTCGTTCAGCGCCAGCGCCTCCACGTATCCCTGCTTCTCGCCCGCCTTGGTGGGCGCCGCCGGGTTCACGGCCGCTTGGATGAAGTTGCTGGTGTACGTAGCCAGCAGCGCCTTGCTCGTGTCCACGCGCGGCATGTCCTTGGCCCACAGCGCGGGGCTGCCGATGGCTCTTGGGGCCACGCTGACCCACTGCGCGTCGGCTCCTGGCTCGCTGATGCGCAGTTTGGCGCGCGCGCTCGGTTCATAGGGGCTCCGGATGACGAAGTCCTCCGTGCCCGCAGTCGTGGCGCGCCCTACGTGCAGGCGCGCGCAGCGCAGCGTCGAGAGGCGCGAGCTCCGGGGACCGCAGATAGCGCTGATCATGGGCTCAATTTTGCTCAATTGAGCTCCACAGATGGTGTACGCGTACACAAGAAACATTTTAAATTTTAGAACAACTGCATACAACGAGCAGGTGAAATTGTTAAACAGATTTAGTGTTGGTAGCTCGAATAGAAGACGCTTCCTAAATAGAGGAAGTTGAAGTGACCATTTACTGCTTCAGGACGCCGTCGATGGTCTTGAGCGTGTGCTGCCAGACCGCGTCCTTGAGCGTTTCGGTCTGGTACTGGGTCTGGGATACCTCCCTGGCGTTTTGGTCGAGCAGCTTCCAGCCGCTCGCGTAGTCGTCGTTGAGCAGGGCCGACACCATGTGCTTGGCGCACGTTTCGGGCGTGCGGGCGAACACTGAGGCGAGCCCCTTCAACGGGAGGCGGACAAACCAAGGAGGCTGTTGTCCACTCCACTGTTGACGAAGCCAGGCGACGCGTGCATGAAGCAGGCGTTGGGCGCGCGCTCGGCGAAGGCCTGCGCCATCAAGTCTCTGTGGCATCACAAATGTTCAAGTTAGTTGAGCGACAAGGTACAATTGATCCAAGGTGCAGCGGCGTACGAGTACGTCATCGTGGCCTGCGCACAACGCCTGGGTGAGTAGGTTCGCTTGAGATCGAAGTCGTCCAGGTCGACGTAACCACCTTGGCCCCCGCCGAGCACATTCAAAACACGAACGCCAGGACGGTTCAGCCCTCCCAACAACTCGTGGATCAGCATGAATCTACACGATTGAGAGGGTTTTGGGAGTTAGTAGGCTAATTCTAGCTGAGCTTCTGTGCGGTCGAACGCGTACCTGCCATAGTAGTGTGTGGCCATCTTCACATCGAGACCCTCGGCCGTCTCCGTTCTGCCGTCCATGCTGAAGATGCCCGGGCTCATGACGATCCAGTCGAACTTCGTGTCTGCGTGCTTGGTCGTGAACTTGCGCACTTCGTACATCAACGACACGTCCAGCTTCTCGTGAACAACCTCCACGTTCGGGTTGTCCGCCTTGATGGTCTTCAGTGGCTCCTCCGGGTACGATCGCGAGCAAAGGGTGAGCTTGGCAACAATAGGCGCCAGCTCCTTGGCCACCCCGAGGCCAATGCCGGAGGAAGCTCCGACTACGAGCGCGTGCTTGGAAGGGGCCACCATCTCTCGCTTGATGCTGAGTTCGATTTGTTCGTTGCGTTCCGAAGGGGGAAATATTAATATGGGAATGGAGAGGCTGCTCAAGAGCACACTTAGGGACACCCCTAGCGCTGCGAGAACTGCGAGTTGCCTTCCCATAGCTCGAATGAGAGAGACACCAATATCAAGCTGTGATTACTTGACCTGACCTCCTGGAAACCCGTTGGCCATAATCTGCAAGATTAGTCGAGCGAAACCATACTAATCAGTGCATGTAAAGCTCAAGCTGAAGTTGTTGGATTCAGTTGACCAACTCTGATCTAACTAAAGTATACTTTGTCGTGGGCTACTACCGCTGCTTAGTTTTCCAGGACGACGCGGTAGCGAGCGCGGCCCTCACGCGTGATGGTAATGCCCTCGTTGACCTTGGCCATGGGGAGCTTCTGGATGATGGGGCGCACGTTCTTCTCGGAGGCGAGCTTGAGCATGTCCTCGATGTCCTCGATGCTGCCAATGAGGCTGCCCACCACACGAATGCCGCGGCCCAGGGCAGGAACTTGATCTCGTCATTCGGAATGCCCAGCATGACGAGCGTGCCGCGCTTGCGCAGCAGGCCCAGGTACTGGTTGTACGGCATGCCCTTGGCGTCGGCGGACAGCATGGATTGGTGCTTCGACTACCGATACCGCGTGTCGCAGATGAAGTGGAACACACAAACTGAAGTTGAACGGGTACCAACCCACTTGGTTGGTTCAATCCTGCAGCAGGACTCCTGCGACAAATGCCAGCGCAGCAGCAAAGCTGGGTGACGGCATTGCAAACCCGTGGAATGCAGCCGCCTCATCTTCATGTATGTTGATGATGTCTGCTTTGACGTTTACCTGCAACAGCGACAGCATTCTCATTGTAGTTGCTTCACAAGTCCCAAGAGAATTTGCCTCGTACAATTGTCTCGTATGTGCAGGCACATGTACATGGAAGACGGATACGTAACGTGCATTCATTGTAATGATCCCAAGAGTAAAGTTGCATGGTTATTGTAGTGGTGGACTATCACCCAGACAACAGATAGCTGCTCGGTTTAGTCCTTGATCAGCCCGAGCTCTCGGATACGACTGTATTGCTCTGAAGGAGGAAACACACAAGAGTCTACCGTCAGTCCACCAAGCCCACTTGATGTAACTTAGAAAAAAAATATCCAAGGACTTACCTGGGATCTCCATGAGCGCCTGCATAGCAAAGCCTCCGTCCGGATTGTTAAGACTGCTCCTTGGAATCGTGTTGTAGTTCACGAACTGGAAGTTGTCAAAACGACGCTCTGGGAGCTGGTCGTCGAACTCGCGCAGCATGCTCCACGGGCCATCACCCACTCCAACCATAATGATCGCTAAAGTACCACAGAATTGCACAGTAGGTTAGCTTGAGCACCAATCAACACACCATCGACACACTTACAAATCGGGTACTCTGATGCCTCTACGATTGCTCGTCGGGCCATAGCGGGATCATCGATATGGCCGTTGGAGATGATGATGAGAATGTGGTACCGCCGGGTCTTCTTGACCATCTTGATGGCTTCGTGGATCACCGGCACGAAGCTCGCAGACGAGTTGAGCTCCATAGTGGACGCAATCGCGAAGTATCGCTGGAGAACCTCGTCCAGCTCGCATCCGCGCCCCTCGACAAACGGGAAGTATCGCTCTGCAAGTTCGCGCTGCGGGTGCCCACCATATCCGTACGCAGGGATCGAGTCATCGTCATCGAAGAGCTCGAACACACGCGTGATAGCAGAAATGACCGTCTACGTGAGCAAACATCGCACGTTAGCCCTCGCGCTCCCGTCCAGCAACGAAAACTCGGCCAACGTACTTGGTAAGGGTTCCTGACGCGCCCTGTCTTATCCACGTAGTGCAGCGATCGCCCTTCAAACGTCTCCTTCCCCTTCCACTGCATAACGTAAAAAATGGTAAAGTCAGCATCCACATCAATCGGCAAGCCACTTTAGTAGCTCGAGCTCGTACCAAATTCGATTCCGTGAAGTCAACCTGCACTCAGCACCAACACAGAAACAACAACCACCGTTAAAACGTCCGTACGGTGCACATGTTGGCACGATGGCAGCAGTTTTGGGGAACCTACCGCAATGATCAAGTCAGACGACTGCAGTCCCACTTGGCTAAGGAATTAAACCATCCACAGCATAGTAAAATTAGTCAGCACGTTGGTACAGTTGACAAGACCCGAAGGTCCGATGTTGCCTGGGGGCCACACACGCACCGCAGAGCTTGCTGCACTTCCTCTGCGACGTCGGACGACAGCGCAATTCCGAGCAACTCGACGTTAGTAAGGGATCAAGGGGAAAGTTTAGCAGCTGCTACAACAGCAACGGCCACGCACCGACGGACGTGTAGCTGTCCGGGATCGGCTGGAAGGCCTCACGACTCGAGGAGCAGCCCATGGCCAGGAGGTTCAAAAGAAGGAAGGAAGGAGCGAGTGTGCTGTGCGAGATGGCAAGTGCTGCGGACAAGCGATACCGCCAGCCAATGGGGTGCCCGGATCGATTACCAAGGCCAGGCGTCTCAGAAAAACCTGTAAACGGGTTCATTCCTGGATTTTGTCTGATGTCGCTGAGCTTCAACGCGAAGTGTATCATAGCTATCGTCGAAGCTGTAGCAAGTTGCTGGAAGGATGAACAACTAACGTTAAGAGCAAGATATTTTTTTATGTTTTAACGCGAGTGACTTACAACCGCGTACTCTCAATACAAGCTCTCAGTTCACTACTGGTCGCTCTCGCCTTCACAGCGTTGTTTGCCATACTACTTTATCAAATCGCATCTTACCAAAAAATGTTGAGGGCGGACTTGCTGGCCGAGTTGATTGGGATCTTAGGCCAACACGCCCGATGATTCGTCAAGGTGCCGTAGAATTCCTCGGCATCGTCTCGGCTTACGCGGACGCAATTCGGTGGCACCGTACCCCCCACTACTCGACTTGGGGCCGCAATTCATGAGAATCCGAGCAAAACGTGCACGGCCATCACTAAGAAACTTAGGGAGGACAGACATCTCTCCGCTATACGTGGTAGTGTGGCTGGCCGCCTCAAGTTCCCCAAGCTGCCGTCTCCTCTGATCGACGATAACCACCAGCTTTCCTGGCGTTCTAGCATCTTCCAGAGCGAAGAAAATGTCGAAAGCGGTGCCGTCACCACAACACAGCCACTTGACGTCCAGTCGATCGTGCTCTTCTCGCTCTTGTGCTGTGCAATGATCTGAGGAGTTGAATCGCCAAACGCGTTGGCGCTTGGGAAAACGTACGAAGGAGCAAATTTGACCAAAATGCTATCCATTGCCTCGCTCATCAGTGCACCAGGCAACAATTCTCTCAGTGAAACTGTTGTCTGACCCAGCACCAACATCGCATTTATCCTCACAGCAGTCGTCCACAAATCTCCTCAAGTCGTACAGAGATCTTGCCAAAGCTTGCTCCGGAACTGTGGACGGCATGGCATATAACGATGCAACGCTCTGCAGCATCGGGTATGGGATTTGGACATGCAGGCAATATCCACTCCTTCGTCCGCGCACCGTTAGCAAGCATACGGAAGAGTCTCGAAGTTTTGACCACTTGACATCCCCATCGATCGTGTCACTTGGAAAACGGACCTTGCCAGCTACAGCTGAAGCCGCTAAATGCATGCGCTCTCTTACTGTTAGTTGGTCCACGTAACTTCCGACATATTTTGCCCAGACCCGCTCGAAGCCGGCCTTGATAGTGTCCGAATTCACGGCATTACCTTCTCGTTGAGCTTTTATCAACGACGCCAAATACTCGACAACCCACCGCGGAACCCCACCAAGTGAGACCAGGTCACGACAAACTTGCGCATTCTCCAACAATTCTGCACAACTGGTGTTGTTCTTTAAAATTGACAACGTTTCATCCATTTCCAAGAGGGGCATATGAATCCGCGTTGTCGGGGCATATGTTGAACTCCAGGTCGATTGAATTGCACCCCAACCTGTCCCGGCGAGCATCGGCAGCACAACCAGACAGGAGGAAGGTGGCCGGTATATCGAAACGTCTGCTATGGCATCTATGAGTTCATGTAGAGTTGGTTTCTTCGACAATTTCCGGCAAGCATTGATTCGTTTGACCTCTTGGTAATCGTCAATACCAAGAAACAAGTAAAACGGTGTGTCTGCATGCTGCCGAGGTCTACGTAGCTTGATCCCGATAGCTGTGACGGCAGTCGCTAGCGTCAACCGGTATCCATTGACTGGCAAACGCAAGGAAAACCACTCTCGGAAGCCATGAAGGCAGTTTTCGTGCAGAAAAAATCGGCACAGCAGCCTCCACGAGAAAGAAGCTTCAATCGGCATTAACTTCTCAACTTCCTGCGGAGTAAATTCGTCGTGATACGGCACCACCACACTGAAAACACGACGAGCGGCCAACTACAGCTTGTCTCGTAAAATCGCGCCGCCTTCCCCCAGCATACGCGTTTTCCCCTGACCATGCATGCCGGAGCAAACTGGAATCGCATGCTTCATGCGGTCAAATGCACTGGTCTTGGCATCTTGATGACGTCCTCAAAGCACTCGGCTGCCTGCGTCATCGCTTTTTCCCTTCCAACCAACCGGAATAGTAAGCTTTCATGGTCCAAAATGTGGGGGTACGAGAGAATTCGTTTCGAGTCGACCATTTCAGCTTCCAAGAAAGCGAGGAGGTTGTTAACGGAGCTACAGTTACTTCGGGACCGGCTAGCTGTGCGCACTGCATTGGCAGTTCCACCTCGTTTAGTGCGTCTTCTTCGCTTACGTCGTCCAGTCCATCAACCGACAACCCGAAGCTTGATAGCTTCGCATCCGCAGAACTCATAGGGCTGAAGCCAGAACTGTTTCTCACACCTCTCTTCGCTTCTTTTTCGGTGAGCCACACGCCGTCCCGCTTCGCCAGGAAGAGCTTCAGCTGGTTAGCGTCGCAGTAGATTGTGTAGGGCAGAGTTGACTTGATCGTGCCCTTCAAGTCCCTCACTGTATCGCCCTCATCGATGTCGATGCAGAACACAATTTCTGCCAAGGCAACTACCCCACACAAAAGAGTCACCATCTCTCCTCGAGAGTGCTGATTCTGAAATGATAAGGACACCCAATGCCATCCTGATTGGCAGCGACTACATCTCTATATTTTGGTAGTAACCTAGGAGGATACTTTTCCCATCAGGTGTCTCTATCTAATTGCCGCCTACTCTCCACTGCGGCTCGATTCCTGCTGCAGATTACTAAGTAGACGATAGCAGTGCAATGCTAAGTTTATGGATCATGAGTCGCAGCCACTGGAGACAAAGTGGTCACTTTAACGGCGAAGCTGGCAGAAATCAGCAGTTGATTCTCACAGAACTCGAGCGCTGATTCTCGGCTGGTGAAGAGTCTTTCCTTGTCCACGACGTCATTCTGGAGCAGCAACTTGGTGATTGTGGGGAGAGTTGCAGCATAGAGAACTGTGATGCCGTAATTGGTGCAGTACTTTTGCAGAATCAAGAATGCACTGCGCGCGACAGTGGCGTCCATGCCTGATACTCCACTGAAGTCCATGACAACGAAGTCGGTTGGCGCTGCATCCGAATGAGGAGTGGGGCTTCCGTCCAAGCATTGTGTGCAAAGTGCTTGATTTGCCTCCAGTTCTAGCAGCGCATCCGGGTCACCAACTATATCTCCATCGACATTACTTGTACTGTGTTGCACTTTGCGAATGTAGACGGCCTTCTGAATACTGTTGAGAATTTGCACCGAGGACCCGAAGAAGAGCAGGCCACTCAACTCGAAGCACGCGATTGTATCTCGCTGCTGGTCCAGATAACTTCGCTCTGCAGCAGTACGCATAGTACCGGACGAACATTGCTTGCGAACTACAACGGGTAGACGCACGAAGTCCAGCAGGAAATTAAGGATCGCGATACCCAGGCCAATAAGCATGCCCACATCGAGCGACACAAAGTTAACGGCGATGAATGTCAGCCATAGCACAGCGTACTCACGCAGAGGCATCTTCCAGTACGTGAGCACGAGCCACTCGATCATTAGATCAATTGCGATGAACACAACCGTGGCCGCGAAGAAGAAGCGAGGCAAGTAGCTCATGACGGAAACGGGGGCGATGACGACCGCTAGCTCAGCCAGGGCGACACAAATGCCTACAATCCGTGAGTTTGTCTTAGATCGGCAAGTAAAAATGGTCTGGGAGAAGATGTAAGAGCCCGTGTATCCACCAAGCAGACCACTTATAACGTTCGACCAGCCGACAGTCTTGAGTTCATGGTTGAAGTCGAGTTTCGTGCCCATTTCGATCTCGATAGCCGCAACATCCAAGCAAGACCCAATTGCCACGATGAATACCATGCCGAGCCACGTTCCCCACTGCTTTGGTAGCTGATCCCAACGCACCTGAGAGAAGTCCACGAGGTTAAGAAGATCCGTGACGGTAGCGGGTTCCTGTGCGGAGTCGATCCACCCTCCGTCGCGCGCTTCCTCCAGCGAAATACCGCTTACCAACACAATGAAGAAGAACATCACTGGCATGGCCATAATCGCCCCAGATAGGATGAAGGAATTGTCGTAACGTTGGGATACCACAAGGAAGAATATGCCGCCCAGGAAGCCAGGTATACACAGCAGTAGGTTGTGCGTGTCGTAGAAAACTCTGATCATTGACTCGAGACCGTTAACCGCAAGACCCGTGCACAACGCAAACCCAGCGTAGAACCAGAACACACCGATGAACGCCAGGTAGCCCCCGATGACGGGGATCGGTAGGTAAGACGCAAAGACTGCCAGCCTCAGGCGGCCCATGATCACAAGACTGACACCCAGCAGCGCGGTTGCAATGCCAATGGTAACAATCGAAGTCGTCACTTTGGCCGCTGGAGACACCTCCTCGCCCAGCGAGTTGCAGATGGAGGTGGCCATGACGCCTAAGAAGATGAGACCGGCGTCCTGCACCTGTCCGATGGCGAAGGGCAGCGAGCTCAGCAGTGCAAACACGACTTGATGTATGAAGCACGAGAAGATGACGAGCTTGGACAGCGCCGGCATGAATTCGGAGAAGTCCTCGTGGCTGAAGATGATGACAGCGTAGCCGTATATACCGGGAATGGCGAGGATCGAGTTGATGATGCCGTACATGAGCGCATTCGTGAAGTTTGCGAGAGGTGCTGGATTGCTATGAGCCTGTTCATCCTCGGTATTGATGAGTAGCGCTCGTGAAGGAGACCCGATGTCCGACTTCTTGGACGTCGTAGAGAGGAGCGAAAGGCGATGCGGGTCCATCGCCAACTCGGAGAATGAGGCCTTACAGCAATTGGGTCCAACCTCGAGCAGATCTTTGCGGTGGCTGTTTCATTAGCTTTTATCGCCTGTCGCCAATAACGACAACACGCTGCTGGCACGTGCGGGAGTCTTGCTCAACCGAAACGTACTTTCGATCTACAGTAGTTGATGCATCGCCAAAAAGAGTTAGCAGACGTTCGGGTACGGTAATATTGTGAACTCCTGTTTTCTTTTTGCTTCTCACAAATTAGAGCTTCATCCGTTTGCGATGTGTGGGGCTACCAGCACATTTTGTGAACACGTTTTTCCCAGCCGCTGCACCAGAATGCCGAGGCTACTTGCTTGTAGTGAGTTAATTCGTGACTCTCGACCTCGGTTCGACTTCAGTGACTGGGATTTCTTCGGAAGGAATGATATTCTGCATGCCGGAGTCAGCCGATGGGAAGCAGTTGACGGAAGGCGCAGTGCATTGGAGCTAAAGGGTCAGGGTGCTGTGGTTTTCCCAGGTTGAGTGCTGTGGCTGAGCGGCTTCATGAAGAATTCGGTGAGTTGGGGCTCACAACGGAGAGATTTCGCCGTCCGTTTACTTCCCACCTGACGGTGTGGAAGACGTCCCGGGACCGGGAGCTCATTAAGAGTCTCAATGCTGGACGAGAAACGGATGAACCTTCGGTGCAAGATGAAGTTCTTCGTGTTGTGACGTGGTAACTCAACGGAAGAAGCACTGGGAAGTGAGTTTCCGAGAGCTATCGAGCTGCTGAACATGAAAGAGAAAGGAGAAGACGGTAAGAGCATGCAACTTTTGCGTTCATGTGCCTCGTGCGCACTTATTCATCAAACTTCGTGGCTGCAGGTCCGCTGCCATGCGCGCAGCCTCAGAGTGCATAACTTGGCACGCCTGGCCAATGGCTTTGGGCATCAACACAACTTCTGTTACCCGTGCACTTTTCACTAAATCAATGGGTATGATAGCCAGCACCTGCATCATCGGGAAGACGCAGCACGCAGAGAGTGACGTGCAACGTTCTTGGGCAGGGCGCGACCTCGGGACAAGCGTCGCGGATCGCAGTCTGGAGCGCTTCCACCTTCGCCACTAGCTCCGGTGAAGTAGCTCGGAACCCCACGAAGAAGTTGGGCCACTCCCGACGACGAGCGCGTGGGCTCCGCTTCCAGCGAGGACTGCGGCCAACTCGGGGCGAGTGCATAGACATCCGTCTAAGGAGCATGCGGTTGGTTGGTTATTCTACCGACCGACCGACCGGTCGCAGATGATTACTTGGTGTCCCCGAAGATGTGATCATGGGGTTAAGTAATCTGCTGTACGTGTCGGTAGGCCAGCGCATTGACGCAGACGCAGTCATTCTACCATTGGACTGGTAACTATGAGGGCGGTGCACGGGGCTGTTGCAGTGCTGTGTGTAGTTTTAAGTATGCTCTTGAGCGGAGTTTCGATCCCCTCACTTTTCCTTCTGGATCTCAACGAACAAGTCGAACTCAGTATCAAGCGAGAGATGGTGGCCCCTTCCAAGCACGCACTCGTAGTCGGAGCTTCCTCCGGCATTGGCCTCGGGGTGGCCAAGGAACTGGCGCCTATTGTTGCCAAGCTCACCCTTTGCTCGCGCTCGTACCCGGAGGAGCTACTGAAGACCATCAAGGCGGACAACCCGAACGTGGAGGTTGTTCACGAGAAGCTGGACGTGTCGTTGATGCACGAAGTGCGCAAGTTCACGACCAAGCACGCAGACACGAAGTTCGACTGGATCGTCATGAGCCCCGGTATCATGACACTCAACGGTCGAACGGAGACGGCTGAGGGTCTCGATGTGAAGATGGCGACGCACTACTACGGCAGGTAAACGAGCGATGCATTGCTATGTGCGGTGGAGTGTTGTAGCTCATCTATTGTGCCGGTTGATGGAGCAGATTCATGCTGGTTCACGACTTGCTGCAAGGTTTGAACCGCCCCGGCGTGCGTGTTCTGAACATTCTCGCTGCTGGCCACGGAGGCGAAGTGGATGTGAACGACCTCGACCTCAAGCACACGTTCTCCGGCAAACGCTGCGCAGACGTCACCACTCAATACTCGTACGTTGTAGTGTCGGCTGTACCAGTCTACCTTATAACTGAAGCTAACCTCTTTGAGTCCCCAGAGACCTGATGGCTCAAGCCTTCTCCGAGCACGCTCCGAATGCCTCCTTCATGCACGCCTCGCCGGGATTCGTGAACACTGGACTGGGTAAGCAGCTCCCTTGGTACCTGCGCGTGCCTTTCACTGGACTAGCGTCAGTGCTCGCTCGCTCCCCCGAAACGTGCGGCAAGTTCATGGTCTCCGCTCTGCTCGACGACAACTACGCCACCGGCTGGAAGCTGCTCGACCAAAACGCGAAGGAGGTGGCCAAGACCAAATTCCACACTGAAGAGCTCAAGGACACGGTCTGGAGCCACACGATCAAGACCATCGACGACATCATGAAGCAGTAGCTGTACATACTACACTCGTCTACAGTAGAGCAGACACAGCAATAAAAGTCACAATGCATTTCTTGATGGTCAAGTTGATGTTTCTTTTTACCGTAAATGTCCGAGCCGAAATATTCGTGCGAGAGAGAGGAAAATCCAAGTTTCACTTTTCGGAACGACTCTAACACATCACATTCCACCCTACCACGACATGTCGGACGAGGAGGTCAAGAGCAGCGAGCCCACGGCGGGCGTGGCGATGGTCTCGGGCAGCATCAGCCTCCCGTCCGCCGAGGAGAACACGCTGGACGAGCCCGTGTCCACCACCATCGTACGTAGGCGTCCTGCACCTGCAATAATCTCTGGCTCTGACTAAATCTCCGACTCTGATGTGACGCGTGGCTCTTCGCTTGGCGGCAGCTCCGCGACCTGCGGCTCGTGGGCGGCAAGCTGCGCGTGGTGCTCATGCCCAGCAACACGTCGGAGGAGACGCTCAAGGCGCTGCGGGACTGTACGTCGTCTGGATTGAGATGTGTGGGAGTGTGAAGCTTTGGGCTGACTCGACTGGGTGCTTCTGTGTGTGGGCTTATAGGGGACCTGTGGGGCCCACTGCTGCTGTGTCTGACGCTGTCGATGTGGGTTTTAAGCTGCTGAAGTTTGGGTATGAGAAGGAAGTTGGGCTCTGATGAGGGATTTTGTTCTGCTTTGGTGTTTTGGCAGTATGTTGAGTGTGACGGCACCCGCGGCGCAGTCGGCGATGGTGTTTACCGGTGTCTTTGTAGTGATTTGGGTGGGCGCTGCGATCGTCACTATCAACGCACAGCTCCTGGGCAGCACCATGTACGTTGCGGATGGATGACTGAGATGCTTCTTTGGTGGAATTGGTGGTGATTGATTCTTGTCTTCTGGGTTGGCTTTGGATCGGCGCAGATCGTTCTTCCAGAGCGTGTGCGTGCTCGGGTACTGCGTGTTCCCGCTGAACATTGCGACGTTGGTGTGCATGCTTGCCAAAGTGATGGTCTCGCACATCTTGCTGCGGTTGTTCGTCGTGGCGGTGGGCTTCCTCTGGTCTACGCGAGGTGAGTCATGCTCGCCGAGAGAACAACCAAAAAAAATCTGCACCCATGGATCACGTACTGATGTCCTGTTGTGTTTTTGTCTGCAACTTCCGTCTCGTTGTCTCCTGCTACGTATCTTCACCGTCTCCAGCCTCGGTCGTGTTCATGTCCAAGCTGGTGCCGCCCAAGCGCAAGGCGCTCACTGTCTACCCAGTGCTGCTCTTCTACCTGTTCATCAGCTGGATGGTGCTCATCCAATAAGCCCAAGCGTACCATAAGCTGCGTGCTTGTTCCACAGCAACGTCGTCAGTAAAAGGATACACTTTGTTAAGTTTTGTTTACTTTTAGCAAGTTTCGTCCACTTTCGTGTCATTTCATTCGTCACTCTAGCCGAATTATTTAGGTTTCTCCAACATTTCCCGCCAAAAACTGCCGTAGCCATTCCGCATTATTCAAACTCATGGAGCTGCAGCGGGAGCTGGCGCGCGCGCTGCGGCCGCTGGCGCTGGGCGGCGTGCCCGAGAGCGCCATCACCGCGCTGTTCGACACGGGCGGCACGGCGGCCGTGCGCGAGGAGTGGGCGGACGGCGCGTCGCGGCGCCAGCTGCGCGCCGTGGAGCGCGTGTTCGCCAAGTGTCTGCGGCGCCCGGAGGAGGCGGCGGCGCCGCTCTGGAGCTTCTTGGTGTCCCAGGAGGCCATCGACGCCGTGCTGGACGCGCAGCAGGACGCGGAGAATCGCGACGCCGTGTACCGCTCGCTGCTGACGCTGCTGCAGGCCGTTGTGAACGTGCGCGACGTGTACGCGAGCTTGAGCGACGGCGAGAGGCGGCGCGCGCTGCTCAAGGCGCTGGTGGCCGCCAAGAGCTACTTGGCGTGGCTGCAGCTGCCCAGCAGCTCGGCCTACGGGCTGTTCATGCCGTATGTGTACAGGCAGGTGCTGGACACGCTCAAGAAGTGGGTGGTGCTCATGGCGGCCAAGGAGCAGGGCGGCGGCTCAAATGCTGCCACGCAGAAGAAGAAGAACAAGGCGACGACTCGGCGTGGCAGGAAGAGAGGCGGCAAGAAGCAGCAGAGCAGTGACGAGGAGAGTGAAGAGGAGGAGGAGGACGCCCACGCCACGTATCAGATGCTCACGACGTACGGACTGGAGCTACTGGACATGCTCGTGACGTTCCTGGATAATTTCTCTCTATCGGCAAGTAAGGAGTCCATTGTGCCGACTATTGAGACGGCGATTGCGTTGCAGACGGCGCTGCCGCCGGAGAACGAGGGCACGGCGTCCGCGATGACGGCCAAGACGCTGCAGGTGCTGGAGAAGCTGGTGAGCGGGTCGCACGGAGAGCCGCTGCAGATTGGGCGCGTGATTCTGCATTGCTACATCCCAGGTGTGACGTTCCAGGATACGGTGGCGAAGGAGAACAGGTCTTCGCTGCGCTTCCACAAGCTCTCTATTGATGTTATTGGCAGGATTCAGAACATCGCAGCGAAAGCCTGCGAGGAGGACGACGCTGAAGGGACTGCGCGGCAGGACAACTCGCTGATGCTGCTGGGGTTGATGCAGAACATTTGTCTGCAGGCACCAGGTCTTGCGGACGAACGGCAGCGTGTGCTCTCATACGTGTTTTCGACCTCCATGGCTGCACGGCGAGATAGTGAGCTTGAAGAGAGCGAGAGACCGAGTGAGTTCCGAGATGAAGAGTGTGTCCGGTTCGCACGATTCCTCGCGAGCTACTCCCGCAATGCCAAGCTCAAGTATCGGCAGTTCGCTGTGGAGCTTATCAGCCGATTTGTGGTGGAAACCAGGTTCTGGAAGGTGAAGGAGGATCAACTGCCTGAAAACTTAGTTGCGTACTCGGGCGTTGGCCCGCTGCTGGAGGTGCTGATTGACCGAGCTCGTGACAAGATGTCCCAAGTTCGTACTAAGGCGATTGCTGGCATCTCAGCTATGTTGACTCTTGGATTATCTAACCTGGCGACCAGCGAGGACGGAGACGACGAAGAAATGAACGAAGCTAGGGGATCGGAAGCGATTACGAGCTCCCTGCAAACTCTTCTATACGAACCATCAACCGACGACGAGGGGAACAGTACGCTCGAGGAAACCGCGCTTATGCAGCGCCTGATTGATCTGTTCCGTGAGCGACTTGTGGATGAGAAGACATTTGTGCGGAGAGCTGCAGTGCAGGCACTGGAGGCTCTGTTGACAGCACACTCAGGCGAGTCCGTTCATGCTTCCTCGAGGAAAGACTTGTTTGACATTCACGCCCGCTGCACCGACTCCTCTGTGGTTGTGCGTGTGCAATCTATCAAGTCGCTGTCGGCGATCCTTCTCAAATTCCCGATGGATGAGGAAGCTCAGAAGCTGTGGAATCTTGGCGTGCTCCCGCTGTGCGTTGATCCTGAAAACAGCGTGCAGACTTGTGCACTGGAGGCGGCAGGACGGGTTGTGTTTGATCGGATACTGGCATGGTACGATGCTCGTCGCAACAAAGCCCTGCGTGAAGCCCTCAACTCAGCGTGGATGCAAGTCTCGCACCTTGACGGTGTCATGGCACGGTGTTTGCAGAAAGCGCTGCGTACGCTTGTTAAGAGCGACAAAATCGACGTGGAGAAAATTATTCAGGCTTGCATATTCGCGATCAAGGAAAGTGTGAGTCCGTACAGCTCCGGCGAAGAATTTCAAGACGAGACCGAAGATGAAGCGACCAGGAGAACGTTGACGCGCTACTGGGGTTTCAGTTGGATTGTACTGGAGGAGCTAGCGCACTCGGGCAATTTGATTGAAGCTGTCAAGGGCAAACAACAGAATCTGAGTATTGTCGTCGACTGCTGGAACAAGTTGCAAGACCAGGCACTGCCGGTTGAGTTCAACGATGGATCTAAGCGCATTCTACGAGTGATTGCCGCTATCTCTACCGTGATTGATGCGCAGGATGCCAAGTCGATTGCGGACGGCATTTTGGCATCGTTGCATTCGTTTGCCATTCCGCTGAACGTCATCGCTGATGGTATCCGCGCTCTGAACAGCATTTGCAAGGCCAAGGCTCCGTCTCCCGAAAAGAGTCGCGACATTAGCTTTGCATGGGGAAAGAAATTGCTCGAGCTCTGCGAAACCAACCTGCGTAAATGCTTCGAGAATAGCCCTGACAGCGTGGAGGAGGAGACTGCGCTCTTGCAGAAACAGCTTATCTCGATTGGGGAAGTGGCGCTGCTCGAGTTCGATAAGGATGCGGACAAGAGTGGAGAAGCAGCTCTCTTGCCGGTCAGCCCCAGTTTGAAGTCGCTCGTGCAGCTCTTTTTGCCGCCAAAGTTTGTACCGAACAGCATCGCCATCAGCCAGTCCATGTTACAAGCTGCTGGAAGTGATGAAGACGAAGTGTCAACTTCCGTTCTGTCCGATCCCGTTCCGCTTCCGACTCCTGTTCGAGTGTGCGCCTTCGTCACCCTCGGCAAGCTGTGCTTGCGGGACAGCGACCTAGCGAAGCAGTGTATGACCATGTTCATTCGCGAGCTGCGGACCTGCGAGGAGCAGGACATCCGTTCGAACATCCTGCTGATTCTCGGTGACCTGTGTATTCGGTACACGTCTCTCGTGGATGCTTACGTTCCTACCATCGCCTTGTCGCTGCTGGACGAGAGCCGACTGCTGCGCCGCAGCACGTTGCTGCTGTTCTCGCAGCTAATTCTTCAGGACTACATCAAGTGGCGTGAATCATTGTTGCGCTTCTTCCTTCGTGCAGCGGTGGATGAAGATGAAGAATTGTCCAACCTAGCGCGTCATGTACTCTGCGGGCCGCTGCTGCAAAAATCGCCGCACATTTTCACGAACAAGTTCATCGAGATGATCTTCGTGTTCAACGGGTACAACGGCAACAAGCTCAAGTTTTCGGAGCCCTTTGAAGAGGAAGGCACGCGCGAGCTTGCGCTCCTGGGCAATGCGCTCTACCCTCGACGTTCGAAGCTGTACAACTTCCTGCTGGAGCACATGTCGGACGAGCAAAAGCTGCAGATTTCCATGAAGCTCTGCACTGAAGTGCTCGAGGAGGTGATGGACGGCACTCTTCCTTTGTGCGATAATCCGTCGCAGATCAATGACCAGTGCACTGAAGCAGTCCTGAAGGATACGTTTGCTATCCTGTGCTCGCCAGACATCAAGCTCACAACAGCGAAGGAAGACGAAGATGAAACTGAGGGCGACGACGCCGCAGCTGGTGGCAACGCCAACGTCGCGTCACAGATTGCAGCGGCCAAGGGTAAACTGCTCTCGAAGATGTCCAAGAAAAACTTCCTTGAGAACATTGTGCCCGTGCTGATCGGCCTCAAGCACACGTTGGAGTCGAAGCACAGCCCACTGACTCGCTACCTGCTTCATTACATCCGCGAGCTGTTCAAGATGTACCGCCAGGAGGTGAAGGACATCTTCATGAACACGGACCCGCAAATGGCCATGGAAGTCGAGTACGATCTGCGCCAGCTCGACCTGCAGCAGCAACAGCAAAAGCAGCAGCAGTCGCGCCGCATGACGTACGCGCCGGAAGAGGCTCAAGCCGCGCCGCCGACTTCACCACCAGTTACCGCCGCTCGTGCCCCTCATACGCCGCAGGAGGAGCTGTTGGAGGCGAGCCATACCTCTGTGCGTCTACGCAGCGACGAGAAGCGCGCGCCTGAGGCATCTCGCAAGGAGACGCGTCAGGAAGCGGTCGAGAGCTCGACGCTGATCTTCTCCCCAAGTCAGGGTCAGGCCAACGAGAACTGGCACGTGACGGCCAAGTCTCCTTCCGTGGACAAGCCTCGGGGTCGTCGCAGGAAGAGCTTCACGCAGGAAGACCTGGAAGGCCGCATGAAGAAGGACCTCGCCGCCGCGTTCGACTCGGCCGGCGACTCGGACGAGGACGTGCCACCGACCGTGAACATTTCCCGACGCAGGGCGAAGGCCAAGAAGACGAAAGCTAAAGCCACGAAGTCCAAGACGAAGAAGAGCTCCAAGGCTGATAGTGAGGATGAAGACAACGACGGAGAAGGAGAGCAGCGCCATGAGGGGGAAGAAGAGGATGACGAGAAGGACGATGAGGTCGCACCGCTCCCACTCAAGAAGAAGGCGAAGAAGACCAAGAACCCCAAGCAAGCTGAGTCTGCTGTAAGCACTCGCCCCAAGCGCAAACGCAATTAACTAACCAGAAATTGCGTATAGCAAATGAAGAAAACATTGTCCAGTAAGTATCTGCCCCATCATTCATTTAAGAGAGATAGAGAGAGGTGCATATCTGGTGTGGTGTAGTTGCCCACTTTATCTAATGAGTCCGTTGTTCACGGGGGCCGTGCAGGGGCCCGCGGACGTGCCGAACACGTGCTCCTTCCACTTGGCGACGCCGCTGTCGTCCGTCTTCATCTCGTCGCCCAGCACCGTCAGCACCTTCTTCTTCTCCACCTGCGCGGGGGAGAAGGGCTCGCCCGTGAGGCCCTCGAACGTGATGCGCTCGCCCACCTTGGCGCCCTCGGGGGGCGTCACGAACGCCACCTTCTCCTTGCCGTCCTCGAGCGGCACGGCGGCGCACATGACCATGCCGTGGCTGCGGAAGCCCACGAGGTTGCGCGGCTTGAGGTTGCACAGCACGAGCACGCGCGCGTCCTGCATCTGCTCGAGCGAGTAGTGGTGCACGAGGCCGCTGGCGATCTGGCGGGGCGCGTCCTCGCCCACGTCGATCTCCTCGCAGTAGAGCTTGTCGGCCGTCTCGTGCTTCCAGACCTTGACGATCTTGCCCACGCGGATGTCGAGCTTGGTGATCTCGGGCTGGTTGGGGTCGGCGGCGGGGGCCTTGGCGGGCTTGGGGGCCTTGGGCTTCTTGGCCTTGGGCTTCTGCTGCTGCTTCTGGGCCTCGGCGCCCACGGGGGCGTTGGCCTCGATGCCCAGGTCGCTCTCCACGGCGCTGATGAGGCTCTGGATCTGCTCGGCGGCGCTGCTGCTCATGGCGGTAACGTCTGCTGTGTCTGCGGTAGTGCGGAGTTGGGTAAATGAGCTCTTGGGCTGATGGACGTGGGCAATGTACCGGTTTTGTGGTACAGGAGTGCCGTGTACTACGTGTAGTAGCCATGTTGGCGAAGGGCGTGTCGGCGAGAGCGAAGACGAGAAGGACTGGAGCTTGCTGCCCGAGCGTGACAATTACTCAGGCGTTGCTTGGTTTTGGTTTATTCGCGATTAACGTCGAAGTGATGCCCACGCTAACGGGATGAATGTACTAAAGCGGAGTTGATAGTCAGTCTGCGTCGAAATGCACAGCGGGATGGTACATGCATTCCGCCTTGAATCAAGGCTTGCCATCAAGTGTTCCCGTCAACGGAGCATCTGTTCTCTCGCTTCAACGTGAGCTAATCATCATCATGTTGAAGTGTGTCTGCCCGCACCACGCAGCTTTGCATCTGTCGCTACATTCCGCACCGCAGCTCGTTAAACGTAGCAAATAACGATATTCGCTTGACGGGAGGCAGCGCTACAAAGCGGGCAGTGAGCTCCTCCGCGGCCGCGAACTCCCCCCTCCGCACGTGGATGTTCGCTACGGACTCGATGAGGTCTGAGCCAACAAGGTGCAGAACTGTGAGCATGATGACAGCTACCTCATAACCAACTTCAAAAGCGCGTACATGGATCTGTTGACGCTGCCGCTAGCATTTCTCTCAGTAATTTGAGGCGCAGGTCTGTCAGACTAAGACGCAGTGTACGTCTAAGTCAGCAGGGAGGACAAAGCAAGATCAAGTGCTGCATGTATACACATACTGCCCCAGGCTGTTGGAGCTTCGAATCGTGAATTTAATTTCATCTGAGCTCGCGAGGGTCGGGTCCTCAATGTACTCTTGCTCGCGCAGAATTCTGCTCACGGAAGATAACTAAATAGGTTAGCGCTTGTCTTATCAGGCAAGGCAGTACATCCCAGTTGCGTTTACAAACCTGTCCACATAAGCAAGATCCTTCAGGCGGTCTTCTGGGAGTGAGAGCTCGATAAATTTTGACAGCAGATCTACCGAGAAGAAGAACAATGTGGTTAGCGGAACTATCTTTCGTTCAATCCCACAACATAGTTCTATATCGTACCTGCAGCCTCTTGGCGTTGTTTGCGCTGCAGCGCGCGCGAGAACAAATAATGGAGCGCTGATCTCCTCTTTTGAGGTGATGAATAAATATTAGAAGAGAAATTCGCGATGCCACCACAAGATCGCAACTTATGTACCTACCCGCAGCCGCTGCTTCTCCAAGGTTTCCTCCAGCAATTCCGGTGGTATTTGAGCAAGGTGTTTCTCCTTCATCATCTGACACGCCGCGTCGTAGTTCTCCAGACATCGCGCCGTGTCGTGCAAGCGATCCCAAAGACGAGCAAGCTGTGGCCCCCAACTCGGTCAGTAAAATATACATCCAACTACGGCACCAGCACAAACGCGTTCGGCACGCATACCTTCAGGTTCGCCATGTACGGGTCTAGCATCGTGGGTCGGTCCTTCTTGATCGCTCGGATTTGGTCCATGAGCTGCTTAAAAACTGTAGCTGAGACGCTCTCGCTCCGGCGACTCGGCTTTTGCACTGTCATCTCTGGCAGTGACACAATTCCTGCAGGCGTTGCAGCTCGGTCGACGTTCCCTGCGTACGAGGAGCTCCCCGGTCGCACCACGGCCGGCGCCGAGGCCTCCAGATGCGCCAAGTACTGCCGCAGCGCGGCCACATCCTTGTCGCGCGCCGCCTTGGCACGCTGCAGCCGCTCGTGCCGCTCCTTCCTGCGCAGAAGCGACTCGTCGATGAGCTCATGATTTCGAACAGCGAGAGATGGAGTCACTCACTTGTCCTGGATGGCTGGGAGCCTCTTCTTCTCGGCCTGGTAGCGGCTCTGCAGCGCGCGGATCTGGTCCAGCACCGCCGCGCGCTGGTTGTAGTGCGTGGCGTTCTCTGTGAATGCAAGCAGCAGCAGCAGCCGCCATCAGCACCGCCGCCTCGATTTGAACACCTCAACAGAGCTCCTCGCACCTGCATGGAGCGCGATCTTGGCCTCGTCGCGAGTGTCGAGCTGCATCAAGCGCACGAGGCTGCGCGTGCGGTCTCGCTGGGCCTCTCGGCGCGCAGCCTCCTGCTGCTTCTCGGCGGCATCCTGGACGTGCAGGCGCCGCAGCTCCGCAGCAATCACGGACCTGCACGTTGAAGTTGAGGCAGCCACGTACGAGTCGTACGTGGTGTCGCCCATCTCCACTTGGTCTGAAAGGGCGCGACGTATCAGGCCACTTATTGACAAAGATCTCGAGCTATAAATAACTCGCGCACAAGGATAGCTTGCTCGCATGTTCTCCTCTTAGCGTTCGCTGCGCCTTCGCCGAGCTTGGCCTCCACACTCACAGCTATGAAAGCTGCCCAGCTTCTGGCGGTCTCCCTTCCCCGCAGCGGCTGATAACGGGCGACTGGCTTCTTCGCGTGGCTTCGCACTTAATTGAAGTTCAAGGACTCTTCGAGTCGCCGTTTCTGGGCCCCAAGATCTCGCCATACAAACCGCGAGTCACTCTCGTACGTCACCCGTGCGTGTCTGCGCAGCCAATCAGCGCCAAGCGGGATCGTTTCCTTATCGTTCAAGTCCTTCAACCCAGGTCTTCTTCCCCGCAAATCATCCCAACTACCACCACCAAAACCGCCGAACCCTTCACCCCAACGTCGTTAAAGCCAGGCGGCCCCACGCCTTCGATAAAAAACCGGACGGCCGCCATCCTACGTCAGCAGCTCCGCTATTCTGCTATTTGCCTCCAAACCAGTCAACCAAAGCCAGAGCAAAGCCGAGGCGAGCGCGCCACACGAGCGAACGCCGCCATAACATACGGCCCAGCAGCCCAGCAGCCAGTCAGCCCGCGTACGTACGTAGGCACACACACACACGCGTTCAGTCCGAAGAGTCCCCAGTCCCAATTAGCAGCCGCAGCCCGCACGCACATGTCGATCGAGTACGGGATGCCCATCGTGCTGCCGCCCATCGGACCGCTGTTCGCCAGCAGCGGGTCCCCCACGGCGGCGCTGCTGGCCTACGAGAGCGAGGAGCAGCGCGAGCAGTACGAGGAGGACATGGCCAGGTACTTTGGCGTGCCGCTGCCCAGCTACATGCGCCGCCGCCACACACAGACCCAGACCCAGCAGGAGGAGCAGCAGGAGGAGGAGGAGCAGGACGATCATCAGCAGGAGGAGCCCGCCAACCTGCGCACGCCCACGAGCGTTAGCAGCTTCGCGCCGTCCTCGTCCCCCGTCAAGAAGGACGCGGCCACGACCAAGACGGCGCTGCCGCTGCTGCACCTCGACTCCCCCACGCAGACGGACGGCTCGGCCACGGAGCACTCGTCGCCGTCCCCCTCGGGCGAGGAGGAGAAGCTGCGCGTGAGCCGCGAGCGCAACCGCCTGCACGCGCAGCGCACGCGCATCCGCAAGCGCGAGCTGCTCGAGAGCCTGAAAGAGCGCATCGAGGCGCTGCAGGACGAGTTCGAGCTGCTCAAGCAGGCCTACGACTTCCACGCCACGGCCGTGTGTCTGCTGCGTCTGGGCAACGTCGTGGACGTCCCGTGCGTGCAGAAGCTCGAGCAGGTGGGCATCAACGCCACGGAGGACCGCGACGAGGAAGGACGGCTCTGCGACGCGGCCAAGACCGCCGCGCACGACAGCGACGCGGACGCCGACCACGAGGACGCGCACGAGCACGAGAAGGGCTGCGCCTGCTCCGGCAAGGACGCCGCCCCCAGCGACGCCTGCACGTGCATCGGCGCGCAGCTCAACGCCAACGGCAAGCGGCCGTACTCGTCCACCACTACCGCCGCGTCGACCAGCAGCGGCAGCAACATGCTCGTCTGCTCCAAGGAGGAGCGCGAGCGCGTGCGGCGCGAACGCAACCGCCTGCACGCGCGGAGAGCGCGTCTTCGCAAGAAAATGGTGCTCGAAAAAAGCCAGCAGGTACGGACTTTATGAGCGTCTTCTTGTTGAACGGGCCTGTGTGTGCGTGGTGCTGACGCTCTCCTTGTTGTCGTCTTGTGACTGATTCAGGCTGTCCACGACCTGCGCGAACGCAACGACCGTCTGCGCGGCCGCCTGAGCGTGCTCGTGTCGTCCATCTACGGCTCGGAAGCGTGCCTGGACGACCCGGACGCCACCTCATGATCTCCACCAGGCGTCCACAACGCCTTCCTTCTCTTCACTCGCCATGATGACGGTCGGATTTTCGACACTTGCTGGACCGAGGCGGGAGTCTCCCTGTGCCTCGTCCGGCGGTGGTCGCTCTATCTATCTTATGTACTACTCCCTCTATCTATGGGCCGGCACATTGACCGGCTGGCGCTGCTTCAATGTAAATACAGCAGCATAGCATTTCATTTACTCAAGCACGTGTTGCATTATTGCGTTCCTTTGGTGGTCGTACGTACATGTAGTTTTGGTGGTGGCGATCATGGGCGACGTCGACTAATCGAAGCGTCGCGGGGCTTGGATTCCGTTGCGAGCGGCTAGCAATCAACTGATAAGTCGCCGGGATGAAGCGTGGGGCGTTGAGGCTGTCGGTGTCGACGTCACCCGTGGCAAGACGGACTCAAGTTTCGCCCTTGCACTCCATTCCGCCGAGGTTTCGCGATGAGGAGAGCGCGAGCAGCAGTGATGACGACAACGACGCGGTTGATACCAACCTAGAAGAGGATCTACTCGTGGAGATCCGAAGTAGGCAGCAACGTTCTCCATGCATTATTCTCCTTTTCACAGTGTTCGCGACATTCTTGGTGCTATTGGTGTTCTTGTTCTTGTTGCAGCGCTGGTGAAGAAGGAAAAGTACCTGGAGCAGCTAGAAAATGAGCTGCGAGAGTATGGAGAAGGCAGTGAGAGCGAGATCTATTCGCTGCGCGAAGCCTTGGATCAAGATGAGGACGAAATGCCTCTGCGGCGAGCCACACCCGAAAGCGTCCGAAGAAAAGTTTCTCGATCCGAAATAAAGGAGCGACATGGGGATAGCTCAACCACTACGGAGAGGAGGTCGCTGCCAACCCGAGCATGCGTGAACAACGCGATTATTGCGAAGGAGCACTTCCGCGCTTGCTTCGTGGAGGTGAACCCCGTTCAGCTCCGAGGAATTCGGACGCTGATTCTCTCGAGTCAAGACCTACAAATCCACCACTTGCGGGCACTGAGCAAGAATCTCTTCCTATTCAGCAGCCTGAAATCTGTAGATTTGTCCGACAACCAGCTCGACGATTCCGGTAGCAAAGAGATCCGTACGTGAAGGCTCGTGCTGCGAAGTATCCGATTGACACCGAATCTAACATACTCAACGCTAGGGGATCTAATGTGCTGTCCGGGACTGCAAGCCCTCGATTTATCACGAAACTTGCTCGGTCGGCTCACAGCGCGAACTATCTGCGAGCGTCTTCGCCATCAAGCTAAACTGCAGTCACTTGACCTACACGGGAATCTTTTCTTCTTAGACGGAGGTGATGTGGCCAGCGAGGTTGCTCGGTTATTTGCGAAAGGTGAGAGCCTTAAAACATTGGACAATCGTAGAGTTTTACTAACTTCCTTTCTTGTGGTGGTGAAGCTGTCGCTGTGAACGAGTTCCTCTTGCACTTCCGAATCAGCGCAGTTGACAAAGCCGAGAAGGTTGCTTCTCTCTCGGAGCAATGGGCAGATTACGCGCCTCGACGGATGCCCACTAAGCCTAAAAGCAAGGACGTGAAAGCCAGATCGACTGAAGTCACGACTGCAGCGACGGAATTCAGCCGGCACTTGGCCGAGCAACTCCAGCAGGGAGGAAAGCACAGCAGCCTCCTATCCCTTGGTCTCTGCTACGCTGAAGTCTCGCGTCGAGTGGTGCTCAACACGGTCAAGATGGCTAACCGGCTGACAGCGTTGGATCTGTCGTTCGCGTTCATTGGAATCCCCGGAGCACAAGTGGTCGCTGCGGCGCTGAGAATTGAGAGCTTCGCTACGCTGACGCAGCTCAATATGCGGTGCAATCGCACCAAATCCATGGGCGCGCAGGCGATCTTGGCGGCCCTGCACAAGAACGAGCGGTTGACTTTCCTAGACTTGAGTCACAACGAAATCCGCAGCGAGGCCGTTGACGTGCTTGTGGAGCTTTTAGAGCACAACAATGTGCTTAGTCGACTTGATCTCTCGGAGAACGACCTCATTGGCGAACAGAGGGACGGAGAGCTACACTCGTTGTGTGATGCAATTGTTGGGCATGGGGCTTTGCTGAGCTTGGGGCAACTGAACAGGTACATTTTGTTGAAAAGTGTTTGATAGTGGTGCATATCCTGACAATTGCTGATGCTGCGCACAGCTTGGGTGCGAATGAAGACCAGCAACGTGTGCTACAAGACGGTTTGGATCGAAATCGTATCGCCGATGATCATAAGGTTCTCGAGTCGATCAATGCTGTGACTGCTTCAAGACCTACAGACGAATCTGCACCGCCGAGGAAACGACACGTGCTTAGTACGATGGTTGAGTTAAACGAAGCGGAAACTTTGACGACGGTGTGGCAACGCAAGATAACGAGAAGTGGCCGAGTGAGCTTGAAGTGGAGGATGGCAGTGAGACGGAAGCTACGAACGCTAAGCTCACCACCACTTGAGTGGAAACTCGTAGTGGACCGCAAGTGCGAGGCACGTGGATCTGTTGAAGACGAAGCAGCTACGGCGCAGTTTTTCCACGATGAAGAAGGTAAGGGAGGTAAAAGTCTACACGATGCCAGGCATCCGCGCTAACGTGTACTTGCATTGCAACTCAGGGTCCTCTTCCTACGAGCTTTATTCCGCAGTAGCGTATTGCGACAGGGACGACACGATATCTCTCAAGCTAGGTGTTGAGGACGAAGCAAGTGAATGCGCAGCCAAGCAGCAGTACAAGGTCTTCATCAAGGACATTGCATTTATCCCGCATCATGTGAGTAGTCTGCCGTACAGACTGGTTCCCTTAAAATATCTAACATCTATGTTGTCAAAGCCTCAAGACCGACGTCACGTCCTCGTAAGCCTCCCACGGGCTCTGTCGGGTACTGCAGTGCAGTGGCGAATGAAGAAGCAGCGGCTTATGGTGTCCCTACTTCAGGATCAAGAGATCGATACATCGTCTTTCTTGTGGGAGGGCGTAGTCCAGAGGGTCTACATCCACACCAGCGGGGTCTTCCGTCTGCTGTGTCGTGTTCAATACCCCGCAAGCTTCACGCGCAGCAACCAAGACACGCTGAAGTCACGCTACTGGTGGCAGCTCCAGCGCTCGAGCTGCTGGGACCCACACACGAACCACATCGTGCTCGAAGGGACCTACTTCGACTTGTATGGAGCGCTTCGTGACAACCGCGAAGTTGTTTTCTACCTGCCACCCATGGAGTGGATGGCCGGCGAGTATCTGCAGCTCTCCGTCACGACGCCAAGCGACGACGTGGTGCTGCGACTCGTCCAGTTCCAGCTCTTCCACGAGGTAACCTCATCTTTCACCTCGCGCCTTGACATCGACTCTCAATCACCCACGTCCTTGTCATTCCAGGTAGCGAGCTGGGAGCGCGCGTCGGCCATGCCATGCCTGAACTTGGTGGAGTGAAGCACTGAAGCCTGTTGTCTTGCACCAGTCGCCAGCGGACATGACCAACGGACGCGGCCGACCTGATCCCAAAACCGAAAGCGCCCGTTACGATCCTGCGTCTTCTTCCACATTTTGCCGTCTCCAAGACCCCGACAAACCCACTCCAGGCTTCGCTCGGCGCGAAGAAACCCCAGGAAGGCACCATAGCGTCGCTAGCCGAGGCCGACGGTGAAGGTGCGCCCGCCTCACCGTTGCCGCTGCCACACTCCGTCAGGGACGACGACGAGAAGAGCCCCCCAGTGAGCAGGCGCAACTCGCTCCGATCGCGATCACGCTCGCCACCCCCGCCGCATCTTCAGCTCGAAGAGACCGAGGAGAAGCCTCCAGTCGAAGAGACTGAGGAGAAGCCACCAGTCGAGCAGGAGATCTCCCAGCCAACCGTGGACGGCACCCGTCCACCCTACGCAGACATGCCCCCTCCACTCCAGACCATCCGCCAGAACAGCGCGCCCAAGATGGAGACCGTGTCGTGGGCGCTCACCGCCAACATGGAGCCGATCCTACCGACAAAGACGCCCCCGAAGCTAGGCACCCCCGGCACATTCCAGCAGAGCAAGCGCCGCATCACGTACTCGGCGGACGAGATCAGCCCGCACGCGCTGGACCGACTGGGAGTAAACGCCGACATCTTGAAGAAGGAGAAGGGCATGAAGAAGCTCGGCATCTGCGACGTCGACATCGTCCGGAGCGAGGAGCTGCGGCGCTACACGGGCGTCTCGCAGCTGGAGCCGACCTCCAAAGTCGAGTTCATGTTCGGCTTCAACGACGAGCAGCTGCACCGCGAACGAGCCATCAAGCGCCTGGGCACCAGCGAGCAGGAGATCATGGACGACTACAGCCGCAGAGTCTCCTGCTTAGGCACCTCCAACTCGTCGCCGTTGAAGCTGTAACATTTCATTCAGGAGGAAGTTCTCTCGTGCCTGCTTCACATTACCAAAAACCACTTCATTATCGACCCAAACGCTCGTACCTTGCTCTGGTCCCCTCTCACATGTACTGATAGCTGCTCTTGTCCTTCTCCAGTTGGTCCAACTTGTTGCCGAGCGAGATCCCGTCGCTCACGCCCCCCCCGCCGACGTTGTTGCCAGCTCCAGTGTTCAACGCACTCGACAGGTTCGCGACCGAGTTGCTGCCGGACAGCGAGAACGGAGGAGGGTACCCGCCGGTGGTGCCGCTGGGTCTCAGCTGAGCAGAGGAGAAGGAGCGGTACGTCGAGTTCGTCCCCAGGGTGGACGACACGGAGAAGCTGTGCTGCGAGCTCTGTGACCCCATCGACACCTGCTGCTGCTGCTTGTCCAGGAACGACTTCTTGACTCCGCGCATGGGCGCCTTGGTCTCCTGCTGCTTCTGCTGATACTGCTGTTGCTGTTGTTGCTTCTTCTTCCCCTTGGACGCCGCTGCACGCTGAGTGGCCAATGCTGCGGCGCTCGCTCGCTGGTGCTCGATGATCTGCGTCTGGTGGTCGTCGCCGACGATCGGCAAGTCCTGGTGCTGGCAGTGGCAGTTGCAGTCCGTGACGGGGCACACCGAGTGCGACTTGAACCAGTCGGCCAGGTGATGCGCGTGGCCGCCGTGCTTGCACGACTGACACCAGGTAAACCACTCGACGAACGGAATGCTGGACAGTTGGGCCAGGTTTTCGTATTCGTTCTTGCCCGTCTTGGGTTCCTTCAGCACGCCTCCGCTATCCGCTGCCACGCTGCTCACCAGGGTGTTCACGGCATCTGACGTCTGTCGGGAGCGACGATGGGCCAGTTCGAAGTACGGGTTCAGCGACCCGAACGGGAGCAAACACAACGCGCACTGCGGCAGCGGCTTACGGCACGTAGGACAGCACGTGAGCTTCGGCTTGGCGCGGTTCAGCCACGACGAGTGCGAGCCTCCAAGGCGGAGCAGACTGGCCAAAGACAGCGACGCGTTGCAAAAATTGCACCGCACGAACAACTGAGGCGGCACGGAGAGTGTTGACGGTGCTGAGAGCTCAGCTTGAAGGTCTTCAGCGTTGAAATCGCGCAGGAAGCTGGTAAAACCATTGAGCAGGTCCTCGAGCTGCGACCGTCCCACGTCAAACCGCGCGCGCTCGTGGAATAGCTGCCACTGGTTCAGCAGGTCTTTGTAGATCTGGATCCACTTCTCCAACGGAGGCGCTTTTGCCACGTAAGACGATGGAAGCCGCGCAGCTAGCAGCGCCAGCGTCTGGATGTCGCCCGTCATATCCAGATACGTCTGAAGCAGCCGAATACCGTCGGCGTTGATTCCAGTCACGATCAAACCCTCAAGACGACCAAACTGCTCGCTCTCCTCTTCGTGCAGGGCGACAAACGCGAGCAAATCCTCAGCTTGGAGGTACCGACAGGCGAACGCAAGCCGGTCGCTTAGCGGCAGCGTGATATCGTTGAGAATTGCAGAGTAGACTCCAGCACTCGCAGGTTTAGCTCCTCCAAACGCAGCCAGACCGTCGACGCTGCCCCAGTTTCTTCTGCTAGTTGGACGTCGGGCTGGCTGTTGGCTGGCGCGCATTGCGTTCAAGTTGGACGAGTTCGACGACGAGTTGGAACTCGCGGCGCACAGGAAGGACAGCATCGCGTGGAAGTAGCGCGGATTTGCTTGTGACATGATCTCGCTCCGCTTCAACAACTGCTGCGTCATGTTCGACCACAGAGACAGCCCTCCAGCACTGGCGATGGAAGACGAATAACCAGCAACAGACATTGCGATGAGCTGTAGCAAGTCTGGTGAATACGGCGACGCAACGCCAACGTTCAGGTGCTGCATCTGAGTGAGCCACGTAGCTCCCTTCTGAAGCAGTGCCACCGCCGCGTTCAAGTCACCGTGGAAAACAGCGAGAGCCGCCGCCCGGGCGTAATTCCCTTCTAACTCGCATCGGTTCAAAATGTTCTGCAACTCGTATCGACCGTTCTCATTCCACGAGCGGTTTGCGAAGTGAGCGTTGTCATCGTACTGCTTCTGCGGGTTCCAGATGCTCGAGTTGCTCCGGTGCATGTTTCTCCCCGATGCGCTGTCCAGACCTGGTCCACCCACGCCGGCTGATGACGCGCGGGACGCTCCTTGGCCATTATCAGGGTCCCAGTTGCAAGCCAGCAATCCCAAGCGTCGTCCAGGTCCTTCAAAGTACTGGCATCCAAGCACTTGGTCCGTCTTCATCACCGAGATGATGCCCACAGGCTCCTCCTCTCTGGAATCCTCCTGAACGGTGGCGGTAGAACCAGCAGCGCCAGTCTTCGCAGCAACCGGAGGATCTCCAGAGACCGTCAGCAAGTTCTTCACACCAGCAACGACCAGCGTATTCGGATCCACGGGCCAACCACGCAGCGGCCCAGTCATCATCGCATTGACAGCGTTGTTTGCCAGACCATTGCTGGCCGATCGTGATTGCTCCACGCGTGAAGCTCGGATGCGGCGGAGCGCCTCAACTTGATCCACCCACAACCACAAATTCCGCAGCTGTCGGCCTCTTGGAGTCGACTCGTTGAACAGCTTCAGATTCTTGGACAGTCCGATGGAGTAGCCCTGCTTGGCCAGCTTGTACATCTCGTTCGAGATGTCCTCTTCCACGCGAGAGCCCGAGCTGATCTCCTCCTCCAGCGCGAGTCGAGTCACGGCAGACGTCCCCAGTCCAGGTCCACTGACAGAGCCACCGAACAACAACCGACCGCAACCGAACGTCACCGCTCCATGAGACGACAGAGACAGCGGCATAGCGTCGTGCACTGAAATGTCCCCCAGTTCACCCGTAACAGAGGCGGTCAGCAGTCGATTGGGAAAAGCTGCGGCCGTGAGCTGGTGCTTCTGCGCGTTGCTGCTCTTGCCCACGTTATTGGCTCTCTGCATCCTCGACGGCGAGTCCACGTGCTGCCAGGAGAAGGACGTGAGCGGCTCCGACGTGTAGCGTCGGCGGAACGGCTTCTTGAGCGTCGAGGAGCCGCTCTCCTGCTTGGTGACGTCCCACAGCGACACCCACTTCTCCTCGGTGGACGCCGTCACCAAGATCCCGGGCTTGGACGGACACCACGACACCTGAGCGAGGTTCTTGCTCGTCTGGTACAGCGACAGCAGCGGGCCGGACGACGACTCCAGTTGTCGGATATCCCACACCTTGACCGGCTCCTGCGGTGCGTCACTGTACGTGGCCAGCATGTGCGGCCGGTGCTGGTCGAACACCACGCCCAACACCACCTTATTGTGAGCTACGACACTCATAGGTGACGAGCCTTTGGCTCTCAGATCGTACACTCTGAGCCACTTGAAGCCTGTTCCTGTAGCTAGACACGTCGGCTGCAGCGGCACCCAGGACAGCGCCATCGTGGCCTCGGAGTTGGCCAGTTCATGCACGGGCTTGGAGTCTGCAGCGGAGAAGCCACTGCCGGCACCAACACCGACACCGGCACTGCCGTTGCCGGAGCTGCCGGCCTTGCGGGAGCCGTCCTGGTCCCCTAGAGCCTCGATGTTGCTGCTGCTGCCGCTGCTCGTGAGCCCCGCGCCGCCGCCCGCCGCGGCTCCGGACGCATTGAGGTCCCACACGAGCGTGCAGAAGTCGCTGCGCACCTTCTCGAAGCCGGCGGCGAGCTGGTGCGGCACCGACGGGTTCCAGGCCACGGCGTGGCACGGCCGGCTGTACTTGGGCAGGAACTCGCGCATGACGCGCGCGCGCGGGTCCTCAAAGTCGCAGAGCAGCACCTTGCCGGAGCCGGTGCCGGTGGCGATCAGCAGCGGCTTGGCCTCAAATGGGTACCACTGCAGGCTCTTGAGCTGCTGCACCTTGGCGTTGATGCGCACGACGCGGAACGCGCGCTTGCGCTGCGTGGTGGGCGCGGCGTCGGGCGCGGCGTCGGCGTAGTCGCCCGAGCTCGTGGTCACCTCGAAGAGCCGCAGGTTGTCGGTGCCGACGGCGAAGAGGGACGCGTCATGCGGCGACCACTCCACGACCGTGCGCTTGCTCATGATGGTCGGCTCGAGTGACTTGGACACACCAAGAGGAGGATTCAGAAGGGATATGATTGGCGGAAAATGTAGAAGGGATTTTAGTTGTTGTTGTCTAAGATGCTACATGTTTGTGGTTTTCAGTAGGCGACACCTTCGTAGGTTGCGAGCTGCGCGATGAGGTCCTGATAGACATAATCGTTGGCGTTGTAGGCCCAGATGAAGTCCAAATGGCTGTAGATGTCGATGGTCTTGTCGTGCACGACGGTGCCGGACGGCAGCGACGACCGCAGGTGCTCGAGGTCGGCGGGCTCCGCCGCTGTAGAGTCCCGAACGCGGGTAGACCATGTCTCCAAGGGCGTACGCTGGCGGGGCAAAGGCGCCGTACTTGGCCTTGTTCGGACAGATGGCCGATGCGCACAGCGAGAGCCCCAGAGCCTGTACGCAGCTGCAGCCGTAGTCGAAGCGCGCGAGCGTGTCCTCCCGAATGCCCTGGGCGAAGTGCGCGATGTCCTTCACTGAGGTCCCCGCGCGGGGACGTGCGAGACGTTGAGGCTCGTGGTCGTCCCGAAGAGCAGCGAGATGGCGGACCCGCACATATCGTCGATGGCTGTGCACGTGTAGCCGGACAGGAACTTGGTGAGCAACTCGTTGTGCGCGAGGAGCTTGACGAAGCCCAGCCCCTCGGACAGCAGGTCCAAGTGAGCGTCCGCTAAGGCCACGAACAGCTCCGCCTTCGAGTGTCCGAGCCAAGAGACGGGAGCCAACGCACCGAAGTACGACACGCTCTTCGCCAATGTTTGGTTGGCCGCGAAACCCACGAGCGCCTGGGTGACGCCCTGCGAGTGGCCGACGTAGCTGATGGTGGGGCCACCCGATGTGTCCCGAACGTAGTTGATCATGGCTGGGAGGTCGTACAGCCTCATGTCTTCCCAGGAGAAATCCCAGAACTCGTCGTCGTCGGTGGTGTAGTGGATCGACTCGTTCGAGTACGTGTTGCCTCTGCTGTTGCCCAGCCACACGTCGTAGCCGGCGTCAGCCAGCACGAAGGCCAAGCTCTGGTTGCGGTAGTTGCAGACCCAGGCGAAGCTGCTCTCGATGATGCCGTGCTGCACCAACACCGCAGGCTTGTTGGCCGCAGCGGCGGCGCTAGATTGACTTTCGTCGTAGCTCTTCGGCAGTCGGTGCATCGTGAGGATGTAGTCGTCCGAAGTTGTGACCTTGTGCGTCTCCACGACGTATCCGCGCGCAGCGATGATCTCCGGTGCATTCTTGCCCACGTCCGGGTCCACGGCGATCTCAGCTACTTCCGCGACTTCGGTGCTTGCAGCGATAAGCCCGATGGACAGTAGAAGCAGTAGAAGCAGCCGTTCCTCGACCATGCTGGTACTTGGTAAGTGCGTGCTGTTCGATGTATTGCTTCTGCAATGGAGCGCAAGTTGCGGAGTGACAAGTTTCCACTGCGAACAGGGTGAACGAGTCTCGACAGGACTTGTGCTGGGAGTTGCGCAGGTCACAACTCAACGGCAGACCGCTGAAATGTTCGACTAGCCCACCTCAGTCGGTGGACCAGAGCAACACAACAGTTGGATTGTTGGACAGTCGACATCCCGGTGACCTCAAGGGTCAAGATTACTCAATGCAACTGCGACGCAGTCACTTGCCGACACCAAGTTCTGCTGTTTGTTTGATCGGCGATCAGTGATCGCCGATCACTGATCGCCGATCAAACAAACAGCAGAACTTGCGATCACTGATCGCCGATCGCCCGAGCCAAATCGCTCCCCAATCGCCCCGGCCACTTGGATTGTCTATTGGAACTCGATTAAGTACGTTTTACATATGGTATTCTTGTTTGGAGCGGTTTCGATCTGTACTTGAATTTGTATTGGTCGATTTTCGAAATCGACCCGATTTGGAAATTTTCAACGGAATTGACAATACAATATCTACTATAAGTAAAGCGATATGACGCGAGAAGTGACGATACGCTGCCCACTGTTCAGATGGACTTGGAATGACTGCAAGGGCAACTACAACGCGGAACCTAGTGCGGCGTCCAAGCTAATTGAATAAACGCACGTTTAGAAATCACATCATGCTAGGCAGAATAGAATCTGTGTGAGCCCAGATAATTTGAATCTATTCTAGGTCATCAGACATGCTTTACGAAATGGACATTCTGTGTAGTGGGCCTACTTTGGCTCACTACTTTAGCTTACACGTGTGCGCGTGTATGTGAGGATGCGTACCGTATTTCGCATGTAGAAAGCTGCACCGGCATATGAGATGCACTTTGATAACTACCAATCAGTGCGCGGCATTTGCCATGGCACTAAATCGCATGTAGAGAGATGCAGTACTAAACCCCTTTCAAAACTGATACAAATGCTCACCACTCACTTCATTGCACTTCGTAGCCCGCGCTCTCGGGGGTTGGCGCCATTTTGTTTTTGCCGATGGCGCGCACCAAGCCACGGCCAGTCGGCAGGCCACGCCTAAATGGCAAAGGCCGCTATCAGACCAAGCACATCAAGAAGAGTGTCAGCGTCGCAAAGAAACTCGAGGTGTTGTCCTTCTGGGCAAATGCGCCGAAGCCCAAGATAAAACATACAATCGCCCATTTCTGGCACGATCTGGCCCCCGAGTTCTATAACTCGAAGCGCACGATGATCCAGCATTGGCGGCGTGAATCGGCAAAGCTTGAGGCTGCTATGAAAAATAGCAAAGGTAAACATTTAAAGGTGCGAAGCTTAGGAGTTGGGACGATCCTCCCACCAGAGGTAGAACTAGAAGTGGTATTCTGGGTGAACAGTTTGCGCAAGGAAGGTGTGCCAGTATCGCCGCGCATGCTGGCCCTACAAGCACGGCGGGTTGCAGCTGAAGCGGGCATCAGGAACTTCCGATCGTCTGACAAATGGATTCAAGGATTCCGAGGCCGCCATCGCATGAGCATGCGAGTTCCAACTCGTCAAAGCCAAATCAGCCCCGAGGATATTGCCAAGGTTTAAGCGGAGTTTGCAACAGAAGTCGAGAAAATGGCTCGGCAGCTGGGTATTACGCGAATCTACAATGCAGATCAGACAGGTTTGTTTTTTATTTATTCTAACTGCGAATGTATATTTTAACTTATGTTCTCTAGCTGCATTTTTTTTGAGTATCTGCCTACCAAGAAAACAGTGAATGCTCGCGGCGCCAAAACTGTGTGGGTGAAATGTGCCGGCTCTTCAAAGGAGCGTGCGACCGTGATGCTACTGGGGGATTCAAGCGGGGTACGTTATACCCCCTTCGTAGTCTTCAAGATGAAGCCATCGAAAAACCCAGCCATTGTCAAGGAGAACAACGAAAAACGATGTGGCTTTGGCACGCGAACGTGGCCAGAGATCAGGAAGCTGAAAGCTGAAACCGGTTTGCAGATTTACGCCAACGGCAACGGTACGCTTCTTTTTTTTACTTGCTCTAAAGGATTTATCTCATTTTCTTTTTATTATTATTGTTTTTCTTTTTAGGCTGATGGAAAAGTAATCTTTCGCTAAGGTTCCTACATTTTCACTTTGGTCACCGCACGTCGCATGCAGAGCCCGTGCTGCTCCTCTGGGATGACTCCAGCGGCCACTGGACCGCTGAAGTGCTGGCTTACGCTGCATCTATTAGGGTGGTGCTGCTGAAGGTGACTCCCCATGCTACGTCTGTTTGCCAGCCGGCAGACGTAGCATGGAATCATCCGTTCAAGACTTGGCTGCGCAGGTTTTGGCTCGAGGACATCCAGCGGCAACTGATGCAGCCGAGCGACGCGGAAGCCAAGTTTAAGCTGACTCCACCAGGCCGCGCCGGGATGTGCCATTGGATTCGCGCTAGTTGGGAGAGCCTGAGCTCCGACACCATCGCGAATGGATACAAGAAATGCGACTTACACCTCAACGAGGAGTGCCTCGCTGCCGCGTCGCTGGTGGCAGAGCTGCAGAACCTAACGCTAGTAGGGCCAGTGGCCAAGGCGGTCGACCAAACTCAAGACTCCGACCGCAATGTCATTCTTGACGAAGCTGTGGTGTAGCTTTATTCTACAATACATATTGTGATGCACATCGTTTTTTAAAGGTATGTTTTCTGTTGTGAACATCAGGTGCAGCTTTCTACATGCGAAATACGGTAGCTTAGTTTAAATTAGAGTTAATTATACTCGGGCCTCCGAGTATTGATTAATCTAAATAAACGATCCAAATAATGTTTTTGGGTTAAAATGAGAACTGCAATTTTTGTTTTATGTTTCTGACTTCCTCTAAATGTAATATTCTAAGATAGGAATCTGCCAACGGCTGGTTGGCAGAATTCCAATGCTATGCATGTCGCTCATTGGCTAAGAGATGCTGCTCTCAGCCAATAGGAATCCTAAGTCTCTATGGACCACCCGTCGTGGTGGTCGTAAATGTATGTAGCCTTTGGTGTGTCTACACCAAGGTCGAGAAAGTCTTTCGAACCTCTAACAGACGTCGTGTCTGTTAGAGTTACACGTGACTGTAGCCACTTGTGCGTGTAACCCTGATACATTCTGATAGTTATTAGCCTCTTAATACTGACATAGCATATGTACCGTAAGGTATGCTCGGCACAGGATTAAATCGGTGTCGCATGAAGCCGTGCGTGTATCGCACCTGTTTAAGTATCCATCATATATTGAAATTTTATGAAAATAAACTTAATAGGTCATCTAAATAATTATCTAGTCGGTCTCAATCGGTGAGGAAGCATCAATCGCATCATCAAGTTTCATTCGAACCATTTCCCATTCTCACGCCCGACCCGAAGACGCAACACCAGGACGAAGCTACAGCGCGAATGTAAGTGCTTGGCAGGGCGCTGTTGCAGCTAATAGCTTGCTTGTATTTGATTATTAACAGCGCGGAGGTAAGAAAGTAAATTGATATTATCGCAAGTGGGTTACAGTAATTTGCCTCAATAGCGCAGTCGTGGCGTCGAATACCCTGCTGAAACGAGTATCTGTGCACACCCCAAATCCAGCCAATGAGAGTTCAGCTAGCCTCTCCTATGCAATGATCTTAGAGAATGTATAAATGTAGCCATTGCGCTATTGAGGCAAATTACTGTATTGCACTAAGAAGCTGCTTATCTGGTACACTGACTACCGTAATTAGTCTCACTCAGACTATTTTGTGTGAGGTCCTTGATGTCTTGCTCACACAAATTAGACTGAGTGTGGCTAAATACGAAGCTAGACTAATTTAGGTATGGAACAAATAGTCACACTCAGACTAATTATGACATAACTAAAAATTGTATCACTGAAGACCTCAAGACAAGTCAAGATATCTCTCCAGACTGGAGTAATTGGCAAAAACGGCGTTGTACCGACTTCCTCCGCTTGTAGTGGACAACCTCATATAAGAGCGCCCAATCATATCACAGGATTTGGAGGGCCTTCTCGACTCCGCTTATAAGTTCCGCACAAATCATTTCGATACGTTTCCACCGGTAATATATCGGTGCGATGGAGCTTCCATTCATTTCACGCAGCTACGGCTGCAGCCTAGAGCTACCTGGACGCGGTTGCTGCCAGTACCCACTACCTATGCTAGTGTTAAGCGCTGCTGCGGCACACGTTTACTATACAGACGTTCGGAGAGTGGTTTGCTTGCATCATCCTTACTTACTCGACGCTGTTCCCATCGACCAATGACACATGTTACCGAGTTAGACTTTAATAAAACGTTTACCTCAAAAATGTTCAAAGGCCAGGGCAAAGCATTGTAACGGCACTAGCCTCACGCGGGCGCGTATTGCTCAAGGCTTTGCAGTGGCAGCCTGTTGCCTGCCGCGAGGTGTCAAGCGCGACAGGCTCGCTCAGGCGGCTAGCGGCGTTGTACCAAATAAAGTGAGCAAAGCGCAAAAAAGTGGCAGATAATCGACTACTGGTACCGGTACCAGTTGCCAGATTCGGCATATCATTTTTGACGGGTGGTACAGTGTACCGGTATATACCCTGTCCACTGTAAGCGGAGGAAGTCGGTACATTCTTTGAGTTAAGCGATGAAGGAGCCATTGACTAAATGATATCGACAAATTCGATTGTATCGCACGAGGGGACCAAAAATACAACCCCTTATTTTCTAGATAAACGAGTAGAAGCAACAATAACCTAAAACATCTGAAAAGATAAATTTGTATCGTAAAAGTTGGTAAGCGGTATCATACCGCTTAACAACTTTTACAATACAAATTTTCTTAGTTACCGCCGGTATCTACTCATCACCTGAACGGGGTAGATGCATCTATCTCGACGGCATGTGATCAGGGTACCAAATGAAAAGTGCAAATCAAGTATTCTCACCGATTCCTTCAACTTGACATTGCCAAAGTTGACATTCGTCACCAACTCCGTTACTCAGAGGAAAAATCCTGCTCTTCTAATGAGTCGTCGTCTTGCTTTTTGCGGTTTTACCTTTTGCAAAATCGTCTGAATGCTTCTTGATAGTCTCTTGAAGGTGAGGGTACAGTTGCTCGACTCTCCAAACACCATCAACATCCAGTGAGAGTCCGCAACGGATCATAGCTTTTCTTGCATAGTTCATCTTCGTCTCTAAATCCACCTGAGCTTTTGCCAAGCGAACAGCTTCTGCAGCAAGAGTCAGAAAAATCGTTTACCGGGATTTTTTAGTTTACCCGACCCAGCTTTTTTTTCCACGGGGTTCATTTTGCCATTGCTCGGATAGAATCAAATCGATTTTTTTGGCGTTCCACAAACTGCGCCACACATCTTTGATTTTCGCAATCACGAAAGAGTCGGCAGGCTGGCAAAGATCAGTTGCATTCGGAGGGAGGTACTTGAAGCTGGCATTAAGGGCCTGGAGCTCCTCTTCACATTCATCTTCGCTGAGATGTCCTGAGCAGTTATCCAGAAAAATGGTTTTCTTCCTGCCAAGGCGATCGGGTTGCTGGGCACGGCGCTCTTTTAGGTATTCGCGGAACGTGCGTCGATCCATCCAGCCCTTTGGTCCAGTTCGGTAACAAACGCCCGGTACGGTATCAGCGACACCTCGAACCGGATAACTGCGATCTGCATTTGTGAAGATCATCATGGGAGGGTGGATATGCGCACTGGGACCACCGGAGATCCTGACGACCATTGTCATACCTTCGCCGCCGCTAACGACATCAGCACACTTGACCTGTGCCTCTCCGCCGAATCCTAAAGTTTTTCCATTGTCGAAATCAATCACGAAGTGTGTCTCGTCGACGTTCTCGACCCAGTTCTCGTCCAAAGTTCCGTCGCTAAAGCCCTTCTTCAGCTCGCCAAGATGCTTGGCCACGCTTTTTTCGATCTCTGCAGTTTTTTTCGGGCTAAGCTGGCGCTTTCCTGTCTGAACCCGAAGAACTATGTTGTGATTCTCCATGAAATTTTGTATCCACCGCGTATTGATTTTGCTTTCAAACAAGGCCCCATTGTCATCGGTTTTGGGGACTTCGGGGTTTTTCAAAACACGGAGCGCCAACTGTCGAAGCAGCGAGGAATCAAATTTGAGACCCAGTTTGCGAAGTCGATCAAACTCACTAACAAGTCGGGGTAGATCCAGTTGACCCAGGCGCTCCGGCGTCTACCACGCCCAGAAGTCGCTTTTAAGTTGACACGCTTTCGCCCAGTCTTGCGACGACCCGATACAGTCACAGACCCACGCTGTACATCGGTAAGCCGCTCTCTATTTTTCCACCACGACATAGCCTTGCTTATATTCGCGTTGTATGTGGCCGAGATGAATATATCTGGAAACTCACTTACAGCGCGGGCATACATGCCTTTTTTGCCTTGTTTCTTAATGTCTTTCTCCATCCACAAAATGACGCGCCTGCGCTGCTGTAAAGTGCTGACCTGCTGTGCCGAACGCGATGACGATGTATTCCCCCGTTCTTCTGTTGTTCCAGCCGAGGGTGCTTGAGCTTCTTCTTCGCCGGATGCATTATCGATCCCTCCTTCCTGTGACCCATGATCAGCTTCGTTGGTAACACCAGGCCGATTTTGCTCGATGGCATGCCTCCTCTGATGAGCTATTGCGGCAACAATAGGAGATGCCGAAATCTCACAGGCAGCTGAAGTCCTGGTCTGGTCCTTGGACTCGCACGTAGGGCACATGATGTGCTGTCCGAAGCCTTCGGCTCCAACCGGCTTGCCACAAAATGGGTGCATATGAACGGAGCAAGATGGGCAAACATGCACAGGACCAACGTCACCTCCGCAGCCGCTACAAGGCGCCAATGTGCTTCGTAACGTACTCATTGTACGTGTGTGCCGCCTGTAGAACTTGTGTCGAAGTGCAGCCGTTGCAAGAGCAGCGGATGCAACCTATTTGAGCGAGATACTATTTTTGAATTGAGAGTATTTTTGAACTGATTCAACTTTTGCTTACCATAATTATTCTCATGAAAACGTAGTGTGACTAATTTTGAACTCAGACTAATTACGGTATCCAGTTTAGTTGTGAATGTTCATAATATAATACGCACAGCGCGGACGACTGGTGCGCGCTGTGCGTATATCTGTTCTGTTTTATTTTCGCTATCTCAGCCCCCGCGAAGCCCTAGTTCGCAGTTCGAAGAACTGAAGGTTTTTGGATGTCATCGAACGACATTCACGCTACATCCGTCGCTTCTTCCTCCAGTGGATGCCATCGAACAACATTCACACTACGTCAAACAACACTCGATCGAATACGGTCTGAATGACACTTACAGCCTTCTAGATTGATGTCAGATGCCCACGATGCCGCCAAAGGAAGTGGAGATTCACCAGTAGAGGTGCCATTACCACATCACTGCATCGTATTATACTACATGCAGCTCCAGAGAACTCAACATAGTACTTACTCATTCCATTAGCGTGAAAGCTATTGGTTCGATCTGTTCATTCAGCCATGAGGCATAACTTAGACCCACCTCTTTCAGACACAGATTTTACTTCTGCATACACAGCTTCTCAGAGAGATTAATTGAAAATCGTGTGGTCGTCTGAATTGTTTACACCAATTGTCATTAGGCTGGTATTGTGTGAATCCCCACACTCATTGGAATGAGTCTTGATGGATTAGATAAAACATTCAACTAAACTTTGCCGAAAACCACTTCAAGTTTTTAAGGTTGTACGATCTAAGAAGGGAGGTATAGCTTTATTTTCCGTTCAACAGACAACGCAGTGACGTCCTAGACGGTGGTGAACGAACTCGTTTAGCGGAGATTCAAAAAGAGCTGCACCTGATGGTATGTTTTCGAAAAAAGTCTTCAAGGTAGTGCAAAAATAATGACGACCATGTATGAAATCGGAAGAAGCCTAGTTCCAATTAATCGAACTACGAATGGCTTGGGTGGGGGCATTAAGAAGCTAGCTGCACTCGCTTAGGCGTTTTATCTACGAAGAGTTTGGATGATATTATGTTCGCCATGAAACTACATTGCGACCCACAGAGACCCACATTGCTACTGCGCGGTGTAGAATTATCTACTACTTACTTTGACTTATCGAACTTGAAACAAACTGCTGGCTTCATCAGTTACCCAGCAAGTTCAGTTGTGCAGTAGGCCGGCAGTGCAAAATATTCGAATGGACAGGTTTTTCTTGTTTTATCGCAATCGGTAAGTTTCCGAGCACAGTACAATATGGTACTGTAATTTAAGAAATAGGGGATTCTGCTTGGGCATCAGCGCACATTTCAGTGGCCGGCAGGAAGGAAATTGCGTTGATTAGCTAGCTATCGATAACCATTCTGCGTACTAGAAAGAGTTTACTGACACTAAATCCGTTGAATCCTATCTGACGAGTAGCAGGAGGTCGAATCACCGCGGTGGGTTTGTATAAAAATGACGGGCTGGCAGTACCTTTGAAAAGAAGCGATCAAAGTTGGTTTTTTGTACAGCGTACAGTGGCAGATGCTGCGGCTGCGAAGAAGGCGCAGGAGGTGCCGAGGGTTTTTCTGTACGAGCATCCATACAAGCTAGCTTCGAGATCCCCGGGTCCACCACCCGGGTCCCCAATATTTTTACAGACAAAGTTCGTACACTGTATCACTAAGCACTATCCGGAGGTTAGAGGATATTTTTTAAAACATCCTAAACATCAATCCTATACAACTAACAGAGTATCGTGTCAGTCTGTCTGTAAGTCCGTCCGTTCCCTGTCTTCGGGCCTTAGCCTGTCGTTGAGCATCGTTCGACCGCCCTGTAATTGACGCATTAGTTACCTGCCCTATGGCATCCCACCATCATCCCGACTGGCTTACCTTTGCCCGATATTACAAAAATAGCCGTGCGTGACAAGAATGATTAGTCTTGATGTGGCCGTCTTGATGTGGCACACACAAACCGGCTGATTTCACATTTCCGTTTTTGAATTCCGCGCGCGGCGGAGCGAGGAAGCGCTCGGACGTCGGGCGCCGCTGCGAGCCGCACAGGACGCGAGCGCCACACACGGACGGAGGTACGCTTAGCTACATAGTTTCCTAACTGTTATAGAAGTGTCGGTTTCGGGAGTACGAATTCAACTAAGTCCGACTAGCTGCTGAGCGCAGCGAAGGCGGCACCCGCGTGCGTTATAGCGGGCCGCCCGGCCCGCCCAACTACAAAGTTGCTAATATTGCGAGTAGTACAGCGAGCCGACGAGGCGAGCGGAACGGGGTCGATAAGATCACCCCCGCTTTGATCAATACTATGTGTTGCACCTGCTACCATATGAATCGGGTAACCGCGCAGCGATAGCTACACTGGAAACGGTATGCAAGTTAGTGTGTGTGAAAAAATACGGAAATAGTCTTAGTGAGACTACTTCCGAACAAAACACCAGATTTACTGAAACTCATATAAATGTTTCTCACGTAATTTAGTATCTATGTGAAACATCCTAACCAAAAATAGTACGAGTGAGACCAATACCGTTTTCAGTGTACAGAAACTACATTGCGACCCACAGAGACCCACATTGCTACTGCGCGGTGTAGAATTATCTACTACTTACTTTGACTTATCGAACTTGAAACAAACTGCTGGCTTCATCAGTTACCCAGCAAGTTCAGTTGTGCAGTAGGCCGGCAGTGCAAAATATTCGAATGGACAGGTTTTTCTTGTTTTATCGCAATCGGTAAGTTTCCGAGCACAGTACAATATGGTACTGTAATTTAAGAAATAGGGGATTCTGCTTGGGCATCAGCGCACATTTCAGTGGCCGGCAGGAAGGAAATTGCGTTGATTAGCTAGCTATCGATAACCATTCTGCGTACTAGAAAGAGTTTACTGACACTAAATCCGTTGAATCCTATCTGACGAGTAGCAGGAGGTCGAATCACCGCGGTGGGTTTGTATAAAAATGACGGGCTGGCAGTACCTTTGAAAAGAAGCGATCAAAGTTGGTTTTTTGTACAGCGTACAGTGGCAGATGCTGCGGCTGCGAAGAAGGCGCAGGAGGTGCCGAGGGTTTTTCTGTACGAGCATCCATACAAGCTAGCTTCGAGATCCCCGGGTCCACCACCCGGGTCCCCAATATTTTTACAGACAAAGTTCGTACACTGTATCACTAAGCACTATCCGGAGGTTAGAGGATATTTTTTAAAACATCCTAAACATCAATCCTATACAACTAACAGAGTATCGTGTCAGTCTGTCTGTAAGTCCGTCCGTTCCCTGTCTTCGGGCCTTAGCCTGTCGTTGAGCATCGTTCGACCGCCCTGTAATTGACGCATTAGTTACCTGCCCTATGGCATCCCACCATCATCCCGACTGGCTTACCTTTGCCCGATATTACAAAAATAGCCGTGCGTGACAAGAATGATTAGTCTTGATGTGGCCGTCTTGATGTGGCACACACAAACCGGCTGATTTCACATTTCCGTTTTTGAATTCCGCGCGCGGCGGAGCGAGGAAGCGCTCGGACGTCGGGCGCCGCTGCGAGCCGCACAGGACGCGAGCGCCACACACGGACGGAGGTACGCTTAGCTACATAGTTTCCTAACTGTTATAGAAGTGTCGGTTTCGGGAGTACGAATTCAACTAAGTCCGACTAGCTGCTGAGCGCAGCGAAGGCGGCACCCGCGTGCGTTATAGCGGGCCGCCCGGCCCGCCCAACTACAAAGTTGCTAATATTGCGAGTAGTACAGCGAGCCGACGAGGCGAGCGGAACGGGGTCGATAAGATCACCCCCGCTTTGATCAATACTATGTGTTGCACCTGCTACCATATGAATCGGGTAACCGCGCAGCGATAGCTACACTGGAAACGGTATGCAAGTTAGTGTGTGTGAAAAAATACGGAAATAGTCTTAGTGAGACTACTTCCGAACAAAACACCAGATTTACTGAAACTCATATAAATGTTTCTCACGTAATTTAGTATCTATGTGAAACATCCTAACCAAAAATAGTACGAGTGAGACCAATACCGTTTTCAGTGTACATGTAGCTTGGCCTGCCCCACTACTTACTATATTAATAATGGAGGGAGGTTGTTTCAATACAAACACATTGTAAGCCATATCAACGCACAGATAGTTATAGCAACACGTAGTCAGTGATAGTGAAGCACATAGTAAGCGTCATGCACATACAGTTAGCGATAATAGCACGTAGAAAGCGATAGGAGCCCGTAGTAAATGATAGCAGCGCGAGTACATATTGCGCAAGGTAAGCTGAAGGTGGATACAGTATTAACAGCGTGCCCAGCTTACTTTTACTATAACAAAACTGCCGGATTACAACTACCGCGTAGCGGCAGCGCTTGGCTCTCAATGTGATAAACATCCTTCGAAGTATCTGCAACTTTGCTAAAAGGCATCGATAGTTTATGTTACATGTCGGTAGTATAATCAGACCTGAATAGTAGATGCTGATATTCAATTAGCTGGAGCTCTATGATAGATTACTTTGGACGCGCACTCCCACACTAACCATCCAATTTAATGGGTTGTATATACCTGTATGGCGCAACTTGAATAGTGCAACGTGTACTCCATAGATACTGTACAAAGTGCGAAGCTGTTGCGTTCAATGTCTTAGCGACTGTGGTGCAGGTGGTGCAGTGAAGTGCCGCTTAGACTAATAAACGGATAGGGACGCTTCATAAAATAAAATAAGTTTTGAAGAGGACACATTATCGCAGGCCGCACTTCACCGGTATGGATCATTGAAAATTCCGAAGTGATGTTACCTGATATGTATATGTACACGGTGCTTTTGAACGGAAGCACTAAGTATATGCTAAGGAGAGGCATAGCGAAGCGTGAACGGATATTTAGGCTTATACAGGCTATACGCTTGGAACCAACTAACAGAAACCATGGCAGAGTGATACACTTGGTAAAATAACACGTATAGAGACTTACGTGAGCACACTAAACACGGGTTGTTTTAGATATGTACTTTGCAGATACGTTGAAGGTTGGGTTGAATAACCGCTACGATGTGGACAGGGTTTACGACACAGGACCATGCGATAGAGAATCCTTTATATTGCAACGTGCATCTACTTACAGTAACGACGTGAAGCCTATACCAGCCCTAAGAGACCCCCAACATACAAACACCTTTTTACATGCATACAATCCAAACTAACGACATTTGACTGGAAAATAGCCCATCGGAGCGAAGCGGAGGTGGGCGGTCCTTAGTACTACAACTAACCACATAACTACCGCCCGCGAAGCGGGCGGCGCTCGGCTAGTCCTAAGATTCAATAAGAATCAATCAGAGCGTCGTTGTTCGTCGGTCGGTATCAAAATCGTCACGCTTATTCACTAAGTACGAATTACACTAAGTACGAGTAGGTGCCCAGCGCAGCGAAGGCGGCTCCGTCGCCGAAGGCGACCTCCTCATACGATATTGCGGGACCGCAGGACCCGCCCAACCTCTGTAGTAGTAACTAAACATTGAGAGTAGTGCAGCGAGCCGACGAGGCGAGCGGAACGGGTCCGCCACTGCCGTAGCGAAGCGTAGGCAGTCTGCTTCAATAGCGGAGCGAGCATAGCGAGCGAAGCGCCAACTAACTAAAAAATAACCGCCGCGTAGCGGCGGCGCTAGGCTAGTCCGAGTTATTAATACACACACGGCAATTATGCATAAGAGGTTGGATGTGCTGGGGATCATGGATGGTGGTGTACTGGGCCAATGCATGGCTGCTGACAGGCCCTCCCAAGTCGATATATATATGAGGAGGTGGATATTTTAGCAGGTCGTGTACCTGTTTTCACACATATTTAGGAGCAGGCTTTGACATATTTAGCGTCTAAAATTGTCGGCAAAATCATTGCAAAGCACAATAAAACTTGAATTTGTATTTCGTCGGTCCTCCATTAGTGCTAAGGGCCTGGTCGGGGAATGCTCCGGTAAGCCTACCCCTAAGGTGAACCGAGCCGATGTGGTCGGTTGGCTGGAGACCGTCTTAGTTTTGGTGTGTCAAGCTGCTCGACTCAGCACCATCACACTCGAGAACTCGCAGCCATGGAAGGCACCCTTACTGCTCCACCTGTGTGCGGCGCTGAAGCTGAAGACGCTGCTGAGAGAAGCGTAAGCGGCACGGACACCAACGGGAGCGGCGTCGAGAGGGCACCCCCGCATGGTGGAGGCCGTGGTGGTCGCGGGGCAGGTCGCGGTGGTCGTGGAGGACGAGGAGCTTTGACCAGGCCAGCTGCATCATGGAGCGATGATGATGTGAGCGAGTTCTTTCGCCTCCGTTACGCAGAGTTAGCTGACAACTTTAAGAACACGAAGGACACCAAGCGCATCAAATATGCGTGGGCCGTCTTAGCATCAACACTCTCTGTTAACCAGAGCAAAGTGTTCACTGACCAGCAGTGTCAACCTGAGATTCTGTCGAAACCACTCGTCGTAGACCGCGTCATACAGCATAGCCTCAAACTCTAGCGGTGTCAGGGTAAGGATGGGTTCGAAATTGCCCACACAGCGGTGTGGACCGCCGTCGCGAGAGCCCCCGTGGCCGCAGCAACTGCAGCAACGATGCTTTCGCTCTGCATCATCGAAACGCAGTGAAGACGCTCGTCTCCAAAGTGAGACTGGTGATTTAGTCGTCTCAGATTGGCCAGTCTGGAGACGGTGAACCTAGCCGATCGAGCTAATAACTGGCCAATCAAAAATAAGAAAAAATGTCGCCACATCGTCTAAGACGATCGAAAGCCGAAACGAGCGTTCCCCGACCAGGCCCTGACCAGAGGGTACAGTAATCTGCCCGAGTAAGGAACGCCTGATATATATAAAGACGCAGAATATATAAATTGATGTTAAGTTGAGTATACTTTTCCAATGTACTGATTTAGTTATTTCAAAATGAACTAAAGAGCAGCTTTACCTACGAGTCCGGAATGATTCCAACAGTGGCGTATGGTCGAAGCACTAACCTTTGACCAGGCATCCTCGCACCACAACAGCGCTGTCAACTGGTCGACCTCGTAGGGATTATCTAGCCCTTCACCAAGCCGGTCTAGAGCCTGCATCATCTTGCGGGATAGAATGTGTCGCTTAATACAATGAATGGTTCCTTGGTCCTTCTCCAGCGGCCGCCCCAGCAGGACTGCACTTGACTTGATTATGCGGCATATCGTTGTCTTGCCTGGGGCGGCCGGGAGGCTGAACTCCGTCACAGCCCACTCACCCAGGCCCCTGTAGGAGAGAGCAGGTGTGCGGGCTGCCTTGTCAAGGATGCCCACTTTCTCAGACCAAGTGAGGCGGAGACGCTTGGACGGTGTGGACTTCATGGGTGGAGTGGGGGAGGAGGTGGGCTTGTTGGGCGAGGTGCAAAAGCAAAAGTGCGAGTCTACTACTACGGTACATGTAGTTTGAAGTCTAGTAAGATCGCTAAATGCGCGCCATTTTCAAACGAGGGTGGAGAGCTGATGATTGGCACTGGATTTTTCACCTTAGTACCTCAGTACCTTGCAGTACCTTGCACATCCCCCTATCGCCACATCGACTGGAAAATAATATTAAATATGTGAGGCTATTACACCATTTCCGGGTCGTTCTGCACAAATGCTAGATTCAAAACAATCACTCAAAGAAAGGGCAGTATACAGGTCGGATCCACAACCCAAATTGCTCGATTCAAAACAACCATCTCAAATTTCAAAACTATCAATGTACCATATATTTGGTACGCTTACTTGCCTACTTGCATGTCCTTCATGAGAATTGCGTCGGCGATGAACGCGAAGGTGTGGTGGATGCACTTACTGCAAAGAGCAGGAGTCACGACTTCTTGGAAGATCACATTGGCAGCGTGTAGGAGAAACGATGAACGGTGCGCTGTGATCGTTGTACCCTCAGGAACACTCAGGATTCGGCTCCTGTTTGCCGCCATGTACCTCTTCACCGCCGCCTTGTACACGGAGAAGACGTTCTCAATGCCGTTGAGCATTGGTGAATACGGCCCCAGCCGCAAGCACTCTGCCTCCGCAAACTCCGGCTCCTCAAACACGTCCTCCACGTTCGTGTGGCACGGAGCGTTGTCCAAGACGACGACGATGTTGCCGAGTGGCCCGCGCGTAGCTTGGTCTCGAAGCATGGCCCGCACCGTCTCGTTCGCTGCCTCGCTGTCAAAAGAGCCGAAGCGCCCCTCGTGGTACTCCACGCCATCGTGGGAGATACACGCAATGACGTGGATGTTCTTGCCCTTGGACGACGTGTTAGTGTCGACTGCGCGCTGCCCCGCTTTGCTCCACCCGTAGTTCCGGCTGATCCAGATGTTAAAGTTGGTTTCGTCGAGATAGATAATCTTCTTCTCCGCCGCCACATACTGCAGCAGCTTCATCGCGAACTCTTGCCTCTTAACCTTGTTAACCGGCGAGTTCCGGTAGTTGTTGTCTCTGTGCGTCTTCTTGACCGTGAAGCAGCGTCCCTCCAAGTTTGCGCGCACAGTCTCAATCCCTACTCGAACGCTGAATTCATCAAACAGACGGGTACGCATTTCTTGCAAGGTTAGATTGCAGTTCTCGGACAGTCGCTCCTCTAAGAAGTCAATGTGGTGGCTCTGCAGTTTGCGGTTGTAGGCCCCTCCTCTCATGTCCTTCTGCGGCGTGAAGTCTCCCGTGTCCTTTGCCTGTTTAACCCACCGCCGGGCGGTCACCAGCTGAACGCCGTTGTGCAGAGCAACCAGCCTCCAGTTCTCCCCCTTCTCGGCAGCGGTCAAAACACGAGCGCGCTCTGCGTCCGTGTACGTTTTCCCCATCGCACAAGTGTGAAAATACCAAAGTGATCGTTTAGAAAATGGTGGTGATCGCTTTGAATCGAGCATTGCCTCGAAGGTTCTCGAATTGTATACCATTGTATACGTCGAGGTATACATGCATCCTACCTGTCCTTTTTTTGAGTGATTGTTTTGAATCTAGCATTTGTGCAGAACGACCCGGAAATGGTGTAGTTGTACACCCGTTCCTTATTCGGGCAGAATTCTGTATCACTATTTGGGATACAGTCAAACCTGTTTATATGATCCTCTCTATTTGAGCCATGCCGTTTATTTGATGCAGGCTTTGTCGCTACCAAATATTTCACTTAGTTTTTGTATGATCTCTGTTTATATGCATACAAGGTATATGAGTCACATTTTTGGGGACCAAATTAGCTCTCACCTGTTTATTTGATTCACACTGCTCACGGCCACACACTCTTCAACGCACCACTGCTCAACACTCAACGCCTACCGCAAGCCTTCTTCGCTCGCCATGTCTCCTCGCACCTGTCTGACGCTAGAACAAAAGATCCAAGTGCACCTAAAGCTCAAGCAGAATCCTGGCATGAACAACCCCATGCTCGCCGAGTGGATCTACGCAACTTTCAAGGCCCGGGTCAGCCGTGCCACACTCGCCCGACTGCGCAACCTGCCTTCTTCCTACTTCAGCCACGTCGACCTGAGTGCGACCAAGCGGCGCCGAGTGAAATTCCCTCAGTTCGAGCGGGAACTGAGGGAATTTTTCTTTCAGAACGAAGCTAAAACGGCGATGGCGGACGACGTGCTCCTGCTGAAGGCGCATGAGCAGGCGGAGCGCTTAGGAGGAAGAGGAGGAACAGGAACCCGCAGTTCAACCTGCCATTGCTCTGAGACACTGCATGGAGCTGGCTGCATTTCTGCTGCAATGCGGAGAGCAGACTGACAGAGAACGAAGAGCTTTACAGACCGTGACCGCTTTGGTTCGAGAGACTACGGTGAAGGCAAAGCGGCAGCGAACTATGCACGATTTCTTTACGTGCACCACATAAATTTTTAACTGAGTCCATTTTATATGAGTCATTGTTGTTGATGGTCACCAACAGGGCCTCATATAAACAGGTTTGACTGTACCACTACAAAGAGGGTAATTGTCTCTTTCCGGATTGGCCAAAATTCCACCCAATCGAAACGGCTGCGAGTCTCTTTACCACCGCCGCCTCCATTCCCCCTCCGTCACTTTCCGACGTCGCGAGAGAGAGCCAGCAGACCCGTAGAACCGCCCAGACAGATATCTAGCCATGGACGACGTGTCTCTCAAGCAGAAGCAGGCGGACGACAAGGACCTGGACAACCTCATCTTCGACGGCGAGAAGAACGAGGCCGCCGCGGTCAAGGAGAACCAGCCGCAGACGCAGGACGGCGACTCGGACAGCGAGGACAAGAAGTCCACGGCCTCGGCCAAGGCCGACCGCTCCTCCATGGGCAACGTGCTGCCGGTGGACAAGCTCAAGAACGGCGCCAACACGGCCTCCAAGTACGCTGCTAGGAGTGGCTGATAATATGCTGATGAGAGCGGAGCTGAGCTTACGATATCGTTGTCTGCAGGGTATTGGGTCAGACCTTCTCCATGTTCAAGGAGAAGTCCGGCGCGGCGCTGGAGGCGGCCAAGTCCTCGAACGCGGGTAAAACCATTGCCGGCGGCCTGAGCACGGCGGCTACGGCCAGCCAGGAGCGGTACGGCAAGCTCAAGGAGACGGATGCCTTCAAGAAGTCGTCCACGCTGGCCAGCGGCGCCTACGAGCGGACGTCTATCGTCGCCTCGGGCGCTTTGGAAAAGGTACGGCGCAGTGTTTGATTGTGGCTTTGCAACTGCGTTGATGAGGCAAGTATTGATGTGCGTTTCTGTGCTTTTATTGCGGCGATACAGGCGCGTGCGGCGTCAGCGACTGGACTCGAGATGGCGAAGCACACTGCTGCCGCCAGCATTGAGACCATCAAGTCGAAGACGGGCAAGAAGGGCGGCGAGAACTAAGCCAGCACCGAAGTGGGTTGGTCTCGTGCGGACGCGGGCGACAGCTGGATCCTGCTAAACAGCGTGGGCTCCGTCGTTGACTCATCGCCGCCTCGAATCGGGATGGGGATCTGCCTGCCTTGCCTCCTCTTCTACTTACATGCATAATAACGTTGCTTTGCGTACTCGACTGCAGTTATGAGAAACCAAATACAGATAGTCCATTAGACCATGAACCGTAGCGCCCTAAGGTGTCCGTCGCCCGTCCATTAGTCGATTCATGTGAGCCGTTACGCTAGAGTGTACCCACTTCGCGGTACAGAAAACGTATCGCTAGATCAGCCAATCAGCGCACCGCCTTAAGCTGAAAAAAGATACTCGATTGGCGAAACGACACAATTGTGATGAGCATCGCCGCCGATCTGGAGCGCGCTACTGCGAGCCTCGCAGCGCTCTGTCGTCGCAGCTTCGGTCCTTGTGGAGAGGAGACGCTGCTGTTCCGTCCTCCAGACGCTCCCGTTGTTACGGGCGAGGGCCATGCGGTGCTTGCGGCCTTGAAGCGCGGATCCGATGCGTGTGACCCATTGACGACCTTCCTGCTCTCTGCAGCGGATGGAGTGCACAAGCAATTGGGCGACGCTTCTAGCGAGTTTATTCTGCTGGTGGACGCGGCCACGAGGCATGCAGCTGAAGGTCTGAGGAGAGAGCAGGATACTCGGAGTGACGTCGATCGCGCTCGGATGTCTCGGGCGTTCTCTGGGCTGAAGTGGGAGCTGCAACGTGAGATGCAGAAGATCTCTGGGTTGCAACTTGCTGTACCAGTTGAAGTGGACTGCGAGACAATGCAGCCGTCAAAGCAGGTGGGTGAATGGTGTTTTGCTTGAGCTGTTTTTTATTGAGATGTTGATTGTGTGGGTGAGGGTGTTGTGTAGTTTCGTGTGACGAGTGCCACGATTGTGAAGTCGGCGCTTGGAGGCGTGCTTGGTGAACGAGCAGTGGATTTTGTGGTCGAGTTGGTATTGAAGTGGGTCTTTACTGCGTCACCAAGCACGGGAACTTGTGGTTGGTCCAGAATGGACAAAGGCCTGTTCCGGCGAGTGCAGCAATATTTGAAACTCGCTCCCGACGCAATAATCCACATGGCGGCGCCGTCAGTATATGGCTCGTACGTGGTCCCCTGTGAAGATTTTATTTTGAAAAAGTCGGTAGTGACATCGCAGCCCCCGGGGATACTCGACCGGTGTCAAGGATCGGTGAGATTTGTGTGCTTCACGTGCCCGCTTTCGTTGACTGCTGGATCAAATCATGTCGAGCTCGCAATGTCCGAAGATGAAGAGCTATTCACAGCCCATGACGCAGCACATTTGTTCATCTCGAAGTTCGTGCGACGACTGCGCGACCAACATCACGTTCAGGTTATCGTAAGCACAGAAGCTCTTGACGAGAGCGTAGTTGCCGTTTGCACCCGCCAAGATATCGCCTGTGTCCAGCTTGCTGAGCCAGAAGATGTCGAGGCACTATGCACTATCGGTGGGACATTCCCACTTGCCAGCGTTTTCGACAACATTGAAAATACGAAATACGTAGGCGTGTGCACCAGTGGAGTCTCCAGAGTGCGGTTCCAGCAGCAAGCGTGCTTACGATTCCGTGGGGTAGCACCAGAACGTAGTAACCAACGCGGAGATTCCCCACAGTGTGAGCACCGCCATCAGGAGGTTGTGGTCCCTCAACTGTTGATTCATGCTCCGACAAAAGGCGTCTACAAACAGTACTACGCAGCGATTGTCAAGAGTCTGCGGGTGCTCAGAAGTTGGTGGGAGCCACTCCATGCGGATAGCACCCAGCACCCTCAGCACTCAAGCACGGTCTATTGTTGCAGAGGGGGTGGGGCTACGGAACTCGCTGTCGCGCGGTGGCTGCAAGCTGGAAGTAATAAGCTCTCCAGTGTACCTCGCGATGGCGTTATGCAGACACTCGCCAGACAGGTTCTCGCCAATGCCCTGATCGAAGTCGTTGGCGTATTGAGAAGCAACTTGAACAATACTTGCTCAAGCGCAAGCGAAGAAGAACTCACCTCTAGTCAGCCCACTGGTAACCAGAGGCAAGTTCTTCTTGAAGCCTTTAGCAGCTTGAAACTGCAAGAGCCTCAAGTTTTTCACGGATACACGCTCAATTATGCTCGAGCTGTACAGACACTGGCTGGACCCATTCAGATCCCCCAACTCGTTATTGGGGATCCAGAGGCGTACGGGCTTATCCACCCCTGGCGACGGATTGACACGCTGTTGTTCCTCGTACTGCAGACCCTTGAGCAGCTCTTCCGGATCGATAGGGTCTTTTCCAAGACAACCCCAGGCGTCACATCTACAAGCACAAACAATTAAAGCAATGCTTTTTGACAACTCCACCTAGTCTTCTTGATACAGTCCTACATTTATCAGTAGGGGGCACAATTTAAAGTCGTTCTTTTGCGCTGAGCAGCGAGAAATAGCTGGCGAAGCTGTCGCCCACGTGGATGACGTTAGGGATCGACGGCACCACTGCGTCCTCAGGTTTACTCGGCAGGTGCACCACGCGCGGCACGTGCTTCTCCAGGTCCCGCACGACTCCAGAATCCACTACAACAACATCAAAATCAACTCAGAACCTCTTAAAACGCCTTCAAAACCCCGCAACAACCTCACCTTCAACGTGAATTTGCGGCTCAATCTGCCGCACGAACGCAACTTTCCCAATGGCCGTCGTGCAGAAGAGGATCTTGTGCGCCTTGACGCCTCCGGGCGTCGACTCGTTGCTCTTGAGGTCCGGGTGCGTGGTCACGAACTCGCGGACGCGCTGCATCTTGCCCTTGTCGTTGGCGTCTTGCACCGTGCACAGCAAGTACACGTCGGCCACGCGCGAGAGGTCCGCCAGCAGCGCCGGCACGTCGTCGTGCGTCCAGGCCGGCGCGTCCGACTCCGTGTCGAGCAGCGCCTCGGCGGCGATCGTGACGGTGCGCGCGCCGTTGCGCAGCGGCAGCGTGAAGTGCAGACGCAGCTGGCGGTCGCTGAGGCCGGCGGTGGAGATGGCGGCGCGCTCGGGCGCCGACGCGAGCGCCGCGGCCGTGGACGGCGCCATGCGAGCGGCATTGGCTGCGTTGCCATTCCCGCGGACCGGCGCGTCCCCCTGCCGCAGCTGCTGCACGTACACGTAGCCCGTGCTGAGCATGACCACCAGCAGGATGATGAGGATGCCCAGCAGGCTGTCGTCGATCATGCCGTCCACCACCTCGGGGCTCTTGGCGCTCATGGCGATCTCGGTCGTCGTCTACACACTTGCCACTCGCTCGGTCGGATTACGTTCGTAAATGAAGCAAGTCACGGTACTGCCACCTGGCCAAAATGTGGTGTAACATAATTCCAAATATGGAGTACGTCACACAAATTGTTCTATATCTGTGTATTGCACACCACACTTGAAACTCAGCTTTTTCACTGGGAAGATGAAGGAGGTGGCGGACGGCTGCTTCCAGCAGCTCTACGGCGAGATCGTGCGCTCCATGGTGCGTCCCCCAGCGTACGTTAACTAGATATACAAGTGCGAGTGGGTGCTGACTTGTGTTGCGCAGCTGGAGCGGTACCCGTGGCAGGCGGAGGGCGCGGAGCAGGCCGCGACGCCGACGCCCGAGGAGGAGGCGGCGCACCGCGAGGCCGTCATCATCAAGCTGGAGGCCATGGGCTACGACGTGGGCTGCCGCTTCGCCGAGCGAGCGGCCAGAGACCGGCCGCGCATGCTGGAGCCGCTGGACGTGATCAAGTTCGTGTGCAAGGACTTCTGGATCGCCATCTTCAAGAAGCAGATCGACAAGCTGCAGACCAACCACCGGGGCGTCTTCGTGGTGCAGGACTTCAGCTTCCGCTGGCTGGCGGGCATCTCGGCCGCCACGGAGCAGGAGACGCGGGAGATGGCGCTGCTCTTCCTGGTCTTCCCCTGCGGGATGATCCGAGGCGCGCTGGCCAACCTCGGACTCACCGCGATCGTCAACGCCGACGTGCCCGACGTGCGCGCGCTTCCTGGATGTACGTACCTGTACTGAATACAGAAGAGGTGGAGTGTTGGGCTGACGTTTTGTTACTGTGCTGTGGACTGACGGTATGGACAGGTTTATTTAACATTAAGATTAAGCAGGGGTGAGGAATTGAAGAGCGACGCTTTCACGCACGCAGCCCGCCTCCCACTTGTATCAATCATCTGTGATTTTGTGCTCAGTTCTCTCCATTGCCGCCGAGCAGCGACTGCCTGCCGAAAGTCTCGATGAACTCGTCCAGCTCATCGGAGTGGCCTCCTCGAGCGCGCCCTCTTGGCAGCTCGTCTGGACGATAGAAGTCGATGATGAGCACGTGGCGCGTGTTTTCGGGGTGGTGGTTGAAGGCGTAGTGCAGTTTGCTGTCGTCGAACACGATGAACTCGCGCTCGGCGTGGTAGGTGGTCTCTCCGCCCACGACCATAGCGCAGCAAGGAGCTCCGGTGGCGAGCGTGGGCACCACGAGCGGGAAGTGGACGCGCAGGACGTGGTTGGCTAGATCGGCCCAGCCTCGATGTGCTGTGAGCGTCGTGTTCGGGCCGAGCTTGGAGAAGAGCGCGGTGCGAATACCGGGCAGACTCTTCAGTAGAGCTGCTGTACGCGGACACATGGAGCACGTGGGGCCCACCCACGTCGTCTTGGTGGGGTCGTAGGCCGGAAACGTGTAGCAGAATGGGAACACGCGCCACTCGCTGTCACCCTCGGCGTAGTGTTTCTCGGGCCAGAATGGCCACGTCGCTATTTGCTGCACCGCCAGCATCTCCTCCAGGATGACGTTGTAGTTGTCCTTGAGAATCTCGAGCTGAGGGAAGAACTCCTGGTACGGGTAGTAGTTGGGAGCGTCGTCGTCCTGGATCTCCTCGTCCGACGAGTAGTTGGCGCCGTCTCCGACCCACTCGCTCACATGGCGAATATCCTCCTCTTCGTCCGTGCTGCTCTCGTCCGTCTTGCGCAGACACAGCAATCGGTACCCCATCTGGTCACGCCGCAGCAGCTCGTACAGGGGCGAGTGCTCGACGAAGAAGAAGGCCTCGAGCTCCGAGTGGAATTCCTGCGGCGTGAACTGGTGGATCAGCTCCCTCGTGCTCCCGGAGCTGAGCTTGGCGCCCATAGCCGCCTCGTACGACACCAACTGCTCCTGGACGATCTCAAACAGCGGCGCCTTGTTCTGCGCCGACGAAATGGGCGACAGCAGCGAGTGCTCCAAGTGATCCGCCGCGACGTCGGGCGGGATGAAGTCGGCCACGAACAACAGTCCTCCAGGCTTGAGCACCCGCGCGATCTCGTTCACGGCTCTGCCGAGATTCTGCACCTCCTGCAAGCTCTGCACAGCCACGGCGACGTCCACCGAGTGGGTGAGCAGGCCCTTCATCCGCTCGCACGAGTGGTGGTACAGCCGCAACTTGCGCTCCTGGAACTCGGGCACCTGCTCCGTGAAGCGGTTCCACACCTCCTTGCTGCGCTCGAGCGCCTGGACCGACAGGTCCAGCCCCACCACCTCCGCCTTGGGGTACAGCGTCTGCAGCTCGCACAGGCCGCCGCCGGCGCCGCAGCCCAGGTCCAGGATCGTGAACGCGGCGTCGCGTCGCGCCTCGTGCTGCGCGTCGACGTCGAGCAGCAGGTCGTAGAGCTGCAGCTGGTACCTGTCGGCCGGGTAGTGCGCCTGGAACTTGTTGATGGGCGCGTCCCCGTTCACGTTGGCGCTGGCGACGGCCGCCACGGCCGCGGCGCTCGAGTTGACGTGCGTGTCGCCGCGCGGGTGGAAGCCCACGTTGCAGCACACACGGTGGTGCTCGGCGTAGATGGGCGAGTGGAAGATGCCGTCGTAGAACTCGCGCACGCTCGGGCCGCACGCCTCGCTGCCGGGCGCCATGGTCTCCGATATATGGGTGGGTGAAGTGTGGCCTGCTGGACGCGCGCGCGTGCCGATGATCGTCTCGGCCGTCTTGTCGCCAAATGACGGCTTCAAGCTCGGGGAGGTGATGGAGGGAAGGTCTGTGGGAGCACGTCTATGTAACCAAGTCGCGGATTTGGTACCGTGTACCAAATGGACGATGGAGGACATCAGATGTCTGTCGCTCGATGGCGATTTGGTGAAAGAAAACGTGCAAAAGTCTATGGAGAAAATTGACTGTAAGGTACTGTACGCTACTTGGATTAGATATGCAAGTGGAGTTCTACGGTTGACCGGCGACTGCTGCACGAGCCTCACACGCGTCTTGACTCGGGGGACGTCACCACTGCGTAAGGCGCCCTGGGAGACGCTACGCTGTTGGCCAGATCAAGCTCCGACCCGTCCTGCTTTCGAGCCTTCCGCTTCATCACGACTAGCATGACCACCGCAGCGATGGCGATCAGCACGGCGAGCGCACCGCCGATGGATCCACCCACCACCGCCGAGTTGGTCGACTTATTTTCCTTTGATTCAAGTTTTGTCGAAAGATCAACGGTTGAGTCGCTGTCAGCGCTGGCACTGCTGCTGCTGTTGTGCGGCACAGGGCAGCCGAAGTAGCTCTCCATCGTTTCTCGCCACTGTTTGTACAGGATCCGCTGCTCGCCGCTCTTGATCGCGTTCACGATCTGAAGACAACGTGGGGCGGTCATGTTCCAGCTTTGCTTGAACTCGGGCTTGAAGTCGCGCGTCCCACCAAGGCACTGGTTTTCAAATATACACATCTGCCGCTCCAAGTCGGCGAGGACGTCGGAGGACGGTCCGCCCATTGCAGTGATGGTTTCGTTGTACCACGCAACCATCAGTCGAGTTGAGTCGCGGCAAGTGCCTTTGAAGTAGACGTCCACGTTGTCATCACCTGCCGAGGATACACTCCGAAAAGTGTTGGAATCGTAGTCGTCACCGCTGCCACTGCTGTTGCTACTGTTTGAAGTCACGTTATGACGCTTCGAAAGCTTTCGGGATACTGCGGCTGGTGCTACGCAGGTGGATAACATGCTTGCGAGATATCCGTCCGCTGGAAACAAGTACGAGTAGCTGCTTGCCCCCAAGTCGCGCACGTCCACGAGGTCGGCGAACCTGCTGGGCACACCAATGAAATATTCACCGATGGTCGGGTCTTCCCTAGCGTCGATTAGCTCCGCACCAAACGTTGTTTGCATCATCACGAGGTCCGTAGGATTGAACACGGAGTCGCCATCAGAGCGAGGACACGAGTCCCAATCGTTGCTGGCAGCCTTCTGGGCAAATGTCATGCGAGCTGACCCAACACGACATTTGTGGAAGATGGTGTGGAGCGCATCGACCATCGCATGGTGCGACCAGAAGATTGGGTCAGCAGGTGACACGAACTTGTTTCCCATCACCCCACCCATAAAGTTGTGCACGTGTGCGTGAAATCCGCCCTCCACTTCCGCTGCCATCCCAGCAATACTCCTAGAACCAAACACTTGGGTGCCGAGAGAGGCGAATGCTACACCCGCGGGTGGACGGAGGTCGAAGGTTGCCCAATCTCCCCTTGGAACGCAACCGACGCAGGAGGAACTATCGCTGGACTCGCAGAAGTGGTTCAGTGGTGCCTCGCTTGTACAGTACCCCTCGACTTTATTGTCAAAGATCGACACTGTTGCGAGCTCGCCGTCAACTCCGCCCAAATCCGTCAAAATGTCGGAGCAGTCTGCCACTGTAGAGCACTCTCCACTCATCATGCGGCCGTGCGCGTCAGCCCAGTTGAAATACGGCACAGTCACGCAGGCGTACTTGGAATTCAGCCCACGCAACATGTTCTCGAACGCCACGAGGAAGAGACGGTGCCAGTAGATGAACATGCACGTCTGGTGGGCTTCGCTCCACGACATCATGTCCGAGTGAATCTCGACGAACTTGATGTAGGCGCCTGAATCCATCGCGTCAGCAATGGCGCTCTTGTACGTCGCTTTATCGGTCGCCGTCAACGCATCCCAGCTCTTGCGTACCCGCGGCCCACACGAACGCGCAGCCTGCGACGAAGCCAATGCCGCGAGAAGACCAATTAATGCCCAGGCGAACTTCATGACAGCGGAGGTTGCTCAATGACAGTGGCGACGGTCCGATCAACCGATCGGTAATTGGGGAATGAGACTCCAAATGAAGCCACGGATTTTTGGGGGGCGGTGTGGTGCATCCACTACTACTCATCCATAATTTAAGAAGTCTCTCTACCGAGAACCAGCAGTGGGGAGGCTGCTCGTCAGCTTCAACAATGAACACATAAAATCTTGGTCCTCACAGCACATGGTCTGGCGTTTGTGGTATCCACCGCGAGGACACCAGAGGACCGAGAGTAGAGATAATAACTAACCGGTAGACTATTCCGCGCTGGTGTTTTTAGGGACATAGCGTTCAAATAGCGTCCTCCTGATTGTCTTAGTTACTCTATCTGAGTTGTAGGGCGATGCAGATGGTAGTCGCTCTAAACGACGGCCAAGCTCAGTTGCGCGACATTCAAAGTCCACCTATGTCGCGTTGCTACAGGCATGCCTGAAATAAATGATGCTGCGATTCCTTGGAGAATAAACCGCATTGAACTGTGCTCCAACCCGTGTAAAACAGGAGCTACAGGACTCGATAATAAAACATGTTGTCGAGCAATGCAGGTGCACCTTCATTGCCAAACATTCTGCATCATTTCTCAAGCTGTTTTTCGCCCCCCCCCCCAAAAAAACTTTAAAAATATTTTTTTAAATGTGCTTTTTATAAAAAAGTGTTTTCTATCGTCTCATGTGGTCCACTCCACTTTCTTAAACCCGACAAAAAGCGCAGGTCTCCGCAATAATGGCCGACGCCGAGCATTCGCCTCGCTCTACCGGCGCCGCCGCCGACGCTCCAGGCGCCGAGAACGAGTATGGACTGCAGGACCTAGCGCGTCTGCCTCTGCTGGAGCAGGTGCACCGGTTATTCCACGCCATCCAGCACAAATACCCCTACAAGGAGGTGCGCACAAAACCCTCTATTAACCCCTCCTCCACCCCTCTAACGCCCTATTTAACCGCAGACCAACGCGTGGATGACGCTGCCGTTCGACCAGAAGAAGAAGATGCTCAACTACATCCGAGAGAAGCGCCAGCGCAAGGCCCAGAGCGACGCAGAGCCCAAGCCAGAGGCCAAGCAAGAGGACGAAGCCAAGAGCGACGAGAAGCAGCCGGCTCTGGACCCGGCCACGGCCGTCAAGTCCGACCCGTACCTCAAGATGTTGCAGCAGAGAAGTCTCCGCTCGGCGGGGCCCGTGGCGGACGTTGCAGCGCTGCCAAAGCACCCAAACAGTGCTTATGTTGCTCCAGCGGAGGTGCCGCACTACGCCCAGGTCAAGCCCAAGTTCAAGCCGCGCTGGCAGGTTGCAGAGGGGGAGTTCTTCGAGGAGAAATGCGCGTGTGGAGTGAAGCACGACGCGGACAAGAAGGGCAAGAAGGCCTCGCTGCTGCTGCATACCATCAGCTCTATGATGAGCACGTTCGGAGACAGCACGCAGTCGTGCGTCACGACGGTGGAGGAGGTGCAGGCGCTGGGTAAGACGGTGGTGTGTTTGGTGGTGAGAGGTGCGAGGTGGTTTGGCTGATTGAGTGGGTGGACGTTTTGGTGTGGATGCAGTTGGCGACCACATGCGGAAGGTGTTGGGCTCGGTGAACCCAGAGGTGCTGACAGCTTCGTCGTGTCTGAGGGTAAGCTGCGTTGGTTGATAGCTGACAATGGGGTGGTTTTTGTGGTGCTAATTTGTGTTGATGGCGCTGTGGCGTAGACATTGGTGGAGATCTTCGAGGAGGAGGCGATTTATTACGGACGCTGGAGGGAGTTCCGCGGTGAGACGAAGCACGAGGAGAACGAGCTCGAGGACGTGGAGGAAGAGGAACTTGCGGAGGAGCTGGACCTGTTTGCGGTGTCCGAGACGGAAGATGTGTTCAACGAGGCGTTCCTGGTAAGAGGCTAGAATCTGAGCCTTTAGGCGAGGATTGCTTACTGACTTCGTGAACGTGTAGGAACGGATACGTTTCGCTGACGAGCGCACCAAGACGATGGACTGGTCCATCTACGACGTGTTTGCAAGAGGTCGGAAGCTGAATTTCATGAACAACAAGGCTCAGCAGTTTCGGCAATGGTTGGGCCTCGACAAAATCTCGCGAGCGTCACTCGAATTTCTCAACTTCGTCGCTTATCACAAGTACGTTGCGTCTTCCTCCGGTAGCACAGTGTGCCATCGTCGTTATGACTTGTTGCTTACGCTGTATCATTGTTTCTTCGACAGCATTGGCCGGTTAGTGGAGTTAGCGATCAAAACCCGAACAGGTGGAGAGCTCAAGCAACTCGAGACCCCGCTACTAAAAGACGATATCGAGTGAGTGCTTGCGATTTTTCCTTTTAGATATCTCCATGTAGCTAACGCACTTTCATTCTGTCAGATCGGTGGCGCTGACCTTCCTCCCTGCCCAGAGGCTGCCCAAGCTAATTGACCGGCCGGCTACGAAAACACGGCGCGTGGCTAACAACAAAATGGTCCGGACGACTGAAGCAACAGCTTCAGCTGAAACAAACAGTGCAGGCGGAAAATCTGAGCCTGTAGGTGAAATCAAGCCTATAGTCGCTGCTTCGATCGTCGGGGCCAGACCGACGAGACTCAAGAGACTGCGATAAGTTGCAAGCTGAGCGAAACGATAGGATTGGGGCATGGTGCTACGACTACGGTAAAGTCAAGCTCAATCTATGCTGCTTTGTGCTAGAGTTTTAGGTCATTCTGCTTAGTGCTCGCGCTGCCCGTCAATTCCGCTGCCATCGTGTCCTTACGCTTGATGATCTGCTGCTGCTGCTGCTTCACACTGATCTTCTTGCTCTTCCTGCTTCACGAGGCGGTCGACTTCTGCTCTGTGTTGAGCATCAAGCTCGAGCGTGACGCAGTCGATGGGAGGCGGAGGGGATTCCGTGTCTTCCAGTTCATCATCGTCCAGCGTCGACCAGCTCGACCCCATCGTCCTTTCCGAGAGCAGCTCACGGTGCAGTTGCAAGCCGACCACCTCTCGTTCCAGTACCTCCACGCGCTCTAGTAGAGTCTTGACGTCGACTTCGATGCTCGAACTGCTCAGGAAACGCCCGGGAACTTCGCCGGCCTTTCCGTCCTTGCTCACTGCGCTGATCTTCTTGGTCGCTTCACCACCCAGCACTTCATAGAGAGCTTGCTCCTGCAGTTGTCGCTCCACGCGGTAGACCTGCAGTAGCTCGCGGTCGGGCGCGATGTCGCGCTGGAAGACTAGGTCTCTTAGAGCTTCCAAATGCGCGTCGTGCAGCTCCGAGAGATCGAACGCTGCCAGCAGCTCCGTGAGGTCGAGGACTTGAGCGCGCAATGCTGCATTTTCCCGCTGGAGCATCGCGTCATACGTCGACACCGTCTGCATGAGGCTCTTCAAGCCTCCACGCACCACCGATACGTCGACCTTCTTCTGCTCGTGCTTCTCCCTCACCATGGGCGCCGTGGAACTCCGGGACTCCAGCTCGTACATTCGAGTGCTTTATCTCTGTGGTGGTTCTTTCTCGACTGAGAACAACAATTGAGGTCTCGCGCCGAAGTGTTCGGCCGAAGGATCGTTTGTCCTTTCTCGAAGAACAAGGTCGAGTTGTTGGTAAAAGGTTTTGATACGGCTCAGGCGGGTGGCGGCGATGCGGACAGAGCCCACGATGGGCTCTAGGGATCAGCTGAGGAGATTCCGCTCGAATGCGCACCGCGAGCAGCAAAGCCATCGACATGACGGACGGAAGCAGCATTCGGAAGCTCGTAATACTCCACACCGTGTCGAACGGCACCACAAACGCCACCGCCAAGGCCGAGGTCAGCGTCGCTGTCGTGCGGTCCAAGGTGGACGAGCACAGCGAGCCGGAGTTCAGACACGGCTGCGCGAAGCACCACCACCGGTATTGGTGCAAGTCGAACCGGCACGCACGGCGCTGTTATGGTGTTGATAAGTCACTGGCCGGAGCACAGTTTGACCAGGAGATCTGTCACCGCGGCTAGTTCGTGTGAGCCACTGGTACATGTGCTCCGGGTGCTTCTCCTGAAGCTACTCACGGAGCTCTACACGTATAGCCCACGGATTGAGAGAGGTGGGATTCAACTTGGTTGGGCTCCGAGCTCAACTCGATGAGGAGCTACCCCAAAATCGCTTGTCAGCGTCGTCTCCTTCCGCCTACAGTACTTCCGTTGACTGCGCCTCGCCCAACAAATGGTGTGTCGATTTTGCAGCCAAAAGACCAATTCGGCAATCGATAATGGGGACGTTCACCTTTGCCTTTCACCTTGATGCTTTAATGCAAACTGCTGATTCGGCTTTACAAGCAGACGTCCATAGTTGGCAATTGATTGTTATGGAGAGATCAACACGAAACGAATATTACCAGATATCGAGCTTGCACTGCGCTACGAGTGTAATTAAGAAGAATCATCGGGAAATTTTGCGCTCTGATCTGAGAAATAGTTGGCAAATCTACCGAACTTGGCAAGGAACGGCCCTCTTTCGGGCCGTTCATGTAAAATCTACAAACCCGAAATCGTTTCTTCTTCTCCTCGAAGCTGGTTCAGGTTCTCGAACATTGAGTAAGCGTCACTCACATGGGTGTGGATGTTGAAGTACGCGCCAACACGACTGAAGTGGCTCACGCACGAGCACCAATGTTGCAGTAATCGGTGGCGTGAGGCCGTTGGGGCGTGCATGTTGCAGGAGAGAGAAGACGAAGGACGTGAAGAGCCGCTAGGCAGTCGCAAATAATGGTCAAAGGACCGAAGCAAGTCGAAGCATTGTAAAGGACCACGTGAAGGCCGAAGGCTCACCAGTGGTGCTTGAATACACCAAGTGAGCTCTAACAGGACTGGCATAGCTGGGGGTTGCTACTCGGGTGGGGAGTCTGACCTGAAGACGAAGCCAGGCGTGTCCCGTAGCCCGCTCCCGTGGTGAAGAGCCCGGAGATCAGTCCAGCGTCCTTGTGTCAGCAGGAGGACGCTTATTTGGTGGTCATGCAGCTCTCGCGCTCGCAGTTGGTACGGCGCCGCTTGAGCTGTGGGTATCAGACCGAATCCGTCCGTACGGACAGCAGCGATGGCGGTGAACCAGCGCGTATCTGCTAGGACGGCTCGACACGAAGCCCGGATGGCGTTGCAACAAGCCTTGGAAGACCAGGCCGAGGCGGCGGCAGCGGCAGCCCTAACAGCGGAACAAGCAACGGAAATACAAGCAGATATAAATGGAACAGCGAGCCCTGTTGCTGAGGAAGAGACAGCAACGAAGGTGACAGCGGAAGCAACGGTGGCACGGACGAGCAACAACGACCAGGCCGTACGAGCAGCGGGTAGCGCGGCTGCATCTCGTGCATCTACAGAAGCTGCACAACCAGCACGAGCTACCCAAGGCCGTGGCGAAGCGGCAACGGGTCTCGCAGCCCACGGGCACTCCGCACAGTCTCGCGGAGCCCACGAATCAGGCCCTGGCCATGACGCCACGCGCTACATCCAAGGACAGCAGCTCCCGTCCGCTGGTGCGGAATTCCCACACAGAGAAGTGAACAATGACAATGGTTTTCCCGGAGGGCCCCAAGACGAGCACGCGTCCGGAGCTGCGGGATTTGAGACGTGTCCGTACACCGCCAATGCTAGTTTCTATGCTGGACCTCAAGTACAAGTTCCGAGCAGTGTCTACCAGGGGTACCAGTACCCGTACGTTGCAGGCCCACCGAACGCTTATCCTGGTTGGCAGGCACCTCCTGGATCAGTCCCACTGCAGCCTGTCCAGTATGTTCTTGCTCCAGCGCACCAATCGGGCGTCGATGATCAAACCCTAAAAATGAAGAAAAAAGTCTAGACCTCAAGGAGTTTCGAGGACGTGATGGTCGGATGTCGTTAGCGTCTTGACTGTCCCAAGTACACCTAGCGATACGACGAAGTGAAGGCAAATTTGGACGAACTTGGCACACTAGCGATCTCTACCTGGAGGTATCAGCGAAGCTGCAGGATGAAGCGGCAGCATGGTTTCATCGTATTAGCGGTACGGTGCGAACAGAAGACGAGACGCTGGAGAATCTGATTGCCTTACTGCAGACCAAATACGGGAAACACTTGGACGCGACTGAAGTCATGAACCGCATACGCGAGCGAAAGCAGATGCCAGGCGAAAGCCTGTCGGATTTCTCTAGAGCTCTACTGGAACTCGGTGGTGACAAAGTTATTGACGACAGTTGGTACGTCAGTTCCTTTCTGAATGGGATGGATAATCAAGCCATGACGCAGTTCATCAAAGTCCATCACCCACACGATCTACTTGAGGCCACCCAAATGGCCATTCGCGACTGCGGAACGTACGGCGAAGGCACTCGAGTCGGTTGGGAAGAAGCCAGCTCTCGTCACTCAAGAAACACGGGCGTGGTACGAATACTTGGGGGCGGTGCACGTCTAGTGTAGCCACCAGCAGCGCCAATGGCAGGGCTACTCCAACCAACCGTAGGCACCCAGCTAGTGTCTCCGTTGGTAGCCGGACAGCGCATGACAGTGCCTCAGCCTCCTCAACTGATTGCTTCAACTAACCCTCCACGATATGACGCGGAAGACAGGTCCCTCGTCCCTCAAATAACGAATCCGCCAGCGAGTTTCCAACCCGTGTTTCCTACTGGGGTCGTGTGGCCACCAATGGCAACTGCACAGGTGAGCCAAAGCCAGCTGTATGGAATTCCGACCCCGGGGGTAAAAGAAGAGCTGAGGCGAGGCCGATGAAACCTTTGTCGCCCAGGGGGGTTCGTATAGCGCAGCCCAAGCCTGTTCCCCAGGGGTAGACCCAGAGAATCGACTTGAGAGTCAACAGCAAGAAGATAGACCCAGAGATTCGCAGCCGCAAAGCTTTAAACCCTGATAATCACACTCCTTGGTTGGCGTGGATACCTTGTGTAATCCCTGTCGGCTCGTTTGTCTTCGACGGAACGGCACTCCACCGGTTGAAAATGTAGCCTCGAAGAAGTGCGGGAGCGCACGTCTACTTCAGAACGCACCTCCACACCAAAAGGCAAACCCAGAGAATCAGATCCCCTGAAACCCAGAATATCACAAATTCAGGGTCCAGGATTTCAGTCAACTCCGGGACTTGGAACTCAGAACACCTTACCCAAGTGCCCTCCTAGCTCGATAAAACCAACAAATACAGAGTATACAAACACTACAACTAGCCGTCACTTATTCTTTTGGACCCTTGGACGGTGGGTCACACACACACTAGGCTCACTCGAGTCTGAAATTCAGGGGCCTAGCTCCCCTGAGACTCACACAAACGCGCACCACCTCCAATAAAGGAGGAAAATACAATCACTATCAGTTACCTTCCCTTCACACAAGCAGTCAATACAAAATCCTGGAGGCGACTACCTAGCACCCCAGAATACCCTCTGAAATAATATGAAATGGGCTACCACGAGCACAGCAAGTGACCCAACTAGGATATGGAATAGATGGATCACTCCAGGAAGCTCAAGGCCGTCGCTGGTCCCCACCTAACTGGACTTGAGTTTTGATGGAGCCCACACAGACGGCTGTCCTTCGCCGTTGATGTGCCCTTAGCGTCCCGCGGTCGTAGTCTCGGGTCCTCCGGATTTCCGTCGGCAGGCTTGGCCGAAGTCACTTGCGCAGTACAGGGTAAAAGGAACTCTGTTTGGTTTTTATCAGCTACTTCTTTCTCTTTCTCTCTCTTCTTCGGGCAAATATCTTCTGTTCACTATGCTTGGGGTCAAATGTCTTGTCTTGAGTATACCTTGGGTTCAGCGGTCCAAACTTACGATCGGCTTGCGAATCCATTGTCGCACGGCGTTGAAAATGCCAATTGTGGGTCCTTAGACTTGGTTTAGTATGGTGCAGGACTCCCTCTCGACTCCTCGAAAGTATCCAGTCTGCGCATCCACAACGGTTCTTCAAGGTCACGCATCACTTTGATTGCAGACTGGCTTCGAACTGACTCGAGTCCCTGAAAATCAGGTGACACTCAGGGTCATCTTCTGAAATCCTGGGAATTCTGAGGAATCTTGGGGAGCTGTGGGGATTCTTGGGTGTTGGCTTGGGAAACACTTAAGTTCAGTATAGATAGTCTGGATTTATGGTCCAAACCCAGAGAATCATCTTTGGAACTCTGGGTCACCTGCACTCAGGGAGGCGAATCTCTGGGTCATCGTGCGGCACTCTGGGTTTCCGTGTGGCACTCTGGGTAACAAGTCTGCTGCATTGCAGGCTCGCGTGCATCTCCACAAAGCCACACTTTTAGCGGGTTTAGCGGCCTCCTGCGCATGATCATGGTGGTAGTGGGTTGATTCTCAGGGTAATTTGATTCTCTGGGGCACTCTGAGCCACAGCAAGATGAGGTGTACTCTGGGATACATTCTCTAGAGACACTTTCCGCCAGACTTTAGGCACTCATCGTAAGGGAAAGTCCGCGGCTGGACTGAGTGTTCTCTGAAATCCTGGGCGTGCACTCCCAGGATTCACACTTCCAGCCAGTTGGGCCCATCTGCGGTCAGGCGCTGGATTCATCCCGAGAACTCACTTCTCTCCCACTGTCGCCATCCATGTCACACGGGTACAGCCGCGCCGTATCCAAGTCATCCACCAATCAGCATCCGATACAAACTCCAAGTCACAGAGGTGACGGCACATCGTCGGCAATTTTCTGGGGACCGCCTCGTGTCAAGTCGTTTGCTATTAATTCACCTCAAACAACCCTCGGGCCGCAGATGATCTCCCAGCTCCAGCCGCAATTGAATGCATCAGTGACTACACAAGCGGCGAGTGCGCAGTCGCCATCATCGCAATATCAAGTGGCACAACGGTCTTCGGCGGGGCCGAGCACCGCCGCGGTTGGGCATGATCAGAGGCAGCAACAGAACCGGTTTTTTCGCAACAACGAACGGCGAGCTACAGCTTACCAAGCTGCATCGTCACGAATAAGCGGGCCACAACATCCGCTGAGAACAAGAGAGGAGCGGCTCGCTAACCAGCGTCTGTACGAGGAACGTCGACGCCAATGGCAAGCAGGTGCTGCAGGCGATAAGTCAAAGCGCTGTTACTATTGCGGTTTCGAAGGTCATTTATCGTTTGAGTGCCCGCTTAAGAAGGAGGATCAGTCAGCGGCGTCGCAGTTACCAGCACCAGCGCCTCCAGCCCGTGCAACACCAGGTCAACAGCCTTCGGGAAACGAGGAAGGAGCGTAGATGCCCCGATTCTGCGTTCCAACAATGTGTGTACAAGAGGTGGCTTCGCTGAAGCTGTAGTGAGTGATGAAGCATTCGCGATCTCGCAGGGTTTGGAGACTCGTCAAACAAGAAATGCTGACGACGAGCTCGCTTGCGCTCACGGATCGCCGTGTATATGCGTATCTACTACGACAGAAACATCGGGAAATATGCATGGAGCGCCATTGCGAACGTGCACGAAAAACGACAAACAACTTCACAATGCTTGCATGCACAGTGATAACGGCCCCGCAGGTGGAGTGGGGATGAGCGATGGCGACGACGCGAGGGAGGGCGAAACTCCGAGGAGTGACAGACAACTGCCGGGGAGTCCGAACACTCAGGGACTTCGGCCTCAGTCGTTCATGAAACGTGGGCTTCTTCCGTCTATGGCCTCACCTGCTATACAACGAAAATGACAATGGGATTCATTACGGGCGGCACGACAGTGTGACGAGGTGACGCAGATCGCGGAGGTAGCTTTGATCGAGAATGAAATGGCCAAACAAGATTCTACAACGGCGCAGCAGTTCTTTGCGGAAGATCTATCTTTGATCATGAGGCGGCGGGGTCGAACGCAGCACCAAAGCGCAATGTCCCAATTGCTGGACCAAGGTGTACCTGACAAGCCTGCCGAGTATATGCTAGAAGGTACCAGTGATCCAACATTGCAGACGAAACAGAAGACGATTCCTCCGCCGACCTCCGAGACGGACGCGGGAGTGCGAAATCCTGGGAATGGCGCAGCTATAGACGTGTATACTGCAGACAATGATGTACACAGTGCTGTGGCTCGAGCAGGCCAAAATCCTGGGAATGGCGATTCCCCGTACTCAAATTCAGAAGATCACGTACATATGAGCGAGAATGACAAGGTTCAGATGATCGAAGCAGCACAACGTGGTGCCGACTCCAAAAGTATTCTGGAGTGCTTGCTACGCCGTATCAGCGAATTGGAGTCCAAGTACCACGAGCCTAGGTCCGGCCTCGAGCGTCCGGGTTTAGCGCAGCTCAGAGCCGAAAATCGACGGTTCAAGCACAGCCAACGACGTAGGTTTATAGATAGAACACGGCACACGCTCGCCGCAAGAAACTCAAGCTTCCGCGATGGTACGCTAAGCCGGCGTCCTGTCTACCAGCCAGTCAGAGTGGACGCAGCCTCTAGTGAGCAGATACAGGCTAGTGGGACCCCATTGCCTGCGACGACATGCTGGAGAACGACGGCAAGAAGGGGGGTTCAATGCAAGCATTACCAGTACCAGACTGCAAATGTATACCCTTCTTGGAACAAGTTGCGAGCCCAAAACCAAGATCCAACCCGATGAGTGGTCAACCTGCAAGCTATTGGGGTGCCAGCACGACACGATCAACTACAGTCGGCCATGATGCGCTGCGAAAATGAAACTCGATCTGTGAAGCTGGACACATGCGCGCAGTTCATTGTGGCAGGCTCGAAGTGGCGCCGATTCGGCAAAAAAATGAATATTTTGCCTCCAGCAGATATCGTGGAGGGTTTTGGTGGCGGCGAGACGGCACTACTGGGTGTGTGACAATTTGAAATGGCCACTCAGTACAATCAGAACGTGACAGTGAATGCAATGGTGGTGGATGATTCATCAGCCCCGTTCCTAATTGGAGAGGATTGGATGTACGATGTAGGAGCTAAGATCGATTTCGTGACGTCGGAGCTTAAGTTTTATCGTGGAGACACTCGCGTCATAATCCCGATCGTCGGTTCTGGACCCCAGCGACAGCGCGAGCGCCAATGACTATCGGCTCGCTGCAAAGTTCGGCTCGTGCGGAAGGTTAAAATACGCACTCAGTCAGGAGTCACAGTCGCATTGCCGGTTGCAGCTGATGAAGGTGCGGAGGGCTTGTTCGTACCTAAAAGATTGAACAAGATGCCAGAAATTCTACTCGCGCCAACACTTACCAAGGTGTGCAATGGCGTGGTGCGGGTTCCAATGGGAAGCAAGCGAAAACTGCCAAAACAAACCGCATTGGGAACGTGGTCCCCCATCGAGAAGGATATGGAGATTTTATCGATGAGCGGGGAGCTAGAACGTAGCAGAATCAAGTCATGGTTGGCGGAGCTCACCAAGTACCAGAGAGATACGCCCGTGGAAGGCCTCGATGAATTGAGGAAAACCTGACTTCTGAGGAGCGTGGTTTGTTGTTAAAGTTGATGAGTTCCTACCCTGCACTCGTGGAAAAGAAATCGTCGTGTCCTCCCATCACCACTACCGGAGTGGAGCATCATATCAACACCGGCACCAACCCTCCAATTCGTTGCCGTTCTCGTCGGTACGCCCAATCAGAATTGACAGTGATTGATGAACATGTCGACAAAATGCTGGTTGACGACGTAATTGAGCCCTGCAATTGACCCTGGGGGTTCCCAGTGGTTTTGGTAAAGAAGAAAGACGGCTCCATTTGTTTCCACATCGACTACCGAGCCTTAAATGCAGTCACGGTGAAAGATGTCTACCCGCTACCAAGGATTGATGAAATTCTGGACCACTTGAGAGGTGCTCGATTCTTTACGACCTGGATCTGCACTCTGGCTACTGGCAGGTCGGTGTGGCGGATAGTAACAAGGATAAAACAGCATTTTCAACAAGGAAGGGGCTCTTTCGGTTTACCAGAATGCCGTTCGGCTTGGCTAATACGCCTGGAACTTTTCAGCGTCTGATGGATGCAGTGCTTCGAGGCTTGAGTTGGCAGTGCTGCATGGTGTACCTCCATGACATTATTATTTTCACCAAAGGGCCTTTTGAACGGCATATCGTGGAAGTTGCTGCGGTGCTCGAGAGGCTAGCCAACGCAGGGATGAGCCTTAAACCACAGAAGTGCTCCTTCGCCAAGCACCGACTCGAATACCTGGGGCACGAGCTCACTGAAGAGGGGATTCGTTCGATGGAGAGTTTAGTTCAGTCGGTTCTGGACTATCCTGCACCGACCGATGTGGACGCGGTTCGAAGATTTGTTCATCTGGCGGGATACTACAGACGATTTATCAGGAATTTCGCGTCGAAGATGTCTCCGTTAACCCGACTGCTGCGAAAAGAATGTGCCGTGGAGTTGGGACTCGGAACAAATTGATGCGTTCGGTAACATCAAGCGCGAACTCACTGAGCACCGCTTCTCGCGTACCCTGACTTCTCGAGACCATTTACGCTGGAAAGGGACGCGTGTATGGTGGGGCTGGGCGCTGTCTTAATGCAGAATTTGGGGAACGGACTTCAACCTGTAGCCTATGCTAGTAAGGTTAATAGCGTGACAGAATCCAAGTACTCGATCACTGACTTGGAATGCGCCGCTGTAGTCTGGTCTATTAAGCTGTTCCGACCCTACTTGTTTGGACGACATTTCACCCTGGTCACGGATCACATTGCCTTAACATGGTTGATGACGAAGAAAGAGCCCGTAGGCCGTCTCTATCGATGGGCACTAGCGCTGCAGGAATACGATTTCACCATCCGATATCACAAGAAAAAAGCAAACGTAGTAGCAGATGGGATGTCAAGAGCCCCTGTTTCGCGTCCGGAGCCAACGGCCAACTCAAGACCGACCAAACCCCAAATTGTAAAGCCCCCCCCCCCGCGCCCCAAATTCGATCAACCGTGATGATCGCACCGGAAGAGCGTTAATTCATCTCGTATCGGCTAGCGGCCAGCTCCCTGTACGAGAAATCAAAGAACAACAACAACAGAGCCCAATGGTCAATAAGCTACTTGCCGCTGGATTTCGTGACAACCGGCAAATTGTACGCGCGCCGGACGGGATTGTATACATATAGGGCGATGGGTTCAGAACGCATCGACAAATCGTCTTACCCGCATCGCTCTGGGCGAAAGTTCTTACTGAAGCTCATGATTCGATCTACAGTGGCCATTTACGCGTACCGGCCACGCGTGCGAGAGTAGAGAGGATTACTGGTGGCCGAAGATGAGAGATACCGTGCGCAATTGGGTCATGGCTTGCCGGGACTGTGCAACCAGAAAAGTAAAACCCAAGTCAGTAGTCCCGCCGCTGCATCCCCTGAAAGTCGGTGCACCTGGAGACCGATGGGCGCTCGATGTTGCAGGGCCACTACCAAGATCTGCACGAGGCAATCGCTATGTCATTACCGCTGTGGATTATGCTACCAGATATGCAGTCGCCAGATCTGTTGTTAATCATACTGCGAAAGATATTGCCAGATTTCTCATGGAGAATGTCATCTTGGTTTTCGGTCCCTGCCATGAGCTGGTCATGGACGGAGCCCCTGAACTGAATGGGAGCGTGATAACAGCGTTAGTCGAGTTACTTGAGGTTGAGCAAGTCACTCCTGTACCATATCGTCCGGCTCTCTTAGGACTGGTCGAACGATGGTATCGCACGTGGAAGGACATGGTAAGCATATACTGTGAAGCCATGCAAGACGACTGGGATGATTGGTTGCCCGCGGCGTTGTATGCCTACAATGGAGCAAAACACTCGACAACGAATTTCAGCCCGAACGAACTCATGATGGGCCGCCAGCTTCGGTCGCCGAATGAGTTGCTACTAAGTCATCGAGTGACAACGATCGACAACTACGGCGAGTACCACAAGTCATTGGTTGAGCAGATGGATAGGACACGCAACCTGGCTGATGTTTTTACTGCCCAAGAACAAGCCCGTCAAGCAAAGTACTATGACAGATCGACAGTGCGCAAGAAAGAACACTTCAAACCGGGGATGCTAGTGTGGCTGTACAAACCTCCTCGTGGCAACGGGGTCACAAAGCTTGTCCACCGTTGGGTATGACCCGCGAAGATTTTGGAGGACGCGGGGTTGAACAACTTTCGGCTGTTGCGGCTGGACACTCGCTCAGAAGTGATTGCCCACTGCTCATTCCTCATCAGCTATTTCTACCCGACTCATTTGTAAGGAGAAGCTGCTGATCAGATCATGCAAGAATTGCTGGACGAAGAACGAGCAAGTCTGGCCTGTGGGGTTGCGCTGCTGGATACACAACGCGATTCATGTCGACGAAAAAATGTTTACCCCGGTGCAATTCATCGCAACACCAAGTACGAAATCGCAGCTCGGCAGGGAGGCCGTCGGGGAGTTGGACCCACGTCCAATCGTCGGACGAGAAGGAAGCGCGCACCAGAATCGCCGACTAGCTGCTCTCGCAAACGATCGCGGCGGAAATCGAATGATGAACCAACTCTGGCGCATACTAATCAAACCGGATCACCTGGTGACGCTGAAGGAATTACGTATTCATTTGTGGTGACACCTGCTCCACGACTACGAACGCTGACAACGCTGAATGGGGGGAAACTTCGAGAGCGACGACGCCGAAGAACCTGTAATCGTGCCGGAAGCTCCAAGTCAAAACGACAAAACTTTTGCAAAGCACAATACATTTCACCATATTTGTGCAGACACGCTATCTGACATCTCGCCAAACAGATTACGTTCTTTATCTTTATTGTGCACAGCAAATTCATCCCATTGCAAAGAAATACGGAGTGGGTTTCAAAAGAAAAATAAGAAAGGAATAGTTCAAATCTTGCCGTAAATTCGTTCGGCACGAATTAATCAACCTTGGCAGCTCATATTTGATGGCCCGCAACCTCTGAGTGAGAAGCAGGTCTTGCAACTCCTCAGCAATATGCCGCGTCATACGGATTTCATTGCCGCTTGTCTCGCCGAAAGGATTGTCAATTCAGTGATGGTCAACGAGTCGGTACTCGCCTTGTGAATCATGAAGAAGACTAATTCAGTACTCCTCAATAGCGCGGGAGACAAAATGACATCGTTGGATCATGCTATTGATCTCCAGCATTTCGCGTCGACACGGGAAAAGCTGCCCAAACAGTGAATTTCAGCAGAAAAAGCAATTGCGCAATTGCACCACGTTGGGCCGTCACAGTGTGTGCCAGACCAACTCTCTAGCGAAGATCACCCGATCCCTTCGAGTACGCAGCAACGGCGCTCTTCACCTGAACCACGGGCGGATCTACCTGTACCGGTACGCGGGAAATCGACTTGTTGTAACTGATTGTATTTCGAGGTCGACAGACTTGTACTAAACAACACTTAGCTTCGCGAAGCACTGCCGACCAACTTGCAAAGCTTCGTCACATCCAAATTATTCTTCGCAGGAGCTTTCGAACGTTCAGCCTGCCGGTAGATCGTCTCCCTGTAGTTGAGAGGGCGCATCGGAATGGTGCAGCGCTCGATAATGTGATACCGGACGGCGCTATCAAGCATGTCACAGGATCGCGTGTGGGTTAGTCTTGAAATACCCAAGACAGAGCAACAATAAGCGTCCTCCTGCTGACACAAGGACACTGGACTGATCTCCGGGCTCTTCACCACGGGAGCGGGCTACGGGACACGCCTGGCTTCGTCTTCAGGTCGCGTCGAGTGTGCCTGGCTTCGTCTTCAGGTCAGACTCGCCACCCGAGTAGCAACCCCCCAGCTATACCAGTCCTGTTAGAGCTCACTTAGTGTATTCAAGCACCACTGGTGAAACTTCGGTCCTCACGTGGTCCTTTACAATGCTTCGACTTGCTTCGGTCCTTCGACCACTATTTGCGACTGCCTAGCGGCTCCTCACGTCCATCGTCTTCTCTCTCCTGCAACATGCACGCCCCAACGGCCTCACGCCACTGATTACTGCAACATTGGTGCTCGTGCGACCTCAATACCTTGTGAGCCACTTCAGTCGTGTTGGCGCGTACTTCAACATCCACACCCATGTGAGTGACGCTTACTCGCCATTCCCGGTAGTGCCGTCCTCGGCACTGTATCGATGCTCCTGAAACTCCGTGCTTGTGAAAACAGGCCACTCGCCATTCCCGGTAGTGCCGTCCTCGGCAACTTGCGACTGTGATTGGTCTTGTTCGTCACCCTCTGGGTCCACGACTGTGTCTGCAGCCCACAAAGCTAGAAATTCCCGCGTAGACAGCCACTGCGTGCTCTGGACTTGGTTGTTACGTCCGAGAAACTCAACTTCGAACTCCAACCTCCTCGAGTTATAATAAATCAAGATCGATTATATAAAACGAGCTCAAAGAAAGGGACATATCGATCTATTTAGGCCGGCTAATAACTCGACCTACGCCAATCCAAATCATGGCTCGAGGTCGATCTGCTGGTGGATTTGAGTAGAACAAGGTCGATCTACGGTAAATCGATCCTTTATGCGTTTTCAAAAGCGTAATTCGAGGTCGATCTAAGTAAATCGAGATCGTCCATGCTACCCCCTCTGATTTGTGCCCTGATTTGTGGACCGGCCTACCTCGATCTAGGCCATAAAACGGGGCGGCATTTATCTGCAAAGCACAATAATAGCCAACGAGATCGTGACGAATGCCAAGGTAACTAGGGCTCCGCGAAGGCTGGGATAGGAAGTTTTTGGTATAATCGCTTTCTATTATTATGAGTTTTTTTTTACGAACCACGGGCATCTCCTGCGCCTGCTTCGCAGCCGCAGCGTCTGCCCGGTAATTCACCTCAAAACTGTAGATACATGATGTGCCTTGGCGGTGCTTATACACTGTGATAAAACGAACCTTGCTCGAGATCTGTTTGTAGCTTGTAGAAAATGAAAATGTTTACCTTTGTATGCTTCTGCAGCAGTTCGTCCGCTTCAATCATTCACTTTACTTCACTCCTACTATTCGATATATGTTACTGACTCATACCGGTTCAATCTGCCCACGCATATAAACCTTTTGGAAGCCGAGTGTGGTACCGCGGCCATACCGGTGTGATGGGTATCCTACCGGTTCAGCTTGCCCACACATATACATGTTAGCCCCTTGGTTCCCGACGTCGTAAGTTACGACTTTGCGAAATCCCAATAGGGGGTTTCAAAGTAGCCAAAAATCCGATTTATTTTTACAAAAAAATGCGACTAAGATTAGGCGAAAGATGTGTCTCCGGAGACGCATCGTTCGGGCTGATCTTTTCGGATTCTCATTTTTTCAAACATATGGCTCTTTAAGCAGCTGTTTTCTCATATCGTGAAATGGGTACAGCTAGAAGTGCCGTACAGTACCAGAATATGCAGGAAGAGAGATAGCATAACTGAGGGACGCTTCATCCCTGGTGTGCGCCGTTCACCAGCTGCGGGGCCGCCGTGTAGTCTACAGTAGCATAGTCTCTTTCTGAAACTAAGTCATTTGACATGTAGTAATGAGCGCTTGCTAGAGTACTCCGCAAACAAGTTAGTGATTTTCACAACAGGTAACTTACAGTAAGTGCTTTTTACAAACGCCCTGTATGTTTGCTGCTTTATCGCTAGCAGATTAAATTAATGGCTCCTCAAGAGGACTGTTACACGTTGTCGAGGGGTCGTCCTTACTTTTGAGTATTTCGCGGACTTTCGAGTACTGAGTTATGTGCTCAGACTTCCGAGTGCAAAAACGTCATTCAAACGCGTGCGCTGCGTCAACTTGGAACTACTGACTCCATTTTAAAGACGTTGCTTGTTGGGATGCTATTCACGAAAACAAAAAAGTGCTACAAACCCTTTAGGGAAACTGTTTCATTAGCTTACTCATGCTCGCATAAGTGGATCGATGCGTTACTCCTCAGATGCATTCAAACTGTTTCTTCCTCCAGTCTGGTCCAAGATGGAGATGCCGGACGTGACATCTTTCCTACGTCACATAATGTGGAATTACTCAGAAGTCAGTCAAGTGTACGCACAATTAAGTAGCACCCGTTGTGCTGCCTAGTTTGAAGAGATTATGATCGGCGTACAGAAGAAGACCTTCGCGTGCAAGTCAGCATCCGACAAGTGGAAAGTGTCTGATGGGGGCTTCTCTTGTTACGGACAGGGCGTGCCAATACAAACTCGTAGTTACTTTTTTCGTCGTAACTTACGACGTAAAATATAACTACGATTTTGTAAAGGCAAGTCCTCTCCGTTACAAGAGAAGTCCCGCCAGAAATATAAGATTGTAGAGATCTATGGGGGGAACTTACGACATAAGAGTCGAAAACGACGCGAAGTACGCCGGAACTTACGACATTGAACGTAGATCGAGTGCATACTAATCCCAGATGGTGGATCAATAGGATTGGTGAACTACACAAAACATCCATCTTGATAGATGACTGCGAGGTTGTAATCACCAAATCATCAATATATAGCCAATCAAAACATTTTCCCTCTCACTTATGCATAGGTCAGGTAATGGGGAACCGTATCCCATTCAAGAAAAAAGGGTAATCGCTACAACCAACAAAGGGGTACTTGGAGTGATGATATACTTTGTATGTCAGTGCTAAAGCAGTTCTATAACCGTAGAAGCAGCTTCACTTCTTCGCTTTGTTTGCCAGCTTTACGATATCTTCCCTACAGCTCGTCCATTTCTATAGAGTGTTGTTGCCGAGGCAACGGCCTACACCGACGGCGTTTCTCAATCCGGAACGCTGAAGCAATGCCGAAATTGCTTCGGTTTACCGTTCCTGGAAAAAGTTTAAGCCTACCACGGTTATTCTAATTCGCAGCAGGTATACTGATGCTGCTCTCGAGGGTGGCCGCACCGGTAGCGGCACTCGGGCTTCGCGTACTATAGAAATCACCTCGTACACGGAGACTGTCAAAGCAGCCGAAGAGGATCTCTATACGCACAAATAAGGCGTCATGGTCGGATTGACTAGTTGATGACACGCGTACAAGCCAGACCTCCGTCGTTCCCGGTGATACCGAAGTATACGTCGTGCTTAAGTTGGTTAGTAGTAGGATACTCTCGTCATCTTAGTTTAGTTATTGAGAGAGGTCATTGTGGAATATACGCACGATCAAGGTTATTTACTCACTACTCCATGCCCTTGCTTCCAATCCGGCATTTACGTGGCGCGAAATACCCTGCAACACTGTCGCTGCCAAAACCAGCTACACCGTACAGTTGTTATAAGGCTGTAAATAAATATTTCTTCGTGTTAGAAGACTCGGCAGACATAGTCTACTTCCGGTTATACTTACTTACGTGTACTCGGCACCTAAACTCGAGGAAATAGCAGCTACAACCCTTGGAGAGTTATTTAGGCGCCATTTCATCCATGGTTTTTATCATTTTCTTGTTTATTGTGTGTACGGGCGTTTAGAAGCTATTCTACGAGCTCGTGGGAACTCTTGACAGCCGCATACGCCTTACTCTCCCCTTCAAGGTCGCTGTTGTGTTTGCTTGAAAGTGGGCACTCGCGCAAACCTTAAAAGGGGATGTTCGTCTTTCCCTATACAAAATGCCCCATTAGCCGTCCCCGGCTTATGCACAACCCATCTCTGATGCCAGCTCTATATAGATACGACCCACAAACTCCAAAGAGTGGTACATCCAAGTTCCTACAGGAAATTATATAATCTAAGGAGATAAGTGATTGAGGTGCGTTACTACCACTATTTCCTCAAAGCTCATTTTTACTTCTAAGAGAGAGGGTGATACTCCTCAATAACATCGCACTTCTGCTGGATGGTTAGCCACACACCCTTGGTACCCTTCTGGGTGCCCTTAGATCACTTCTGAAGGCTGGGCGTCCTCTGCTCAGTGCTGCCTTGAGTTTGTCTGTGGCAAAAGTGCGCCATGCTTTTGGCAGGATGATTCAAATGAAAATGGAATGTGTAGACCACACAGTGGCGGTACTTCAATGTGACGGGCGCTCACTCCTGAGATGATGCCCCTTGATATCATGATTTCACAAGGGTATCAATTTATACGGTTTACAGTTTCTGGGTGGTATCTGTATCCGTGGTTTTGTGCAATTCTGATTTTTACCTCACTTTTGCCGACGAATATAAACTTAACCCCTTCAACCCGAAGAATTTTGAGGGTCAGCTAAGCTGTATATACAGCATAGTTTTATCTAGAAGTTTGTCGACTCGAGGGTTGCGGCGGGAAGGCGGAGAAAAAGGCGGTGACGCAGACACTACGTAAAGCTATTCCTACGCTGTATTGGATGTACTACCGTCGGTATATACAGCGCCATAAAGCTGTATAAGCATGTACTCCCACTACTCTTGCACAACGATAGCACGATTCCTCCTGCATGTTCAGTACAGAACATGAGGCTCAAACTCTAAAAGCTGCATCTATGCTGATATTTTTTTAAATATGAGCGCAGACGATGCGAGAGGGGCAATACTGAAATCAAGTAGCTCTAATTGATGTACGGATGCAATCAAATGAAGCGTACCTCTAACCTGCATACAAAACTCAAATGAAACAAATCAATACAGTAAGTTTCAACAAGCAATCATTGAACACCAGCTTACCCCCCCCTGGCTACACGCCGCTACAAATGAGCAATCAAAAACTACTTCTGGACGTGCGCAGCCTCACACGCCCCCCCCCTCGCTCACGTTTCCACTCTCTCACTCACTCGAGTCGCCCGACGAAGCACGGCGGCGCTTCTTGGCTGGGGACTTGCGCAGCCGGATCTTGTTCTGCAGGTGGTCAGGAATGGCGGTGCCGTTCTTGTATGTGGTGTGCCAGATCTCCCAGCAGCTCATCAGGACACCGTCGATGGTCTTCTTCGGCTTCATGCACAGGTACACTTGCTGAGAGTCGACGCAAGCCTCGCAGCAATACGTCGTGGTCCCGCCTCGCTTCCCATCCGTACGCATCAAAGAACAAATCTTGCAGTTTTGCTGCACTCGCTTCGACTGCCCCGAGTACGTTCTCCATTCGTCAATCTGCTTCGGTAAGTGCTGTGTACATGAAGTACGTTCCGATCTGCTCGCAGAAGCTGCAGGTGCCGCAGTAGACGCTGGAGAAGCCGTCGAGTCTAGCCATCATGTATATACAGGTTAGCGTGGGTAATGAAAAACATAATATACAGCTCAGGAAAAAAGAAGCCTTACCAGCTCCGAACTTGTTGTCTTCGTACATGTCCTCGCTCTTCAAGTAAATCAGCTCCAGGTGCAGCTTGCGAATATACTGCACGTGCGTCAGTGGTCGTGTGCCCTTGCTCGCATGGTATCCGTTGACGATTGCTAGATCTACCAGCCCTAGAAATAGAGACATGTAGTATTTCCGGAAGTTAACCGCACGTTGCAGGGAGTAGCGCTGGAGGCGGAGTTGACCATGGACATCAACTCCGCCCATGTACTTGTGGTAATCCTTCACTGCCTTCGGGCACGGTACTTCGTGCTGCTCCCCGTCTTCTCGCGGCGCACTACGCGATCCATGGAGAGATCACTCCCCGTGCACAGGAAGAAGACGGGCTTGCTGTCCCACCAGGTGATTACCGCCATCTCCTTGACCTTCGTCGATTGCACGTATTTGTACGTGCCACGCATAATCTCCTTCGGCCGAGGCTCCTGCCATTTGAGCTCTTGGCCGCTGATTTCGAAAGTGAGACTCAAAAAGAGGGAGGCGGCTGCTGGCCACTCAGCACGATGCCTGCAAGAATTAATTGGTGGTGTAGTATTTGTGTATAGAACCCTGGCAATTAATTTTCCAAAAACTTGAACATAGACGATGGTACCTTCCCGCATGCATCTATGCGCACAGTGGACAGAAACACTGATTTCACTTGACTTAGTCTTTGTATAGCCAGTGATAGAGGCAGGCTCACAAAGAGTTCCGAGCATACAAATTCCAAGTATAACAATTTCTTATGCTGTATTTATACAGCTTAGATTTGAATTTTATCCTATCTGGATGATTTGCTAACACATCTTATGCAGCGCACCGGGCTGAAGGGGTTAATTAAAGTATAGCAATCTCGTTTCGAGCCAAATGCTATTGTTAATCGAGCTATGTCGTATAATACGACATTGAGATTCGGCAAAGTCGTAACTTACGACGTCGGGAACCAAGGGGTTAACCTTTTGGAGGGCCCAGTGCGGCACCGGGGTCACACCGGTTTCAGGACAATGTACCAGTTAGGTGTCAAGAGGGGTCACCTTTTGACTTGACGTACCACGGATATGATCTTATTTGGTCTACGATAGCAGCACTAACGTTGTTTCCTATTCCAGTATAAAGCCTGCTTTAGGTATGGTCTTTAGGCAGTTTTGGACTGTGGTCATCGACACCAGAACAATTACACACTAAGATCTTGCTTACTTAAATTAGTCTACGATAGACTTCTTTTTATTTTAGTAAAAACGGTATCCATTTATTACAACTCGACCAAGTCTAATGTATGCGAAGCACAATAGGTACATGATGCAGCAGGTGGAGACTGGGTACCATCAGCAACAGCCGGAGAAGTTGTCTGCAGTACTATCTGCTTCAATAAGGGTTGCCATAGCGAGATCGGTAGTGGATGGGAACCTAGCGAACCCCCTCGAGCTGGCGCGACTTCCTCCACTGCTCATTAGTCAATTCTTCACGATGCCTAACCAGCCAATTCTCCGAGCCCCATGAATTTCAAGACCTGCTTCGCTACCGTCCTCGTCGCTTTGGTCACCAGCTCCACCTCTGCTAATGCCCAGCAGCAGCAACCGCGTACGTGCGCCGGGGTCACTGAGTGTGGAGATGGAGTCAATCTCTCCGAATCGCCAGCTGCTGTAAGGCCAGGAGAGTTTCTGATCTCCATGAATGCTGCCGCACAAGCTGCTTGTTCGCGGAGCCTTGCCAGTAAGTAGCCAGGATGGCTTCAGTATGGCGGCGCTTGACTTCTACCAAACAATTATTTTTTGAATGGAGCCAAAAATCGCCTTGAAGTCCATGGTTATAGTTTTTTTTCTTTTCAATCGTCGTTGCTTTAGTCGATTCAGGGGCGTGCCGTCTCCGGCACAATGAAGAAGGTTGCATTGTAGCCTCCACAGCCAGGGTGTGGCGTGGCGGGTTATGCTCGACGACAAAAGTCTGAAACTAACGCTACGTCTGCTCCTACTGCTGGCGTTGGTTTCATCTTTCTTGTTCCTAGACTCAAAAAGCTATTTTCACGCCCGCGCATGAAAATAACCACTTATGTCAAGTAGTCGCAGTTGCTATCTGACAAAAATAATGTACTTCAAGAAGTGAAGTAGCTACTTCAAAGTCGACACGTACAGTGTGTTTGTGGCGTGTGCGGGAATGCCAGACATGTGTCCTATCGCTGCTAAAAACTGCGAACGCCTCGGACCATACCAATAATTGTAACATAATAAGTATTTAGTTCACAACGCATATCGACCGAATAGAGGTTGGTTTGTATTGAAGCGCCATCGCAGTGTCTCCTCGAGCTTATCACGACACGAGCTTCACGCGATCCGAACGTCTCCGTACAGGAATTCTATGTAGTCCTCCACAAAGCGCCCGTATTCCGCACCACCGAAGCTTTCTTCATCCTTTTGGTGAGGTACTCTGCTCCAATATCTAAGTCTTTCCACGTCTAGAACGCTTCGGTCGTTGGCCATTACAAGGCCATTGTAATTCTCGGGATCTTTCATATAATAATCCACCATCTCCTTCAGCTGTGTTTTGCTTTTCTGCGCTTGCAGAAAGGTTGGAGGTGAACCATCCTCTCTCTCTTCCTTGCGGTCATGAGAGTTGACTGCGGCGCCTCTGCATAGGAAGCGTTTGTCGGTGTGATGTCGACAGCGTGGTGGTGGTAAGGATTTGAATTAACGGATTTTACAGAATAATACCCGGACTACTATTTATTAGAGCCCCCGAAAAATTGATCGGCGTTAACGAGGGGGTTTCTATTTGGGTAAGGGTTTCTTTTTTATGGAATACAGAACGCCGTTCTGAGAACGGACTAACCGATAAACGATATCATAGGTGTGCAAAGATATTTGGCACGCTTGTTTTAATACAGGCGGCAGTTAAATTCATCAATCGATTAAACGGAGTATGGTTTTGTTGCTGGTTTTAGTTTAGTAGAACGGTGCAAAGTAGTTGTTCCTCTCCTCTATGACTAAAATGAACATTGTTTTGCATTGCTAGTATTAGTCTGATTGCCAGGACCAGGTAAACCCCAATATCCGTAAAAACAAAGGTTGAAAGAAATACCAACTATCCAACCTTTGCGATTCTTGACTCTAAATCACAGGTGCATGGGATCTAATATATGTGTTGGTAATCGTAGAATAGCTGCTAGCTCACCGAGGTAAACAACCCACCTGAGCCCGTTGAATTTGTTTTAGTCGCATTTTTGCTCAATCCAGTAGCTTGCGTGGTGGCTACATAGTGAATGGAGATAAGAAAATAAAGCCTTTGCAATTGGGGAATATTTCTCTGGCCCACATAAGAAACAACACTTCGGTTTTCTGGACATAACTTTTTACTAAAAAATCGTTTGGTGACTCGCAATACCTCAACCGAAAGCTGTGCATTTGCTCCGTTTCACGCTATGATTTAAAAAAATCCAGCAGCAGAAAGAAAAGAGAAACAGTCTTTTATCCGAATTCCGTTTTAGGCAACATTAGGTTTTTTTAGCGAGGTGCCGTCAAAAATTAGCGATATTAGAAAATAAAATATCACCGTAATCGCGAGTGACTGCTCTACCCTTATGTTCGTTTGTCGACGTTGTAGCGCCTGTTGGAGACGAGTTAGAAGGGCTACAGTTTTGAGGTTTTTCTACGCGATCATCTCGACATGCGCAGACCCATTTATTTTGGCCAATTGTAAGATGAAACAGTTGATTATACCCAATCATATGTGACATGTGGTCCACATCAAATTGAGGTTTAATGCCGAATGTTGTTTCTTAAGTGGGCCAGAGAAGTATGTTTTACTTACTAGAGTTGAGGAACATATTTTTTTTTGTTCTCAAGGGACGATCTTTATGAACTCCGCGAGTGTTTTCACACATTCTTAGTACAATAAGTATTTCCTTCGTAAGTTTTTGTTAGCGTTTTTCTATTTAGTAGCCCGGGTTTGTATTAAATTATTTAATAATCCGGGCCTCTATTTGATACAGGGCTTCTATTTCTAGACTGTAAAGTCATTTTCACCACCGGGATTTTACCGAATACTCGAGTAACTTACTATGCGATGGATGACACGGATACGGTGGACTTTGTGTTCGTTTCAAAACGAAAGCCAGTATGATAGCACATGTGCAAGCCATCAGAAACTGACAAAGAGTTAGGCTTCCAAAAGAGAAGAAAGAGTGACTTTGCATTGAGATGTGACAGTAATCTCTCTCTATTTTGGCCCAGTACCACGAAGAGGGCCTACTCCATCCGAACGTACTGCATCTCGTCCAGGTACCGCCTGTAATTGGTCACGATGTACTGGAAAGCATCATCACCGTAGCCAACCTTTGTTCATCGCTTTGGCAATATATTCCGGTGAAGCGTCTAACTTCTTCCATGCCCCATACACCTCCCACGTGGTCCTCGTACCTCCGATAAGGTCGTCATAAATCCCCTCGCTCTTGATCCATTTTGCTTTTTGGGCCTTCAGCGCTTTGGCAGCACTAGAGGCGAACCAGTCCAGCCCACTCGCTTCGCGTTTGCTCTCGCCACCCGCTGCTACGGGCATGCGTATGGATCGCTTGCCCTCATGGTGGGCTTCATCGGGAGATTGAATCGCACGGGGCCGGTCCGACATTGTGGTGGCAGCATTGGATTCCGCGATGTAGCAATTAACGCAGAGCGTAGTCACAAGGGCAGCGAGCACAGCAGACTGCAGACGCATGCTGGTACTTCACGAATCGACGTCGACCTCGAAGGAGCTGGTGGTTTAAGCGCTGGAGGGGAAGTTGTGAAATGGCTGAGCGGGGTCCTAGCTAGGAATGGAGGAAAGGTCTTACTTCTACCGGTATATAAACTCTGTTCCATGGGCAATATGCCTCGCATCAAGGATTGCGATCACTTCTCAGCAGATCAATGCGGAACAACATACCTTAATCAAAAGCACTCAGCGACTCACGAAAGCAAACGTATACAAGCGATAGGACGCACAACAGTACTTCATGTGGGCACGTCTCGAATACAAGGCCACGATCATATCTTTCACGATCAGGGTCGATTACATCCGTCAGATTCGTACATGCACACCGCTTGGAGTGCCGGCGATGAGATCCACCTCGCAGTACGTCGTCCATCACACCAATTTCGAAGCGGACGAACGTGCTTTAACAGGAGATCCCGCTAAGAAGGGAACAAAAAGAGCCCAAAACGGTGAAAGTCGAAAAAAAAACTAATTGCGGTTTTAGTGAAGCATGCATGCAGCTGGTATCGTTCGCCAGTTCGCTATCTCAAACGAAACACTATGCTTATCTAATGTAAGCAATTTGTGCTATCTGGCGACCACAGGCGCTGCACCAACGCGCCTCAAATGATTGCCGTGCGCTCTGTGAACCGATTTTCAAAAAATTGAAACACGGTTCAAGAGCGGGGCAGCTTCCCCCCACCTTCCCTCCCACCAGGTTGATCGCGAAGTTGCCAACGTCCTTGGACAGCAGTGACTTCACGTCCGTGTTAGCGCACATCGCGCTGATCACGCCGATCAGCGCTCTTAAGGGCCTGCAACGCTCTCTTACATTAGCTATGTAACGCTGCTACGCAGCTCGCCCTTCATCCTCCGCTCGCCGAGCTCCGTTTGATTTATGAGGGGGAGGTCCAAACCCAGTATTGGTACCATGTACCAAATTGAAATGTCTACAAATGCGTAATCTCTACAAATGACTTCAAACAGAGTTACTACCAGGGCGCTTGCTACATGCACTGCATTGCCAAAGCAAGATAGAGCACCTCAATGCAGAAGGTATACTGCTCGTTTAAAGTTGAAAGCATTCACGTGCCCAAATAGCGTTGAAACCCGACAAATTCCGCATTATGTGTTTTTCTGTGTTCCCCTCAAAATGTGTTCCCTCTTCGCGGGACTTTCTGTTAAATGGCGAATCATGACCGCTACACAGTGTTGGCGAAGCAGTGGATTGGTTTTGCGTTTGCAAAACTTGCACGTAACGGTTTTTCCCGAATACAAGACCTGTAGGAAATAGAAGTCCGGTCAGGAATAGGTTGGAGTTACTGAAAATAGAAGTCCTGTACCAAATAAAAGACCGGACATCTATTTTTTATAAATATACTCAAACATTTAGTTTTTAAAAATGTTCGCCCGAACTCTGCTTTGGAGCTCGAGCTCTATTGGTTTTGCTTCACAACGATACGATGTACCTGGAAAAGGCAATGCACTGTGGCCGTCAACCGATCTCGCTACATGTACTCCATCAGCATTAATGTCTTAGACAAAGATCTATATGTAAACTGCTAAAGAAGATGAACTGAACGACTGTTTTTTTTTTTCGTGACGAGCATTGAACGCCTACTTGCGCTTTTGCAGCGTCTTGTACGGCCTAGAACTTACTTGTGCGGCCCAGACACTGCGTTCAAAACCCTTTTAAGCTGCTGCTGCTGCAAGTGCAGGGCAAACGGATAGCGAAAGCGGTTAAACCCCCACGGCTAATGTACTCGAGGGGCTGCTTCTTATCCAAAAGCTTATCGATGTGACCTTGAGCATACCAGTACATCCAAGCACCCTGATTTAGCGGCCCTACCTAAGCCTAGACAAAACTTGTTGGCATCTCGACTTGGCCAGCTTGTCAGTCATAAATCGGAACGGCGTCAATTCTTTCAGACGAACCAATGCAATGATCCTGGGGTTCTTACTACGAGCGAGACGCTCCTTTGCGAGCTCATAAAGAATTTGACCAAGAAAAGTAGATCTTCCTTAGTACAGAACCAGCCTTGATGCAACACTTCCATGAAATACCGAAAAAGTCGTATTGATAGAGCCCCAATTTTCTATAACGGGTTGCGCTGTGCTCTATCATTCCGATAATTGTGGTAGTACTGCGACAAGGCGAAAATTGCTATAAAACACGGTAGCATTTACATCATTTTATAAAACACGGTAGAAAATGACTGATCGACGTGCGCCGTGAACTGTTCGGCTTCTTCGAGACGGCAAGCACACAGCGCAAACCTCCAGCAGCAGCAGAAGCCCGACTTCCAAACCAGTAGCAGCATGCCCCGCGACCGCATCCCTACCCACTACACCAACCGCTTCAAAGCGCGCGCCGTTGAAGACTGGCGTGCTGCACGCGCTAGCGGCACGAGTCGCAGTGCGTTTGCCGAGTCAAGTGGCTTCCCCCACCCTTCGCTGCAGAACTGGGAGCGCAAGTACTCCCGCCTGGCCCAAGAGTCCCGGCGTCAGCCTCGAGCCAGCCCCTACCTCCCTCCGGTTCCCTCCCGTGCCTCACGCTCAGCGGCAGCGGCCGCAAGCCCGACTCGGCCCCGATCGAGGACACATTGTGCGTGTTTATCAAGGATGAGCGACGGCTGGAGCACACCGTAACGGTTGATTTCATCATCGACATGGCTACAGAGCTCATGCCGGAGGTGATGGGGCCCAAAAGCCAAGGCTAGCTCTCCGATGAGCCCAGGCTTGCCTATAGTTAAGGGAGCGCCAGGTTCGGTAGGGGCGATTTTATGAAATCCTGGAAATCGCTTTCACCTGCTCCCCTCATCCGGCTGGTAACCCTAACCCGCATTGAGACACATAGATAACCATACAACTCACACAGTTCGTGATACCGCAAAACACACTTAGCGCTACAGTCTTGCGGTATCAGCAGAACTTCTCCGTTCGCTCGCTCTCCCCCTTTAACCTAACTGCGCTGTTGGCTAGAGGCGCATTAAAAGCGCTTACGACTGCTTAGAAGGTAGCGCATTCGATTGCATGCAACACGCATCGCACCTAACGCAACGCAACGCACTGGGAAGGCGTTTGCTCCCGCATATGTAGTACACACATGCATATAAGCACCGCAGTAGGACATGCACACATTAGAATAAGGTTGAGCGTGTGACCGCTGCAGACGGTCGCACGTCGCGGAGGCGGAGCGAGCGCGCGGGCGCTTGCTTCCTACCCGGTAGATTCTGAAATGAGAGCTGTTTTGAGCCAGTCGCTCCAAACATGAAATTTCACGTCTGGAAAATTTACATTGCGTCAATAGAGGCTTTCAGAAGCACGTGTTTTTGGCAAAAACCCGTAGCGAAAACACGTAGCGATCCGATCTATTTTTGGCACGGGCGACGCTACGTGTTTTTCGATCCCGTAAACCCGTGAGAGGGGGGTCCGCTACGGGGTAATCAAACCGAAATATACGTAAGGAAGCAGCATGCCTAAGCTTCTTCGTTAGGGTGGGTGGGGGGCCCTGGATGACAAATAGTTGGTCGTGGGCGCATGTGCCGTCTGTTAGAGGCCGAGTGCTCCTCGTTGGCGACCTTAGCTTGTGTGTGTACTCCGTTATCTGCTGCTATCGGCCTGTCAAGACCCCATCTGCCCACTTGTCATCCAAGGACCAGCGTGGGCGGCCGGTAGGCTACTCCGCCGCCCTAAATCAAGGCAAGGGGCGAGCAGCGCCTTCCAAACCTACCTGGAGTTTGAAAAGACCACAGCCGACGCGCCATATTGGGACCACTACAGCTACAAATGCCAGGAAATCATCATGCAACCCCCAAGAAAGTATGCATCCATTTCTTGAACTTGGTGAGGCGTCGATTTCGTTGCTACCTATTCCGGTGACAACTCATCCGCCAGAAAGCGAGTAGACCAAACTATCATGGACCCACAAAAAAAATTACAAATTGAAACTTACAACACCCAACGCAGGTAAATTAGATGAAGACGCTGCAGACAACCGAGACACGTGTTCATGGTGGATGCAACACCAACAGATTCATCGAAGGGACGGAATAAACATGGCAAACAGTAAGAAGGCATTAATTAAAAATCTGAACAATTTTTACTTTACTTCACTATACTGTACATCTACATTGGCCCAGCGATGGCGCGTGGGCGTAAGCGCTGCCGACGTGTTCGCCGAATGACGGCGCTCACAGCTAAAGCTTGTTGAGCCGAGGTCCCAGCTTAAAACTTTGCGTGCACTCGGAAGATTCCACGCTACGTAGTTTTGGCACGGTTTTGTATTTTCCGTATCGCTGAACAGCCGACCACTACGGAAAACCCGTAGTCAAAAACACGTATCAGCGCTACGTGTTTTTCACTACGTATTTTTAGAAATACCGTGCTTCTGAAAGCCTCTAATGTTAGCGATCACGCAACACTGGACCCCATCAATGTTATTGATCCCACACATTTTCAATGTTGCTTTAATGACTCTCGATCAATGCGAAACATTTCGGGACGATGATACATCCACCGGACAAAAAATATATGCAAGGACTTCATAACCCTATCATAAACAATCATATGTTTTAGAATAACTCTACAAAGTCATATGAAAATAAATGACGAAATTAAATATTTCGGAGCGCTACAGCACCGTAGTTTACACAAGGTGATGTCTACATTTAGAGAAAGCATGTTTGGTACCAGATTCAGCAGATACTGTAGGTGTTGTAACGATTTGTGGGTATGTTGTACGAATTGCCTTACAATGGAGATCGGCACGATAAGACTCGTAACATGAAGCTTTGGGGAATGCTTATTTATTGTAGTTATTGTTGCTTCTCGTTATACACTTGACCGTCTAGTTAGTGGAGCACTATATAACGCGTGCAAACTGACCATCATGATCATTTACCTACTTTACGAAGATAATCCATCAGCCGCAGTGTACACCACCCTGCCTGCAGTAGTTCACAACGGAAACAAGCGTTTGTTATGACTTTTAGATATCGGTGTCAGGTGAGCCAAGAGTCACCCTCATATATTACCAGTGCCGCAAGCAGTAAAAGTAACGATAAGAAGTCATATCATGCCCACATTTGACTCATATTTTAGAGCAAATGCTACCTGCACCTGCACCTGGGGTAATTATATCTGACCGTGTTCTTAAAGGAAGTATAGTCTATTCAGCAAGCAACGACTAACTTGGACTTCCAGCTTGCTATACATAGTTAACGCTCACAGCCGCAAGCCTTTATAGCAAGGTAGGACTGTCGGTGTATGCATATGCAAGCTGCCTTTGAAAGGGTACGTGTACGTCATTAACCTAGCCTAAGTAGTCAATAGTGCGCCCTGAGTAAAATCTAACCCCAGCGCAACGCGGGAGTCGAACTTTGCCACTACGTAAGTATTAGTACATATAGCGAGCTTGCTCTGCAACAAAATGCAACATCTAACAACACTTCAACATTCGACACTGCAAGCAACACTTCAACATCGAGCACCTGAACATCTAACACTTCGACCTCATCGCCCCTCATCGTCGCTTTAACACGTAACGTTTTTAATTATTTACCAGTGTTGCTCAAATAGTCATCTTTGTATTGGTACGGACGGTGTGATCAGTGGTAACTGAAGGTGACGAGCAAGCTGTTCCACCACAGAAGATCGCATAACCTTAGCATCGACGGCATTGAACTGGGAATGGGTGCGTTCACGAAGTCTCAGGAAGGCTTGTACATGGCCTCGAGCCGTCTGTGGCAGCTGCATGCAGTGTGAAAGAAGCTCGTGTTGTCCTCTTGCGAAGGCTTGAGCTCTTTGCTCTTTTCCAAAGCAATACGAATATCTAACTCGTCCGTTGTCACCATTAACAGCTACAATCTGAATATTGGTACAACATGATGTGCCAAATTTAAATTTGGTACAACATATGATGATGATGCGAAATTTGATACAACAAGGTGTTGCTAAACTCACGTCCGGTATAGAAATCTGTACACTAACTAAATTTTGGTACCAAATGAGCGCATCATCGTCAACATAAAAAAGCTAGAAGTTTGTTTCCATTACATATTAACAATCATCGTGTAACAACATCCACGTCCTCTCCACGCAGCTTATCGACCGCGTGTAGCATCACCAGGCGGAATCCCACCAGCTCCGGTATCGCTTCTTCCGGTTTGGTACATCATATCCATGTATACGGTACACCATTTCAAGGCCAAATTGAGAGAAGTCTAAATCAAAACAAAAACGACCAAAATCAAAACAAGAGAGATCAAGAAAAAGGGCACTGTCCCGGCCAAAATATTCCGGAGGGAATTTTCAGATCAACATAGAGTGGGCAAGTCAGTTGCTCTGTACGATATATTCGGTCTCGACGGTGATTAGATGATATGCATATTCGGGATTGTCATCGATCCCGTCGTGATTCGAGCAGTGTGCGCGAGGATTCTCCACAAATTGGTCCGCATTCTCTCTCCAAGCTTGAGCACCATGTCCGCAGCTCCACCTCTACGATGCACTCTTTGTAAACATCAAACGTGAGGTCTTGGCAGCACTAGATGAAGCATGTTCGCTCTACAGCTGAGGCGGAGCCTTCGCGCTGCGCTGTGGACATGATGCTCGTCTGCTGGAGCCTGGGCGCTGCTATCCGGCCGATTACGTGCGTACTGTACTAAATCTCAAAGTAAGAACGAAGCAACCTCGATAGTGTTACTGTGACGCCAATTAACGGTAAGATATACTGACGGGCCGAGCCTGGTTGTCTGCGAGCTCATACCATACTGTAGCAGTCTCCTGGAGCCGGACGCCGCCATCCCAAGGACCGACGCCACTCGCTTCTTGCTTCCCCCCCCCCCTCTTCCAATTGTGATGTGATGCAGCACGATCACGAGGGTTGTGATCGTGTCGTCTACTACCAATCGCGTCAGCTGAGGCCAGCTGAGCGCAACTACCCGGTACATGACAAGGAGCTTCTTGCCATGAAGTACGCACTCGCGAAGTTCCGAGTGTATTTACTCGGAAGCAAACCGTTCGTGGTCTATACGGACCACGCGTCGCTGCGGACGGCTGTGAAGTCGCCGCACATCTCGCAACGGATGGCGAGATTGCTCTCATTCTTCGCAGAGTATAACTTCCGGGTTGAGTACAAACCCGGAAGACTCAATGTGGTGGCCGACGCGCTCTCGCGTCGACCTGACTACGCCACGACTGATGCCGACGTCAATGCCATTGACGCCATGCGATCGAGCACCCCGACGTCGTCACTGTTGGACGACGTGAAGGTCGCGGACGCGCACGACGCGGACGCGAAGCTCTTGCTGGCCTACGGTTCAGCGCCTTCTGACCAAGCTCGTCAGAAGCTGCCGAAGCTTCTTCGTGCTCGTGCACACCGTTACCGGGTGCACGGCAGGTTATTACTCTACAGTGCAGTCGACGATAACGCGGACCGCGTTGTCGTGCCCAATGACCATGACCAGCGACTCAGGATCATGTATGAGTATCACGATGCACCGACTGCGGGGCATCCGGGCCGTGAGAAGACATACCTTCTTCTCACGCGAGAATTCTACTGGGCCCACCAGTATAAATGGGTGCGCAAGTACGTCCGTGCTTGCGAGGTTTGTCAACGTGTGAAGCCTGCGCCTTTCGCGCAGGCTCCCTTGCAGCCACTACCAACTCCACGGGAGTGTTGGCAGTCCATGTCTTTGGACTTCGTGTTCGGTCTTCCCCCGGACAGCCAGGGGAACACGGCGTTGTGGTCTTTGTTGACCGCTTCAGCAAGATGGTACATCTTGCTGCAGTACCCGCTGAAGTGACTGCGAAACAGACGGCGCGTCTGTTCGTTGACATGGTGTTCAAACACCATGGCATGCTGATCGACATTGTGTCGGATCGAGACCCGCGCTTCACTGCACACCTTTGGCAAGAAGTGTTTACACTTCTTGGGAGTCAACTTTCGATGTCGACTGCGGACCATCCGCAGACGGACGGGCAGACCGAGCGCGTGAACCGCGTGCTCGTAGACGTGCTTAAGAGCTACGCTCACTCGTTCCAACACTGGAGCGAGTGCCTGCCGATGGCGGAGTTCGCCATCAACAACTCGGTGCATGCCTCGACCGGGCATACACCGTTCTACGCGAATGCCATCAGGCACCCACGCCTCCCGAGTCTACTCGGGATGGTGGCTCCTTCCTTAAGTGGGGGAGGATCTACGACTGCAACACAGCAGCCGCAGAATGCCGCTGACACTTGCACAGTGTCAGCCGCGACTACGCGCAACAAGAAGAAGAAGCACGCGTCTGTGCAGGGCACAGACGCCGACAAGAGCAAGAAGAAGAAGAAGAACGGGTCTGTGCAGGGCACAGACACCGCGAAGACGAACGCAGAGGCCGGGACTACTGCTAGAAACGAGCTGAACGAGTTCAGCTCGGACGCAATCAACTTCGTGCAGCGCAGACAAGCCGTCATTCGGTTTGTGCAAGACGCTATCGCAGCTTCGGTCGACCGACAGAAGCTGAACGCAGACAATGTTGGTAGAGGCAACACTAATGAATTCAAGAAGGGTTCATTGGTTTTGTTAGCAACTCAAAACCTGCCTAAACATGCAGTTTCCGACTTCGGGGCGAGCAAGCTCGCTCCGCGCTTCATCGGGCCGTTCACGGTGTTGGCACGGCATGGCAACGCCTACACGCTAGATATTCCATCTAGCATGCGCCTCCATCCGACCTTTTACGTCGGGCGGCTGAAGCCATACCGGCAGCACGAGCCACCTAGCTCGGCTGGCCCGAAGCGGAAGCCCCAGCGGGAGCGAACCTCTGCTCCAGCGCTTGAACGCGCTGGGCCAAGCGTGCCACGCGACCTCCCACGTCGACAGAGATGTCCGACGCGGTCTGCGAACCCTGAGCGACTTGAGCCCTCAGGATCGCCACCTCCTGCTTCAGAGCGGCGAACTCCCGGCTCTGATGCTGTTCCACAGCAGCGACCCGCTCCTCGAGCGTCGGACCAAGGTCAACCCCAGGTTGACCATACCCGGGGCGTGTTCCCACCACCGCCGCCTCCGATCCGCGACGCCCGCGGCTCAACACGCTGGATTGTTGCGCGTATTGTGAACCATAGTATTCCGAAAACGAACCGGCAGCCGGTTCGTTATCGTATTCGTTGGAGAGGGTTTCCGCCCCACCAAGATACATGGGAGCTGCGGGACGTCCTGCCGCAGGACGTTCCGGAAATGGTGAGGGCATACGAAGCTCACCACGCACTGCCGACGCGAAGGTAGTGCGAGCGCTGTGGTCACCTACAGCGCCCGAAGTCCCACGATCGTCGCGTTCCTCGCGTGCCAAGAACTTGGCACGGAGATCCTTGAGACTCGCAGGTACACGAATCGTCGTGTACCCGTTTAGGTCGCGGTCGCTCAAGCGCGCCGCACCCGGAAGACACAACATGCACTGTTGGCCTTCGGGCACAGCGCATGGAATACCAGCGTCCACAGAAGATCTGTGGAGCTGCTCCAGCCGCCCGCGTGTCGAGAATGTCTCGAAGCGTTCACGGGCATGCTTAACCCGCTCGCGGTAAGCAGTCGATTGCTTGTTGAAGTTCTCAACAAAAGCGTTCCAACTTTGACAAAGTGCCTGCCACTCAGGCACTTTGCTGCGAGAAGAAGTCTTCTTGCTGGAGAAGTACCGGAGCTCGTGGAAGAACCCGATGTAATAATCGCAACTTTGATTCGTTAACGGATCAAAGTGCTGCTCCTACGCAACAGCATCGTCGTGGATACCGCTGCATACGTACAGCGGGATTTCGTTTGGAGGCACAGTGTTGCCCACACGGTCTGCGATCTCTGACGCAGACGGCATCCACGGATCGCGCGCTGCTCAGGCAGCGCGCTGAGAGCTTGAAGGCGCCACCTCACGCGGGAGCTTAAAGCCCCAACAGCAGAGAGCGGAGTGTTGCTCTCGCCTCGCGAACGCTTCGAGCTCGAAGCGTCCGAGTCGTCTCCTTCACGAGGGCGTCTCGACCCGGCATGCGGGTCGAGACTATCGCTGTCGATAGACTCCTTGCGCTTGCTAGAAGAGGCCTCGCCCTCTTCCATCTCCACGTCGTCGTCCTCGAAGTCAACGGCGACGTTGACTACAGAAGAACCTTCGACGACAATCTCTGGTTGAGTTGTCCCCGCCGCAGCCTTGGTAGCAAGAGCGTCACGCTTTGCTTTGAGACGCTCGCGGTACTCGGGGATAGAGAGAGTCTCTATCCCGGCGGAGGACTTCCCCTCTGCTGCAGCGTCGGTCTTCTTCTGAGGCAAGCTCATTGCGGAATGAGCTCGAGTTTTCTTTCTCCCAACGAGAAGAATTGACGAATGGTCAATTTCCTGATCGACGTGCCGTGACTTGGCGCGTCTAACCTGGAGGGGGGATGGTGTAACAGGGTTACACGCACAAGTGGCTACAGTCCCTTGTACCTCTAACAGATATGACGTCTGTTAGAGGTTCGAAAGACTTTCTCGACCTTGGTGTAGACACACCAAAGGCTACATACATTTTCGACCACCACGACGGGTGGTCCATAGAGACTTAGGATTCCTATAGGCTGAGAGCAGCATCTCTTAGCCAATGAGCGACATGCATAGCATTGGAATTCTGCCAACCAGCCGTTGGCAGATTCCTATCTTAGAATATTACATTTAGAGGAAGTCAGAAACATAAAACAAAAATAGCAGTTCTCATTTTAACCCAAAAACATTATTTGGATCGTTTATTTAGATTAATCTATACTCCGAGTATAATTAACTCTAATTTAAACTAAGCTACGCTTCCTCACATACACGCGCACAGGTGCAAGTTAAAGTAGTGGGTCAAAGTAGACCCACTACAGAATGTCTCGAAGACTCAAGAAAGACACCAGCCCATTATCCAGAAGCACCACCAGGTCTGCCAAGCTTGGGGCTGTCCTTTGCTTCTTGGTCTTGTTGGTCGACATGCTGCACTTTATCTTCGAACGGAATGTGGTAATTCAAAACCAGCCTACATCGAAGGCGTCATGGGATTGTACAGTACACTGACATATTGTATTGTATTGTAAACGCGTTACGCGAGCAGTCTTCTCTACGTGTGGTAGGTCGAATATCCGCATGCGTCGGGTTTCTCTCTCTCGTGCTATCTCTCATGTTGTGGCTTGATATCTCTCAGTCGGTAGGCGTGCAGTCGAGGAGTCTGCCAGTGAGATGTCTCCAGCCGGATCGGTCTTGCGCGCAGAGGCGAAGTAGGAAGAGGTCAGCGGCTTGTTGGAGGCGGTGACCAGAGGAAAGCGTCTGTAGGTCAGCGTCGAGGACCATGGGGAGCGTCAGTCTCCGCCTGCCTTTCCATCCACCACTGGTGCTAGGGCTGAAGTAGTTCAGCATGTATCTGTATGCTGGAATCGTCGGTGGTCGTCGTAGAATGTGACCGAACAGTCTCCATCGAGCCTGAACGATATGGTATCGAAGAGGCTCGGTGCCTGTGCGCTCGTAGAGTCTGGTCGTTGTAATGGAGTACTGGTACTTGCGGCCGATGACTGTGCGCAGTGGTTGACGGTGAAAAGCTTCAAGGCTGAGCAGGTCGGCGTGTGTTAGGGCCCATGTGCCGCAGTTGTAGAGCAAGATTGGCAGGACGAAGCTGTTGTAGAGGCGGATACGAGTAGCTTCCTTGGTCTTTGTCGGTCGCAACCAGAGTTTCCATATCCAGTGGATCGCTGCAGTCGCAAGAGTTTTCCGACGGGAGACATCTTCGGCGTCGCCGAGTAGAGATCCGAGTTTGCGCGTGTTGCGCCACGTTTCTTCCTTGGCGCGGTCTGTTCGGTTTGGCTGGGCCGCGAGGCTGCGATGAACAACGGTGTGCTCTGTCTTTGCTGTATTCATCTTGAGGGACCACTTGGACAGAATGGCGGAGGCTTGAGACTTGATCAGGTCGACCGTCGTGCGGTTGGCGCAGACAAAATCTGCGTCGTCCGCGTAGACAATCATATTGGCAAGGAGGTCATGCGGCACGTCGAGTTGATCTGCGAGGTCACGGAGAGCTGCTTCTTGATAGACAACAAAGAGAACTGGTGAGAGTGAGTCGCCTTGGGGTGTACCTGTATTGCTCTCAAACGGTGAGAGCAGATGGTGGCCATGCCGGACTGAGAGTTGGGTCCCGCGGAGTAGGAGTCGTATGAGTCGGAGCTCGTCGTTGTCGAGAATTGTAGCCAGCACGGAGAGTAATTTGTCGCGATTGATCGTGTCAAAAACTCGCGTGAGGTCGATCCCTAGGATGTGAAATTGTTCCTTGTATCTTTGGGCGCGAGCTGCTATCCACCTGTGAGCCCACACCGCGTCTGCGGTGCTGCGACTGGGTCGGAAACCGCTTTGATGTGGCGTCAGGTACTGCTCAACTTTCGGTGATATCCTGTTCAGCACCACGAGCGAGACGGCTTTTCGGATGCTGTTCAGGAGGACGATCGGTCGAAGGCTGGAGCAGTGACCAGCAGGTTGGTTAGGCTTCGGTAGGCCTAGGAGGATTCCATCTCCCAGATGGATGTGCTCTCCGGTTGACAGTGCGTGGTTGAGGGTTTCGGCAAGCGGCGGAGCTAAGACGTCGGCGCCATGCTTCAGTAGCTCGGCTGGGATGGTGTCGGAGCCTGACGCGCGGTCGTTGCGTAGGCGGTTGAACGCGCGTTCGAATTCTGCGGCTGTGATCGGGTTCTGGAGGGCTCGTTGAATGCCGTCCGGGGCAATCGGTTTTCTGGTCGGGTCGATGAATTGTTCTGCGAAGTGCTTTTTGATCCGTTCGCCGGCGCGTGTCTTGCTGAGTATATGTTTGCCTGTTGAGTCACATAACGAGGTTAGAGGGGTGCGTCGTCGGAAGAGGGTCTTGGTGGCCTCGAACATTTGCGCAGTGCCGGGAGCGTTCTCGATGGCCTCCAACTTGGCGTTGATGGCTTCGTTGGCCAGTGCCTTGCTGCGTTCTCGAATCTCATGGAGTAGGCGGTTCCGACGTTTTCGTAGGTCGGCGACGTCTTGGGTGTGATCATTGTTGATAAGCTGGCGGAGCCGTCTCTGTTCGAACGTGAGTCGGGCAAGCCCCGGGTCGACGATTTTTGCGTGAGGTATCAGAGGCTGATAGCCGACAGTGTCAGCTGCGGCCTCCAGCGCTATTGCTAGCACTGCGTTCCATTGTTGGTCGGCCGATCCTGCCCGCCGTAGCTCGATGAGTCTGTCTGCGAGAGTCCGTCGGTACTCATGACAGAGTTGCGAGTTGTGTACGAGACTGCGGGTTGCAAGGCGGGTGTCGGGAGTGTGAAGCGGGGCACGGCGGTTCTGGCGGAGACGCCGGAGGGCTTGTAGGTCAAAGTCGAGTGTCACGAGCTTGTGGTCGGATGGGGTGAGCGTGCCCCCCCCCCCCCCATGACTGGGCGTTGCGACAAAGTTGCTTGACATGTTGGCTGCAAATGATGTAGTCGATCTGGTTGACAATGCTGTAGCTTGGAAGTCGCAGTGTCCACGTTATAATGTTGCGCGCTCTTTTCCTGAAAGCAGTGTTAGTGATAAACAAATTATTTGCATCGCAAAACGACGCTAGAATGTGGCCGTTTCGGTTGCGGCGGCCTCGACCCCAGGGCCCGAGGAAGGGCTCTTGGTCGCGAAGCCTGCCCACTTTGGCATTAAAATCACCGAGAATGAATGCCGTGTCGCGTTTGGGTAGCTTGGACGTTGCCGCATGCAGATCTTCGTAGAAGGCGTCAACCTCGGTCAGGGGGTAGCCGCTGTGCGGCGCGTACACGTTGATAACGTTCACACGCTGCCCAGCAGGGAGGCGAAGCTGAAGCACGCCAACCTGGTCTGATTCAGCCCAATACTTGTACAGGAACCTGCGGAGGTGAGAGGAAACAGCAAAACCAATGCCATGGCGGGGGTTTGATGTCGGTAGAGTTAGCAGCGTGAACGTACCTGCCTTCTGTTCGCTCTGATAAGCGAGACGTGTCTCCTGGAGCCCGAGTATGTCGACCTTGTACGCATCCAGGTCGCGTGGAAGCGTCTCGTGCTGCTTGCGCTGTGAACCAAGCGATTGCACATTAAACGTACCTAAGCGGAGATGACGGCGTGGCTGCGGCGCAGTGCGCGCGGGGCGGCCGCGCGGTGACTGTGGGGAGATAGAGACTGGTTGAGAGGTGATAGTAGAGAGCGAGAGACCCGTGGAAGACTGGCAGATGTGGTGAAGCACCTGCCGGAAGCGTTGGGCTAGCATCATGCCGGCCCTAGCTTCCCGGGAGGGCGTCACCCCAACCCGACCAGGATACACTGACATAACTAGTAGTAGTTAATAACTACAGTAGTAGTATTGTGGAAACCGATTAGATTGCCCGAGCGGATTAGCTGATAAAGCAGCGTTCATGAGAGATTTGACTGGTACTAAATCGGGGATCCTTATGATTTCAGATGGCATTGGTAAGGGTATAAATCGGTGTAAGGTTAATAAAATGGGGGTTGCCTCATTACCCGCCAGAAATACGACGAGCGACCACGAGCTGAGTGATTCGCGTACCTACTAACGAGAAATAGCATCGCGTGCATTAAATACGCTTCTGTGAGCTTCGATGTGTACTGCATTCTATTTATCAAGTTCTGAAGTCATGTATTTGCGCTGTCATTTCTCGTCAGCATTAGCGTTTGTCGGTTTTACGTTAAATCGGCCACCGAATGCCGTGTGGGTGTCGGACATTCGGGCTGATTAGCATGCAAATCAGCCGTCCCGGGCTTTGTAAGCCGTGGAGCAGCTAAATCAACTTGCCACATGGCGTCGTTGGCACAACTGACCGCTCTGTCAAATCAGAGTACAAATCTTAGTCTGTCGATCTAATTAGGAGGTCGGATTTAGCAAATCAGACCCGATTAAGCTCAATCATCTGCTTAATCAACCGATTTATATCCCAATTAGACAATCTAATCGGTTTCCACAATAACTACTGTAGTTATTAACTACCGATAATACACTTCCACTATCTCACTGTATAGACAGAGACAACCTTGTTGCTCCCAAGGTTTTGAGTTCCTTCAGAGTCTGAGGTCTGAATCAGACCCTTGTCGAACGTGTCACCTTTTCGCCGCATCTTTGGACGGTCTCAAAATCAGAAGAAGCTCGGGCGTCTCGATGGTCTCGACCCGGACGCCACTATTGCTCACGAGCGTGGATGTGGTGTGGCGCAAGCAGCAGCAGGCGTTGGGCCACCTCCCGCACGTGGCAGCGCTGATCTCTGCGTTCCTGGACAGCTCCGAGCTCTGGAACGTCCCGCAGGCGCTGGACTACGGCTACCTGCACCTGCTGCAGCGTCTCGGCGCCACCTCTCGGCGTCTGCGGCCGCTCTCCAACCGCAGCTGCTTCCTGTCGGCAGCGCAGCGTGGGGACATCGCGATGCTGCAGTGGTTGGCTGCCTACGACCCGGAGTTCGACGTCTACGGGGCAGTTCTGGACCACGCGGCGGAGCACGGCCAGCTCCACGTTGTCCAGTGGCTGGACCAAACCTTCCCGGACCTGCAGGCCAGCACCAAGGCCATGGACTTGGCAGCGGCACGAGGCCACCTAAACGTCGTCCAATGGCTGCATACCCACCGATCGGAAGGCTGCACGCATCACGCTATGGACGAAGCGGGGGCGCGAGGACACGTCGACGTGGTGCAGTGGCTGGACGCTCACCGCCACGAAGGGTGCACCAAGTACGCCATGAACTTCGCCGTGTGGTACGGCCACACTTCAATGGTGCATTGGCTGCGCAAGAATCGGAGCGAGGGCTGTAGTGTTCACGCGATGGTGTTTGCAGCCAAGCGGGGGGATCTCGCCTTGTTGCAGTGGCTGCATGAACACAGAGAGGAGCTGCTGGCTCCCGGTTCGGACGAAAACTCGCCGTTGATCATGGACCACGCGGCGGAACACGGCCATCTAGAGGTGGTCAAGTGGCTACACGCGAACACGGACGGAGGCTGCACGACGGACGCCATGAACGGCGCAGCGCGTGGTGGGTACATTGACATCGTCGAGTTCCTGCATGAGAACCGTCACGAGGGATGCACGAGCAACGCGATGGACGGAGCTGCACGCGGTGGTCATCTGGACGTTGTAAAGTTCCTACACGAGCGACGCCGCGAAGGTTGTTCGTACCTCGCGATGGACTACGCGGCTGCCGAGGGTCACCTTGATGTCGTACAGTTCCTGCATACTCGTCGCAGTGAAGGCTGCAGTCCGTGGGCCATGAACTCTGCTGCGGGGGGAGGACATTTGAGCATCGTCAAGTTCTTGCACGAAAACCGCAGTGAGGGCTGCACCGAGCGGGCTATCGACCGTGCAGCAGCCGGAGGATTCCTCTCAGTTGTGCAGTTTCTTCACGAGAACCGGTCGGAGGGCTGCACGACGGAGGCTATGGACGCCGCTGCGTGTTTTGGGCACTTGAATGTGGTGCAGTTTCTTCACTCGAATCGCAGTGAGGGTTGCACGAAGAATGCGATGGATGCTGCTGCGCGATGTGGCCATCTAGACGTCGTCAAGTGGCTGCACGAGCACCGCACTGAGGGCTGCACGACAGAAGCGATGGACGGCACGGCTTGGTTTGGACACCTGGATGTTTTCCGCGTTTTGCATGGACATCGTAGTGAAGGCTGCACTAGAAGAGCAGTGCGTGACGCTGTGATCGGTGGGCATGTCAAGACAGCTCAGTGGCTGACAGAGATCTGCCCACAATGTCGAGTGAGCAGTGGTGCGTGTTTTGATGACCAGGGCGATTTCGTGCCTGCTGCCTAAACTCCGCGAGTCTTCGGGTACAGAAGACATCGAAGACGTGGGATTCAACTACGAATCGAGCGGCTAGCATGAATGCAGGTCAATGGATTCCTAGGAGTTTACAGTGCCGATATGTAGTAAAAGATGTTTTTTTATTCGAACGAAGTGCTAGGCTACATGTAATTCTACTCTTAAGTTGTGTCGGTCTGTTGCAGAAGTAGATGAGAACAGCTCACACCAACCAGGAAATGCATATTTTAAAAAATCACGAATTCCATCGAATTTATTTTGGCCGTCTGCACTACAGTATCGCCTTGGCCGTGCTTGCTACTTCACTCATCTGCTAAATCTACTAACTATTACTCAAGTCGACGAGGCCTTAGTCGTCGATGTCATACTGATTGTCGAACGTCGATGTGGCTTGCGAGCGCTCGGCGGCCTCCCACTCGGCCAATCGATTCTCGCGCATCCGCTGCGCGTTGAAAGTTGGGTTCGAGTGCGAACGCTGCGTAGTTCGTTGCAAGCTCAGCTTGGCGTATTCGCTCTGAGGCGAGCGCAGCAACGCCTCCTGCTCACCGATGGAGTGCTCCATCTCGTGGAAGCCGGTGGTGGCTTGCAGTGCAGCGGTGGCCGCTGCCGCAGCCTCCGCGGACGAATACGTAGAGCTGGTCATAGACAGCGAACTATACGCCGACGACACGGAGTTATGTGCCGACGAGATGGACGAAGAGCCCACGGAGCCGTTCAGCATTGGCTGGCTGCTTGTTGGGGGATGGAAGAGCGTTTAGCTCTCCGCGTTGCCTGCTCGTAGTGGTGCATCTGGTGCTGCTGCTCCATGATCAACCGCTGCACGGGGTCTGCTCGTGGTTCCTACTGAGATACTTGCGCTTCTCGTTCTCCAGGTAACGTTGCTTCAGGCGCTGCAGTCGCTGGGCCTCGGAGATGGCGGTGTGCATCGGACCATCGTCTAGCATGGCGAATTCCACGACCGACACATCGTCATCGTCTACTTCTTCATCGTCGTCGGCCGTCGGGGCTGTGATTGACGGAGCTGGAGGCCCAACACGTCCACTGGTCAAGAAATCGTCCATGCGCTGGCCCTTGCGGTCGAGCTGACCAGAGTACAGGCAACGCAGGCAGAAGCGTTCCTGAATCACAGCACTTGGGTGCTCAGCACTGCGACGCTCGTGGTGCGGGAGACACAGCGTGTACGTCATGAGACACCGACCGCAAGCCGCTTCGCCACACGCTCGACACTGCGTCAAATGACGCTTCAACCGTCCGAAGCGCTTGCCACAAGCCGTGCACTGCAGAAGGTGACGACCGTGGGCCTTAAGCGCTTCACGACGAGCGAAGAACTTCTCCTTGGGAAGAACCAACCCGTGGCGCATGATGTACTTGACGTCGGCACTGTGCTCGACCTCGACGAGTGTAGGGGCCAAGCGGGTGAGGAAGGACCGGGTCATGAGGGCAGGCGCACTTCCACACGGGTCCAGATACCCGCGTGCGATCACCTGTACGTTGTTGGCGCGTTTGTCGTGCCGGTAGACGGTTGTGCAGCTCATTTGAGCTCGCACCAAGTCGAACTCGCGGCGATTCATGGCGTCGACGTGTTCGGGACCTAACGACTGCTGGACCTTCACGAGCAGCGGCTCACCTTTCGGACCCGCCACTCTGCGGGAGTACTCGACGAACGCGAAGTCACGCGGTGAGATGAGCTTGTCGGCCGGACTGAGGTGCGCCAGCCACTTGATGCCGAAGAAGTGGAACGGATCCTCCGGCGTTTGCGTCTCGAAGCTCCGCAGCACCGCCGCGTCCAGGAACAACTCGCGGTAAAAGTCCGTCATGACCGCGCGCTCGTCCAGCGTGGCAGTCCGTACTTGACGTCCTCGAGCGACATGTCGTGGATCTGGCCGCTCACGACGTAGTGGCGCAGGCCGCCGTTGCTGTCATCCGTCGAGTCCTCGAGCTCGTCCGCAGCCGCGTCCTTGCCGCGCTTCTTGCGGTACAGCGTCACTCACGTGCGGGCGCCTGTAGTGCACCTTCCACTGGTCGCGGTGCTCGTCCACGAGGTCGTTGTTGTTGCTGTCCTCCCACGCGAACATGGCCGTGAGCTCGAGCGCGTCGGCCGTGAGCTGCTCGCACGTCTCGCGGAGATCCTCCACCTGCTCCTCCGTCACGTGCACAGCCGGCAAGTACTCGTTCGCGAGCGGGAAGCGCCGGCGCGGGTTCAAGAACTGCATCTCGATGGACAGCGCATCGCCGCCGGCGCTGCGGAAGCCATTGCCGTTGGTGGTGCCGGCCACGCTCACGGGCCCAGCAACGGTGGACGCACTGTCGGAGCTATTGGAGCGCCTCGACGACGTCTGGGCGCTGCTCATGCCTGCCTCAACCTGTGGCCTGCACGGGTGATCCGACAATGCAGAAAAGGCTCGAGGCACGAACACGCGGACGCTGGGCGCTGCTCATGCCTGCCTCAACCTGTGGCCTGCACGGGTGATTTACCGGCAGCACCGGCCGAGGTGCCGGCACTGCCGAGCGCCGGCGGCAGGCAGCCTTTTGCCGGCTCGCTTGCTTGATCACGGCGTCATTGATACAGGCGCAAGGTCAGGCGAGAACTGGATAGCCGTGGAGGGCGAGGGCAGAGCGGGGGCGTCCGAAGTGAGCTCCTGGTGCAATTGATGAGGGTACCGGCCTTTTCGGGGGACATTGTCCATCTCCGATTCGGCGACGAGTACTGAAGTGGACATTTCGGCACGGTATCGGCTATTTGATTGGCGGAGAGAATGTCTGAACGGTCGAAATACAAACAGGAAGACAAGACGAGTCAGACGTTATACTTGAAGTTTGTATGGACAGTCTTTTTGCGACTATTTCGACACCATCTCCCCCAGCACACTTCCTTTTTGCTCTGTGAAAGTCTGGAGCTCACGAGAAGGAGGCAACGTTACATTACACTTGGACATGCAGGAATCGGAGCTCAAAGGCGCAGCAAATCTGCAGCGAACGAATGAAGGAGGGAATTCGTCAATGCAAGGCAGAAATGCAGCGCGAAAGTGGGGGACGGCTGGGAGCCCTCCCTGCTTCGGTTGAGCAAGTGGCTTAGAAGACCGCGTTTTGCCTGGGAGCACGGCATTCATTTAGCAGCTAGAGACGATCCGCTGCACCGAGATGGGGCAGTCGGCAGTCGCGCGTGCCCGTCGTTCAACGACTCCTTAGCGTTGCCGAGACTGGACCTGGTCCGCGGACTCAACAAGTTGATGAGCGCCTCTGAGTGCGGTTGTTGACACCAAGCGCCGGAGATGGGTCCGGTAAGACGCATGCGTGTTGAGCACGTTTGCTTGCAGCAGACTGCTCCACGGCAGGGTCTGGTACAGTACGGTGTAGTGACGCTTTGCTTGCTGCAGTCGAAGACTTTCCTGCTACTCTACACTGGACATGACCCCATGGACCGACTGGGCTGGATCCGTCGGACTCCAAATCGGAGTTGGTGTACTGAACATTGTTGACGAGTATTCGGTGCAGGATGTTGCTCAGCAAGCAGTGACACCGGCAGCCTTGCCCACTCAACGAGGTGGCATGCGGGCGAACGTCAGTGGAGGGAATTATCGATTCGTACGGGGTCCGCTGAAGCTCGACCACCAGATGGGAAGCAGCATCGTACCGGTGTCGATCGCACGTTTGGAATGCAACGTTTTGATACGTACCGGTAAGCTTACCGTTGTTTTGGCTTGCCATGAAATCTATGCGATGCACCCAAGAGCTATCTGGCTTGCAGCACCATTGCTGCATCCGCTAGATAGGCTTTACTCCGGGCTGCATGTACATGTATTTATCCGGTACGTGCACTGTAGCTGTGTCGAATTACGAACTGACTTACAGGCTTTGCTTTCGGTAGCAGAATCTGTGCTTCGAGAAATTCCGCTAATTTCGACGCGCTTGCCGCCGCGTTTAACATGCGACTTGATTTGTCTACAAGTACAAGTACTGTGCATGAAAGCTAGGCTTAACAAGCCAACAGCGGTCTAATGCCGAGGGGGGTTGCTCGACCTTCAGCGCTGTTGCAACCCAAATTTAAAATAAACAACTTCTGGCAATCGCAATAAATTGCAGAGCGGATCCCGCCGCTCAAGACGACAGTGTACAAGTACAGCAGCGTTTACAGTAGTCCGTCTACATACAGTACTGTATCTCGCTGAGGTCCAGAGTCTGGACTTCAGACCTCATCATACGTAGCTCATGCTGATGAGGCTCATCCTCTGGGGTCGGGTGCAGGCTGCTGCCGGCGCGTCAGAACTTCTGACTCAGAAGGCACCACCACGTCGTGAATGCAACTTGCGTGCAAGCTGTAGACTGCCAGGCTCGCAATCACTGCAGACAGTAGCTGCAACTTGACAAGTCCTCCAGTGCCTGGAGTCCAGTCAGATCAAAATCAAAATCGAGCCGATTCCTCTCCGAGTGCAACGTGTTAACCTCTCTACCCACTGAAGTATCGTTAAGCGCTGCTGACTGCTCTGCATAGGAAGCGGTGGGTGGTGCAAGAAGTAGCAATGACGGTCACGAGTTACGCCTCGACTTGAGTGGACAAGCGTTGCAGTACTAGTCGATACGTTGGTATGGAGCTCGTAAATCAAGGGCAGTGCTTTGCTAGTGTTTTGAAACGGAATCACCTTTTCGTTCAAGATTCTGACTGGATGCCCACCCCACGAGAAGTTCTGCATATCCTTGTAGAGTTTCGCAGCAACCTCGTTTTTCGTGGCAACCAAACAAAACATCAGAGATAGCATATCGTGACGCGACCTTGGTGAGTGAAGCTTCCGAGTGCAACCGATAGTTCCTTGGCAGCGACAGTCTGTCTTAGATAGTTTATTATGAGATTCACCTACCAAAGGGGCCACATCCAAGCTTGAATATGAAGTATCCGGTGGCTGGGACCGTACGGCTTGCTGCCCACCCGCACAGCTTTCGACCAACACTATCACCGACACCTGCCATGAATATTGCGAGCACGTTTGACTTCGAATCTCAAGCTGTAAGGAGGCTCAACCCAGCTCATTCCGAGTATATCCACCAAAGTATGCACCACTACCCACTCGACACTGCGGGTAGATCTCTGTCAGCCACTGAGCTGTCTTGACATGCCCACCGATCACAGCGTCGCGCACTGCTCGTCGGGAACAGCCTTCACTACGATTTCCATGCAAAAAGCGGAGAGCATCCAGGTGCCCAAACCAAGCCGTGCCGTCCATCGCTTCTGTCGTGCAGCCCTCAGTGCGGTGCTCGTGCAGCCACTTGACGACGTCTAGATGGCCACATCGCGCAGCAGCATCCATCGCATTCTTCGTGCAACCCTCACTGCGATTCGAGTGAAGAAACTGCACCACATTCAAGTGCCCAAAACACGCAGCGGCGTCCATAGCCTCCGTCGTGCAGCCCTCCGACCGGTTCTCGTGAAGAAACTGCACAACTGAGAGGAATCCTCCGGCTGCTGCACGGTCGATAGCCCGCTCGGTGCAGCCCTCACTGCGGTTTTCGTGCAAGAACTTGACGATGCTCAAATGTCCTCCCCCCGCAGCAGAGTTCATGGCCCACGGACTGCAGCCTTCACTGCGACGAGTATGCAGGAACTGTACGACATCAAGGTGACCCTCGGCAGCCGCGTAGTCCATCGCGAGGTACGAACAACCTTCGCGGCGTCGCTCGTGTAGGAACTTTACAACGTCCAGATGACCACCGCGTGCAGCTCCGTCCATCGCGTTGCTCGTGCATCCCTCGTGACGGTTCTCATGCAGGAACTCGACGATGTCAATGTACCCACCACGCGCTGCGCCGTTCATGGCGTCCGTCGTGCAGCCTCCGTCCGTGTTCGCGTGTAGCCACTTGACCACCTCTAGATGGCCGTGTTCCGCCGCGTGGTCCATGATCAACGGCGAGTTTTCGTCCGAACCGGGAGCCAGCAGCTCCTCTCTGTGTTCATGCAGCCACTGCAACAAGGCGAGATCCCCCCGCTTGGCTGCAAACACCATCGCGTGAACACTACAGCCCTCGCTCCGATTCTTGCGCAGCCAATGCACCATTGAAGTGTGGCCGTACCACACGGCGAAGTTCATGGCGTACTTGGTGCACCCTTCGTGGCGGTGAGCGTCCAGCCACTGCACCACGTCGACGTGTCCTCGCGCCCCCGCTTCGTCCATAGCGTGATGCGTGCAGCCTTCCGATCGGTGGGTATGCAGCCATTGGACGACGTTTAGGTGGCCTCGTGCCGCTGCCAAGTCCATGGCCTTGGTGCTGGCCTGCAGGTCCGGGAAGGTTTGGTCCAGCCACTGGACAACGTGGAGCTGGCCGTGCTCCGCCGCGTGGTCCAGAACTGCCCCGTAGACGTCGAACTCCGGGTCGTAGGCAGCCAACCACTGCAGCATCGCGATGTCCCCACGCTGCGCTGCCGACAGGAAGCAGCTGCGGTTGGAGAGCGGCCGCAGACGCCGAGAGGTGGCGCCGAGACGCTGCAGCAGGTGCAGGTAGCCGTAGTCCAGCGCCTGCGGGACGTTCCAGAGCTCGGAGCTGTCCAGGAACGCAGAGATCAGCGCTGCCACGTGCGGGAGGTGGCCCAACGCCTGCTGCTGCTTGCGCCACACCACATCCACGCTCGTGAGCAATAGTGGCGTCCGGGTCGAGACCATCGAGACGCCCGAGCTTCTTCTGATTTTGAGACCGTCCAAAGATGCGGCGAAAAGGTGACACGTTCGACAAGTGGGGGGGGGGGTCTGAAGGAACTCAAAACCTTTGGGAGCAACAAGGTTGCCTCCGTCTACACAAAACCAAACCGTGAGATAGTGGAAGTGTATTATTGGTAGTTGTGTCAGTGTACTGTACAATCCCATGATGCCTTCGATGTTGGAAAATACCACATTCATGTCGACCAACAAGACCAAGAAGCAAAGGACAGCCCCAAGCTTGGCAGACCTGGTGGTGCTTCTGGATAATGGGCTGGTGTCTTTCTTGAGTCTTCGAGACATTCGGTCGTTGATCCTGGTCTGTCCTCGCAGTGTTTCGCCAGAAGCTCGAGATGGCGTCGCGACAGCCTTGATCAGACAAGAATGCAGCAATCTGGACATCCACTTGGGGACGCAGTGCTACAAGAACTGGTGTCAGTTGGTGCCTGCCACGATCGAAGGTGTCAACCACTCGCTCTACTGCGACTGCGACCAAAGTGTGTGGGACGACAACGACTTGGCAGACTTTCCCTATCACGTCAAAGTCCCCAAATGTCCGCCACTGCCGAGCCTCTTTGACGCTCGCCCGAGGTTGCTGGACGCCATGCAGCTCATAAGAGAAGGAATCATTGAGCATTGTGGCTACGTCTTCCAGCTCATATGCCTCGACAACAACGACGGTGTCCGCTTCGGCACGTTCCAGCCTGTTATGGTGTCTGTGACTACCGCTTTAGAAGCGCAACTGGAAGCAACTACCCCCTCAGCCCAATCCAGTGCAGGCTGTGCTTGAAGCTGACGATATCCAGCACCACCACCACGAAAGCCGACGCGAAGATGAAAACGAGGATGACGAAGATGAAGACGAAGATGAGGACGAGTATGACGAAGACGAAGACGAAGAGGAATACTGGGACGAAGACGATTTTTCCGGCGGCGAGCGCGTCACGGCATCCGAACGTAAGCGCCTGCGTGCAATCCATCGAAAAAATGAGCGGCTCGAGCATTTGCGAGCTCTAGAACGGGTGAAGAGTCTTCGAAAAGCAGCAACGGATGCCAGCCTGCAACCGATCGACACGGACAATATTGAAGAGCTTACGACATTGCTGAACAGCATGGAAGACGGATTTGGTACGCGGTTTTTTGCCAGCCAAGAGAAGCAGAGGCGTCGTGCCGTTGGAATCGTGGAGGAGCATTGGAAGAGGATTGAAGTAAACTTAGACACCGACACAACTACGCAAAACCAATCCACTGCTTCGCCAGCACTGTGAAGCCGTTTTCCAGCCGCTCAAGAAGTTCATGATTCGACATCTGAAGCATGTGCGGTACGTTCGTCCGCCGCGCTATTGGCGTGATGGATGACATGCTGCGAGATGGTTTCTGGATCTCATCGCCGGCTTCACTCCAAGTGGTGTGCTTTGCGGTGTGTATCTTACGGACGTTGTCAATCCTGACCGCGAGTTATATGGTGGCGATCTTGCGGAAGGAGGGATCGACATGCAGCTGGACAAGAATTCTAAGAAATTAATCGAGCGACCGGGACGATACATCGGTGGGTTTTACTACAGAGGGTGACTCTTAACCAAGAGAAAAACATTACATTGCATGAAGGACAAGCGCGTGTTTTTTTTTTAAATAAAATTGCCCGTGCTTTGAGTTTACTGTGTATTCGAGGTGCATGTCCCGCAATCCTGAAGACTTCAGGCTGAAGTAGTGATCCGGAATAAGGCGTGCAGGGAAACACTATCCTGCCTGGGAAGGCCGGTATTTAGATTCACTCATGTTGACGGGACATGCTGACGGGACATACTGCATAAACGGCCAGTGTGCTATGCTTACTCGTGTTGATGCATGAAAAAAGAGTTTATCCTGGGAGGACAGCTAGAAGAGCTGTATGGACAGCCTCACACATATTAATTCGTCGAAAAAAAGTTGCTTGTGCCTCAGGCAACATTTAAACAACATCTCGCCACACCATACTCACACAATCGTACACCATACCTACACAAATATAGCCGACCGGTACCACACAAAGCCAATTGACAATGAATCAGGACAGCGTTAGCGACAAGAGAATGTACGATGACCAATCAGCCTACAACTACACTGTATTGCATAGTTCCTAGTTACTGACGGATAACTGAGGATGTCTTACGTCCACACAGCTGAGCTCTTGGCCTAGAAATTAAACCTGTCCGCCTGGATCTCGGGCAGCCTCGCTGGCATTACACCTTTTCAACTTCAAAATGGCAAATTGCTAGTTCAAAATGGCAAAACGTAAGTTCAAACTGTCACGAATAGAGCTCACAATCTTATACGAGCACGATTGGCTGATGCAGCTCACTGTCAGCCAATAGATATTCGACACTCTGTATTTCTATATATCCCAAACAGGTCTAAGTATCGGTTTACAAAGTATTGCCGTTTTGATTTTACATTTTGACGTACAGATCTCCCCGGCAAATCAAGAATAGCGATGTCGAATGTACCTCGCAGAGCTAGTACAGCCATGCAGTCGAGATTTGCGCTTTCTGGATAATATGTACTGAGTCTAGTTAAAAGTTGAGGGAACATGTCCACCAGCGGGAAGCAACACGCAACTGTAAGTTGCTAGTTAGCAGGAGTAAAATGCAAGGCTCAAAATGAACTTTAGATAAGTTATTGCTGCAGCAAGATGCGGTCATGACGGCATGCGGCAGGGGCGTCAGTGCCTTGCCCTGAACGATGGCAGTACGGACATTAGAACTCCCTAAATGACCGTCCCAGGCAGCAGTCTACGCGACGCGATGCTCCGCGAACAAGACAAATCATTCACTACATGTACAAGTACAAACACAAGAATATCGGCGATATTATATCGCCGACCCCTTCAAATTGAAGTTCAATGGTGCCTTCGACCGCGCTCTGCTTGAAAACTGAGCCGACGGTACAAGACGAGGCGCTTCTTTTCCATTAATTGAGTAATTCAGTACATTGGCACTTCTGTCAAGCCCTTTGCAAGTTTCGCAACCTCGCAGTTTCTATTGGTCCGACCTTTCTTGATTTGCCGGGGCAGACTGTATTAGGGGGAGTCGAACCTTAAAAATGGCGACAAAAATATCAACAGAGACGGGGCCGAATAATCAGCAACGTTCTGCCCCAAAAATCAACAAATCAAAGCAGGGTACTCACTCTCAGTTTTCGCATGTAGTTGGTGAAAACAGCGAATTATCACTTCCTTTTTCGCCAGCACGCGCAGTCTCTTGCTTAGTGCATATACATCTTCTTATATTCAGCTTTATACCTAGCAATGGCCGACTCCAACGTAACACTGTCCAGCAGCTCACAACGTCTCCATCATCGCGAGTTGACATCTAAAACTTGTTTATAGTGATAGTGAACATGTTTATTTGGAGAGGATTCGTGTGAAAACTTGCCTAAACACATACACAACAATTTCTAGTTGAGGAGGGACTTCAAAAACAGCTGAAATTGTATCAGAGGTCGAGGAGGAAACAGCAAGCGGTACCACTTGAAGTTCGAAATCATCATGATGATTTTTCAAATCAACCACCTCCGGAGGTGGTTGATTTTGAAAATCAACAAGGTTTCGCCGAAATAATCAACATCAAATCGCCCTAAAAATCAGCACGTTTTTGCCAGGTTCGACTCCCCCTATTGAGTTTTCTTTTTGCCATTTTGAAGTTGAAAAGGTGTAGATCATTGGCTCCATATAAAAAATGGTGGTCGGCGCTGCAAACGCTTACGTCCTTAGCTCTTGGTCTACAAACTATAAAATCTGTCCGGTAGGCAGCTTCGCCGGCAGTAGATAGTTGGCTCCATATAAAAAAGGAAAATTCCGGAATATGACTCAAACGGTGAGACAAGGCTTTGTGCCAAGTCACTTGGCCCAAGTGCATCTGGCCACCGATAGCGGCCAGCACCTGAATGCCATGCACGTCGCTGAATGCACCAATTGTGTCAGTATAGCACTGGGTAAACGCGAAGGCGGTGCCGGTGTAGGCATCGCCCTCTGCTGATAGTTGTTCTGGTGGAGTACGGGTGTCGCTTAAGCGACACTGCCCACACTGCATAAAGCATCACCGACGGCTTGGATGCCTTACTCCCCATGTCGCCGCTGGAGGCAACAATGTCGTGGCCCAATGCCCAATATGTGCTCTCGACACAAATCCATCTATCACCTTTTGCACAAATTTTAATATTGAGTCACCTTCCTGAAATTTCCCTAAGAAAAATGATGGTAGGCGCTGCAAATGAGAGGCTATGCCCCTCATTTGCTACTTGCATGTGAACATAGTACGTAACCACTGTTTGGTACTGCTAGTGCATGTATTGATGGTTTTTGTTTTGGATTTGGGTTAGCTTTGTAGTGGCGCCAAAACACTCGACCACTCAGTAGGCGAAGTATTAGCACAAGACTTGGCTACTTCGTAGCCAAAGAAGACATCTATTAGTTTCTTCAAAGTGTTCCAGTATGGAAGATATAGTTGTACTCGAGTTGCTAAAATCGAGCTAACGTTAGATACAACCGAGCAGACTTTTTGGAATTTAAAGTAGTCCTCCCAGCCTAACGCAACGCACCCTTGTATTGGAACAACACCTCCTCCATTCAAGTTCAGTTCCCAGCTAGGGTCCCGTTCATTCATCCCGCAACTTCCCCTCCAGCCCTCAAGTCACCAGCTCCTACGACAACGACGTCGATTCTTGAAGTACCAGCATGCATCTTCGATCTGCCGCGCTCGGTGCCTTTGTGGCTGCCCTCTACGCAAGCTGCATCATGAGATCTACTGCCACCGCCACGATACCTGAACCGGTGACTGCTATTCAATCTCTGAGTGAATCCCAGCCCGCCGACAGACGCTACCTACGCGCACGCACCGCAGTCGACGCTCATGACGGCAAGGAAGAGAGAGGGTGGTTCACCCCCAAGCTTTCTGCAGGGGCAGAAAAGCTAACCAAAAAGCAGCTGAAGGGCATGGTGGATAAATATGTGAGACCCCGAGTTTTACAATAATCTTGTGATGGCCAACGCGGCCCAACAGATCGAAGCGTTCGCGACGTGGAAAGGCTTAGCTATTGACCCAAAGTTCCTCACCAAAAGGATGGCAAAGTTTGGCTTTGGTGGTGAGGACTACACGCGCTTTGTGGACGACTATAAAACGTTCCTGAAGGGAGACATTCGGATCGAGTGAAGCTCGTGTCGCGGTAACACTGCAAACGCGCTTCAATACACGCACCAGCCTTTTTCGCTCAGTATTGTTTTAACTGCAGCTCATTCATTCTTCACAAGTACAAAATACCATCGCTCCCATCAGCTTGGGGCGACTAGCACTCAGCTCTGAAAATGGCCAACAGATAAACACGGACCCTACATGTGTGGCTGCCGCCACAACGCAGCCTCCACAAAGTATTAGTCCTCAGCAAATGCCAATTCAGCACGACCCTGCAGATCTTTCAAAAGTGCGGTATTCACGTTCAATTCGAAACTGGCAAAGCTACCGCAGCAGCGATTTTTAGCAAAGAAAACCTGGTGAATGGCAGAATTGCACCGAATTGGGGTGTTTCAGTTTGCTAGACCTCCCTCCACCTCTCTAGACAAGGAATTACTCAATCCCTTCGAGTACGCAGCAACCACGCCCTGGGACGGACCTTCCTGTACGCGAAAACTCAGCTTGTAGGAAGTGGTGGTCTTCCAAAGTTTACAGAGATGAGCGGAAGACCATAGCATCAGCGCCAGTGGCAGCTCTGAAAAAAAATAAAACGATTTCGGGTTGTCAGTATTCAAGCCGAAGTGTTTGTAGACTTCGAAAGAGAATTGTTCGTACCCAAGTTTGTACGTGTAGATATATTTCTCAAGTATTTCCTAGTCCAGAGCGCACATTTTCCCAACCATTCTCGTTCAATCCACTTGATGCCCCAAATCTGGCATGGGCGTCTGCTTGTAAAGCCGAATCAGCAGCTCGCAACAAGCAATCAAGATCTATCTCTATGAAAGGCGAAGATGTCTTCAGCAACCTGTCGCCCTCATAGTCAAACGTTCATTCTCGTCCTTAACTCGTTGCACACAACTACTCCACCACGTCAACTTTTCCATTATCGGTTGCCGTAATGAGCCCCGGGATCGACACGCAGCTCGACTAGAACAAACAAACACTGCTGTCCGTATTCAGTCGTACTATTGCACCAATGGAATTAGAAATAAAAAAGAAAGCAGCCGTTGGCGGCCGCAATTTTTCTCGTTTCTGATGGCCAATAAGAAGCTTTACTAAGTATGCATGTACAGTACAACATGGTCATTGTGAATGCTGTTTGCAATGCGTTTGTATGTTTGCGCTCTATCATTAGCGTTTAAATTAACGTTAGTGGGCCCTCAAGCAAATTGGTACCGGTTGTCGAATCCATATCCCGCGTGTGGCGTAGCCACAGTAATCCGGTGTAAGGATACATGTATTATTTCACCGGTGCTGTGAAGAAGAGCTTTTCGTACTCGTCAGCTTTCGGCAACTAACGTTAAGAAGGGCCTCAAGATGAACGACTAAAACCCCGTCTAACCCTGCAACCATGTTAGCCAGATTCACTATGTACTAACAACCAGTTTGCAAACGCTAGTGGTGGCGAACACCTTCCCGCTCCTAGCTTCACAACACAGCATCGAAAATATAGACAATGTCGAGTTCGATCTGTCGAGTCGTAGTGTTTCCACACTACGGGTTTACCAATCTAAATGGGTTGCTGGTCTCGGAAAATGTACCTTCGGGCATAGCAACTGAAGCTGGAGTACACTTTCGAAGAATTATAATAGCACAATACCTTAAAGACACTGGGAGTTGTGCGGCTCCATCGAACAACAAATACAAAAAATGAAGTTCTCTATTTCTCTAAATGAATCTAAAAAAACTGGAAAGTCCAGAGGCTGAAGCTCAATGACCTCCCAATCTCGTGCAGGCTCCGCGTCGCTATCAACACTGCGCCTTAATCGCCATTGCAAACGGTTCGTACGGCGCTTTAAAGTCGATTCCGAGAGCTTCAAGGCGCTCACTATCTCGTTCCACATACGACGAGTATGCCCCGGTGTGTCGGACCTTCATGAAAATATTCCCAAGCCTCAGCCCGCGTGTGTCTTCTGGCCACGGCTCTTGATTCGGAACAACAAAATCGACGGGCACCCAGCCGTGGCCATAAATCTTGCAGTACGCCTCCAATGCGGGCATGATTCTGTAGGTCCACCGGTCGTCTTCCGGGTTCCAGACGAAGCCGATCTCCTTCAACTTGTCCTTGTCTCGCTCCGCCATGTCGTCGTAATTGCCTCTGCAGCGCATATTGGCGACAGTAGCTCCAAGTCTCAGTCCTCTCGTCGTCTTGGGCCAGTTGGGATCGTTGGGCACCACAAAGTTGAAATTCACGTTGCAGTGTCCAAACTCGCGCTTAAACGCGGCCAGCGCCGGTAAAATCTTCGTGTCCCACATGCGCTCTCGCCACGTCAACGTGGAGAACTCGATCTTGTCCAGCTCATGCACGGACGCCTCGCGCTGTGCCTTGTATGTGTCCGCGTACCTGATGCTCGTAATGGTCTGTCCTAGTCGGAAACCCCAAAGCACTTTAGGCCATCGGTCATCGTCCGACGGCACTACAAACACGCTGGGCACTTCACTGTGGCCGTTGATCTCGTAGTATTTCTGCAGCGACGGCAGCACGAATACATTCCACTTGTGTTGCCGCATATCCCACGGGAAGTTCAGGGCTATCAGGTCGTTCTCGGTGAAGAACGGTATTTTTTTGCCCTGTTGCTTGAGCACGCGCAGGTTCCTGCAGTGCATGCCCAGCGGGTAGCCCCAGGCCTCGGCGGGATACCTGGAGTCTCCATAGGGCACGACGAACTTAAGCGGCACCATCAGGTGCTTCTCGGTGGCCAGGAACACTTCCAGACTCGGCGCCACTTTTTCCACCCACGTGCGCGCGCGCCACAGGTCGATTCGGCAGGGACGGCCTTGAGGAGGGCGAGAGGACTCACTGAAGCATTGGACGGCGCTGGGTCTGGTCTCTGAAAGGCCCTTCACGCGGCGTACCAAGCTGCCGCGCGCAGCGAGGAATGCTCGCAGCATTGTTGAGGTTGATACTGAGTATGTGGCCAAGAGCTCAGGAATTAGGGCACGGACTGGTTGACTAAAGGTACGGAAATATATGTTCATTTTGTGATAATAGATCGGTGTAGCACACATAAATTGGTGAAGTGAGCGAGTAATTGTAAAATTTGGGTTGAAGTGGAGTACTCACTAAGATTTGCAGGTTGAATTGTGGCAGCCTTGCTTGCTGTGTCTCGTGTTGGTTTCGTAGCTCTCCTTGTCTCTACTACACGCATGGGATGAGTGGTTTGCAAAGGGCTCAAGTGGGGCAGGATATGCAGCGTGATGTCCATTATGTGTCGACTATTTTTGAGGCTTTATGGGAAGTGGAGAGCTGGAGAACATCGCAGCTCAATCGTTTCCAACGGACTCGATGGATTTCGGCGGCGCTGAGACCATTTCTCCACTCGACTGAAGCAGTTCATACTCAACGCACAACCTACGTGGAGGGCCTGGCCGTCCAACTCAAGCAAGGCAAACAGCAACCATGATGACCGAAAGCAACAACCTCCTGTACCATCCAAACGACGCTGCGTTTGACCGACTTGAAGAAATGGAAGGCGGGGCACTAACGCGATACCCAGTGCTGCGGTCGGTTCCGGTCCCGTCGCCGCGACCGTGGAGCACGCGGGGGGCAATCGCGTTGCTGCTTGTGTGTGGCGTGGTCTTCGGCGTCATTGCCGCTGTGTCGATGGGAGGAACGTCGCCCGATGAAAGCGACGTCGCGAATACAGAGAATCAAGCGAGCACGAACATTGCAGGAGCGGCGACAACGAACGGTTCTGGCAGTCTCGGGGCCACTAATATCGACAGTGGGTCGCTGTGGCACGATGACTCCAACAGCGATTCTGCCGCTGATGAGCTAGTCGAAAGCCCATCCGATAGCGCTTCGGATGATTCATCTGCCTCAAGTGCGCTTGACGATAGCTCAAACTCAGTCGAGGAATCGGTTGAAGCCTCGATTGGCAGTATCGCCTCCTCCACGTTCGAAGACGTCGTGGTCAACCCGTTTGAAGACTCAGCGAGCGACTCGCTGCTCGGCTCCTTTGACGATTCGGCGTCGGATGCAGAAAGCGCATCGGAAGACAATACGCTGGATATCCTGCCCTCGGGATCTGCTTCTACTGACGCTTCGGTGGGTAGCTGGTTTGTTGAGTCGAATTCTGCCTCGGAAGGCATCTCCTGGGATGACAGTGCTTCGGCCGCTGATTGGGATAGCTTCTCGTCATCAACCAGTGCTTTGTCGTCTCAATCTGAAGACAGCTCGCTCGGATTTTAGGCACCAAACGAAGTAGTTTTCGATCGTCTCTACTTGCAAGTGAGTTGCGAGTCCGCGTTTCGCTTTTCGATATGCAAATACAGATCACAATGTCCTCCATTCTCAACAATTCAAGTACAGGTTTCAGTTATTTTTATGTGAAAGTACTTGTAATGACTAGGAGAGCCTTTATCACGAGTCACCGAGCGTTTAAGGTAGTTATTGATTGCACTGAGCAAAACGAAGTGGATAAATACATCTCGGCATGAGTCCACTTGGTGTCGAAACACAACTTTCCATTACCTAGATAGCGCTCGTCCAAGGTTTTTATGCCATTCATCAAATCGAGTCATAAGTACTGTAGCTTCTGGATAACAACATTGTGATGAAAAAAAAAGAATGAGAGTTCGCTATTTTAAAATACTTCAAGAAAATGTCCGAATGGATGTTGCGAAACGGCACTCACTCGCTACCTGGCCTCAATGTCTCCCACTGGCTACCGCCGCTGTGCGGTGATTGCCGCAAAATCTGACGGCTACTGCGACGTCGGATGATCTCGGGGGTGGGTTGTCGATGGCTCCGTTTCAGTTTGGCTTCGGATGCGCTTGACTGATCGAGCGCTGGGGTGGAGGTCAGCTGTCCCTTGCCTGTTTTCCCGTAGAAGATGCGCATCCTTCTTCAGCTGCAGTATCTCCGCCTCTAGAGCTTGGTTCTTTGCCTTGAAGGTTTGTTCGAGCTCCTGAAATTTGCGTCGAAGGCTCGCTCTTGCTCCTGGAATCTGACGTCGACAGCTTGATCGCGCTCCCGAATTTTGCCACCGAAGCGCTCTGCGATTTCATCCAACGTGTTGATCATCCGCGACGAGAAGTTGGCTAAGGCGGCGGTGACCACGGCGTCCACTCTCTGTAGGATGCTGTCGAGGGTACTGTTGACCGTAGCCACCACAAATGACGCTACCGAGAAGAGGGCGCCTCTGTCGGAGCTTCCGGGCCGTTCTCGGTCGAGCTCTCGCTGTCGGACTCGTCGGTACTGGAATAGGCGGGAGTCGACACCTCGCCGTCGGCCATGTTAAGGTCCGTGTCTGGCATCTGCAACCGCGTTAGTGCTAGGCTGGAATAGGATAAGGGAAACCATAGCTTGAAGGACTTACGGATGAAGTGACGGGGCAGTGGGGCCTTCAGGGAAAACCAGAAATGAAGCGATCGCCACCACTCCGACTCGATTTTCGAATCGGAGGGTGACCAAAGGAATCGATATGTATCAGATGATGGCTTGTTGCCATTGCTGCAAGGTGGATACGCGGCAATTTCAATGCAAAGTGTCATAATGAGTAACTACGACGATAATTTGGTATGTTAAGGTATGAATGGTTTACTTGATGTGAAAAATGATTGAATGCACTCACTTACCGGTACCTGTTCTCAACGCCCAGGTTGTTCCAACCTCGAATGCAGCGACAATTGGCCGTAGCGCCCAAACCTGGCTGAGCGACCGAGCAACGGCGATAAAAGCCGGCTACTGTCGCGCCTTGCTTAATTAATCTCGGAGGTGGGTAGTCGATGGCCCAGGGTTAGTTTCACTTCGAAGGCGCTTGATCGATCGAGTACTCGGGATGAGGTCGGCGTTCCCTTCCCTGGACTCGAGAAGTAGCCGCATATCCTTCTTCCTTTCCAGCACTTCTGCCTTCAGCGCCTTCAGATCTTGATTCTGGGATTCAAGGGTTTGTTCCAGTCCCCGGACTTTGGCGGCGTGGACTCGACCCTGCTCCTGGAGTTTAGCGACGAGTGCTTGATCCTGCTCCCGGAATTTGTCGCGGATGGTGGCTAGAAGCTCGTCGAACATGGTGCTCATAAACAATTTCAGGCCGTCGACAGTAGCGTCCATCGCAGTAACCGTTTCCTGCACGGTGTTGTGGGCAGCGTCGATCTGAGCGTCCATACTCGTCACGATCCTTTCCAGCCTCAGCACGATGTTGTCGCAGGCAGCGGTGACTACACCCGCCACAACCGGCATGAGCCAGCCGTTCGCAGAAGCCGATGCCTCCTCTGCTACCGAGTTGTCGGAGTCGGAGTCTTCGGTGCTGGACTGGGAGGGGCTCGAACACATCTCGTTCTCGGCCATGTTGACGTCCGTGTCTGGCATCTGCAACCCAATCAATTAATGTAAAGCATCAGGCTGGTCGATATAAAGGTGGGCCACTGCTCGCAAGACTTACCGTGGATGAAGCTGTGGGGCTGTGAGCTCTACGAGGCGGAACCGGAAATGAGGTCGCCCTGGTCATTGCGTCATTGCGAGCACTTCAACTTGAAAGAATCGGTAATGAATCACTACAGATAAAAACAAATAAGTCGACCGAAGGTGTCTCGAATGTATCCACAGATATTCTTACGTGGAGAACAAAAGCAAATTGCGAGCTTCTAGAAAATGGCAGTAGCGAAGAACTTGCTGGCGGTGCGTGCCAAGGTGGCCGAGGCTGTGGCCAAGAGCGCGCGGCAGCAGCAGTGCACGCTGGTGGCGGTGAGCAAGACCAAGCCCGTGGAAGACCTGCAGGAGGCCTACGAGGCCGACCAGCGCCACTTCGGCGAGAACTACGTACGCATTTCCACGTTTTGGAGGTATCATTTCTTATTTGTGGTACTTATACATTTATTTGTGGTATAATGCATGTAGATCCAAGAGCTGGTGCAGAAGGCGCCGCTGCTGCCAAAGGACGTCAAGTGGCACTACATCGGCCACGTGCAGTCCAACAAGGCCAAGCCGCTCGTGCGGGACGTGCCCAACCTCTTCGTGGTGGAGACCGTGGACTCCATCAAGATCGCTAATGCCCTCAACAAGGCGTCGGGCGAGTTCCGCAGCGAGAAGCTCAACGTCATGGTGCAGGTAAACACCAGCGAGGAGGAGCAGAAGTCGGGCATCGACGCCGACGGCTCGGTCGAGCTGGCGCAGCACATCGTGTCGTCCTGTGAGCACCTGAACCTCACGGGGCTCATGACCATTGGTCGCTACGGAGACACGACGTCCGAGTGCTTCGACCGCCTCGTGGCCTGCCGCAAGCGCGTGGCTGAGGCCATCGGCAAGGCTGAGACGGACCTGGACCTTAGTATGGGCATGTCGGGCGACTTCGAGCTCGCGGTGAGTCTGGCACATGGTTCTGAAGTGATATTGTTGTTGAGAGTAGTTGGGCTGATGGTGTCTTTTGTGTGTGCATGGTTAGATCTCTTGTGGCAGCACGCACGTACGTGTGGGGTCGACCATCTTCGGTGCTCGCAACTACGCAAACAAGGAGTAGAGTGGACGGGTGATGATGACTCGTGTTCTGCAGGCTACAGTGTCTTAGAGCAGATCAAACGTCAATGCAGATTGCAAGATAAGGTTAATGTTCTCTGAAATTTATTTCAGAGTCTACCGGTGATACCACTTTCCACGCTAATTACATATATCAGAGTTTAGCGACTCCCTCTTTGCTTGAATTGCATATCTGCTGTACGGGTCACCCATTTCTTAAACTTCATAAATAATGTTTTTTGTTAAAAAACACAGCCTTCGTAATTTAAAGGGTCTGATTGTCCGAAGATCTTATCGATAAGTATACAAAGTAAACAGTGGATGATAGAATGCAATATGAAAAAAACCTCTAGTACTTTATACCTCTGGTCTTTATGAATCACCCACGTGAATGTTGACCCTGTCGGCGACGCGTCCATCTTCGTGCAACCTGCGACTGCAAGTAATTTAAACGGTAATTTATTAGGTGGGTGTTTTCTTGGGATAAATGCAAATTTTCATTTAACCCATGGATAATCGACACAAGCCGAATTTTCGGTCTCTACCTGCGGCCGAGTACGGTGGTGCTGGCTTGCTGGGGGTGGCGACATCCGCGTCGCTGCCATTTAAGAAGCGCTACGCACCGACAGCGGGCGACTTTTTCATGGTCGTGGACAGCGACGTCATCTTCGCCAAGAATCTGGACATGTGGAACATCATGGCCGAAGCAATCGATGTGATCGACCCCCGCATCCACGGACAGGGCGCGTCGTGGTACTGCCCGAAGTAAAAATATTGATGGAAGGGCGGAGCGCTTACTCAATCATTGTTGCATGCATCTGCTAGCATAGCGTCGTTGTTGCTAGTGTATCTCACCCACTCTTGAACGCAATGGACTTCAGACTGAAATGCTCGAAGCGATCCTACTTCCTAAAGTTGATCGGCTTCAAGTTGAGCATAAGTGCGCCTATAATACTCGACAGCACATGAAATTGCTTTAGCGTTGCTACTGCACGGCTGCCACTCCGACTCAAGTGGATGTTCTACAAAGACCTGATCCCGAACTACACGTTCACGTGCCATTCGTGTCTGCTGGCATCTCCACTCCCGTCTGGATGCTGGCCAATCCGAGTCGCGACTCGATGGGGGCTTACGGCCTCCGCACTTGTGTCAAGATGTGCCCCAACGACTTCATTCCGCCGTCTGAGGCTTGACAAGATAGTGAACGAAGACCTGTTCAAAATGGATCAGGTGCACGCTGCGCGGCAGGGGCGCCGCTCAGGAGAATGTTTGAGAAGTACGGACGATATGTGTTATGTGTGTACAGTTAAAATTTAAGAAAAGGTTGTCCAGAGATTTGGAGCAACTGAACCAGCGTGTTTCGACTCAGTGCCGAAAGCACTTGCGCTCTCGTCATATTAGGTTGCGCAAGTTACCATCCACATGTCAACAAAACTTTAACTGTCAATGAAGTGACGAGCACCAAGAGGTTTGTCAGAAGATGGCGAGCACCTAACGTGCAAGTAGCCTAGAGCAACATGCACCAAACAAAGTAGCAGACACTTGAAGCTAAAAGTTTGGACTTCACAGCCGAAATTTCAGAGCTTCTTCGTGCACAGCACGACTTTGTGTGTTTTATTCTCGGATCATTTTTCGGATCATTTTTCGCACTTCTCCAGCGCATTTCGCCTTCTCCTGCATACATGCACATGTAGTATCTCGATAATTGCCCGTTGAAACTCCTTATTAACTCACCACGAGTTGGCCGCTTCTGCAGTAGTAGGCTTGCTACGAAAGGTTTAGAAGAGAAAGAAAGAGAAAACAAACACATCTGCCGCAACTTTGGATGAGAAACCGCTTCTTGGAATTGGGTTCTGCTTTCACTGAGAGCAGAATAACTCTTGCTCAATACTTAGTACTCCTGCAACAGCCGAGGACGGCGTACGATCACGCAAATAGGATACGAATTTCGTTCGCCGAGGGCTTTGCGGTGTAGATAGCGAGGCACCAGTCTGCGCGGGCGGTGGGCGATCTCCAACACCATCGTGCTGGCCAGCCTGTCATTTGGACCCGCCGTCTCCATTTCCCACTGCATGAACGGGTGGACCTCCACTGCGCTCAGCCGCTCACGCATGCCCGACAGCCGCCTCTGGTCGTCTGCGACCGCCACGACTCCGTCGAAGCTCGGTCCTTGGGTGTCGGCGACTCGACGGACGATGTCGGCGGTGAGCGACTCACAAGTTATGGTGGGGGGACGCTCGCATAGCCAGCTTGGCAACGGAGGCGAGCTCGGAGCTCCAGCCTCAACGGCGTTTATGCGTAAGATAAACGCGTTCAAAGCGTTGAAGTTCCACTTAAAAAGCAGAGCGAAGCCCTCGGCCGCATAGTTGGATACCTTCGTCATGAACGAACGACACACAGTCGAGGGGTAAATATTCTGCACCAAATCAAGAGTACTCAAAGATGTATGCCTTCCATGGTGGCTGCTGGAGGTCTTCGTTTCTCCTGCTCGGAAAATAAGTTGTGCAGCTGCGAACGCTCGGGACAGTCTGTCTGTTTCAATCAATCACAAATACGACAGGTATGCCAACTGTAAGCACCCGCAAAAAACATCTTTCAATTCGTGTACTGCAGCGTCCCTGCGCTCCGTTTTTTTTTTTCGCCATTTATTATCCCTGAAGTTATCTGTAGTCCACGACCTCTAGTCAAGATCGCGCCGTATCCCCCCCAAGGCAATTTTGTCGTGCGTAGCGGTCGTGGCGACCAAAGCGTTAGACTCCCCGGTAGTCGTGGCAAAGCAGCTTTGGAATTAAAGGGCTCATAAAAAATAGTCTGCTCAATGTCTCTGTAAAAGTTGGCGTGAGAACTACTACATAGCTTCCCGTAACTACGATCCGTAAGTGTCTCCTGTGGATCACACTTTCGACTTCTGCTTTATGCACTGGCATGGCCATGAATACTTATAGTATAGCTATCATCGACACAGACCCTCCAAAAATTACCTAAGCTTATGGTAACTATACACATGGGTATGTCAAGCTGCAAATATTTCTCAAGCGTTCATTTGATTTGAGTTTCTCTTGTTTGCCACTTCTCCAAACTTGCTATAGCCTTGCTCGTTTTAGGCGTGTGCCGGCGGGTTGACAGTGTGTGTGAGCTGTAAAATGATGATGGGAGATGTGCGGCGGAACTCCTTGCTGGGGGACCACGTTGGTCCTCCAAGCGCTAACTTGCTGCGTTGTGTCGATTCTGTTTCCTCCTGACAAAGCTTGTGTTGTTACAGTTTGAAAATTTGTATCATCTCGAGTCGATTGAGAAAAGTCATCGCTATCGCCATTTGACATTTTTCTCCAGAGCACGTCAGCCGGAAGCTTCCAGGCTTGGACGATGCGGCGCTCCCAGCGCCTACAGGAGAAGAGGCTGGCGACGATGGGGCCTCGTCGTTCCCAGAGCCTACTGGATACGAGTAAGCGCCGACCCGCCACCTGCGCCGCCGAAAAGACCCCGGCGCTCCAGCAGAAGCGCGACTCGAGCTGCCACAGTCGACGTGGTACACCGTTGCAGTTGCTTACTTCCCTTATGACTAATCCCGACGCACCTCACATGTGTACTGTGGTGGCATGTGAACTTCACATTGTGAAGGCTGACCCCGCGGTCGTCTTTAAATGGCACTACGAGGATCTCGCGCAGTTCGTCACAACGGCGAACGCGCTCGTCGCCGGAGCGCCCGGAGCGCCTCGAACGCCAGGTTGGCTGCGCGTCCGCCCCCCTGGCATGACTTGCGAGTCGCTCACGGTCGACATTGTCGATCACATCGCTCACTCGCATGGCTCCAGTTTCGGTGGCGTGATGGCCATCGCCGCCGACATGAGGCGGATGGTGGCCATGCGGGAGCGGCTGAGCGCAGTGGAGGCCCACCCGTTCATGCAGAGAGGCATGGAGACGGCACACCCAACAGCCCACCTCGCCACGACATTCCTCGTGGGGATCGCCGACTGCCCGCACAGACTGGAGGCGAACTTCATGAATCGAGATCCTCTCGGCAACGACATTCACCTCCTATTCGCGTGAATACCTGCCCGAACGAGACACGACATGACAGCTGCAGTCTACTGCAGTTATGGCTAGATACGCATAGCAGTCACGTTCTACTGGTAAGCTTAATCACTTTTTGCTTGCTGCACTGCTTTTATTGTTTGATTTGCTTAGCATATCTTCCTGCTGGAGTTATCATCGTCCGGCAGCAACAGAAAGTTTCTGTGTATTTTCAGACCTTGGAGGTACCTATCGATGGCCATTGACAACCGTTGGTATTTGGTTGTGGATGTACAGCGTATACTTGACGGGCTCGTACATCTATCCGCCGGGCTTTGCCAGATAACTCACATACCGGTGGCTCGTGTTTGCACTTCCCTTAGAGGAGATCAAACGCCAGTGCAGATTGCAAGTTGAGGTTGTCGTGCTTGTTGTTCACTGACCACTTTGCGGCTGCTCGCTTTGCATCCTCCGTCGCCATACACTCTTTCGCAGTGGGGTCCTCCTCTTCTTTCTGCTGCTGATGGCGGTCGAGTCTGTCCTTTTCCTGGCGCACGATGTCCTCCACGTCGATATAGGTCGTCTCCGGCTCGGTCGGGTACATCTCACGCCACGATTTGCCGGCCGCTTTTGCCTTCTCCTGCATTTCCTCGACCTCGGCCCGCCGCTTCTTGCGTTTATCTTCTGCCTCCTTCGCCTTTTGCTCCCGTTCGATCCTCCGTTGCTCCAAAATGTGCATGGACATCATGTCCTTGCGGTGGAATCGGTCCTCGGGAAGTTCTTCGTCCTCCATAACAGGATCCCACCGTGGTGTTGCTTTCAATGCAGATCCGTTCCCAACCAGAGACTCGTTAGAATCAGCAGCGTTGGCGAGGTGGAACATCTCTACAAGAGACTTAGGCTTCGGTTGGGCAGAATCAGTCGCGGATGACGCGGTATCTTGAGTCTCAGCTCCATTTTCTTCCTCTAGCGCGCGTGCAAGCAACCAGGGCGCTGAGCCGCTGTCAGGTTTGACAGCATCCCATGACTTGTCGATGGTGAGTGTAATCTCCATGGAATTTCGGGATCGATTCAAGCAAACCTTCGCTGAACTTACTTCGACTGGGTACGGAAGGAAGATTTCTGCAAGAGAATGCATCGAACTGTTAGTCTCCGCAACACCAACACCGGGCAAGAATAGGACTTACCTAAATCGTGGTGAGTAGCAGCTTTGACGATCAACAGCTCAGCATGCAGCTCCAAGTCGACATCAGTGGCCGTCTTCACTTCGTTCTCAAACCGAACAGACACAATCAACTGAGAGCCCGCCTGCTGCAGAACCTCAGGTGACAGAGGCGTGCTACCCTTCATAATAGACGGAAGTCTCGAGCATACCGTGGGCTCACTGCCGTGCTTTTCGAACAGCTCGCACTTCGCTGTAGCCGTCTTCGGTGCCTTGGACGATTTATTTGCTGCTGGTTTCACGCTACGCGTCTGTTTAGAAGCTGTCGAGTGGCTCGCAGCGACTTCTTGGATAATTGGTGCCTGGGTTTTACGAATGTAGTGTTTGGGAGGAGGAAGCTCGCCGCGGTACGTCAGTCGCGGTAGCTTGTAGCGGTCGTCAAGCTTGATTTTGTACTATTCGAAGTAGACGACGTCAGTTCGCTTAGCGGACAGTAGGTAGTTCACGAGGAGAAGACTATTTTCCGCACCTTTTGATCAATGTACTCGATCGCCAGCTCGCACACAAAATTACGAAAGGCTCCTGTTTTGTCTGCTTGGCAGTCTTCGACGACCTTCGTGTTCACAGCCACGTCAAAAGCCAGCGAGCTCACTCCCTTCTTGTCCTTCACCTCGTGCGGAGCACCCAGGCTCAGTGGCACATGAATCCCCTACACAGAACAGAAAATAAGCTATTGTTTAGTGCTGCTCACCATCCCGATAAATATATGGGAGGCTATCTTACCTCTTGTTCCTTGCCCTCGTCGTCCAGCTTCTTCTTCTCCGAGAATCCCTGGATCTCGTCGGCGTACACTACGTTCACGAATACCTGTAGCAGCCGGATCAGAACTTGCAGCTACAGTAGCTATACCCCTTTCATACCCCGTCTCACCTTCTTTTTGCTCTTGACGTCATTCGTCTTCATCACGAAGCCAGGCTTCACATCGATGTACATCTACCAACCACCAATTGCCAAATGTGAGTCTCCTGGCTGTTGCGTCGGCCCCAGTAGCCACCAAATAATTTATCACGTACCCCTTCCGGAGTCGCTTTCAAGCCGTCCTCCCCCATGACCTTGTCCCCAGGGAACAGCGGCTTGAAATCTGCCCCCCCCCCATTAATTGCCCAATACACCACAACACGCAGATGAGTAATAGCCCCAGGCTGCTCTCTCTCTCGTCCTGCAGTCGGTCGCACCTGGCGAATTGGCGTCTGCGGCTCCTCCCCGTGCACCTGCAGTGCTCTTGAGCATGTCGAACAGCGCCGCATCCGCGCCACCTTGCGGAGCACCTCCCCCATGCTCGGGTCCCAGCCCCGCAGCCTGCAGCTGGCTCTGCATCGTGGCGATGAACTGCTTGTAGCCCTCCGGGTCGGTCTTCTCCAAATTGTCCAGCCACTGCGCACCACAAGCAAGAGCGAGCTCGGTCACCAGTCTGCACCGAGATCACAGCGCATTGAGGGCAACCAAGGCACGTACGTCCGCGTACTGCTCCATGGCGGCGTCGTCCATCGGAGCGTCCATCGCCTAATCTGGTGAAGAGTCACGAAAAGTGGAAATGACTTGGATTCCTCCCTGTAAGTACGACGCTTTGATATGTGGGTATCAAAGCACAATATTCAATATTATTTTAGGTAGAAAATTGCGATATCAATCAGATATTTCATATACCATCATTTCAAATCTCATCGATCTCATCGAATAACAAATGAAACAATTGGCGGGAACCCGGGTTCCCGCAAATGATACCGACCAAATCGCGAATTATTTATTTTATTTTTGGTCTCCATATTGGTCAAGTTAAACCCTCATACCTAAGAGCATCTCCAGCGGTTGGTCTCAAACACGGTTTTATCCTAAAAGTAACGCTGTTAAGACTTGGCCGAGATTTAAGGCTTCCACCAGAAGGTCCTATTGCAGGTTTTAACTTCACCGGGACCTATAGATTGGCTTTCGGGTCTTAAAATAAGACCACAATCTTAATGCCACCCATACAAAACTGAAGAGTCGCCGTATTTAAAAGATTGCACCAAGACTGAATGCAATTTTCACATGCGGGAATGGACTTATAAGACTCGCTTTAGCCCGCTGGAAGTAAGTCGGTCTGCGCGGGTCTCAACTGTAAAATTGTGGTCTCAAAGACCCTGTTACGTCTTAGGATAAGACCCACCGCTGGAGATGCTCTAAGTGCTGTCGATGAAGGACTACCCTCAAAATATGCCACCGGTACTGAATAGACCCAAATAACATACCTTACCATGTCCAAGTTTATCTTTCATGAGCAGGAGGACAGCGATAAGACCGGGAAGCACTGTACCGCTGCACAAGGCAAGCGTCTGGATTTTCGTGGAGAGACACAGGACGAGGGCGAAGGTGAATTAACCTTCCGTTCCCCTACTGAGCTTTAGCTGCGTTCTATGTAGGTCATAGACCAACACTTCAATACATTTGCTCATACATGTGTACCGGTAGTTTTGGGGGAACCGGGGTCCCGATGGGTACCCGGGTTCCCGCCGATTATTTCAAATACTGGTTTGCGGGCTTTGGCCCGCGGTGTTCGCAGTTCGGTCGCTTTTTATTACTGTATCCCAAAACCTGTAGAGTAGAAAACTTTATTTACTACTAGTGTACTATGTAGTAGCTGTACAAGAGCGTTGCGTGAAGAAGTTCTTGAATTTTAGCACATGCTCTAATTTTTGTATTGTGAAGTACCATGCGTCCAATTGCTGGGTCGCTTACGCTGCTCGATCTGCCGTGGCGGATCTACATGAACTCACACTACAGATATTCATGCTGCATACTTGCACAGCTTCAAGCTGCCAGACTGAACTTCAGTTCAGTTGAATGTATAATTTGTTTATTTTTCTCGGGTTATCGGGGCTATATGTCCAATTGTGACGCCTGCAACTTGATTTTGTAGAATTGCTATACTGACTTCCACGCCGTTTAGCTCTCCTCACTTCGAAATCGGCTCGCAACAAACAGTCTGCACCCACTATCATTAATCAATAGCGATAATTTTGTTTACTCAACGACGGTTTATCATTGCTGCTGCTGTGGCATCCGAAATGTACATGTAGATATCGTATCGTAGAAATGACAGTCACTTGTGTAAACTAACTTAGCCGTTACGACGACGACCCTGCTCGCTTGCTGCTCAGATACGGTCGATTCTTCGCAGATTACATTGATTAACTGATCACCCCTCTTTATTAGTGCTGCTGCCTGGTTAGCTTATCGCCGAAAGCATGCTCTGAGCTCTAATGAACCGGAGTTTGCGCTGCTATGCTGTAAAATAATTGCTGTAGAACTGTCATTGCTGTTGTTTCACATGGCTCTATAACCGATAATGCAACCTTATGTTGCATTATCTCAAACATCCGCAGGGGCGCAAACGACAGTTCTTACGTTGTTTCAGCTGGCAGACGAAGCACAGCAACGCGAGGAGCTTAGAATGTTGTGGCTGTTCGGTTCAAGGACAAATTCATACCGCTTAAGTCTCCGGTTGGAGGCAAACTATAGCTACGCTATCGAAAATTGGTCATCTGTTGGTGACGAGTGGATTAAAGAATCTACAAAAGACGGAGCTGATGGATCAGTAGAAAATAAATTGTCAGATATCGCTGGAGGTTTAGATAAGAAGTTTATTGTGAACAAGTCGACTGAGACTCATGACGCCGCCCAGTTGGTGAATTTTGCGCTTGACTCGGCGAGTGAAGTCATTTCACCGGTCCTCGCAAAGTAAATTTTGCGGAAGTATTTCGCTTCGCCCTCGTTCGGGCAAACAAGCGTATCCACAAATATCATCGTACAGGGGAATTTTTGCAGTCCTGGTTGCTTCGGCGTACAAGTTCGTTGTGACTCAAGATAATGACGTAGGAGCGTTGACGTCGTTGGTGTCGATGGGCCGTCCTCTATAGGATAGCACATTCTACGGCATTTTGGAGGCATATGCCGACCAGTTCGATGCTACGAACAGCGCAATTGTCCTGGCATCCTGAAATTTGATGACTGGGCTGTATCCGAAGATCTCTAACTACACCGAGTACACCGGGACTTTGTAGACTGGGTTTTTGCTGACGTTTCAATGTTCCAGGGGCGTCGAGATCGGTCTCGCACTTGATGGGGACATTATTTTACTTATTCCCGGAGTGTGACAAACTTCTCGCTGTTTACTCCTCGGGGACCCGGTGCTGGCTTTGGGAGGGACCAAAATTTGGTAGGGGGGGGGGCTATGTGTCTTCGTTGTCCAAGTATATCCTACCCGAGTCCAAGCGGCTACTGGTGCGAAAGGAGCTCGATGTGATGAATGTAAGCGTACTGGTGGCTTGTATTGTGCTACTATTGGCGATTGACATTTGTACAGTGCTGGAGAATCATTGGGGCTCCAGTCCGCCCACCGTGATCGCCACTGCTTGAATCGCTTCCCTAAACAGGTAGCATAGGCGCACCTGTCTCTTGAAAGATCAGAGGCGGGCTTAATGAAGTTGGCAATGGCGAGGGTTCAGCTCAGTCAGCATATCACGCACTCGAAGCAAGATTCAGCTCAATACAGGTTTTATTCAGTGAGTGGAACTTAGCTATTAGCCGCAGTAGATCAATAACTGCATGCTGCTGCTTCATGTCGAAGGTTTGTCGACACCCTTCATTGCTGTAGCTGAGTGCACTCTGGTCCGCCGCTTTCCCAATCAGCGCCTTAGAGGAATTTCGTGCGTCGCTTCTCCAATCCATCGGACTTTGGGGGCTGCGGCACAAACGGCACCAGCGAGTCGATCTGGGCCTTGACCTCTGGCGTGATCTTCTCGACCGCAGGCAGTGCCTTCATGTTCAGCTCCAATCGCGCCAAGTTCCTGGCCCCGACCATGACCGTGGAGATGTTCTCGTTGCTGATGCACCACGCCAAAGCGAGCTCAGTCAGGGAAATGTCAAGCGCTGCAGCTACCGACTGGAGTTTGTCCGCCTTGGCTTGGCGTTCCGCGAAATCCGGCACGAGGAATTTATGCATGGGGCCGTCCATGCGAGAGCCCTTGCTTGCCCGTGAGCAGTCCGCCGCAGAGAGGAGCCCAAGTCGAGAGACCGAGCTTGTACTTCCTGTACAGGTCAAAGTACTCGAACTCCACCTTCGTGCGGTCCAGCAGATTGTAGACGCACTGCTCCACAACGGGGCGAATGAGGCCGAGGCGGTCCGCAACGTCACAAGCTTCGACGATCTGAGCCGCGCTCCACTGGCTGGTGCCCCAGTAGAACGCCCAGCCCCGCTCAAGGACGAAGTTCATGGCACGCACGGTCTCTTCCATGGGCGTGAACACATCGGGCCGAATGCAGTAATGACGTCGGCGTACTCGAGATCGAACCTCTTGAGCGAGGCCTTGGATGCTTCAATGATGTGTTTGCGTGTCAAGCCTCGGTCGTTTGGCCCCGAAGCATCCCGGAACGCCTTCGTCCCCAGACCGATTTTGGTGCCGATCACGAGGTCCTCCCGGCTCCAGATGCCTTCATCGATGCCCTTCTGCACAGCAAAACCCATGTTCAGACCACTTTCAAAGTGGCAAAATTAAAAAAATTCCACCTTTTCCACTTTCTGGCGAACCTTAAAGGTGGAGCAAATTTTGGAGTCCCTTCTGAACGATACCACGCACAATAGCACTTACATAGCTGTCAAAAGGGCGCTGACACAGTACAGATGCATGCCATACATGGCGGAAACTGCGAAAATGCTGTTGGAGTCGACGAACACGACTGTGCTTCTATTCGTAGCGAAATACACTTGAGGCAATAGCGAAGTTCGCACGTTATAGCTCATCAACGCAAGCAGTAAGATTCATCGACGCAAAGGCGTCATAGGTGTACTATGCGGTAAACGAAGCTAGGAAGCAAGACGGGGTTTCCGTACAGCCACGAAGGGGGACACCATGCCGGCACGCGTATGCAGGTATGCGGTTGCCGCTGTTGTCAATTTATACATTTACGTATTTTGATCGATGTAAAACGAGGTTTGGAAGTGGCAGCGGGGGCAGCGATCCGATGCACAGCGAGCTCGCAGTCTAACACAAAAGGTATCCATAGATAGGGGTTAAGTACTTACTACTGACCTGCAATGTGTCTGCCACCTTTAGGCTCGTACTTAGCCAGACGGTTAATAATTATACTTGGGTATTGTATGGATTCCACTTTTTCCACTTCCTGCCGAGAAATGTGCCACTTTAAAGCAAAAAGTGGAGAAATTGACAATTGCCACTTTTAAAGTGGTCTGCCCATGTTCCTTTCCGCGACGCGTTGTCGAAGAAGTTGATGTCGTGCTTGAACGCCAGCTTCATCATCTCGTACCAGGCTTCCGGTGTGTTTTCCTCCTTGGCGTGCATCAAGCTCCCCAGTCCGAGCTTGGACACAAGGAGTCCTGAATTTCCCAGGAACCGGTAGGTCATGCCAGCAGACTTGGTGTCCTCGGTACTTGCAGGCGCCATGGTGGTGGTGGAGTGCTTGACTTGGTTGGTGGTAAATTCCAAAATGAACGAAAGTTGCGACTGCTAGCTACTGTAGAGAGTTCGATGGACAACCCTTTGACATCAGTGATGACGAATGCGTTTACTTGATCCCAGCATACTAACAAGCAATCGCTGAGTCATTCAAAAACAATATAGTTAGGTTAAATGGCAGTTTTCAGTAGTAGCAAGTATACGTAAATACGAATCAAAGCACCATCCTTCTAACCCCGGCCATGCACGGAGTGTTCAATACCAAAGCCACTAACAATGATTTGGATTCGATTGCTTATTTTCTACTGTAGCATGGAGACCAGGTCTAAGCAAATTGCAATACATTGAATGGACTCTCCAATTCGCCAGCCCTCCCCAATTAATATTGGTGCTATTTTCTTATTTTGAAAGATATTATCACTAATATCTGAGTTGAGCGAAAATACGAAAGCAACAGACTCAGGCGGTTGGCTTACCTCGGCTACCTAGCAGCTATCCACTATTACCAATACCATGGTACATGAACTACAGTAGATGGTAGAGTAGTTAGTACTCAGTAATATTTACATATTATTTTGCAATTTATGTGAGATATCCATGGGGGGACTAATCCTACCAAGCATAAATTGAGCTTCCTATTTGCTATGAAATTGGTTTTATCAATGGTATTTTCCACGACGATGGCCGAGATTAATGCGTCAAAAGCGGATTTTGAGTTAGATACATATCATTGAAAGAGGCTCGTAATGCTCATGAGGCCGAAGATGCTTTTCGTGGCAGTGGCCGACCCAAACGAAGCAGCTTGACTAGCTGCATCGAGGATATGTTCTGAAACCAATTTGGTTAAGAACGTGCGCATGAAGGGTGCTGGGAGGCGGTGCTGAGAAGGTAAGATAATACATTTGCCGAAGCAATGCCCCCTCTAGCTACCGGGGCGAGTATTCGCTGTGAGGCTGCTGCTATACTAGTAAACGAGATAAGTAATAAGCACGCGAGGGCCAAAATATCTGCAAACGGCAATACAGTAATTTGCCTCAATAGCGCAATGGCTACATTTATACATTCTCTAAGATAATTGCATAGGAGAGGCTAGCTGAACTCTCATTGGCTCGATTTGGGGTGTGCACAGATACTCGTTTCAGCAGGGTATTCGATACCACGACTGCGCTATTGAGGTAAATTACTGTACCACTTCCCCATAATACCGAATTTGTTTTGTAGTGGGATACACCCTACCGGAGCTAAAATACCAGACGCCCGATTTTGCTCAAAAAACGAATCGGCACCGGACGCCCAGATGTATTTATCAAAATTACTAAACTGAGCACTCTACCTCAAGTCTCTCAAGGCCGAATCTCACCAATGCGGCTGCCGACACAGCCCAGCTTACTAGCTTGTTCGCCGCCACCACCCCAACTTGGATCGAAGCTCAGTACAGCAAGCTTTGCGTTTGTGCCTGCCGCCGACAGAAGCACCCCCAGCAGCTATAGAGCTAAACGACGAGCCCATCTTAACACCACTACTCTTCTCCCTTGATACTTTTCTGTAGGTAGACCCGGAAAGAACGTATCTACAGTGAAACAAACATTGCAGTGTAGTCTCAGGTGCTCGACAATAGCCTTCTTCATTGCAGCAGGGCCCGCGTCGTTTTCCACCTGCCTTGACCTCCAGACAGGCGAGGGTGACTTGGTGGCGCCCGCACCGTTGCAGTAATGATCGCGCGCTGAGCGGCCAAGCGTGCAAAAATTACTGGCTTGAAACTGGTGTATCCCTCAGTCAATCTGAAGGCACAATTGTGATTGGCTAATACTATCCTGTATCCCATAGGTTGGTGTATCCCTCTACAAAACAAATTCGGTAAGTTGTCGCAAAGTTGCCATAATCGTTTTGCACCAATCACATCTCTCCTCTCCTCCCATTCGCTGAAACCCCCACCCTGATTAACCATGCCAAACTTACCGCGTCTTTGCGTCAAAAAGTGAACGGACACCCTCCAAGGGCACTCATTATCCGATCCGAGCTCGAGCCCCCCACCCCGATGGCGACGGAAGACCCCAGTAGCAGCTCCTCTCTGCGCCAGCGCAAGGGCAAGGCCATGCCTGCGCTGGACACACAGGACACCTCGGACGGGCCCGTGACCAAGTCGTCGCCGGACTCGCAGCGCAGCAGCCCGAGACCCGAGAGCTGGTCGTACAACACGTTCCGCGCCACGCACGGCAACGAAGTCGAGGGCCTGCTGCTGTTCCCGGAGCAGCCGCGCCAGATCTTCGTGCTGCTCCTGGTGGTGGCGGGCTTCTCGTACTACTCGTTCACGCACGACTCGCAGGACCCCGTGCAGAACGTGCGCAACGCGCTGTTCGCCGCCATCCTCATCTTCCTGGTCTACTGCTTCCTGCAGACGCGCGACGGGCTCATGATGCGTCCGCACCCCGGCGTGTGGCGCGTCGTGCACGGCTGCTCCGTCGTGTACCTGCTGCTACTGGCGGCCATGCTGGTGCAGAACCGGGAGGGCGCCATGAAGGCCATGCAGTACATCTTCCCGGAAGTCGGCAGTCGCCCCAAGACGGTCGTGCCGGCGCAGCTGCAATGCGAGATCAACTCGGAGGTAATGGAGAGAAGTCTGCGAAGGTTTATTGTTTAGTGGTGATGTGATGCTAATTTATTGTAGTCGTTGATGCGCGGCGTGTCGAGCATTTGGTTCTTGGCGCATGTGACGGGCTGGTGGGGCAAGATGTGCATGTTCCGCGACTGGAGGTTCTGCTGGGTGCTGAGTATCGCCTTTGAGATCCTGGAGCTGGCATTCCAGTTCGTGATTCCAGACTTCCAGGAGTGCTGGTACGAAGCGGTTACACTCAATTGGGTGGGGGGTACTGTAGTCAAACTGAGCTGACTTTTGTTGCCCTTGCAGGTGGGATTCGCTGCTGCTCGACATGCTGGGAGCGAACATGCTCGGTATGTGCCTCGGTCGTGTGACGTTGTGGCTGCTGGAGTCGAAGGAGTACGACTGGTCCGGTCGCCGCGGCAAGAAGATGGGTTACTTCCGCTTGGCGCTCAACCAGTTCACCCCGTTCAGCTGGGAGCAATACCACTGGGAGGTGTTCTCGAGCTTCAAGCGCTTCGCGGAGATCGTGTTCGCGATGCTGCTGTGTCTCATTACGGAGCTGAACGCCTTCTTCATGCTCACGACGCTCAGCATCCCCAAGGAGAGCAACTTCAACTCGTACAGACTGCTCCTTGTGTTCCTGATCGGCATTCCTGCAGCTGCTGAGGTGAGGTTTGATACATCGCTCATCCTACCTTGTTGCGAGGTCTAACATGGTGTTATGTCTTTAGTACTACGAGTTCATCACAAACCCAGAATGCTGGCGTCTGGGGCAGAACTCGTGGATGATCTTGTCAATCGCGACGTTCGAGATTCTGGTGTGGGTCAAGTTCTCGGCTAACGGAGTTTTGTTCACGCAACCTCCGCCGCCGCTCGTCATGTACCCGATCCTGGCGTTCGTGATTATGTTTTCGGTCTGGATGCTACTCTTCTTCCGCAATGCCCCCCGCCAACCGTCATCTCGCCGCGCACGTGGACTCGTTACCGGCTGGGGATACCTCGACGTGCTGTTTTGGGCGTCGTTCACGCCGCTAGTGTTCCTTACTTCCCAGTGGGCATTTTGAAGCTGATCGTTTTTGTCTTTTCCACGGCGATGAGGGAAAGTGAATGCGTTAAAAGCAGAGTTTTGAGTTAGATAGATAGCAGTGGCGCCAGGCCGACCCAAACGAAGCCGCTTGACTACAGTCATTCATGTGGCTTCACTTTACCGCGTCAGTATTTTAGTTTTAATGAAATTATTGTCGCGGATCTTAAGCTTGAATAGGTCCTCTCCAACATATTGCAAGACTAGTGTCTTGCCAAGACACCAACGTGCAGTATCTTGGTGACCACAAGGCCATGATAACAAAGGCCGGAATGTGGCTAGAGCAAGTGCTGTCTATCTGCAAATAAAGGTGTCGCTGTAGCAACCGATCAAAGAACAATCACGGGGACGAGAGACAAAAGAGCGGAGGACGCCGTTGATTCGACTCGTTCTTTCATTTAGCCCAGCGCGTTGGGGTTACTGCCGACGCTCCCACGGGGGCGACTGACTGCGCAAGGTCCCAACAGTGCGTCACAGCAAAGGTGTAGAGCACCAAAGCCGCTTACATCAGGTCCACGAACGGCTGCGCCGCCATGGTGATGGGCTGCGTGCCCTTGGCCTTCAGGGTGTAGGCGGCCTTGGGCTGCACGGGGGTGCGCTTGATCTGGGCGCGCACGCCGGTGGCGTGAGCCTCCTTCTTCTTCAGCTCGTTCTCCTTGACGCGCGTGAGGAAGCCCAGGCGGCACTTGGACTGGTGCACGTGCTCAATGCGCACGTTGATGTGCTTGTGGATGATGCGGTTGCCCACGATCTTGTTCACACGCACGCCGACGGCACGCTTGGTCACGTTGTACACGCGGCCGGTGCGGCCGTGGTAGAACTTGTGGGGCATGCCCTTCTGCACGGCACCGTTGGCCTTGATGTCCACGTAGTCGCCCACCTTGAACGTGCGCAGGTACGTCGACATCTTGATCATGCCGCTCTGACGGAACGGGCGCGCGAACATGTCGCGCGTGCGAGCGCGGTAACCGAAGGAGTGCGGCATCTTTGACTAAACTGCAGCAGCACAATAAGGATCACCAGAATCGCATTAGCAACTGCACTTCCAGGCATCGCTGGAGCGCTCCAAGGCCTGCGTTCGACGGGGGACAGCAGCGCGGATGTGACTATAGTGGTGGCGGCACTGACAACGCCGCGATCTTTCCGGGACGGAGCGCTGCATTCAGCTGTAGCCTAAAAAGTCTTGAATCGCCTGTATCTCCGTCAATTCCTGCGCTCCGCCGGCCGTATCCGCGGCCTCCGTCCCAGTTTCGAGCGGCGCGTCACGCGCACCACCACGTTCCATCCCCTCGCTCCGCATTGGCCTCTCTGGAGGCGGTCATATCGCAGCCGAACAGCGCCGCTTACCTGCAAAAGTCGAACGAGACAAGAAGAACTGCGTGAGTCGGCGAGGCTTGGGGCGCCGTGCGGGCCGCGAAACTATTGGCCGCGGAGGCGCCAGCATACAAATCGCAAGTGTAACGGGCCGCGAGCCAATCACCAGCAAGACACGCACTCCGGCTAAATACGAACTCACTCACGGGTTTAAAACGGCGACCCAAGTGGTGTGCCGCACACCAACATCCCCTAAGACAGTGCAAGTGGTGCTGGCTCATATCCTATAGCGGCGGCACTATGGAGGACGAGGACTTCGGCGAGGATGTGCTGGTGACGACGCAGCGCGCCGGCGTCAAGGAGGAGGCCAAGACCGAGGAGTCCCGCGCCACGTGGGAGGCCAGTCAGGGCGCGCCCGTCAAGAGCGAGAAGCCCAAGGACGAGCACGAAGAGGACGAGGACGAGGAGCTCTACGGCGGCGTCTCCATCAAGCTCAACGCGTCCGCCACGTCGCAGGCGGAAGCCGCCGCAGCCTCCGCAGCTGCGGGCCATGGACCGGCTGGCGTCAAGGCTGGCGACGACCCGGCGGCCGACTCGGACGATGACGAGGACGACGAGGACGTGGCCATCGTGCTCAGCACGGACCACGCCAACAAGCCCACGCTGCGCTTCACGGGCGGCGGCAATCGCTACGTGCGCGGCAGCTTCGGCGGCGCGCAGCATGGCGGTCCTGGCGCCGCTGGGTCGGGCGCTGCGGGCGCGAACCAGGCGGGGGAACTGGGCGGATCCGCGGTGGACGGAGTGGACGACCTCGCCATGTTTGGCGGACGACGCACGGCGTTCGACGTGGACATCGACCTGCTGGAGGACAGGCCGTGGCGGAAACCCGGTGTGGATATCTCGGACTACTTCAATTACGGCTTCGACGAGCACAGCTGGAGGGAGTACGCGGCGAGACAGCTCCGGTTGAGGCGCGAGCTGGCGGTGGAGAAGTCGAGGGAGCAGGCGTCCAGACAGGCAGTGAGTGCAGCTAACCAGCAGCAGGCCATGCGAGAGCGAGACGCAAAGATGCAGGGAGGTGGTATGCCTCCACGTGGATTCCCTGGACAGATGAAGCAAGAGGGCGGGGATGACCAGAATGGCCGTCCTGGAGAATGGGGACCTGGAGGAAATGGCATGCCTCCGATGGGTGGCGCGCCGCCTCGAGGCGGGTTCATGGGCGGCCCGCCCCCGCGCGGGTGGCACCCTGGAATGGGCCCGCCGCCTGGCTTCATGGGTCAGCAGAACTGGAACGGGCCTCCGATGGGCGGCGCGCCGTGGGGATCTGGTCCGGGAAGAGGGCCGCCATGGATGGGCGGCCCTGGCGGTGGCAGGGGCCGAGGTGGCCGCGGCGGCTTCGATGATCGGGGGCGCAATGACGATCGCGATGACAGGCGGCATGGTGGCGGCAGGTCCAGAGAGGCGAGTCGCGATCGCTCAAGATCCCGCGATCGCCCGCGCCGAGAGGAACCGCGAGGCAGCGGACGCCGCGAAGGTGCTGGGGCAAATGATGCCAACGACAAGGATCAAGGGCGCGACAGAGACCGAGACCGCCCACGCCGCGATGAACCCCGTGGCGCCGGACGTCGTGATCGCTCAAGATCCCGTGATCGCCCGCGCCGAGACGAATCGCGTGGCAGTGGACGTCGAGATGGTGCTGGAGGCAAAGATGCTAGCGACAAGGATCAAGGACGCGACAGGGATCGAGACCGGGAGCGTGGGCGCGACCGTGACGCTGGCGGCCGTGATCGCGATGCTGCCTGTGATCGAGGACGCCCTCGAGAGCGCGGAGGCCGTGGAGCTGGAGGAGATCAGGAGAGAGACCGTGGAGGCCGCAATCGTGGAGACCGAGGTGGACGCTCGCGATCCCGAGAGCGTGATTCTCGCAAGCGCAGGGGTCGAGATGAAAGCGCTGGGGGTAGTAGAGGCCCCGGCGACCAGCGTCACAAACGGCGGCATTAGACAACAGAAAGACAGCAACGCATCGATCACCACGCGGCTGGGCGGTGCCTACCGAGATATCAATCATCTAACAAAAACGAAATGGCAATTTGCAGTTATACCTTGGTAAGGTGCCTTACAACAAGCATTCTATCTGAATCGATACAGATGCAGCCTGGAGGGTCAAATCTGCTTGTGCAGCCAGAGCTCGGTCTCCAGCTTATCCAGGTCCTGGGCCATCACCTGCAACGCGATGTCTGCATCACCCTGGATGGCATCCACAGGCACGAACGTCATACCCGGCATGCTGTTGACCTTGCCCCGTGCAGTAACAGTGTCGTAGTACGCCTTGGCCACCTCCGCCTCACTCGAGAAGGCTGTTGCCACGTAGAATGTGCGCACGTGAATGACGCGGTCCCACGGCATCAGTGCTTGTACCAGGCTGTCCAGTACACACGTCCAGATCCCCTCTGCGAGAGCCTTCGCCAACGCCCGAGTATCCGCATACGCTCCAAAGCTTTCTACTGACGCGGTGCACATGATCTGGCACAGCGCTCGCGGAACCATAGCGCTCTGCCAGTCGAAGCGCAGGTTCTTGGAGTGACTCGTGCTAGTAAGGCTGCGCGGAACCAGGTACTTGAGCGCGATGTGAGTGAGGGCCTGAAGTTCCACTTCCACGAGAGCATTTCGCGGCAAACGAGAGAGCTGCACGACTAGCAGCGGCGCCTCCTTCACGAACTCCACGAGGGCTTCGTCCTTATCGACATCCTCGTCGCTCTCATCGCTGTCGTCGACAGACTCGAACTCGTCCTCCAATTCGGCGTTAGTCATAAGGTGGCGGCGACATTCAAGTAGCAGGCGCTCACAAGCCTCGCGGTCGTCAGGGTTTCCGGTGGTGTAGATCACACCAGAGCACACGTGACGGAGGTTCGACTGAAGTGCCTCCAGCACACGGCATGCGTTGCGAAAGCACTGGGTCGTTTGAACAGAGTGATCCCCTGGCACGAGGTTCATCGTCTGAGGGTGCAGCGCAATTTGGCCTGCCAGTAGGATAAGCGCTCTGTGCAGCACATTGGCCTGGCTGTACGGTCCGATGCAGCACGGAGCCCACGCTGAGATACTCTTCACGTGGAGGACGTCGCGACGCACTCGCAAGGGCTGCAACTTCTGCTTGCCACTGCCGCGCAACGCGTAGCAGTCCAACAGTACACGAGCGGGGACATCAGCCAGAGCCTTTACTTCGACGCAGCTTCGGGAAGGCGGCAAGTTTTGTCCGAGATGCCGGATGTACTCGGTGTTCAGCTCACCGAATGCGGCCATATCCTCTACGTACAAATGCACGAAACAAATGTCTGCAAGCACCATGTCCTCGCTCTTGAGAATAACCTCCACTTGCGCAACAATGTCCGCCATCTCTTCCTCGAGAGTGAGTGATCCGTCACCTGCCCTGCTGCTCATAACTCCCGAAAGGTGCAATTGGTCGCGGAATCGGCCAAAGGCGGGCACAACGTCTTTCGCTGACTGAGGGGAAAGTGCGAGCACGCTGGCTGTCTTCGCTTCCTTTTTCGTAGACCTGGTTGTTTGTTGGACGGTTGAAGGCTCCGGGATCCGAGACGCCAGTTGTGACGGGTCCGAGGGCTCCTTCTCCTCAAGGTGGCACTTATCGATCGACAGGAAGGCCACTGGCGCGACGTAGTCATCCGAATGAAGCACCGTGTGGCTCTCATCACTACATAGTAGGAACGCATCATTAGAATCCAGAACACGCAAGGGGGTTATAATCCCTCAGGCAAATCCACGTACATGACGATACGCTTCTTGAACAGCGGGCAGTCGAGCGTAAAGGTCTCATACTCGCCTCCTTCGCCGCAGACGTTCATCTGATACTTCTCTTTCTGGAGTAGAGGATACAAAACAGCATAAAACCGTCACGACATCGTCCACAAATCTGCAAACGGTACACCTCAAATCGCATCGCCTACCAGCATCATGAGTTGCGGCTGCAGCTGCGCGATGGTCTTGCCCAGGTGTCTCCGCGGCTGCAAGCCAATGGACGCCACCTTGACGAGGATAGCCTCCATCTCTGAGTCGATCATCTCCTGCAGCAACTCCGTCTGCTCGCGGCGCCACAGGTAGCCGAGCGATGTCAGGCCCAGCCTCGAGCACCTGCACCACAATATTTCAGCCAAAAAATTAATGCAACCAGCCAACCAATGTCTAAGCAAGCAGCAGCTGTGCAACTTTACTCACACGTTCTCCACCCTGTTGCGCTGGTAGCTGGAGAAGATGGCGCCCGTGCAGACGCCCTGGACGCCGGGGAACTGCTGCTTGACCTTCTGCAGCAGCCGGAACAGGTCCTCGACCTCGTCGCCCGCCGCCGACTCGTGGTAGTCGATCTCCGTCTTGACCGCCGTGCCCGTGATGGTCTCCGAGACGAGCGGCAGCTCCATGCTCTGCGCGATGAGCCCCACGGCCTGGTGGCCCACGCTCTGGAACATGAACGAGTCGATCTCGGCGTCGTCCGCCGAGAGCTCCGCGGGCGGGTGCAGGTGCGCCAGGCACACGATCTCGTGGCCGAAGCGCACGCACTCCATCATGGCGTAGCAACTGTCCTTGCCGCCGCTCACGAGCGCCACCACCTGCATAGCTGTAATAGACGAGAGGAAGGCTGCGTTGCTACGTAAGTGCTGGAGGGAAGCGAGTTAGTTGTGACATCTAGCCATCTCGGCTTCATGTGTGGTGTGTGGTACACAATAATTGTGGTGCACACGTGTTGCGTGCGGTGCTGCTGAGTGATTGTCACTTCTCAATAGAGCCCCCTCCTCGCTCCACCGAGATGGCGGCGGCGCGTTCCGTGCTGCTGAGCGACATCCAGAGCGTGCTGAGTCTGGCGCGGCGGCGCCATGGCTTCCTGCTGTCCGGGACTGCGAGTCAGCGCTCGAAGCAGGTGCGGAATCCGCGTCTTCATGCTGTAAAGTGCATCTGAATCCAGGGCTAACACAGTGTGATGCTGGCTGTAGGAGAGCCCCCTGGCCGTCTTCCAGAGCTTCTCTCTGCTGCGCGGACGTCTGCTGCGATGCGAGAGTACGTACAGGGCGTTTACCGCTTCCGTGGGCTGCTGAATGACCCAATTTTGACGTTTTTCCGCCCATTTTCGACCCAGATATGGCCGAACTTTCCCCTGTGAACGTCGTGAAGCCCTTCCTAGACGTGATCCGCCACGAACACGCTAGCAGCACAGTGACGGGTGCTGCACTGCAGGCCGTGATGAACTTCTTGCACACGTGGCCCTGGGCGGACGTCAAGGACCAGAACGCGGCGGCAGACGCCGTGGCCGACATCGTGGACGCCGTGAGCCACTGCAGGTTCCAGGAGACGGGCGTCGAGAACGACCAGAACGTGCTGGTGCTCGTGGTGCACGTGCTCCATGCGGTGGTGCGCTCGCCCTGCGGCGCGCGGCTGTCGGACCACGCGATGTGGCAGCTGGTGGAGTCTCTTTACGCGCTCAGCCGCGGTAATCGACACGATGTGCGTGCTGGTGACTGATTAATTTAATTTCTCTCTGACGTTAGCTGACTATTGATACTGACTGACCCTTGCGCTGTGTTCTGTGTTCGTGCTGGGCAGCCGCATATTACGCTGCCGTTGCGATCGACGGCCACGAATTTCCTGCATGACACGGTGGCCTTTATCTTTTCGAATCCTGCAATCTACTCGGACTTAGCTCCTGTTGCGGCGCCTGCAAATGCTGGATCGGAACCTCTCAGACCGGGCTTTGGACTGCCGTGTGCCGTGAAGATTGTTGGCTTTTTGTGCCAGAAGCTGCACCAGAAAAACTTCGTGCCGCCTCCGTCCCCGGATGCACCAGCAGCCAACACTGGAAACACAACAAGCCGTCGCGAAGTGCTGCTGTCGTTTACCTTGCTCCAGCGTGCCTTGATTGCTTGTGATGCTGAACTGATTACCGGCGTGCCGTCGCTGATGCTGTTTATTAAAGATGATCTGTGTAGCGCCATTTTGCGTTACTGCCGTCTCGGGTACGAAGGATATCATTATTTTGCATGACACATGCCACACTTCCGAGCGCTGTTCTAATGTTGACCTCTTTTCATGATCTGCGCAGTGCGTGTGCTGAACTCAAGATCCCAGTGGTGTGTCTCGAGCTTATTAGGCTGCTATGGTCGAAGCTTCGTTCCGAGCTTAAGATGCAGGTAGAGGCGATATTCAACGGAGTGTTCTACCACACGCTGCATTGGAGTCTCGCGAATATGGATGTGAACAACCCAGATTTCCCGCGTGGAGATAATGCAACCCCGCCAACTGGCGATGTGAACGGCCAGGCCAGTGACAAACCTGCGGTGACAGTTGACGCGGCACTCGATGAGTTCTCTGGGGAAATGTTGTCCAAGAGTCGGCTGTACAACATTTCGTTTGAAATCCTGGATTGCCTCGTGGACTTGCTTGCGGAGGCAACGCTGCTCCCCGACTTGTATGTGAACTATGACTGCGATGGCAACCGTTGCGACCTGACGCAGAGCTTATTCGACCTGTTATCCCAGGTTGCTCAGCAGTCCCATGTTGCGTGCTTTGAGTCGCACGAAGAAACACACTTTCTGTGGGCTCAGGCTGTTGGAGAGATTGCACTTCGTGGAATGTTCAATGCTCTATACGTTGTGCATCTTCGTACGCACCCGCAAACACCCGTTGTAAGTGGCGAAAACAGTAGTCCGCCTAGCGATGAAGAGATTCGCGAGGATACGTTGTTGGTGGATCAGGAAGAGCAGCCTTCCTCTGGCGATGATGATACGTTCGCTTCTGCAGAAGTTTTGTTCAAGAAGCGTCAGCGTAAAAAGTTCTTCCAGCATGGCATCCAGGAATTTAATCGGAAGCCGCTCGCTGGAATCAAGTATCTGCAACAAAACACGTTCCTCCCGACACCACTTGACAGCATGTCTCTCGCAACTTTCCTGCGCTCACTCCCACAAGGTTTGAATAAGAATGCGGTGGGCGTGTATCTGGGCGCAATGGGCAAGGAGGTCAAGGGTTTCGAGAAAACTGAGATTCACGAGGCCGACACGATGGATTTCCACCGGGACGTTTTGACCAACTTTGTGCGGTCGTTCAACTTCGAGGGCGAGAGTATCGTTACAGCGCTGCGCATGTTTCTTGCGAGTTTCCGTCTTCCTGGAGAAGCGCAGCAAATTGACCGAATCCTCAACACGTTTTCGCTGCAAGTATATGAGCAATGCCGAGAACGCTTTCTCATGGCGTCAGTGGACGTGGCGTATCTGCTGTCGTTCAGCTTAATCATGCTGAATACGGATCTGCATAACCCGAATATTCGAGCGGACAAGAAAATGAAGCTGATCGACTTTATCAGAAACAACAAAAACTACGGCCAAGAGGTTTCTAAGGGCTTAGATTTACCGGAGGACTATTTGACCGAGTTGTACGATACCATCGCGAAGGACGAAATCAAGACGTTTGAAGATGGCGGTAAACATGGTGAAGTGACCAGTGATCGGTGGAAGGACCTGCTCAATCAAGCAGAAAGTGACCCGCGCAACTCGCGCTTAATTGTGCATCACCCCGCGTTGCACCTCCGGTCGTTTAGTACGCCTCGCCGAATTGGTATTGCCCAAGGCGTATCGTCACCCCTAGCACCTGATGCTATGCGTACGATGAAGCAGGCCCGTCTCACTAAGAGCACATCTACTCCTGCAAATGGAACGACGGTGAAAAGCGGTACTTGGGAGCAACAGGATGGGTTTGACGGACTTGTGCCTCTCTATGCCTCGTCGGGTAACCAGTACGACCGCCACATTTTCGAGCTGATTCATCAAAGTCTTGTACGAGCCTTTGGCAGCGTGTTCCAGCAATTTGTCGTGGATTCACAAGCGAAGGATGCAGCGCGTGGTGAGGATCTGTCTGTTGGCAACAGCTATGAGATGCACTACGTGCCTCAGAAAAGCGCCCTCCAGCTCGCATGCAACGGTTTCGTGCTGTGCGCGGCGGTGGCATCCAATTTGTCGCTGGTGGAACACTGCAACGCAATATTTATCCGTCTTTGCAAATACACGGCGCTGCTATCGTCGGATATTTATCCGGTGGGGTACAACGGCCGCGAGAATGGTATCTGGGTGTTTTGCGATAATCAAAGTGCCCCTATCGCGACAGCTGCCGTGCTAAAAATTGTCAGTACGTGCAGTTTATCGCTCCACAGTCGTTCATGGAAGTACTTCTTCCACGTCGTTAGTGGCTTGCGGGAGTTCCATGTGTTGCCAACTCGGATTCTGTACCCCAGTGACGACATGAAATTGGAGCTGATGACACCAGACGAGCGGCTGGAGTTTATTGACTTGGTGTACCAGAACAAGGAAGAGTTGGAAAGGAGAATTGCGCTAAGTGCTCAAGAGCAGGACGGTAGTGATGGCGACTCTGGCGGCTTTTTCAGTGGTGTTACTTGGCTGTTATCGGCACTCGACTCCAACCTTGGTGGATCTGCGCCAGGATCTTCTGCACCGACAAGGTCGCATCTGTCTCCTGGTTTCGAACAGTACCAGCTGAGCCCAGCCGAGCTGGCGTCGCATACCGAAGACCTTGTGATCGAGGGAAAAACACCGAAGAAGCAGCCATCGAGCGGTGAACACGACCCGAGAGGTGATTTTGGCACCGATCTGTGGATCCGAACCACATTGCAGCCGTACCGTCTTGAATTTTTGATGCAAGACGTGGCAAGCTTACCCTCTCGTGCTCTGGCTGAAGTTATTGAAGCACTGCATGACGAGACACTGCGCGTACTGAGGGGCCCGGATGAGAAGGAGTCACCAAAAGACCGGAAGAAATCCGCGAAACTGTCACTTAGCCAAGGTGGGTGCGTGTTATTCGAACACTTGCTGAGTCAAGTGGTCGCACTGGGCGGTTCCCTGTTTGATGGCGGGGCTGACGATGAAGACGGAATATCTGCCGTGCTGGAAGCCCACTACACCCAAATCCTGGAAGTTCTGCGACCAGTGCTTCTTACCAACCACAGCCCCAGCGGGCTCACGTACGAAAACGCGTGCTTCTTGTTGCACAAGTCGATCAACGGCCTGTTTGCATGGGTGACACGCACTCGTAGCGAAGCTAACGGCCTGTTATTGATCACCTTCCTGAGCACCTTTATGGAAATGAGCGGTGATGACGAGCTGATTCGTCCGTTCCTGACGTCAATCATGCGCGGGTTGGATCGATATGTAACTTTGGTGGAGCCAAGCAACCTGCACTACTCTCGAATGGATTGGCTCACGATCTGTAATTTGATCAGCTGGTCTGTCGGAATGCCCCACGCAGCTTCTCGTGCTTTCGGACTGCTTGAACGACTTGTGACGGAGAAGATCTGGAATGGGGAGGGAAATGACATTCTCATCAGCGATTGCTACACGAAGATGATCATGTTTGCGATGAAGGCTCGCGATCCGCACGACTCATGGGCACCGTCACGCCCTCTCGATCTGCTGCTCTTCATGTTTGACACGCTGCGTCCCGATGCAACCAATTACGTTGAAGAACGCCTACGCTTCTTGGGCGGAACAGCTGTTGTGTCAAGACATTTGCTGCTGAATCAGATCAAACAGGAACTTTCCAATGACCTCGTCGTAGCGGCAATCGAGGGGCTGAAGCATATGCTTCGCGAACACGCGGGGACTGAACGATCATTCAAGGCCATGGCCTGGTTGGATGTTCTCCGGTACGGACTTGTTCCTGTCGGTTTTGACTTGCTAAATGATGCTGGACCCAAACATTCTGGTGGAGCTATGCATTTCGGAGAGGATGAAGAAGAAACGAATTCTCCGTTCCTCTATTACCGGCGCCAACTTCCATCCTTCGACGATGAGAACTCATTGAAGCATCCTACTGCCTCTCAAACGCACACTGAGTCCAAGGGACCTACTGGTCGTCGTCGAAGACCATCGACTATGAAAGACCCGTTGGCACTTCGACCGCATGTCGTTGTGGTTCAACTGCTCTCTCTTGTGGTGTGCGAGGAGCTGACAAAGCTGCAGACGTGCGCCAAATTCCCGGCCGTATGGGAAGACGTGGCAGAGCTGCTGGTAGGTTTGCTGGATCACACTGCCATGGAAACCCCTCCGTCCGCAGGTGAGGGTGCAGCGAGCGGAGAGGTACTAATCGCGGCACTCGAGCGTCGCAGCGTGCTATCAGCGCACGAGGAAATTCTTGAGCACAGCAAGGGCATTGTTCGACGCTTAGCAATGCTTCAAGATGAGGAAACGAAAGACGAAGAGGAGAAGGAGGAGCAGAAGGAAGATGCTCCAAATGTTGACCAAGCCCAGCCAAACCCCTTAATGCAAGTGCTCGAGGAGAAGTGCCGTGCCCACCCAGACTTGATTGACCAGCTTTTCTCGTCGAAGGATGATACTGGATCTACTGGTGGACGCACTCCTCCGATCGAAGAAGTTGATGGAGAAAATGCTGACGAGCAGAACGACAGCGATGCGTCGAGCTGAACACGAAGGTAGTGGATAAATGTTTGTTCATAGAAGTATGCAGATGTTAGGTAGTGGTGTTGAGCTGACTGTCGTTGAGCTAGCTGGGCCTAACCGTTGTTGGGTGGCCGCTTTCTGACGTAGGCCCGTGCGCATCCAGTAGACTCACAGCCTCGTCGGCCTTCGAGTAAATGGTCATGATCTTCTCTGAGAAGCACTGCGTGAACGTCTGGGTCAGCTTATTGATGATCACGTCCTTCAGGTTGCTATCGTTCTGCTCCACCGCGATATCGCATAGTCGTTCGGTGATGTCCACAAGCTGCCGGATCTGTTCAAGAAACACACAATGCGAGTCAGTCAAATAGCAGACACAACAACGTAGCAAGGGCGTCTACGAACCTGTTCGGTGACACGTGATACGTTTTCTTCCAGTCGCTTTGACCCGGGACTTTGTGGGCCATTGCCGGTTCGAAGAGCTTCCGCTTTGCGCACAATTTCGGCCGTGTCGTCTTCGGCGCGCTGTTTCTGGGCAACACCCGCACGCTTCTCCAAAACCTCGAGAGCTTCCTTCACATGGCCTTGGACTAAAGCAATCTGCTGGATGTTTTCCGTGCAATTGGCGTTGACATGCGTCGTGATGTGGTCGAGGCTCTTGTGCACGTTTTCAAGCTCTGCAGCGAGCTTCTGCGTCTCAGCCTTTGCAGCCAGTCGCTTCTTGTTAGAGTCTTCGATCTCGCGCTTGGCTGCAGCGAGGTCCTTCGCTCGCTGCTGAGCCTTCTCGGATTCTTGAACAGTGGCGAGAGCGTGCTTCAAAGATGCGATCTCATCGGTGAGACTCTGGATCGTTGACGCACTTTGCGCTGCCTTCTCGTTGCTCTGCTCTCGAAGCTCTTTCACCTGCTGCTCATTGTCGACATTGCGCTGGTTGACCTCCATGCGCAGTCTGTCTACCTCCTTCTGCAGCTCACTCTTCGCCTCCAATAAATTAGTCTTCTCGCTCACCAGCGACTGCACCAGGGCCTTGGCCTTCTGGCGCTTGTCGGTGTTCTCCTTGTTGATGACCTCGATCGACGCCTGCAGCTCCTGATTCTTCTTCTCGAGCTGCGCGGAGCGAGTTTGCAACTCCTTCAACGACTCCTCCGCCTTTTGAAACTCGGCATGGACCGACTCGGAGCGCTGACGGTGCTCCGTGGTGTCCGACTTGAGAGTCGTGTGCTGTGCCTGGAGCTCGGCCATCTCCATGCTCCACTTCTTCATCTCGGCCTTCAGCGTCGTCACTTCGACCTCCTTTTCCGAAATCTTCTCGTTGAGTGTAAGGTTCTGCTTCATCATGTCGTCGAGGCGCTCCTGCGCGGCCGTATACTGCTGCTTGATAGTCTGCATTTCACCCAGCTGCGACTGAGTCTCCGCGATCAAGCTGTCGCTACGGCTTCTGCCCAGATTGACCTTCTCGTACAACTGAGTGATCTCCGCAAGCTTGTCCTCGAGCTCCGTGCATTTGCCGCACGAATATGACGCTAACTCGTCCGTCTTAGCCTGAAGTTGGGTTTGGAGCGAGGCGATCTCCGCTTGGCTCTGGAGCACCTTCGTTTCGCTTTCGTCCGCTCTCAGTCGGTAGTTGTCCAGCTGCTCGAGGTGGTAATCTTTGTCCGATAGCTGCTTCTGAAGGTGCTGGTTCTCGATCTTGTGCTGTTCAAGCTGGAACTCGAGCTCCTTCATCTTAGCCACGTCGGCCTCATTCTCTTCAGCCTTCATTTGAGACTGCTGAGAGCTGAGCTCGGCGGTCAGCGAGGTCTCACGAGCTTTCAGGGCGTCAACCTCTGCTTGCAACGCATTGCGGTGTTGCTCCGTAGACGAACGAAGCGCATCAAGTTCCTGACGGAGACTCGTTGCTTGCTGTGATGACTGCAATGCCTCAGCTTCCACACTGCGCAGACGCTCGCGCATGTCTGCCATCTCGAAGTTTGCCGTGTTCAGCTGAGCCTGCAATGCGTTGAACTCTTCGTCGGTGTGGGAACCAGCGGGTGCTGGCTGCGATAGGAAATCCGCCTCCTTCGCTTCATCAGCAGCAGTCTTCGCAGCTTCCGCCGCTGCGAGAGCCTCCGTTTTCTGCTGTAGCTGCGTCTCGAGGTTGCGGCACTTCTTCTTCTCTGCTTCCAGCTGCGAGTTCATCGCGTCTGCGAACGACTTGGCTCGTGTCTTGAGCTCGTTCTCGCGCGTGGCGGTCTCCTTCTTCAGCTTCTCGATCTCCTCTGCAAGACGCTGCTTCTCCTCGCTGTTGTCCGCTGCAGCCGCTGCCGGCGCCGCCGCAGTCGTCGCCTCCTTGAGCTTTTCCTCGAGCGCCGTCACCTTCTTCGTCTCGTTCGCCAGCTGAGTGCGCATGTTGTCCACGAACGCCTTGGTCTTGGCCTTGAGAGTATTGAGCGCCTCGTCCTTGGCCTGCACCTCGCCCTTCAGCCGAGTCACCTCGGCCGCCGGATCCATCGGCGTCACGGCGATGGCCGCGAACGGGTCCATCGCTGCTCACTCGGCTCAACTGGGCGCAACGCGCTTCTTCCTCCGTCCGCTCAGCTCGTGTGTGATGCAGAACTGCCGCCCACAAAGAAGCTTCGACCACCTCGACGGAAATACACCAAGAGATATGACGCGTAGTCTGATCCGAAGGCTGCCCCATTTAGCTCGCAGCCATGGTAATACTTCATCGTCGTAGACGGGCCTGGCATCCTCAAACCTATGCGTCCCATTTTAGCGAACAAGCGGCATGGCACCAGCACCTCGTCCTCGCCGTTGCGAGCCGTTCACGGGCAGCTAACTTGGCTGAGCTAAGATACCCGGCAACTTCAACTCTACCTCGTCATTAATATGAAAATGTGAAAAAGTTCATTTCAGTGACACGTTTTCGTACAGCAACGCTAAACTAAAAGAAACATTAAACCTGTAGCTATTATCCAAGGTGATAGGATAATTAAGTCTTATTTTAATAGCAAAATGTGAGACAATGATATCTAGTTTGTCAGGTTATGTATTAATGCATTTCTTATTGGAATTTTTATTGAAAGAATGCTGCTCCGAGCCGACGCACTACAGTAAGCGGCAATGGATGGAACAAGCGGCGGCGGCCTGGTGAGCGACGTGCACCCGAACGGCGGAGACATCGACTCGCTGCTGTCGAGCGACGCGGACAAGAAGCCGCGGCGGCTGCACGAGCCGTACGAGCGGCACCGCGCGCACGACCTGCGCGCCGAGTGCTACCGGCGCGGGCTGCGGCCCATCAAGAAGGGCCCCCACGCCAACGACAACAAGGGCGGGTACATCGAGCTCCTGCGCCGCAACGACGGGAGTACCGGACCCGCTCTGAATTCCACCAACCCTGTGAATATTAATAATGGAGCACTACCGTCTCTACTCCGAGAAAGTCAAAGTGACCAAGTCGGGGACAAGCGGCGAGGAGTTGGAGGTGGAGTGAATGACGACGAGACCGAAGACGACGAGAGCGTCGGCAACGCCACGGAAAACGACGTGCAAATCATGGTCAACAACAAGAGGAAACTGCCGACCATGACGATGCAGACTCAGACTCAGACGGACTCGAATGGATCAGGTGAACTTCAAGGGTTCTACGAAGGGGGTCAACCCACGCTGGTGCCGGTACTGCCCATGCAGTACCCTAGCAACCCCAATTTAAACAAGGCGTCGGCCAATCCGACCACGGACCTGGAGATTCTGAGCGGCATCGCCAACTCGTACACGCAGAACGCGGCGGCTGATGGACAATTGTGCGGCAATTGCCGGACGGTGGTCACGGATCAGCTGATGGAGTCCATTCGGCTGGGCAAGACCAAGATGCAGCTGCAGGAGTGGCACAAGCTGACGGAGCAGCGGGATCGAGATACCAACCACTTGAAGGACGTGCTGGACATCTTGCAGGGCCTGAGGAGGTCCTACAGAGAGGCGCAGCAGAGCGGCATGGGCCACGACCTGCTCGTCGAGCTGCAGGATGACATGGCGTTCTTTAGAACACTGAAGGAGCAGACGAAGGAGAGGATGCGGCAGGCCATGCGGGACGCTCGAGAACGATCAACCAACAAGCCCAACGCGTCGGCTTAAATCTTTTTATTTCTTCAACAGGCAGAAAACTTATGAGTGCACCTCGATTGGATTGGATGGATTGGGCTGACGTCGTTGAATTGGTGGAAGAGTGCTGGCTGGGTGGCTGGCTGGTACTGTATGTATTGCTGGTTTTGGTGGCACGCGTGGTGGAAATCCTGCGGGGGTATGCAAGCGGGAAGTATCAAAGACTCTGTAGTTCGCGGGGAGATGGATCTGATAACCGATCGAATGCGCGCACGTGTGAGTTCTGCCGCGTTATCCGCCGACGTCTCTGCACGTCGGACGTGTTTGGGAGACTAAATGCCTGCTGAACTTGAACATGCCAAGCCCGGTGTCTATTCCAGAGAGCTCGATGGCATGGCATCCTGCTGTCTTGGGACCGGTCATTCTCGAATCTGCCGCCAAGCCGCCTCTGTGGATTTCTAGCGCTGGCAGCATCAACCGCAGTTTTGGAGCCATGGCCGCGCATGTTGAAGCGACCACGCCGTCGTACAACCCAGCTGTGTCGCCAACTCATCGTGAATCGACTGCTTTGGGGCTGCCCGAACACCCTCCAAGACTATCGACGTTCTCGCATCTCGACCTCAATGACTCCGGCGAAAGCAAGCACACAACTGGATGCTCAGTCGCGATGCTCGTGCTGCTTGCGCTTCCTCGAATGGCTACCAACATGGCGTGGTCGGCGCAATGGGCCGCGCTCGGGCCATACCTCGGCACACTGCTACCCCGGTTTGCAGTGCAGCTCACGCAGTTGATCGGTCCGCTCTCGGGTATCCTCGTGGCACCGACAATCGGCGTTCTGAGTGATCGCAGCACGTGCAAGTGGGGCCGCCGCCGCCCGTTCTTGATTTACGGTGCTGTAACGAGTGCGGCATGCTGGACGTTGATGGGATTCACGCGTGAGCTGGGGGAGCTTCTCGGTGACTCGGGAGACCACCGTCCATGGACCGCGTGGCTCACGATCCTGTTCTACACGTGGATGGATATCACTGTGAACGTGGTGCAGACGCCAGCGTTCCTCATCATCGCCGACTTCGCGGGCGACCGACAGACGCTTGGAGCAAGCATCGGACAGGCCAGCTCAACACTAGGCTCGATTTGGGTGGCTGGTTACATCTACATCTTCGGTGCGGCTCACCTGACGCTGCGCTGGTTCCTCGGCATGCTCTCAGTGACGATGTTGGCTTCGGTGGGGGCAGTCTGCGTGTTTGCCAAGGAGCAGGTCTCAGCGTCGAAGGACATGGAGCTTGGGCCGGATGAGGCAGCGACTAGCACCTTGAAGCGCGTGGGCGAAGCGTTCTCCTGCATCTACAACGGCCTCAAGACGCTGCCTCGGTCACTGGCGGTGTATTGCCTCGTGCTATTCTGCATCCAGTTCGGCTTTACAGCCTACAACGGCAACAAGGGGCAGTTCTTCGGCATCGAAGTCTTTGGAGGCAACTCGACCGACGCGGATGTCTGCGAGCAGACTCACTGTACCGAAGACCAAGAACACTACAACGATGGCGTCCAGATTGCCGGTGGACTTGCGGACTTGCTGTTCAATGTGCTCGGCTACCTGTATTCGTGGGTGCTTCCGGTCCTGGTTCATCGTCTCGGCGCGCGTTGGGTCGTCACGGTCGCGTGCATCCCTCAAGCTCTGCTGATGGTCATGGCGTTCACGAAGGTTGTGGCTCTGGACGTGCTGATCGTCGTCCTGACAGCCATCACCCAGGCTACGATCTTCGCGCTCATCGTGCCAATCATCATCCACGTCTTCGGGACTTCAGCTCACGTTGGCATGTACGTTGGCGCTGTAAACTCAGCCAATTGTTTCGGTCAGCTGCTGAATTTCGCGGTGGGAGCTGCGTTGGTGGAGTCTTCGCTGGGCTACGCGCTTCCAGTATTCGTGGGAGGTGCGCTGTCATTCCTGGGAGCGATTGTCAGTCTAGTGGCGCTCCGGATCAACATGCACTCGATGTAATACGTGGTTCAAGGATCAAGGTTTGATACCTAGCAAATTGCCATGTTAACGGATCAATCAACTCGTTTCGTCTTTATCACTTCAAATACTGTTCGTCTCAAAAGTTTCGACGGCCTGTGTACCCCAACGTCGTTCCATGGCTAACAAACAACACAATAGTTATCAGGTTTAGTTAGATCAATTGGCTTGCGTCTGCGTCTTCCGTTAACTCACTAGTTCTCTGCGAGCAGCGTCTTGGACGTGGGGTTTGCGTAGCTCTCCGCTAAATGTCGCTCTGGTGTACTGTAGAAATCGTTGCAAGGCGTTCAGCTTCCGTTTGTATACGATGAAATGGACAACTCGAACACTTACGGAAGTATTCCGCCCAGATCCTCCGCTGCAACGAGTTTTCCGATGCCCGCGAGTAGGGATCGACGCGAATCAATTCGACGACCAGAAAGCGAACCGCTGCTACCACTTGCGCCTAATGGTGGGGACACGCCTCGACCAGTCTCCCAAGGAGTTGAAGGAGACTGGGTCCGTGCTGAATTCTGTCGTCCTCCTCGACCTTGTTCATACTAACCAGAGGGGTTAGAAGATATACTATACGCTCAGTGTAATCCCCTCAACGACGTTTTACCATTGGAGTCACATGGCGTTTAGGCTGCGAATTCTGCCGCGTGCCCAGCACGTAGTTGTCTTTAGGCGTCGACTCCATCGACGTTTGCGCCGCGTACGATCTAGGTTGGCATTGAAAAACAAATGTGAATATACAGCCTCATCCTCCTAAGCATTTGCAGCGTTCACCTACGTTTTCCAGTCACTGCAACTGACATTGTTCCCTGGACCGACCTACAGAAGCACAGCGATCAGCACACGTTGAACCACGGGGGACAGCGATTTAATCTACCTGATAGACAGCACTCTGGAAGGGAATACCAGGGACTTGATCACCTGATGAGTTTTGCTGAGGCTCAAACAGTTTCTTTCCTGCTGTGGTGGAGCTGCCGGCCGCGTCACGCGGCATGATGCCACCTTTCTCGTCGTAGGTTAAATTCTACAGTAGACAGACGTTTAGTATCCATTGGTGACCATGTAGCCCCCAATACTCAATAGATCTTACGTCTTTGACGGAGGATTGGTTCGTGTAGAAGCGCTTCTTGGCTGAACGGCGCACGTAGCCTCCCCAGTCTGCGTCTGGGTGGTCCGGGTCGTACTTGTCCACCACGTGCGGGATCACAGGTGACGGTGTCTGGTTATTCGACCTCTCTGTAGGTCCTGCATCGAAGCGCGCCATTTCAGCTTGGGCCTGAAGGAAGCTCTTCTCCATGATCTCTTCCGGCTCGGAGTGCGGCCACCTCGTTGATCCGAATGTTAAATTCAACGGCTTCGAGAAGCTTGGGCCGTTTCTTCCGTGACTCGTCGGCGACTAATTTCCTCGAGCTGTTCCGAAATGAGGTTCATGTGCTGCTGGACGTCGCTTGAAAAGAGTTGGAAAGACGTTCGCATCGACTTCATGACGCCACTCAAAGTCTCGACACGCTGCACGACGGAAGCAACGCGTTCGTTATAGTCGTCTCGACTGAGCTTGGACATTCGTGAAGTGCTTGGTGCCCTATCGACCTGACCAGGAGTATCTCCATTCTGGCCAGCATTCCGTAGTGCAGAGGACCTCGCTTTCCACTCCATTGGCGGAAGCTTGTACTTGTCCTGAATTGTCATCGGGCCAGCGTCGCGCTTCTCCTCTTGGCTGTTATCAAGGCTGGATACTTTCTTCTCCTCTTCCTCTTCCTCCTCTTTTTCTTGGGTTTCGTGGCGCTCCCTCTCTTCACTATTGTAGTCACAACCACTTCTCTCACTTAGGTTGGTTTCCGAGTCATCCTCCGCTGCAACTGGGGCTTTCGTCAACAAACCGACGGCTTGGAGACGGTCTTCAGCTACAATCAACAAGACTGGGGGCCGAGTAATTTGACCTGGAACTATATCCGACAGTGCTTTGGCGACAAACTTCGACACCTCAGCATGACTAGGCAGTATAGTGATACTCTTGATCCTATTGAGTCGAAGCTACAGTGAGTTATACACACCGAATCGGTCAATCTTCCTCTATCGTATCAAATACAATATAACAAACCTACCGTGAACGCCGGAAACTCAAGCGATTCTTTCAGTGACGGCCAAACCATGCGATATCGCCTGAGCGAATCTTCTCCACCATCCTCGATCTTTATTCGCCATGTTCTCCAACGCATTTCCGAGACCGTGCTAAACTCGAACCAGGTGTCACCCGTTGTAGTGGATGAAGATTTAACTGACATTGAAATACTTCGTACTACATCGTGTGTGCCTGAAGCCAACCCTGGGTACATCTGATGCGGCAATGCAAACGACGAGAATCGTTCACGGTTAGGACTATATCGAGATCTAAACAATGTACACACCATTACAAACCTGAATCATCTTCAGCTCGACACTTGAACTTGCGTCGGTAATTTCTTGGATGAGCTTGAACACCTGCGCAAATTGGTACCACAAGAATAAGTTAATTTCTTCAGAATACGCGCCGCAATTACGACAGACACCTAACTTACACTTAGAGACCCATCTTGCTTGCCGGCAAGGACTAACTGCTTCTGCTGATCGCGTGGGCCACAAATCCACCAGCGAAGACTTGTGTAGGCGCAGCTCAAGTCAGAGGTTGATGTTGCATGAACAAGCCGCACATGTTCAAGCAAGTTGTCGCGCGTTACCACTCCAGAGCGGGAATTCACCCCAAGGTCGAGTCGCTTGCCTCGTAATGGCTGCGCTTCCGACGATACTCCATATCCGTCCCACGGACAATCCCGAAAGTCAAGCAGCGACAGCCTCCCTCCAGCGTCTCCAACAAGAAGGTATCGACCATCACAGCTGCGCTCTGCCACCACCAACTTTTCCGGTCGCTGCTTCAGCTGCGCCAAGCAAACCTGCCTGTCGCTAAACCGCTCTCCCCAGGCAAACACGCCAATGAAATTTGACTCTTCAAAGAGAACATCCACAGCTCCCGCATCCGGCGTCATCTCACGTCGACAAGGCTGCAGACACCGAATACGCCTCCCCAAATTCCCCACAATCGGTTCCATGAAGCTGAAATGAACCTGCAGAGATGCCGACGCTTGCCGAGGCGTAGATCCATCCACAACACCAACGAATCTAGACACCGAACCAGGATACAACCGGAAACCAAGTAGAAAAGTGGCCCCTGACGACTTCACCGCGTCACCTTCTTCAGTTTCTGGAACTTCCACGAAAGCCCCGACAAGCAGAAATCCAGAAACAGGAAACGCTACGCACGTAGCCTCCACCACACTGCAGTCTAGTTCATCACTGCTGAATTGCCGGCCAAATGACGATCTTTGGGAGCGAGTTGCGTGGTCTGCAAGTGAAATTTGGTGCAGGAACGTGAGCGGATGTAAACTGTTGTTGCTGTCGCCATACAAATCGACGAAGCGACCGTTGACTATGGCAATCGCGCGGGTCGTGTCGCACACAGCAATGCAATGGTTGTCACGGCCTTGGTTCGGAGACCCCGCGCGTGTGGGAGCGTGTACAGACACGTCAACGTCGAGTATCTGCAGCCGATCTTCTGTCATCGCGCGTAACACAAAGGTAAACAAAAAGTGTAAAGTTTACCTGCTGCTTTCAACGAATCAGATCGTAGCAAGTTTTGACGAATCAGCGATCCGTAAATACTTGACCAATCAGACAAGGATATGAAGCATACAAATTTCAAGTCAAGCGAAGCGCGCTCCCGTCCACTGGAAATGCCGCCGGCTCGATAGCGCTCTCAGTATCGAATTTCCTTCACCAGGGCATCGGCCGTTTCTCGATGTGTATAGTTTTTGCGAGTTTTACCCGCTGGCGATGGAGTGAAGATAACTTATTCCGTACTTCGTGAAAGGAGCGAGGACCGTTTTGGTCTCTCCTCCTTCTGTGAGCATTACATTTTGTCATAGTTACACTGACCATCCGCCTACCAGCAAGTACATCTTTGCATATTAGCGTAGCAGCTGACGACCCAGCGTGGTGCGGTGCTTGAGTTGCCGAGGATCTCGCCCGTCCGACTTGACCCCCGGAGCTCACTCTATCTCGCTGCCGTCCATTTGAGAGTTGCATTTGATCAAACAGCTCTACCGTATGCCTGCGATGTGTACAGAGGTAGAAATGATGAAGCGAAGTACCTTTGGTTTTCTTTCCCCAAAGGCAGCACCAACTATCTCATGGGGGGATAGTTCTGTTGAGGATCCGTCACCTGATCTACCCTAAACAACGGAATGCATGAGTTATTCGTACATGTATAATACCTTACATCTGCAGCCCCGTGACGCTTCGGCTCGAAAGCGGCTGCCGCGAGGAAAACGTGCCCGATCGAATCAAAGACGCCTTCTTGACGAGCTGGCCTTGATGGATTCTCGGCAGCAAGCTGAAGATGTTCCAGCCTTCAAGCACACACGTGACTCCGCTCGTGCCGGCTTCAGCCCGCACGACGTGAACTCCCTGCAAGTGGCGAGCGCAGAAGTCGTAGAACTCCAGCAACTGATCCTCCATGGTTTTCTCCTCTGGAGCTTCTGCGGTAGGCTGACTCGGTTCATTCTGGGTGAAGTTCTGCCGTGCTGTGAGCTTCGGCGTCTCGCTCGATCTCGCGGTCGGTGGAGCTTTCGTCGCTGCTGCTGACAAAGGCGCCAGAGTAAATTCTGTCGACGACCCTGTCGTCCGCACTGCTGCGTGGTGTCCTAGCGTGGGTCGAGTCGTTCCACCTTTGGCGTAGTTGGTCTCTGCAAATTCGGCTCGCAGCGATTCCCCCGCTGCTTTCCACTCCGCTGCAAGACCCCCAGGAGTCTCCAACACACGCTTGAGCAGCTCGTACCACTGAGGCGAAAGAGCGCCATAAAGCCATTGATTCTCCCGAAATGCCGTCCCCAAGTTGGCAAATGCCCACGTCGAACTCAGCTGCTGCGAGTGCTTGAGTGCAAACGCTAGTAGACGAAGAGTTCGGATCCATGAAAGTTGACGAGTCTCGGCCTTGTTGCATGCAGTTGCAGGCTCTGCACCGTGTTGATTGTCTGGCTGACCAGACCGAGTTGACTTTGGCTGACGCTGTTGGTTCGGCACCACCGACTTCTTCTTCTTCTGCTCACACTCGGCTTTGATTTGAGCGATATACTCGGCGTCTTCTCGTTCGTGCGCCAGCTCCGCATCGAGTTGGTGAGCGACCTGATCGAAGATTTGAGCCCATGCTTGCCGATTCAACCGCATGTCCATTTGAGTCCGACAGGCCCATTGAGCTCCCAGGTTGAGATTCTTCGTGACGAGGAGGTCCTCCAAAGAGTGACTGCACAGCCAGCGAAGAGAAAAACGCTGGATGAGGTGGTCGAACTGCATGGACGACGGCAAGCCGAGCGTCTGCATGACTTGGTACAGGTCCATCTGGCCCGTAAAGAGGATCACGAGACGAGCCACCGTCGCTGAGGTCCCAGCAGCGCCGCTGCTTGTTGGTCCTAAGCGCAGTTGGATTTTTGACGGCAAAGTGACAAACCAGCGGTGGAAATATGGCAGTGTCTCGATGTGGTCGCGGAGAAATTCGCCGATAAACCACGTCAACCGTTCTACCAACAGTTGCCCATCGCTTTCTATCAACAACATACCAGACATGTTAAGCTCTTGATCAAGTTTCACTCGACGATTTCAAGCAGACGGACCTTTGGTGCCATTTCGGCAGGTGAAGTCGATGTACAGGAAACACTCGGCACCTCGCTCCAGGTATTTCAGCTCGTGAAGTGCGGCGGCAGCTGTACAGAATGGAAAGGTTAGCATTGAGGACTTTAAACTGACACTGAGCAAAAGTTCTCACAGTCGGCGTCCGAGTTGTATGTAAGATGTACGGTGGCGGTAGTGGAAAACTTGGGCCCCACGTCCAGTTTGAGTAGGTAATCTCCGCGATCTCCTCCGGGAGTAGGAGACTGTAAGCAATTTGCAGATAATAATCCTGTGGTCGCAGCTTGGCGGATGCACGTGAAGATCCAATGAACTCGTTGCTTGACGCGTCTCAATGCACAGAACGACTGCAGTCGACAGTACAAAAAGAAATTCCGCCAGCGCTATTGCGAATGCAACAAAACAAGTAAGTATTTAATCAGGAACGACCCACAAGGCTGAGCAAGTACAGCCACGCACTGTCTTCACAGCGGGGCACCATGACGACAACACAAGGCTCAGTAGTCCAACCTTACAGATCTTCGACTCCTCCTCATTATGACCGCGATCATCTCTCGACAGTCCTTCGTTCGTAAATCGCAGTGTCGACTTCTGTCGATACCCAAACAGCCGCAGCGTACGCTTCAACTGATGTACAAACCGAAGACAGCGTTCCAGTTGGTACCTCCTCTCAACGATCTCCGTCGTCTCTTCACTCGTCAACGCAAACCCAATCTCCGCCAGCAAGTACTGTGCAGCCTTGGCCGTCACGTTGCCCGACGGATCGTCAATGTACTCATGAAATAGCTCCTTGATCCTCTCGACCCTCTCCAGCTCTTCCCACTCCAACGAAATACCCAGCAGCCTCAAATCTCGAGCCAGAGGCCGTTCGTCTTCAATAAGCTCGCGGAACATGACGAACCCGTCGAACGTGAGGCTCCCGTCCTCATCCAGCTCGCACATGTCACTCATATACATCCTCCAGACCTCTTCACTATCCTCAAACGCCCTAAGCTCAGTCGATTCCGTCGAACACTTCAACGCCGCCATGTACTCGAGGAACTCTCGATGCGTCCACACTTCGTCCTCATCCGCATCGAACAAGCTCCAAATGCGACGACACTTGGCCTCGCCCAATGGCGACACTCTCCACTGATACCGAACTGCATCCGGAGCGTCAAAGTCGAAGTGGAGCGCAGCAGAGCGAGCCAATTCCGCGTCGGATACGTGCACTGCCTGTCGACGGAACAGCGAAGTCGAAGGGACGTTGTCCCAATGCGCAGAGGGCGACTCCAGCAGATACGCGCTAGTGTATCCGTCCGTCACGGCTCCAGCCTCTCTCAGCGAGTTCTCCACGGCCCTCAGACTCGTCCGGATCTCCTGGCGCCGCTCCAGAATGGCCGCCTCATTCGCCGCCACCTCCTCCTCCATCTTTGCTTTGTGTCACAAAAGTAGCCATGTCTTCTGTAGTTGAAGTGCTCCGATCTTTTAGATACGCGGGTTTGTGATTGGTGGTTTTCAACCGGATACGCTTTTGGCCAATCAGCGAGCCCAACGAGTTTTTTGGCCTTCGAAGTTCGAACCGCGGGGGAGAATTTGATTCACATTGACTGTAGTGGCGCAAGATGGACGAGACCAGCAAGGCGACGCTGTTCAACGCGCTGGCGTGGGTGGACGCGCTCAAGACGCGCGAGGGCGTGGACGCCCAAGAAGTGGACGCCGCGCTGTCCCGCCTCACGTAAGTTGCACGCTCTAACTCGCCCTACAAGCCGCGCAACTGGTCGATATTGATCTCTCGAACTCACGTATTATACTATGTTTTATTATATTCTTTATTTTATTTATCTTAGCGAGGCCTTCGGCGTGGACGTGCGCGACGCCGAGCAGAAGCGCCAGCTGGCGGTGAACGGCGAGGCCTCGTTCGACGAGATCTTCGCGGCGGGGCTCAAGGCGCTCAACCTGGAGACGGGCACGCCCGGCGAGGCCCACGAGGCGGCGGTGGACGAGGACCCCGTCGTCCAGAAGCGTGCGTTGGCTGCAGTATAGTACACTGTATATATTATAGACTGTGAGGGGCTGACTGGTGCTGTTTTAACCTGTTGCTGCAGACCCGGAGCTGTGGAAGAAGTGGGTGGCCAAGCTGGAGGCCAAGAGCTTCTTCAAGGGCGCGGCCCCCGGCTCCAGTGAGCACGCGGTGCGCACGACTAAGGCGCTGGCCAAGTTCAAGGAGAAATTCGGCGACGTCAAGCCGGAGCTGTCCAAGGAGGAGAAGGAGGCCAAGGCCGAGGAGGTGAAGGCGCAGGGCAACGCCGCACTGAGCCGCCAGGACTACGAGGGAGCCGCCAAGCTCTACCGCGAGGCGCTGCAGCTCTCGTCCAACGGCCCATCGTCCCACATCTACCACTCGAACCTGGCGGCCGCGCTCACTTACCTGGGCAAGTACTCGGAGGTGATCGACCACTGCGAGAAGTCGATCGCGCTCAAGCCGTCGTACGTCAAGGCGTACTCGCGTATGGGCAGCGCCCAGGTGCAGCTCAAGGACTTCGACGGCGCTATCGACACGTTCCGTCGCGGACTGGAGGTGGACAGCAGCAACGCTGCCTGCCGCGACGGCCTCGCTGAGGCGGAGCGCAAGCGTCGTCAGGTTCAGGCGACGCCCGCGGCTTCGGCCTCGACGCCTGCTGCTGGTGCTGGCGGCATGCCGGACCTGTCTAACCTGGCCAGCATGCTTGGTGGCGGCGGTGGCGGCGGCCTGGCCGACCTCATGAACAACCCGCAGATGATGCAGATGGCCCAGAGCATGATGCAGAACCCGCAGATGATGCAGATGGCGCAGAATATGATGCAGGACCCCAGCATGCTCAGCAACCTCATGGGTGGCCTCGGCGGCGGCGCCGGTGCTGCTGCTCCTGGAGCTGGCGCTGGAGCTGGCGGCATTCCCGACATGAGCGGCCTCATGAACAGCCCCGAGCTCGTGGCGGCGCGGTCGGACCCGGACCTGCAGGACTTCTTCCGCGACGTGGACAGCGAGGGCCCGTCCGCCGCCATGCGCCACATGTCGAACCCCAAGGTCTCGCAGCTCATGCAGAGCGTCATGTCCCGGATGCAAGGTTAGACAGCAGCAGCAATAGGCGCAGTCTGCGACTAAATGCCAAGGCAGTGAGGCTCTAACAACTGTTTATTTTGTGCGGGGTCGAGTCCTAGGCCTCAAGCAGACTATGCATAGCGAGTGGGTTGGTCCGAACGGTAGGCTTAGTGCTTGACGAAGGTCTCGGCGTCCTCGAGGAAGGCCGTGTACTCGCGCTGCTCCTTGAGGTCGGCGAACTGCGTGATGAACTGGGCCAGCTCGTCGTCGATCTTGCGGTCCGCCAGGTAGCGGTAGAAGTGGTCCTGCACGTCGAGCTCCAGGTCGATGAAGTTGGGGCCGAAGTACAGCGTCTCGTCCTCGGCCTCCTTGGCGAAGTCGGCCAGGTAGCGCACGCGCTCCACCGTCACGTTGCTGCTGGCCACGCAGTCAAATTGCAGGCCCTGGTTGTCGCGCGTGATGTCGGCCGTGAAGCGGACGCCGGGGAGCTCGTCCTCCTCCTCCTCGTCCTCCTCCTCGTCCACCTCCTGCTGCTCCTCCTCCTCGTCGTAGTCGTCACCGTACTCCTCGTCGTCCTCGAGCTCCACGGTGTCCTGGGCGTTGAACTTGATCTTGATCGAGTCGTCGCCCATGGTGCCGTTCAGCACGATGTCCATGCAGCCGGGCGTCTCCTGCAGCTTGAAGACCGACTCCACCTTGAGCCGCAGCTCCTCCATCTCGGGCTCCTCGAAGCAGTTGGCCTTCTCCTCGTCGAGCTCGCGCTGAAGTGGAGTTAGGATCACAAAGGTACGTTTTAGAGGGTTGGAGAGCTACTTTTTAGAGCATCCTGAGCGCAGTTTTGAGCGTTTTGAGCCCGCACCTTGAGCACCGACGCCAGCGACGACTTCTCGCGGGTCTGCAGCGCACGCAGCGCCACGGACGGCGCGCGGCGGGTGGCGGAGAGGGTGGCGGCGCGAGCGACTCGGGCGAACATGATGCGCTTCCTGGAAGATTTGAATGTGCGGCGGAGCCGGCTTGGCCACATACACAATGGATCGTGATTGGCTGGTATTTGGGTGGGGTTTTAGCCAATGAAGAAGGATAATGACACGCTGCGATTTGAAGAGAGGAGCATTTTCTAGAAGGCGGAAGGAAGGCGGCGTAAATGCTGGTGTGTGTGTGTGTGTGTGTGTGTGTGTGTGTGTGTGTGTGGATGGATGTGTATGGGTCTGTGCTTTACTATTAGCTGTGGATGGCGAGGATGAGAACGTGTTGCTAGTCTCGAGTTCAAGTGAGGAAACCCCATTAATATGCTACGTTTTACGGTCCTATTTCAGCGAGTGGACGCTAAAGCTCCACGGTCTCACTCGTTTTTAGGGTCTCCTGGGGAATAGTACACAAACGTCTCCCATGTTAAAGGCTGAAGAGGCTACTGCGAGAGCCCCACGCGTACGCTCTAGTTCGTGGGAGGTACATTAAGTTTCCCACTAAAAGTGGGGAAACTTGGAGTGATCGGAACTGTGAGAGACTGAAGATAAAAGGCGAAGCTGAGCCATCCCTTTGTGTGGCTTTATTTTCATACTTTAGTGTTGTGCTTGTTGTTGGGCTTCGTAAAGGAAGATGCTGTCGAATTCTTGAAGCGAGACGTCATCGACGTTGCTGAACAGTTCGCTCTTGTCGAGAGACTTGGCTGTCAACCCCCAGCGAGATAAAAGTGGAGCGATGGAGCGGTTGATGCTGCGGAGTTGGTAGGAGAACACGAACTTGCAAGAGGTCGACGCACTGTACCGGAAGATGAGAGCAACCGTAGCAATCACCTTCTCGAAATCTACAATCAATAAATAAATGTGTACCATGTCAATAGAAGAAGAATCTCTGAGGTTCTTGTCGAGGTACACTTACCCTCAGATTGGTAGAAGCAGTCGGCGGCGAGGACGACATCAACCGTTTTAAAGATGGCAGCCACTTCGTCCGAGATGTGCATGTCGCCCCAGGTCAACGGGATGAACTCTGCTCGTCCTTCCAGCTTGTTCAACTTGATGTTAGCCTCTGCGTTGAGCTGGATGTCGGCAGCATCAGCTCGGTCCGTTAGGTAGACCTTCGTCGCTCCACAGAGTGCAGCCAGGATGGACGGAAGTCCAGTACCGCAGCCCAATTCCAGCACCACTTTGTCCCGACAGAGTCGATCTGCCTCGCGGGCGACAAAGCGAGACAGTAGCAGAGCCGACGGCCACACGAACAGTCCGTAGTGCTTGTCATTGTCTTCGTTGGCCTCGTCCAGGTCGCGAATGTGCTCAACAAGACGCACTTCGACGACCGACGGCTCCTCAACACGCGCCCGCTTTAGCGTCGGCTCTTCAGTCGCCTCTATCGCTGCATCTCGACCGCCACGGTCGCACTCGAAGCACAACGTTCGTCCAGGGGTGGTCATCTGTGCAGCACGTACCAATGAGGAATACGGGACGCGAATTGATCCGCAGCCCGTAACTAGATCCACTTCAACTTGGGAAGAGTGTATCCTTAACCTTGAAGCGGATTCAGATTCACCGATCGAGTGCGACGGTTGGAACTGTCGCTGACGGCTTTCGATCAGCAGGAGCAGTCGCCGATCACCATTCTCCAAGAAATCCACTTCAAGAAGAGCGTGGCAAATGGCCGCCAAGACGAACTCGAGCAGCTTCGAGACGGAATCCGTGCAGGAAAACGAGCTGGACGCGACGGACCAAGCGCTGGGGGCGACGGTGATGCTGCCGGGCGAGAAGGATTTGCTGTCGAACCAGGTGATCACGGACTACTTCTCCAGCGACGGTCCGCGCGCAAGGAGACTCGACTCGAGCGACTACTTGGAACCAGAGACACGGAGTATTCTGGACGAAAGCAGTGGGGATGAAGAACTTCGAGCGTCTGGAGAACAGACAGCAGCACCGTCATCTGAAGTACGAGAAGAGCAGATACATTCGCCGGAGGATTTTGATATGGGGAATAAGGTGGAGACTGCTGTGGAGACGCCCGTGGAGAGGACCGAGTGGGCGTTAGAGGAAATGCTGACTTGGGAGCTTGCACTATCGTTATTTGTGGTGATCCTGGCCCTGGCGCATTGTTTGTGGATGTGGAACTTGGTGGAACTGAGTGTGCTGAGCGCTGTGAGTATGGACTTCGGAAGCTGAATGGTGGTACTGTTCGAATCGTGCATGGCTAAGTGTTTGATGAAATATACGTATTTACCCTGTGGCGCGGTGATTACTTGGTGTGCTGGCTAGCTTCAATCTGCTGCAGCATTTGTGTGATGTGTTGAACTGAGATTTCTTTCACTTCAGCCAGGTTCAGGATCTCACGCGCTGCCTCGCATAGCAGTCTGAGCTGAGTGGCATCAAGTGACTCCAGTACTTCTTGGAACAAGGAGTCCGACTCGAGCGCGCCATGGGGCTCTTGGATAGCGCTGACGGGGGACGCTTGCTGGATTTCCCCTTCATCTTCATCCCAGTCGTCCCATTCTGCCGCAGCTGGACACGTCGAGCTGCTTTTTGCGTTTGAGTCAGGTCCAGCAACGTATTGCAGTCGGCGGCTGTAGAGTTGGGTAGTGGCAATGACCACCTTCGCGGCGTCGTGGTGTCCGCTTTGAATCAGCCGAAGCCATAGTCGCAGATAAATCTCAACCAATTCACTGTAGGTTGCCTCTTTCAGCCGGGTACCATTTACCTGCGCAGTTTCGAGGCATCGGACGATTCTGCCAACTTCTTCGCTCTCTTCAGAAGGCGGTAGATCTGTCTTCGACCAACGCAGAAGCCCACTGAGGCTTTCTACGAGCAGGGATTGAGCCTCAGACTTGCTAAGAGTAATCCACCGGAACATATCATCACAGGCAAGCCACGCCAACGCGATCTGTTCGAGACAAAGCCACCGAGAACTCCATGATAACTCGCCTTCGTGTGGTTGAACAGTATAGCCAACACTTTCATCGCAATTGGCCACGTATTGGAGCGTTGTAACCACTGCAGGAAATATTGGCACCATGAAAATGCTGAACTGACGGTCTAGAGAGTTGGCATTGCCTGACGCTGTCCCTATCAGTGTTCGTAGCTGCATGTTTTCGGGCAAATTCGCGTTAATTGATCGCAACGCGCTGTCCAAGAGTCGAGTTACGTCTCGAGTCGGTTCGGCTGTTGCCCCATAGCTAAGAAATCCCATCAGCTTTACTTCCACATGAGCGACGATCGTGTCTGCATCGACGGATGAACTCTTCATAGGACGCTCCAAAGCGACAATGGCACTCCACATAATTCCCCAATTTCCAGCTAGTTTTTGAGACACAGAGCTCTTAATGCTCTCCCCCAAAGCTGCCAAGCTTTCATCTTGATACCGCAAGTGAAGCAGCAGATATTTCAAACACGACCAAGGCCACGCTGTTTCTGGGGATGAATTTTCCAGCTCCGTCGAGGTTAGGAATGCCAATTGCTCCGTCCAAATGACAACTCTCATCAGTCCGGGGAGAACTTGACGGGAGATTCTGCGGAGCTCGAACTGTGACGACTCGAACGCCTCTTTCATCTGAGCGACGCATCCACTCATCACCTGCTGCCAAAATGCATCACTTGAGGAAGGAAGGCCGTTCTGACCACCGTTCTTGTCGATCCATACGCCGATAGCGTGAACGAGAGCACAATTTTCTGTGGGAGATACCGATTGCTCCTTCGCGTCTTCCATATCAAGCACCCATGTAGCCGACTGAGCTTGGTCATGTGCCCAGAGAAAAGATCTTACAGCACTAAGCGAACCCGATCGTCGCTGGTGGATCAGTGTTGATTCTGGCTTCCATTTCAACAACTTGCACTCTTCACACGGACACGCCAGAAGGCTCTCACCCAGGACGTTGATAAGGACGTCGATACTCAAAAGCCGACCTTCTTTCCGCTGCCAACAAAATTCGCTTTCATCACTTCGGGGCTCGGATAGCGACAGCAGCATCTGGATTACCAGTCTTAAGGAGGCCTCACGAGACACTGGGAGCCCGTGACTTCTCGAGTATTGCTTGGCCAGCGCTAGCACAACAGTGCTACTCTTCTGGCGAACGCTGGATGCGATGTGCATGACGTATTTCTCCAGCGTCGGGAATACAAACTTCCAGTGCTTAAGCAAGAAGCTCGACGGTAGGCAGGGAGCCATCCGAGCTAAGACGTCCAGTAAACCTTCAGCCTCGAACGCATCCAACAGCTCCGAGTCGGTGGCGCTGTCAATCTCGACTTTGTCGTTCCGGTTGATGCGATTTAACTTGCTGATAACCTCCTGGAAGATGAGAAGACGGGTCGGTTCCTCACACAGCGAAGCATATTCCACCAGACACTGCGCTGCCAACTGCCGGACACTGAGCTGGTCGTGACGAAGACACTGATATATCGCAGGCTTCAGCGTCTGAACTAGGCATCTTGGTAGCTGGGTTAACGTGTGGTTAGACCCAAGTCGATACTCCACTGCAGCCACATGACGAGCGCCCAAAATGCCCTTGATATCGTCCTTAACCTGCGAAACTTTGAGGTCGCCCTCGCCCACGGATTTATCACCAGTTGATTCCATTTGGATAGAGCGCAGAAGAACAGAAAGCGCGAGTAAAGCGCCCTCACGCTCGGTCCACGCCGTCACCTGGCTTTTATCCGCGCTCACACTTCGAGAACCGATAGCGACACAGAGCAAACTGTCGATAAACTGCTCGATGTGACCTCGCGACGAGAAATTGAACGCAATCGCTGCCGCTGTCTTGGCGCAGTCTTTCCGAATGACAGACCACAAGTCCGTTACTCCGAGTAGCAGCAAATGAACGGCTTCGTCGTAAAACTTGGCATCTTGATCGCCCGATATGTGCCCCGAAGTTTTAGCACAGCGTTGCGTAGAAGCTTGGAGTATCTGGAAGGCGAATGTTATAAACCGCTGGCGAACTCGAGGATCTTGCAGTCGCTTAACGACTCGACCAAGAGTGGATCTCGCGGCAGCATCCCACTCGCTCTTCAGCAAAAGTCTACATTACCACGAAACAAGTTCAAATTATCCGAAACCACTCAAACATGGGTCAAATTGGTTCAAAACCCTACCCATGCAACGTGTCGATAGAGTCCATGAGCTCACTTGGTTGTTGAACGGCATTCTGTTCCCAGCGAACCAACGTCTGCTGCTCGATACCTAGAATCACTTGGCTTCCTGCACAATCAGTGGTGGCTCCAAATTTCCGGAAAACGAAGTACAGTAGCAGGTCTTCCGTCAATGACTGCGAGCTGGTTCGAGTTCGGCCATCCCCGTCTCTCTGAAGAACCGGAGGTTCACAGGTCAGAAGAGGAAGGTCAAGGCGATACTCGCTGCTTGGTGGTTCTTGAGGTCGCAAGAATCGACAGAGTGCGTCGTTCTCTTCGTCGAAGCCCACAGCTAACAGCAATCGCCGCACCGACGCCATGGAGCTAGCTAGCAACGACTCTTGGCAACAGCGACCCCTGATTGGCTTTGTGGAAATAAATATATGCACAACTATTCATGTTGCGGTTATAGTCGTGTTGATTTTATTGTGCTTTGCAGATAAAATGTCGCCCCGTTTTATGGCCTAGATCGAGGAAGGCCCACAAATCAGGGTACAAAACAGAGGCGGTAGCTCGATTTACTTAGATCAACCTCGAATTGCGCTTTTGAAAACGCAAAAGGGATCGATTTACCGTAGATCGACCTCGTTCTGCCCAGATCCACCAGGAGATCGACCTCGAGCCCTGATTTGGATTGTCGTAGCTCGAGTTATTAGCCGGCCTAAATAGATCGATCTGTCCCTTTCTTTGACCTCGTTTTATTAAATCGACCTCGACTTAATGATAAAAACCGAGGAGAGGTCCAAGTCAAAACGACAAAACATTTGCCAAGCACAATACAACACAACATATAAATATTAATGGCCGTTGATACAGCCCATGTTTTCTAAACGGGTTAGGGTAGTCAACATACTGAAAACAAGTAAGAAATTCCAAACACGGTCAACCATGTTCAAGCATGGCCAAACATGTTCGGCTTGTGGGACGGGTGTCATGGCCGGCAAACATGCTGCAAAGCCCATGGGCTAAGGTGACCTTAAGCTGCCAAACGTCGCTCTGCGGTGAAGTTTGCAGGCTCTTCGTGCCTCTCAAATGCCACTGGTGTCCATTTTGCTCAGACACTCCCGATAGATTTGAGTCAATTTCACCCCCTCCAACCGAAAACATGGGCGCTATCTTTTCCGAATATTAATACCGCTCTGTGGTAAAAACTAGGCCATGAGATGCCTAAATAGCACAATATTATACTGGGAGCACCAGAAGGGGGTGGACAGCTCCCAACGGATTAATTGGACGCGTTAGCGTAACCTGGCGCTACCTTCGTGCTACACGAGCCAGAAGGATGTCGACCGATCAGGGTTACTTGCAGCAAGACAGACTGAGGCAGGAAATGCACATCGACATCAACAGCCCCGTGCACCAGCTTCAGAAAGTGAACTGCGGCGCAGTGACCCGCGTGATTCATGGGTGTGGCCCCGCAGGGGCCACACCCATGAATATCGCGGGTCACAGTTCTCCCTTATCAGCACCGGTACCTGCACCAGCGTTTTATATCAAAGGTGTTCCCAGCCAAGTCGAAGACGACTAGTTGCATGAACGAAAGACTGCAATCTTATATTGTTTGTTTTACTCCACTGCGCGTACGATGGGAATCAACTTGATTTGCGCTACGTATTGGGAGTCAAAGACGACCCAATCATAGTTGTAGATGTTTTATCCGCGTTCGCGTTTAATAATACTGCATGTACTGCATGTAATAGCGTCTGATTCGCTAAATTGATAAAAAGGTTACTCTTCAAAACGCAAGGTAGAAAGGACTGACGATTTTTTTTTTAATGTAAAAACGCAACGGACGATGCAAGCATCTTTTTGGGACGAAAGTGCTACTCCGTTTTTCATATACTCCAGGTGCTGAATGTAGCAGAGCACGATGCACTTGTAAACGTCTTGTCGAATCTCAGCTGCTTCATGACTTTTTCATCATTTCCGGCGAAACATTTACCTTCATCCAGACTCCATACACTTGCCACGGAAACCTCTCATTCGCGATAAATCGTCGTGAGGCTCCGGGTTCATTGTGTGGCGAATCCGTTGTGGAGTGACCTTTACTTCACAAAGTTCCAAAGTTTTTTTTACTGACTTCGTGGTCATTCACACTTGGCGTTTTATCCTTTGCTGACGGGAACAAACAATAAAGTTTGAGTGAGGATATTAACTTTCGCTATAGGTTGGCGCTGGGACAGGAGACAGGCGATGAGGACGGTAAAGGGGCTGGTCATTAACGGAGTGAGAACGGATTTCAACTCATTGATAAGGGCAGTGATGCCGCAAAATTTTTAAAATCGGGGCCCGTGCTATCCTCCAATGGGTCTAGGCAAAGCCATTCGCACTTCAGCGCACCTTTGCCATCAAAGTACAGTAGTAGTGTAGTAGCTCCCTCAAACGTCAACAGCTTCCCCTTTGAGCCGGTATCTTGGGCCTGAGCGTGCTAACGTAGCATTTTTTTAAAGCAAAACTCAGATGTAAGCGTACGTTCTCGCATCTTGTGCTTTCATTCTTTGCGAACCTCTACAGTTGGGTGAATACGTTTGCCGAATCGGGTAAAGGCCCGTATGCGGCTCCATATAAACAATAATACGACTTGCCGAAATTCATGAAAGCTTCAATAACAAGAAGTTGGAAGAGAAAACAAAAGTTGAAAAAGAAGTGTGACTTGTTCAGAAGCACAATTACAGTGACTATCATTCCCCTAATTTCGAGCAGGGCTCTCCAAAAATATATTGTAAATCTAAAAGGGGTATTATTGTAGGGGGACAATAAGGTATTGTGCGGACCCTCCCCATATTTTCTAATTAGGGTAGTATTGACAATAATTGAAATAGACACTTTCAGTTCGAGGCACTTTTCAAAATGCTCATGGATCCTCAGTCTAGGACTAAGAAACCAGAAGATTGGAGCTCAAACATCATTGGAAGCATCAGGCTTGCATTTCCTCCGTATAAGTAGCTATATTATCGATTCATCCGATGTCCAATACTAACTTCCACAATAATTATCAGGTATTGCAATGTATTGACCCTTTTATTAACAACAATAAGGTAGGCGTGCTTTGCGTTGTAGCTTACTTGAGTTTTGTATTGCATACTGTAGCCCATATCTAACCGACTCTGTGCTTGGGCGCAGAGATCCCGCAATCCCAATTTCGCTGAGTGGGCGAGAGCTGCGTTCGTGGTCATCTCTCTGCGCTCTACGCAACAGTATGCGTAGTGAAATAGAATTTTAGAGATTGCGTCCTGCAAATCTCACGCAATACTGAGTCAGCCTACCGATTAATAGATTGCGTGCGATTTGATCAAATCGGTCAAATCTACAGTGCATTACCTATTTAAAAAATACTGTATTGCGAGAGCTTTGAGTAGGCTGGGATAGCTAAGGGATGTTGGGTGAGGCAAACTCGGGACTGCGGTACAGTTCATTTGTGTCTTATTCGGCGAGGCGGTGCATTTAAAAAAATTAAAGAAGTTAAGTAGTTGGCGTTTCCTCGACACTCGATTTCGAGTTAGTACGCCCATCTACTTCGAAGTACTACAGCAGAAGATATTGCGAATGGATCTTTAACTTCTGCAATGGCCTACTTGTAACGGGCAATCGGGACTGTGTGTGTGATGAAGAGACATAAGTACCGCAAGAGTATTATGGAGACCTAGCGCGAAATCTGAAGCAACATTCGGAATACAACATTTGTTTGGGTGAAAGTACTTGTGCAAAAGAAAAAAAAGGCGAATGCGCGCGGATGTACAGCGTGTGGAAAAAGTCATAGCCCACCCCAAGCCCGCCACATACATATAGTAAGTCAAAACGATTTGCAAACCCGATGACCCAGTGTTTCGACCTACCCAGTTGGATCCAGCAACACTAGCGATACAATGCACACATGAGGCGAAAGGTACTCATGTTGTCATCCATATAAGCAAACCACGATCCCGAGAAACCAAGAAAGAGATATGATATCGTGCAATGTCTGAGGGCATTCATCACGTTTTGCCAGGCGTTGGAGGTTCACCATCTGGTACAAAAACCAAGATAAACTCAGATTGGACCGGGTGGCCGTGCTTCATTCGAGCGGCGATTCGTCAAAATCCAGCCTTTAATAGTCAATGGAATTCGAGCAGATTATACTTCAAACGATTCCGCGTCGAATGGTGAATGATTCATGCGAAACCAAGAAGAAATGGCAATTTTGTGAGTCGAAGCGCTGTTGTCATTTCACTTGCACATGCTTTTGACTTGGTCTTAGTATACTGACCCGCACAGGTAGCTCGGGGTGGGCTATGACTTTCTCCGCCCGCTGTACTGTACCAGGTTTGCACGCACTCCTTCTATCGACCTTCCCTCGATTTACCTACTGGCGATCTCAGCGTCTCCCTGCTTTCCACTGTCGCTCAACCCGTTCCCGAAGCGTTCAGCCACCGAAATGATGTTATCCTTTTCCTGACTGGTCTTCTTGAGCTTTGCCTCCTTGAAAAGATGCCCCCAAGTCGTCGCACTGTACCGAGGTAGGCGTAGGCGTTCTAGTGCAGCTGGACATTTTTCATGTATTCCAGGTGATCCCTGTAGCCGTTCACGATGTACTTGAAGTCATCGCTTCCGTAGCCAACCTTCGCCATCGCTCTTTCAATCTTTTCCGGCGAAGCGTTCAGCTCCCTCCAAGCCGTGTACACGTCCCACGTGGTCCTCCTTTGCATGATAAGATCCTCGTAAATCTGCGCGCTCTTGATCCAATTTGCTTTTTGGGTCTTCAGCGCTTTGGCAGCGCTGGATCTGAGCCAGTCCAGCCCTCTCTCTTCTCCTTCGCCCTCTGCCTCGGGCGTGCGTAGGAACCGCTTGTCGTCTTGATGGGCTTCATTCGGAGAACGAATCACACTCGTCGGGTGGCGGTGGCGGAAAATTGAGCGATGACCGGGTCAGATATCGTGGCAGTGGAACGCACGATGCAACTGGTGGCCACAACGGCAACGAGCGCGATAGAGGTCAGATGCATACTTGGTATAGGGCTTTGGGTGGGTAGGAGTCAAAGGTGAAGATCGCCCGTTGTGGAAACTTGAGGTCTGCAGAGGAAATTTTGGAATGAAGGAATGAGGGTCTGTTGGGGGGGGGGGGGGCGCTGGAGTTGAATGGATGGAAGCAGGGTTGACTGGACTCACTGCTTCCAGTAGAACATCCCGTTCATGAGAAAGTTTGTGCATGCACTAAGTGCACTGTAAGAGTACTTGCAGGGGGTGCCGTATATTTTTTTTCGTCGAGTTGTCCTGCTGTAGATGCAGTCCGAAAGAACTTGTATTACTTCGTAGGATATTCAGATACTACAGTAGTGAACAGGCATTTGTTGACAAGTTGCAATCGATATGAGTGTCGTGTCATAGACCTCGTCTTAGAAAATGTGTAGATTTATCAAACTGCATTCATACGAAAAAAAAGAGAGAGCTGCTTAAAAAGACAACTTTAAAATTATATAACGGAAATTCCTGAATAATACCCCGAGTACTATCTATTAGTACCCTCCCATTTTCAAACAAAATCAAATAAATTATGGATACTTAAGTAATACACAGTATTTCATGCGTAATCATGTTTTCGACAACAAAGTCATAAAATACTTGACTTTTGTATGGATGTAACCCTAGGATACGCATAGGGGAACGTTTAGAGGGGACTGTAATACACGGATCAGGGGTTTTATTCGGGAATTTCCGTTATATCTTGGTTAGATATCAATCCACGTTTCAATTTAGGGGCATTAAACTGATCGCGCTTCGTACACATATATACAATGTTCAATGAGACGGTTTGATTCTGCTGCATTATGGCTTAAAGTGCTCACAGTTGCGTGCATGGCTATGGAAGAACCAGGATTGGCTGTCGGCTGTCCTTGTTTACTGTTAGTTTATGCTGGAAACGAGCATGACTAATACAGGCTGCGTTAGATTTGCAGACACCAATACCCCGTGCGACCAATTATTGCGTGAGATTTGCCGACATCGTGTTCGCCAAAAACACGTATGTACTGACAGTAGCCGGGAGCGGCTGGGGAGGACCATGTTTCGCAGACGCTCCGGCTCATCTGGCCAGTGCGCGAGAATCTTGCATTCCAAAGGCAGCAAGCGTCCATGAACCTGCGCAATACAGCGCCTGTCCCCCCAACCAGCATCCATATTCGACCGCAATACCATCCCTACTGGAGAAGTTACAGACAACGACTTACAAAGCCGGCATGCTTAATGCCATCCTCCTATATAAAAACAACGATAAATTCCCTCCCGTCAAATCTGTAAAACTGTCATAAAACACACGGTGTGTTGCATAAAGTACACAAGAAAGCATATATAGTACACAAAACCAGATGGTATACAAAGATGAAGTCATTTGATTGAATCTGATTGGCTGGTTTGCTCATGTTAAGCTTTGCTTGACTTCGTCTGCCGGCTTTTTGTGTCTGCCGGCTTTGTAAGTCGTTCGTTGTCTGTAATGCATACTGTAACTCGTGTACTTTGTTCACGCTGCTTGGGGACGTCATGATGGCCCGCTGACCACCGTGGTCCCTTTATCAACGAGTTCGTCACGCAATTCGTCCACCAGGGTGGACTGAACTCAGGATCTTGCTCAGAGATTGGCTCCAGAAACATCCAACAGGTTTACGCCGTCATTGATGCATTTGACGGCCCGTCAAATGCACAACGCAATGCTAAAGAAAGTGATGAAGTCGGAGGAGCGGGAAGCTACAGTACATACAGTACATGCACATGTCCTTTAACTGACGCAGCACCTTCTTGCTCGAGCAACTCTCTTTGTCATCGGCAACGACTCACTACACTTCGCGAGCAGCATCACTCACCAAGACAGGCAGCTCAGGTCGATGTACATGTACCTTTCGATGCTGGTCTCCGAATCAAATGACTCCCTTGCATTCCCCGAGAGTAAACGGTACTCCGATGCCCGTCGCAGATTATGGGCTGCACCAGTCGCCTATCCTCTTGATACCTTTGAGCGTGCATCATCTCCTGGATCCCGCGCTAGCCATCGCCATCGCCCCTCACTATCACATTTGCGGCCGAGAGAGACCATGCTGCTCTCGCTCCGCGCCAAGTGCGTCCTGATCGCCCTTCTCGCTGCTGCAGCGGTCGTCGCCTGGTTGATCATCGCGCTCGCAGACACCAAGCCCAAGCTGCGCCCGGTGGTTCTGCTGACGGGCGACTCGCTCACGGAGCACGGCACGGACGTCTCCAAGAGTGGGTGGGCCGCTCTACTGCAAGGCGAATACTCGCGCACCGCCGACGTGATCAACCGAGGACTCCCGGGCTACAACACCAAGTGGTTCTTGAAGGACATCGGCCCCACCATCGAGCGCGAGATCCGGAAGGGCGTCTACAGGACGCCGTCCCTCATCACGGTCTGGTTCGGCGCCAACGACGCAGCGCTGACAAGTGGCTACAACTCGGCCCAGCACGTCTCCATCGAAGACTACAAGGAGAACCTGAAGAAAATCGTCGGAGAGTGTTGGTCCGCAGCCCCCACCGCCAGCATCTTGCTGATCACGCCTCCGCACGTCAACGACGCGGCCAGAGCCAAGCTCGCGGCGAAGAACAACGGCTCGATCGACCGTACGAACGCCATGTCCAAGAAGTACGCCCAAGCCTGCGTGGAGACCGGCGCCAGCATCGGAGTCCCCGTGCTCGACCTGAACTCGTACTTCAACGCCATGAACGAGACGGCACGAGACGCGCTGCTGATCTCGGACGGCCTGCACTTCAACTCGTCGGGCAACAAGCTCGTGTTCGAGCAGCTGACGGAGAAGATCGCAGACGTGTTCCCTAGGTTAGATGCGAAGCTCAAGCTGTGGCAATTTCCAAGCTACAGCGAATACGCAGCCTCCGACCCGTGGACAACGGAGGATGGCGAGTAGGCGAATAATAATCCACACTGTAACATACAATAACAAGAGCACAATTGTGAGGATAAGAACACTCGAAGCCTTTCGTCTAAGACCGTTACCAAACTTCAGATCCAAGTTCAGCAACCACTGTGAAGCAACAGATCGTTTAAGTTGAAGTTGGGTTCATGTGCAGCATTGCATTGCGCCCCTCCATTCCTCTTCTTCCCCCTCCTAAGGATGCAGTCACGACGTGCTCAAGAGAACGAGACGCTTCTGGATGGTCGTCGCGTCACTCGCCGCCGCTTTGAGATCGCTACGCTGCGGGTGTGGGAACTCCGCGTGCTGCTCGTCTCGCTCCTGGTGTTCGTCGGCGTCTATGTGGCCGTGGAGCTCACGAAGAATCGCCACTATATTCAAACCGAGTCGGATCTCAAGCTGTTCAATCCCCTGTTCGAGGCGCAGGCCCCACCCGAGACGTTGTTCCCGTACACCGACGAACAGAAGACGTTCCTCCCTCCGATGTTAATTGCGCCGGGCATCGTGGGGTCTCGTCCGATCCCGACCAACAATTGGTGGGGCAAGATGATCGCAGCCACGCAGGAGGCTGGAGTGCAGCCGATCTGGGCCAATCCGTACTCACTGCAGCCGATGCTTACGTCGGCACCCTACGGCCTCACAGTCAGCTATCCCTATCCGACGCGAGTATTTGGCGGCGGTCTGTCTGAAAACGGTATCGCGAAGAAGTTTTATCGCCATGGCCACGTCCCGGACTTCACCTTCTCGGCCGTGGAATTCACCGCTCCACCCGTGTTTGAGGTGTTTGACTGGGACGATCTGAGCGTCCAAGTGCGCTTCAAGGCTCGCTCTGGCCCCAGTAATGAGAGCAGCTTTGAAGCGACACTTGCGAGTGGGATGGCCTTTGTGACGGCAAAGTATAGCTCGCTCACTCCACGCCTCGACACTGTGTACGCCATTCTCAAAGTCAATGGCCAGTCGACTGCGTCGGGGTTCACTGGCACTGCCACTCAGTTTGTACTTAGGTTCAACAATGGACAGACATGGACGCTCTACTTTTCGTGCTACACCTCGAGGGATCCTCGACGTTGGTAGGCTTTGATTCTTTTACAGGAACTGTACGAGTGGCGACGATCTCGAATCCAGAAAACAAAGCGTATTTGACGAGACTTCTGGCTGTATTCTGGAAGGAGGCGACGTTGAAGCGCAAGATGCAGACACGTACGCTTACGTGTGGAAAACGAGTGGCGTTTGCTCAGGGTCCAGTGGACTGCTTCATTACGCGCAGATTCACCACGTGGATACTCTGGAATGGTCGTGTAGTGTCTTGCGACCCTTGTGCTTGCGTGAGATCGGAGGTAAATGGGATTCTGTATTGAATGCTGCCGCTGCGGGAAAGGCCGCAGTGGTTTCTGTTAGTTTCGCTAAGCAATAATCTTCCTAGAGTATGCAGTATAGTGTAGTCAAATGCAATCTGCCAGTTCCCAGATTCTCGCTAGAGTCCGTTTTGTAGCTGCTGTCGCATCCGTTGCGTGCGATATGCCTGCTGGCACGAGATGTAGCCATGGCGCCACTACACGGCCCCCAAGCAGGCATTCGTACGCTACGACCTTGCCCTTGCTAGGAATCAGGCCACCACCATGTATCACTTGGCTAGGCGGCGGGCAGGCTTCTGTTGCTTCGCCGCTGAGCTGCCTGTTTTGGCGCGACGCGTAGAATTCTTGATGGCCTTCGAAACAGCTGCTGGTTTCTTTGCTTTCTTCTTCTTCGTGGACTGGTTACCGCCGCTCCTGCGAGTAGATTGTAGATGCAATAGGAATTGACTCAATTTCGAGTCATCCGCAGTACGTACATAGTCCTGCAGCTTCACCGGGACGTCCTCATGCATTGTCGTCATGGGTTCCCAGGAGTCCTCAATCTCCTCCAGTCCTTCCCAAGCTACCAGAACTTCATAACTGTGAGCAGGATGCTTGCGGTGCTCTTTGAACGAAGCGACGGTGAAGTAGACGTCTTGGTTAGCGATGTGCTCCAATATCTCTCCGAAGGCACGGAGCTTGCGGCAGGCGACATGACCAACGCCTCGACCGACGCAAAGGCCTCGTCAGAGAAGGAGGCGGAGGACGCCGAGTCCGGCTCAGGTGACAGCAAGCAGTCGCATGACGAAGTCGCCATGGCCAACGCTGGGGTCGTGGCCGAGAAGTCGCCGAGCGACGCGGGCTCCAAGCCCAAGGAGGTGCTGGCATCCAAGCATCTGACGCTGGCACAAGGTCGTGAGCGTGCCCAAGCGTCGAAAGCGGCTGCCGCTGCGAAGGCCGCCGAGGCCAAGGCGAAGAAGCGTTCAGCTTCCAGGTCGCCTCGCGGCTCCAGCTCCAAGCTGTTCATCGACTCGGAGTCTGATTTAACCCAAAAACATTATTTGGATCGTATATTTTGATTAACCTATACTCGGAGGCCCGAGTATAATTAACTCTCGTTTAAAGTAAGCTACGCTTCCTCACACACGTGCGCAGACGTGTAAGCTAAAGTAGTGAGCCAAAGCAGGCCCATTACACCTGGTAGCACTTTGTAGTCCGTCCAACGACCGACTACCTGAGTTCGTACGTCACCGCATGAACGCGGAGCTGATTCCCATGGATATGTGGAGCTGATTCCCATGGATACAGAGGTGCCCATGGAAAGCTCCACTACGCCTGTAACTCACGTTGCACGCGCTGACTGTGCCCACCCCTCCCTCAACGGTCATTGGTGAGGCGGCTGTAGTTACGATGCTGCGTCGCTAACGCCGACAGAGCAACACGGTGTTGCTCTGGGTTTCATCCTGAAGGAGCAACGCGATGTTGCTGCTACTACCGCGGTGTCGTCCGGGGCGACACCACGCGCGCAATCGTTGAAGCTCAATGTGAGCAACTATGTCGGAAGAGAGGGTGAAACTCTCCTCCGTTGGCTTGTCGAACTCGACACTGCCATCGCGGCTCGACGTATCGTCGACCCGTTGTCCAAGGTTGCGTTCGCCATGTCATGCCTTGGCGGACGAGCGAGAAGTTGGGCGTATGGACGCCGACTCTCTGATCCTACGTGCTTCAGCACGTACGAGGGTTTCAAGGAGGAGCTCAGGCAAGCGTTTGAGCCCCCGCAAAATGAGTTTGGGTCGAGGGCAGAGTTACTCGACCTACAGTAGGGTAAGCACGATGTCCATGCGTACGCGCAGAGAGCACGGTACTTGGTCTCGAACATCGTGACCAATCCGATCGACGAGGCGACCAAGGTCGTCACGTTCATGAAGGGACTGAGAGATGGGCCTGTAAAGACCTATCTCTTCCGTGAGTACCCAGGCACTTTCGAAGCTGCGATTACTCTTGCAATGCAGGAGGAGTTTAGCCTGCGGCAGGGTAAACTGCATGCAGATGTGCCGAGGCCACAGCCACGCCCGGTAGCGAGGACGGGAGGCCCATTACCCACGGGCCTCTCGAGTGCTGCAACTGCTGGACCCCAGCAGTTGCAGGGAAACAATGTGCGATGCTACCGTTGCGGTAGAGTCGGTCACTTTGCCCGAGAGTACACGGCACCCGTGCACCGAGATGGTGGTCGACGCGGCGATGCAGGGCATCGGCGCGAACGAACAAAACACGCTGGAACCCAGTAGGCGCGGGGCGCCCTACTGGTGAAGCAGTCACGCATGTCCAACTCGGACATGCGAAACTGAGGACTGCAGCCCCCAGTGAGGACCCTTCTCACTGCAAAATGCATGATGACAAACCGAACCTTTTCATGTTGAACGTGAACTCGATGAGAGAGAGCAAATCTTTTCGTGCTTTGGTTGATTCGGGCGCGTCGAACAACTTGTTC